AACCGCCGGAGCGGGAGCCATAACCGTTGTCGCGACCATCGCCGTAATTCCGATTGTAGCCACCATCTCGGCCATAGCCATTGTCGCGACCATACCCATTGTCTCGACCGGCTGTGTCGCCGCGAGACCTTTTGGCAGAAGGCTCTCCCTCCATATAATCGTCTGCCGAGGGCCTAGCACGCCGTGATGACAAAGAAGACAGTTGCGCCAGAGTATCATCCACGCCCACGGAATCGGGGAGCTTTTTGGACGAGACATTCGTGTCTGGCGTATCGTCAACGAATTTCTCTGCTTCTCGGTCGGGCATGGCTAGGCCGGGAAATTTCCTCGCTTGCAGCTGTTTTTGTTCGTCCATTATGGTCGCTGATTTGCTTGATTTCTGTCCCGACTGGGCGGCTGCTTTCGCCTTTGCGGCTTTGCGTTTGTATTTGGGGTGCAAGGTGACGATGAGGCGGTCCAGGTTCTTGACGAACCACTCAGGAAAGTCGGCCCCGATATCGCCGAGCTTCTTTGCAAACGCGTCCGGGGTCTTGCTCTGCTCGTGGAGCTAGACATGGGTCAGCTTGTGTGTCCTGATGCAAAGCGCAATGGGACGACGCACCGAGATAACAAACTCTGCAAGTTTCTTGTCTTGAAGTTTTGTATGGTTGTATAGTTCCTGAGAGACCTTTGCGACGAGCGAAAGCAGCTCGAGCTTGTAGATCTCCTTGTCGGCAGACATTGCGGCGGCCGGGGTGCGAATGGATGGGAAGCGCAGACCAGGCAGAGTGAGGACGGAGAAGAGCAAAGGGTGGCGGCAGTGCGGCGAACGCCGCCACCGCGTAGTGGAGGTGCCCGACTGCCTGGTCGCCACGCAGGCGCTGCTTCTCTACGTCATTATGATGTGCACGCGTATATAAGAGGCGGGGGACGATGACCCGTTTGCAGCATCTGCACCATGTCCCAGCCTCAGACCCGCAAACGCACTGACAGGCTCGCCGCCCCGTCCCGCCACTCCATCCAGGACTCGGCCAAGGCTCAGGCAGCAGAGGTGGGCGCCATCATCCAGGACGGCATCACAAGCGCCTCCTGGATCTACCCCATCCTTGTAAGCCGCCAGATTCTACACGTTGCGTACATGTCCACTGACCATCGTTCTTGCTCAGGGTGTGCTTTACCTTTTCTCCCGTAAGCTACCATCGCCCCGACCGAGCACTAGAGAAACTCGGCGCCGAGCGACGCTGACTCCATCGCAGACCCTACCCTGATCAAGCCCCTGCTTCCTACCATCCTCAAGGGGGTAGCCTTGTCTGCTGCGGCTGTAGTGTTCCTCTTCACATTTACTTATCTTCCGCAAGTCGGCATTCTGGTCTTTGTATCGGGTCCGCTGGGTCAGTCTATTACTGTTACCTTTTCCAGTATCACGTAACTTACCTTGTCTTTAGCATTCATTCTGGCAATTCCTTTGGTTCTGAGTGAGGCCTATTTTGTGGTCACCTTCTTTGCCAGGGGATTCTTGTCCGGCCAAGTCGGAGTGGATCTCTTTGACGCGGTAAGGGTCACCAGATTCATGCTGGGTCAACGCTGAATTATCGTTGCAGGTGCTGTTGCAGAAGGGTCATCAGACATTGGTTGAGAACGGGAGACAAGTCACAGATGCAGGAGGCGGCAAAGCTAAGCAGCTGGGCAACTTGGTCCGCAAACCCTTGGCCAAATTTAGCTTTGTGAGTTGACTGCTGTCACACATCCGCACATTGCTTACACAGCTTGCCCAGGACAACACCGTCCGATATCTCATCACCCTCCCTCTCAACTTCATCCCCGTTGTCGGCACAGTCTTTTTCCTTGGGTGAGTATGGCAGCCAATGTCGCATATACGAAACACTCACGACAGATCAGTTACAACGGATACAAAGCAGGCCCGGGGTACCACGCTCGGTATTTCCAGCTCAAGAACTACAGCAAGGAACAGAGGCAGGCTTTTGTGCACAAGAGAAGGGGAGCTTACCTCACGTGAGTACTTGCCGCTCTGTACGCAGAGATCCGTGCTCACCCCACTCTCACAGTTTCGGAACCATGGCCGCTTTGCTCAACCTTGTACCCTTCGTCTCCATCTTGATGACATGTAGGTAGTCCTCATAAATTGGGGATTTGTTGCTGATCGACTCATAGTCACTACTGTTGTGGGCGCTGCTTTGTGGGCTGATGACTTGGAGAACAACATCAAGGTCACATCGAACTTGAGGGGAGAGACCCACAAAGCCAAGACCAAGCAGGCGGGTGAGGTTGAGGTTGTCATTCCTGAAGAGAACACAGAAGGAGCCAAAAAAGACCTTTGAGGTATTCTATAGTACAACATGAGCCGCTCAACACTGCACCAGAAAGATAAAAACAAATGCAATCACATCCTGTTCAGTATGATCATTCTGGGTTCTGGGCATGGTCACATGAGGGTATCTGTTTGAAAGAGAAATGTGTGGCTTGTGTCTTACCACTGTTGACTTGACAAGTATGTATTTGTACATCGGTCTGAGAGGATTGTGTCGCTCTCAGTCGTTCCTCTGCATGGACCACCGGATAACTCGTGGGAGTGCTGAAGAAGATTCGCCCCGGCTCACGCCTCACCGTATCATCGTAGCGTAGGTAGGTTCGCTCCGACGACGCTAGGAGGAGGGGTTCGCGGCGGAGTCCGCTGTTTATGTCCCGCTCTTATGAACTGGCGGGTCCATCGTTCATCATCGTTTCCAGGTCCTTCACGCCAGGCCAGATCGAACACGTCATCAGCACTCCCCACCCCTTCCCCCATCTGTCGTAATCTTACCTCGCCTTCGCCGCTCGGATATCGCCCGAAATGCCCGCAAAAAGGCGGGCATCTTCCAGCATCTCCAATGGGCCCACGCCCAAGAGGCTGACTCGCTCGGCAGGAGCCAAAGTCCGCTCCCCCAGACAGCCCACAGACAATTCTGCGGATCCTTCTCAGCAGAGCGCAGACCAGCCTGCTGATCCCAAGAGACCCGCGGGCAAGTCAACGTCCGTGCGGAAGCAGCCCGTGGCCAAAGAAGCTCTATGGCAAGACATACCAGCTTCAGACCCATCCTCTGCTGGTGATCAAGCCACACTTCTAAGCCTCCCCCGCGAAGTTCTAGATGTCTGTTTCGGGACAACGATCGATTTGGGGCTGCAGATGCGAGATTACGTTGCATTGGCGGGTGTATCGCGATACTTCAGGCTCTGCCTCGACGATCAAGTTTTTCAGGTGAGTTATCGTCGCTGTCCACACGCTCAATCATTTGCTAAAGGAGTCCAACAGGAGCTGTACCTTGCCTCCCGACCCAAGTATGTAGACGGAGACGCGTCAGGCCGCAAATATGTCTCGGAACGGATATTCAGCAGAAACGTGCCGAACTGGTCTGTACCCCCTCCTCAGCGGTCGTTTAAAGCTCTCGACAAGCTTTCCCTCAGCCTACCCCCTCATGACTCTGGCTCTGATCAGGACAAGAAGCTCCGTTCCGCCTACGAACAAATCTACGCCCGATGTCGACAAGTCTACCAGGAAGGAAAGGACGAGATTGCACGCCAGCAGAGGGAGCGTGTGCTAGCCAAAAGGGTTGTCAAGAGGGTGGTGGTGGATGGGGTGTCGCGAGCGGTGCTCGCGGCAGTACCGGGACGAAAGAATGGAGAAGTCGAAGGGGAGAAGGACGAGAACGGGATACCCCAACACCTATCGGCTGGGACAAGTACAAGGTCGGGCGTTCCATCTTTACCCTTAGAGACGGATCCCAAAGAAGCATGGAGACCTTGGAAACTCAAACTCAAAAAACTCTATCGCCAAATGCAACAGTTGATCATAGATCACAGAGACATGAAGCCAGTCCACGTCGACGATATTCTACTGGGTGGTGCCGCGCCTTCCACAACTCTGTGGATCAAGTACAGCCCCGAAACTGGGGAGAAGCTGCCCCATGACTACTACCCTAGTCCGTGGAGAACCAGAGCAGCCGAGGTTGTCGCTTCCAAGTGGATATCAAAATCGGTACGTATGCCTCAACAAGCTATTCCTGTATTGACATTCCTCAGGAGGCGATCCGGACATTCAAAGTGGGAGAGGGCGAAATGGCATGTCTGAAGCATTTTCTCGTGGTGAGTCTCTGCTCGAATGAATGTGAAGAGTTGACTGACATTGAGTAGTTCAACTCACTAAATCCAAAGTTGTGAGTCACTCGAGGCTTTGTGGAAAGTACTGACTTCAACGTATGTTGTAGACCAGCCAAAGTGTGAGTCGCGAGCAGAAACTTAGTCTGAGCATCTCGCTGACATGGATCTTTGGCAGTTTCTCGTTGGCTGCCGTCCAAGCGCTAGCCCTGAGGTCACATGGCGGGCCAATAGGTCATCATGATCATGTGTAAGATTCCTCTACGATTCTTTGGTTCGGGCTTGCTGATCAGTGGCGTAATCCAGGATCAAATCTAGAGCCAAAGCCTTTAAGAGTATCATCACCCGACGAGCCAAAACTTCAACTAAAGACAACTCGTCGGATTTTCCAACATCAACCCAAACACAAGCGCCCACTCCTGGCCTCACCAAAAACGCGAATTCTGGAGGACGCTACAGGCGGCCTGCCAAATCTATCGATCCATCCGATGAAGATGACTCGGGGGCAAAGTATGGCATCGACAAAGAATGCGGGTCGTGGTATTGGAGAGGAGCCTTCTTCGACTGGGTGTCTGACCAGAGAGAGCAGAGGGCGTTGCGGCCTGAAGTCGACAATGGACCGCCAGATCACAATGGCTCTGGGAACGACGGAGAAGACGATGGCGGCACGGGAGGGAACATGGGCGTCGTAGCCCCTCCCGCTGTACTCAGCAATGAGTTGCCTGCGCTGACAGACGGTGGTGATGAAAGTGACAGTACAGCGGACACCGATGGGGAGTGGGACGTTGATGATGCCGATTCAGAGCCGGAAAACGATCAGTAAAGCTGTCTCATGTATATTTTCACACCAATGCATGTCAATACTATGAACAGCGGGTTATCAGTTCAATCCCTTGTCTTTCTCCATGGCGTCCGCAAAGGCGTCCATGCTAGGAAATTGAAAGTCTGGAATAACATCTTTGAAAGCGGACACGCCCATCACAGCCTTCTGGCGATCAATCCAGGCCGCCTTCAATCCTTTCTTGTGGCCCCTACAGTAGCGCGTTGTGAGCAGACAAACTTCACTGTGAAGGTGAGACTCACGGCTGAATGTCGTGCAGCTTTGAGTTGGCGACGATGAGAATGTCCTCGGGGCCAAAGCCGAAATCCTCCTTCACATGTTGCAATGCGTATTCAAAATTGTTAAGGGAAGGCTTGTAAGATCCGACTACACAAGTCGTCAGTATCAACAGCCACCGGTAGCGCAGGTTTGCTCCACTTTTCTCGGCTGTATAGAGAGCATCGAACGAGAAGCCTTTCTCGAGCTTTTGTTTGGAGCTGAAAATGGAGTCAGTCATTGAGCCTGGTAGTTCAAATGAATGCAGCCTACCCTTCGAAGCTGGTATTGTCGACGTTGGACAAGATGACAAGTTTCAGTCCCAATCGCGAGAGTCTTTCCAATGCATGCGCCGAGTCTTCAAAGGCAGGCCATTTGGGCACAGATGCCCCGAATGCAGCAGCATGGGCTTGCCCGTGTCACCAGTGTGCTATCGGAAATGCGAATTGACTTACAGTCATCGTCTTTGAGGTTCAAGTCTTTGGCAGTAGCACGGTAGACACCATCAAGACTATGTTCAGGGTCAACGCCGCCCTGTCGCGCGAGGGGAGTAGCAGATGACTGACACTTGGGAATAGAGCATAGTCGGGGTTTTGGTCTGAATGCGGCCCTCGTGGTGCCCCACAATCTTGAAAATGTTCTCGCGGTCGATGCTTTTAGTTTGCTGCAGAAGAGGGACGAGATTCTCGAGCATTCCAGTCTCCCAGTCCTGTGGCCCCCGATGATCAGCAAAGGACACTCGTCCCGATAACGTCCGGAAGGCCCACAATGAGTGTCTGGGGGTGAATGCATTGTCTTAGCGAAGCACGTTCATTTGGACAGGCTTATCTTACACCATAGCAGTCGAAAAGAAGGACTCTATCCCAATTGTCAGGACTGGCAAGTGTGCACGAAGGCGTTTGTCGCGACTACTCACTTGAAGGGGCTCAGAGACATGACGCTAGTTGCTTGCTTGTCGTGATGATGGTATTGCAGGAAGGGAGGAAGATGAGTAGAGATGGACAATGATGTACTGATCGACTTGAGACATATATAACGTAAAATACATCACATGTGACTGGCAGACGGCAGATAAGAGGGAAACCTCAGGGAAACGCACGACGAGCCGACGACAAAAGGGTCTTCTCCGAGTCACGCGTTCTTTGGATCGGTCTACATATGCATAACAAGTGTGGCCTTCGTCCATTTGAGCCGAGCCGTCGCTTGCAGCTTACCCCACGTCGGCGTACATAGGATGCACGTCTGTTGCCTGCATGCTAGGTAGGGCATCGGGACTCTGCCCACCCAGGACCGACTGCTCGGCTCCCCGATAAGGGGCTTTGGACGCCGCGGTGACTTATCGGCCTGCGGTTTGACCGATAAAGACGACCACTATGAGATACTGTTCATGGTTTTATTGTCTCTCCTCCTTCCACGAAATTCACACCTTCTTTCTCACATTATCACTAACAACACCAACATGTCCGACGAATTTGACTTTGCCAAATCATTCCCCAATCCCGTCGAGGTTCGGGAGTCCTTGTGAGCAAGACTGTTCTCGCGTCGACGCCTGTCTTTTTGCGCTGACAAACATTGCAGGCTGCCCCTTCTCTCAGTCAAGCCATGGTATTTTTCTGCTTCCCAAGACTTCTATCTCACCAACGTCAATGTTGTGGACGCCGCTTCTGGAAGTCTTCTCGAAGGACCTCAGACCATCAAAGTCAGCAGGGGTGTCATTGTGTCTGTTGAGCCCGAGGGTGCTGCCCAGCTCGACGACCAAGCAAAAGTATACGACTTTTCTGGCAAGTTTATCTGCCCAGGGCTCATCGATGCCCACGTACACGTGACTGCTGTACCTGGCGTACAGGTGAGTGAGGGATGTGGATGACGAAGAAGCCCGGGAACTGACATGATCCAGACGATGGCCGATATGGTCAGACTGCCTTCCGACACAATCGCTCTCCGTGCAACCTATGTCCTCAAGGGCATGCTTCAGAGAGGTTTCACCACTGTTCGAGACACTGGCGGCGCCAACAAGATCCTTTCTGACTCCATCAAAGAGGGTCTTATCGAGGGTCCCAGGCTTTTCCAATGCGGCAAAGCTATCTCCCAAACAGGTGGTCATGCCGACTTCTCACCGGCATTGTCCGGCGGTGACGGCGGCTCTTGCTGTGGCGGTCATTCGCAGTCTCTCGGGCGCGTTGCCGATGGAGTGCCCGCGGTTCTGAAGGCTGTCCGAGAAGAGCTCAAGCAAGGCGCCGACTTTATCAAGATCATGCTGGGTGGGGGTGTTTCCAGTGAGTATGACGCTATTGAGACGGTGCAATATTCCCCAGAGGAGGTCAGGGCCATTACCTCTACTTGCTCGCAAATGGGAAAGAGAATGGTGAGATTTATCTCTTGATTCTCTCTCTGCTCTGGCTCATTTGTGTTCTAGGCTACAGCCCATGCCTACACTGTCGAGGCTATCAACCATGCTATTGACAACGGTGTCAAGGGTATTGAACATGGAAACCTCATGGATGCCCCCACGGCCAAACGGTAGGCTAAGCGTCTTTCCTCTTCTGTATCGATCTGACAAATTCTGAAAGTATGGCTGAGAACGGTGTCTACCTCACCCCCACCCTCTCTTGTTATGGAATCATGCTCCGAAAACCTTTCGAAGGCTTCCTTAACGAGGAGCAGCGAGACAAAAGTGTTCAAGTCATGCAGCAAGGCCTGAATGCCCTCCGGATTGCCGAGGAAGCCGGAGTCACCGTATGCTACGGGTCCGACCTTCTCAATTCCATGCATGCTTTACAAACAGGTGCGCATCCCTCGCAGCTTCAGATGGCCCCCAGCTGACCCACTTGTAGAGGAGTTCACTGTCCGTTCCACAGTGCTTCCTTCTGCTACGTTGCTCAAGCACGCCACTATCAACCCCGCCAAGATGCTCGGATACGAAGGCCGGCTCGGTGTCATCGCACCTGGTGCCTTTGCCGACATTCTCGTCCTGGAAAAGAATCCCCTCGAGGACATCACTGTTCTCGACCTCCCCGAGCAACATCTCCTAGCTGTGTTCAAGGAAGGCAAGCTTGTGAAGGGCGGTCTTTAAATGGAAATTGATTTCGGAACTCATATTTTGGGCTTGATTTGGTAGATTGTATGTGTGCTAGATGCATGGTGCAGTAGTGCGCGATGGATGCGGGGTGCGCGAGAAGAGAACCAAACAACACGCAAAGTGCCACGAACGGCAATTGCCGCCCAAGAGGGAACGTAAATAAGGTTTTGGGGATGACGGCGCTTGCTTTCTCTTTGAGTGTCGCCGCCCGCTTTCAGTAATTCCCAGCGACGCTCATTTTCCTATTTCCTGGTGTTCTCGACAGCCCGCCGCATGCTGCCCCCCATAGACACCGCCGCCCCCTCCCCCTCCCCTGGCCTCCCCTCCCGCACGACCACCCCGACTCCCCACCTGTCCCAGCCCACCACCCCCAGCATGGACCAAACACCAAACACAGTGGACCTCCGCACACCTCGCGCCAATACCGACCGCATAGGACCAGAAGAGATCCGGGACATGGACGCAGAAAGACGAGAACAGCAGGAAAGTGAAGGATTTGGTCTCGGAATGGGATCTGGCTTGGGCAGTGCGAGCGGGAGCGAAAGAAGCAGTCTCGATATGGGGCCCCCGCTGTCCACCGAGAAGGGGAACTGGAAAGGCAAGGGGAAGGCGGTGGAAGCAGATGTCCTGGCGCACGAGGACGAGGATGAAGCAGAATTCGATCCGACTCTTTACCAATCGTATCAGAGCAGACTGGGCGAGATCGCCGCCTCTGAAAGAACAGGGGACGGATGGTCTCAGAGGGATGAGCTGCTACAAATGGTGTGTATGGCTTGGGGATTATATACGCATCTCACTGACGCCAACCGCAGGCCAACGACTTGCTTCCTGTGGCTACCCATCAAGCGCCTTTGCTGCAAGAGCAAATAGCAGCGCAACAACGAACCATTTCACATTTGCAACAACAATCCAAACTCTCTCAGCAACTGATAGCAACGGAACGGTAAGTCGCGGAATGTTTGTTTGGTCCGCAGCGGCAGTGTTGACGTTAAGACAGCGAACGGCATGCCGTGGAAAGAAAGTCATGGCAAACAGAAACGCAAGCCCTCATTGCTGCTAAGGATGCAGAGGCTTCGGCAAAGTCCGGCCAGCGCAAGGTTTTGGATCTCGACGTTGGATATCACAAGGAGCTGGAGGCAGCCAACAAGCGCCTAGAGATGGATAATAGACTGATGGCCCCGAGGGTAAGTATCTATCAACGTCAGATCGTGCGAGTGTCTCATCGGTCTTGCAGCTTGTGGATACCCAACGCCAAATTGACCGTCTTGTCAATGAGCTCCGGCTCCTCCGGCCCCATGTCATTCTCGATTCCAAACCTCTACATTCGACATCGACGGAAGTTGACGTCAAACCCGACATCTCGGCCAAACTCGCTGTGCCTTTACCGCGCTACATGCCTCAACTGAATACCTCCCGCTCAGCCGGAACGACGATGGGTGATGCTCGTGCCGAACATTTGTTGCTGGCGGCGAGAACGATCAGGACTATCCGCAAGCGAGATACAAAGGTCGGCAGGATGACCATCAATGAGTTGAGGAAAGCTGGGGTGGCTGGCCCCGAAGGTGGACTGGGGTACAAGGAGGGGTACGGCGAAGAAGCGTTATCAGAAATCGATGATTACAGCGAGGGCGAAGACGAGCGACGGCCTAGCGTCTCTGTTAAAGCCAAAGTCAAGGTGCAGGCTACCCCTGCCACTGGCAAAATCAAACGAGGGGTTAAGCGTGCGGCGCCTGGTTCCGCTGTACCTCAGACACCATCGAGACCACGGGGTGCAGCCCCAGCATTCCCCGAAACGACGCCGGGCGGCTCCAATTTCAATGACCTGCTGCGCGCTGCCGAGATGGCTACCCGCCCTTCGTCACCCGCTGTCACCGACCCGACTATACTCCAATCTGTCAGTGCCACCAGGAGTACGACACGAGTCCGCCCAGACGACGATGCTGAGCGGGGGAGTCCCAAGCGGCGCCGTGGATCTGCATGGGGTGAGAATGAACCACACAAGGGCCATGCCCCGAGCTCTAGTCAAGGCTCAGCGTCGGCTCTTGATCTCTTGGCGCAAGCGAGTCAACTTGATGTAGCCAAGACAGCCCCTCAGAGCTCGCCAGCGCAGCCTATTGCGTCTTCTTCCAGGCATCCACCGCGGCTGACAGCCTCAAGCCCGATGGAGTCTTCGCTTGGTGCGCCTATCGACCTGACACCGAGAAATGGGCGACCGCACTTGAACCAGTCATCGAGCATGACAGACGACTCGCTCGATCCCAGCTTGCAGACGCCGAAGGGAAGGATGCGAGGGTCAAGCAATGCTTCAGAGTACACGCCTGCGAAGTACCTCGAATCAGGCGGGCCTTCATCCAGTAATGTCTTGACGACCACGCCCCTTTCCGGTGTCCCTCCAAATCCGCAAGCGGCTGCTGCAGCAGCTTCCGAAGGCGGTGGGGGTGGTCCTGGTGCTTTCGCCTCCCCGACTGGTCGGGTCGTCCCCGGTCTCGGCAGGTACTGGCACTACACCTCAGAGATGCCAATCAAGCGCGTGCGATCGCCCTATTTGAAATGGACTGTGGAGGAGGATGAGCTGCTAGCACGGGCTGTGGCTATACATGGAGAGAAGTGGGATTTAGTCAGTAAAGGTGTTCCCACAAGGAGCTATCACCAGGTCCGGCAAAGGTGTGTCGTTTCGTCATCTATGTATCTGCTTGTGTACTGACTTCGACTAGATGGCTGCGGAAAACTGGTGCTTTCGACAAGAAGAATCAGTCGGCGCCTCCTTCACAGCTCCAGAATGGTGTCTCGTATCCCAACGGTACCAGATATGATCCATTACCAAACGAAGGCCCCGGAGCTAGTCAGAAGTCTGCCAGCTTGGAAGAAGAAGAGTGAGCAGGGGGGTTCGGGCTCGAGACGGTTGCTTGTTTGTAGGCTTGTACCGTACCATCGGATGAAGCGAGGAAGGGGGGTGTCATATTGTATATCATGATACATTCCCCTGGGAAGTCGAAACCGCTCTTGCCATATTGTAGCGATTACGGTCCATATGAGCGGGAGTTAATGAAAAAGTATATTCATAGGAGCACGATACTAGTATGTATGCGCTGTTCTTCCAAACGTGCGTTTGGCTTGCTCTCTTGCGACGCTCCGAGCTCCTTAAACGCGCCATTGGATCATGAGCGGCTTTCAGTGTTGACCAGCGGAGGCGGGATGGAGAAATAGGAGAGCACAAATCCCAATTCCCAGGCGGGCGGCGCGGCGACTCACCCGACAGAAGGCCTGTCCAAAGGAGGCTCGAGGACAACACAGAACGCGCACGACTGTAACACGCCCTCTCAAAAACAAACATGCTGATCTTTCACAATATCTTGCACTCACTTTCCGATATCGAAAGAGCGCCAGAGAATGAGACTTCTGACGCATTACCTGTGGGGAGCGACGCTGGTAGCCGGATTTGGAGGGCACGTTCTGGCTCAAGAGGCACCATCGGGCGATTTGCCTGCAACTTCCTCTGTGGTATCATCTTCACACGCTGTCCGGCCAGCACCCCCTTCAACAGGCGAGCCCGACGGTGAGATTAGCTCCTCTTTTTGAATCAGACCTTACTAACGCTCATACAGGTCTGAAGAGAGTCATGTACAGCCAAAAAGAACTCCTCAGCTGGACTCGGCATGAAAGACGGGCGCTGGAATGGGAAGAGCAGATTGCATATGAGGGGCAGACCTTCTTTGACGGATGGAACTGGTTCGCAGAAGACGGTGAGACTCACCTGATCACTACAACCATCCCAGCGGCGCTGATAGACACTGTTCTCTCTAGACCCAAGCAATGGCCGTAAGTCGTATTCTTGCCGCAGGTGTCATTGCAACTCATTTGATTTCAGTGGTCAGCTATGTCGATCGTTCCAAGGCTTTCTCGGATGGGCTGGCGTTCTGGACCGAGGACGGTGTACCTGGCATACAGGTAAGCTCTTCCTCATTTGACGACACCGCCGACGCTAATGAACATGAAGACCGAACACTGGTCCACAACCGATGTAGGAGCACATCGCAACTCTGTCCGGATAACTACCAAGTCTCTCTTCGAAGGCGAGCTCTTCATCATCGATATGGCTTTGATGCCTTGGGGCTGTGGCGTGTGGCCGGCCTGTATGTGCTTCCATAACACCCTTGACCATGGTCAGATTGCTCACACTTTACTCGTAGTTTGGACCCTTGGAGCCGACGGCGCTTGGCCTGAGACGGGAGAGATCGACATCATTGAAGGGGTTCAGGCCAACACCAACAAGTAAGCTTCCCTCCAGGTCTTTCAACGTGTGAGACCGCATCTCACCATATTACTTCGTACAATAGCCAAATGTCAATGTGAGCATAGATACTCGGCACTACATACGTCTGCTGATATATCATAGTCACTCTATGCCTGGGTGCGCTATCAACTCAAGTACTGAGGATCTGTACACTGGATACATGGGCGTAAGTTGCTGTCTCATCGTGTAACCGAAGTTTGAGGTTGACGTGGGGAACAGAATCAAGACTGTGATTCTTCAAACGGTCAGTGGCGGTGAAGTCTGCGCACTGAGGGTGATCTTGTTGACAAGCTGCCGAGTAGGTGGAAGCGGCTGTTCCATCATTTCCAATCGGCATGCCTTTCAACGAAGCCGGAGGCGGAGTATTTGCCATGCTGTGGGACAATGATGGGATCAGGATGTGTACGGCGTCTGCATTCCAAAGGGGTTTCTGGACGCTGACCCGAACGCAGGGAATTGGGCCAGAGCGCAGATTCCGTCAGAGTGAGCCAGCGTATGGATTCGTGCTATGAGTTGATCATTGATCTCTTCATCTAGCATCAACAACAACACCCCGTCCCCGTCTACCTGGGATCTGCCCGTGGCTACTTGGGATGCCTCTATCTGCGACCTCTCCTCGTTTTTCAAGGCTCAAATATTGACGTTGAATATCGACATCTGCGGAGACTGGATCGACAACACCTGGGACCGTGAGCCTCTCTCCCATTTTTGAACCAAGCATTCCTCGTGCATTTTTATCCATACCTGACCCAAACGTCTCCAGAGTTCTTTTACTGCCCTGGCACGTGCCCCGAATACGTTTCGAATCCCTCCAATCTCAACAATACCGTCATGCTACTGAACTATGTCAAGGTCTATCAACAGGCCGGAGCGGTAGTGACGACGAGACAGGCAGAATCGAACTCAAATTTGACGGGCGCTGGGGGACCAGTTGGAAGGACAAGTGGGGCAAATTCGAATGTCGGATGGATGGGAGTCGGGGCAGGGTGGCTCGGGGCCATGCTGGGCTTGGGTTTCATGGTGGCCCGACTGAGTATCTGAACCGATTGTGGCTCATAATATGGGAGGAATATCGTCATTTCTTTATCGCGACTGTCTTATAGACTGGAATGAGATACATCTGGCACTGGGTCATGTATTTTAAGGCATGTTGATGCCGTCAATGTTTCTATCAAGTCTTCCGCACTGTGGGCCCGCAAAACGAAGATGCGTGCAATGGCCAGCCCAGTGCCAACCAGATGATACAAGCATCTCAGTTCACTCCTTTCTGCCATCCCATATAGGGAGGGCATATGGCCCTCCTTTTTGGATGTCGATGACGGCAGAAAGGTTCAATGCGATCTCGATGTCCAGCGGCGACATTATCATCAACTCGCAGCGCAGTAGCTCAAACCCAGTTCAGCATTGGATACTCACCAACGTCCATATTCAAAAGCCTTTGACAGGTATCACAAGCTCAGGAAAACCCGCTCCTTGAACAGGAATCAGCAATGGGGTGTTTCCGCTCCTCCTCCGGGCTCCGCTTTAATCCCCTGTGGCACTCTTTGTCCATCCTTCTCACATTCATCGCATTTTTGATGCTCATGATTGTTGTGTTCTACAACGCTCCTATAGACCACGTCCAGTCGAGTCTCACCGGAAAAATGGGACTACGAATGTGGATGCTGACTATCAATGAAACTGAGTCTGACTATCCAAAATGGGCCGGGGGCAGTAAGCGGTCGCTGGTTTCAACCAAGATACAAAACTGGTCTTCTGTAGAGATGGGCGACGATACCTCACCATGGCCTGGTCCCTTGGCCAAGAGGATAGGAGGTGTTGCAAACATTGACGGCGGCCTCCACGCTTACGGATTTGGCATATGGGGATGGTGCGAATGGACAAATACAAAGTGGACAGGAGATGCCAGGTGCACCAAGAAGATGGCATATAAGCTACCCGAAAGCGCAGACAGCGAGTGGGATGGCATATATGATTTGGAGCTTCCCTAGTGAGTTTCTGCGGCTCGTGTGATGTCGAATGAGGGCCGGGGGAATACATCCTGACAAACAAATCTCTAGTGCAGTATCAGATGCCTTATCTGGAGTTGCAATCCCCCTGATATTTACCCCCTTCCTTGTTCTCTCATATTTGATAATACTCCTCATGGCCATCCTATTCCCGGGCCCCTACCCGCCCTGGCCTGTCCCCTACAAATACCCCAAAGATCAAGTGAAGCACTACAAGACTAGATGCGCCTGGATGTTGAGAGATTGGAGAATCAACTTGTATTACTTTGTTGCCATGCTGGTATTAGGAGCGAGTATGATTGTGACTGTTCTAGTTGGAAGGTCACAAGTGAATTTCGAAGGCGGGGGTCTCCAAGCGGCTACAGGGACCGGATTCAAGGTGTGAGTAGATATGGAGTCCGCTACCGTTGAAACAGTAGATGATGATGCTTTACAGGTTCTGGGGTGCTTGGGGATGCTGGATGATTGCTCAGTGTCTTTGCATGTGGCAGACCGGACTGATAATCAAGCGCGAAGGCAAAAAGAGGACCAAGATATCGAAGGGCTAGAAAAATGTATCCTATGTAACCGATGAGTGTACATGTAACCGCTGAGTGTGCCCTATGTAAACGCTGAGCTGCTAGCCGGCTGCGTTGCCACAACGTGCAGTGGGGGCACTCAGACCTCGCAAGCGAGGCGCATGATGGAATGTCATTGAGCTGGAGATGTGCTGATCTTGAGATCGAATGGGTCTGCAAGTATCGAGCTGGAAAGATTGAAAAAGTAGCAGGCAGAAAGGTATCGTACACAGCTATGTTCAATGATTTATTGGACGATGGTATCTTTCGAGCTTGTTGTCTGAACGTTGTGCAAGGGCAAAATTAACATGATCGTCTGAACAAGGCGAGTCTCATTGAAGGTGTATTGCATAAAGGTTACACGCTCCTTCGTCACTCTTTCACCTCATCCTTTGTGGTTCTGTATTGTACGTTCCTATTCAACCTTTGAGGTCACTGTCTGACATGATGCACGTATGTGGGCTCTGATCACTTGGCATCGCCTTAAGAAGAGCCGCATAACTTTCTACTGTAAGGCTCAGGGGTCACCTGCTTCGACTTAGCAGTCAGCATACAATCCAGGAAGAATCATGTCCGATAAGAAGCAAAACTCCCCCCTCCCTCACATACTCGCCATTCTCCTCACGCTCACCTCCACCGTCTTCCTCTTTCTCGTAGTGCTCTACAATGTCCCACTTTCCTCTTCCGACAGATCCAACTTGTCTGGACGAATGTGGCTTTTGACCGTCAAACCGGCGACCTCATCAACCTTCTCCAGCAGTAAAGGTGGAGATTCATACGGATTCGGAATATGGGGTTGGTGTTCGTGGTCGGACGTGGGTGATGGTGATTGCACAAATGACAGTTTCTGGAAGATTACCTCGTCCACCGAAGACGTCGGAAGCTTGGGCTTACCCCAATCCATCGCCCAATCAATGTCAACCGCCGCATTTCTGTTGACTTTCAGTAAGCACTGTCGTCATCACTTGAATTTACACTGATCAGCCACTGTTATCGTAGACTTGGTAACCGGTATTTTCCTCTTGTGTGACCTTCTCTACACCATACATTTCCACTCTCACGCCCAACCCCGCATCATCGCCCCCCTCAAGCTCCTCCCTCCCAAAAAGATCAAGATGCGGACTTGGCACGCGCAGCTTCTCAGGAACTTGTGGGCCTGTTGTCTAGCCGTCGTGTCTCTCTTGGCCTGGAGTCTACCTGTGATCGTAATAGTCGGAGTCGGGGCGGGTGATGTTGATGGAAGTTGGAGGGGCAAGATTGGTCTCGGCTGGATTTTGTGAGTGTCTCTTCCTGTCATCAGTGTTTGCCGAAAACTGAATAGGACTAGTGCCCTGATCGCGACCATATTGCTGATAGCAGTCCGTGTCTTGCTGCTAATGGGAGGGTTATGGAACAACCCTTCGCACTCGGGGCGTAAAAAGTAGCCCATCGCGCGACATGTAAAAGTCATGAAATGCCATGCAAATATCGTACCTGTAGATGTATATGCTCTATTCCTTCTTGTCCGTCTTTTCAGCCTTCTTCGAGCCAGATCCCCTCTTCTGTGCCGCCTCGACCCCAATACCCGCAAACACCACCCCCACACCACCCCACTGCCCTGGCGTAAGCTTGTGTTCAAACACAAACACACTGAGAAGCATGGTGAAGAGTTTGCGGGTGACGGTGACCATGACGAGGGTGAGCGATCCAAAGTGCTGGATCGTCTCAAAGATGAAAAGCTGGCCCAGCCCGCCGAGAAGGGCATACGCCAGCAGAGGCTGTAAAGCCGCGGGGTGGGAGAGGAGGAAAGAGATTGACTCTAACGCGGCAGGCGGGGCAAAAGTGAGGGATGATGTGGGCAAGGTATTCGCCAGAGGCAGGGGAAGGTTGGCAAGGAGGGCAATTGGGTGGGATGGAAGGGGAACGAGGAGGAGGGGGAGAAGGATGATTTGAGTTGTGAGGGCCATGGTGAACATCATCTGTTGACCGGTGAATGTGGGGTAGGACGAGAATATCTGGTCTTGGGTCGAGTTGGTGAGACCGTCAATCAAGAGGCTAAGAACCATCAGCCAAGTACAGTTTCTGGAGGGCAAAAACCCACTTGACAAGCAACAAGACGAGACCCTGTATACTATCCGCCCCGCCCTTCTTCTTCTTTGGCGCTTCGGCCATCAACATGAACATGCTGATCCCCACCGTGACGAGCGCTACCACCACATACTTGTGCGACGAGAATTTGCGCCTGTACAAAAGCACATTCAGGAGCAGCACGGGGATGAGCTTGCACGACTATGCGATTGATTAGATGAGAGATGCAAAAGCAAAGAGAAGGAGACACGGACCTTGCCGAGAACCATGGTGGGGTAAGAAATGTGCCGGAGAGCCATAAACCCGATAGGGCTCGCTATCGTCTGGAAGATGGATACCTGTACAAGCAGGGCCAAGAGCGACTTTCTGCCCGGCTTTGCTTTGAGAGCAACCTCTGTTCCAGCCATTTCAACGATCGCGTTTTCTTCTTTCCTCTCCCCAGCAAATAAATCATTCAGACCCAGCACTTTCCCCAATCCCCTCCCATTCCAGCCCTCTCTCCAAGCATTGAAAACCAGATAACATAACGCACTCAGCGACGATGCGATCGCCTGGGCGAAATTGAGAAAGATCGGAGAGGGGAATTTGTTACCTGGAAGAGGCTCTGAGGGATCGTGCGGTTGAGAATGGGGGTGAGGGTGGATAGAGGGGAAGGGTTTGGATACTGCATGCCGTCAGAACAGGTTGAGCGGGGAAAAGAGGGTTGACATACATCGTTCTTGGGCGATTGCCCATAGAAGAAACGCAGCGTATACTCCAGATATACACACTGCGAGTCTGCTGAAGCATAAGCTTGTGTTTACATACTCGGGCGCAGCGAGCTTACCGTAGGATAGCCATGATTTTGCGAGAATGAAGGAACCCAACAAATGCAAATCTCTGGCAAATCTCGAAAGTTGCCATCGACGTGTCGCGTCTTTTTGATCCCGTCGTCCACGTCACTACTTTTGTCACCCAACCCTGCCGGCTGACGTTGCGCATATCAAATGGTATACATGCAACCAACTAGGATGAAAGACAACGATGGAAACATGGTACAATTGAAGGATACAACAATCTATGCGCTCAGCCTCCTGCTCCAAAAGCACCCCGCCACTCGCCGGTGCCAAACCCCAAAGCCTCCAACGGCGCCAATATCAACCTTCCCCACGTTCCCCTCAAAAGTAACACCCCGATAATCATCCACCACCAGTCTTTATCCCAGCTCCCTTTCCTTTTCACTTGCCTGCTACCCTTTCCTCGACCGTTGCCGTTCAAACTCCCGCCCACCATAGACCTGACGAGTCCTTCAGACGGACCCATCCCGCGCCTGACTGCCGAAGGCCGTCGAAAGAAGCCAGGCATATGCAGTTGATTCAACCCCACCGCTCTCTCTAGAGCATCCATCCAGCTCTGCAGCTTGAGCATCAACAAGAACAAGAGCGTTTTGGCGAGATCCCTCTTTCGCCGGGGATAGCGCGGGTGGATAGAGTTGCCGGATTGGACGACGGGGTAGCCAAAGAAGGGGTTTGAGGACGAGTAAGGTTTGATAGAGAAGGAGGTTGTTGGGGGTGAGGGGAGGGGTGAGGGGAAGGGTGTGGGGAGGGAAGGTGGTTCTAGCATGACTGGGGATGCGGGGCGCTGTCCGGCAGGCGGGGATACGGATATCGTCTTGACCGGCTCTTTCGTTTCTTCGGGCTCCACTGGCTTTTCCATCTGCTTTTCCCTATCCTTCAACCCCAACTCTTCTCTCGTCCCAGTCCACTCTTTCAGCCACTTTGCATGATGCTCCTGCAACATGCCCGAATACGTCCTGCCCGCATCCGCCGCGGGATCCTGCATATGCCGCGGTACGCCACTGATCTGGAGGGATGGTCTCTTCTGCGGCTGCGGCACCTGTCCCGAAGGCGGGATGAGGTCGTGATCCAATAATGCCGGACGGAGAAACTTTCTCCTCTGCGTAAGCGGCACAGGAGGAGGCGGCGGATGATCATCCTCCGGATCAGAATCCGACAACAAATCGATATTTGCCAGCCTTGAAGGAGAGAGGTAGAGATGAAAGTCCGAGATGGACTTTATCCTCTGTACTGCACTGCTCGAATGGGTATGGGGATAGTGCTTTTCCTGATGAGGTGGGGATGGAGCGGCGCTGGTGGTCGTGGAAGAGTCAAAGACAGGAAGATGACGTGATGCAGGCGCATTGTCGTCGGGCATGGCGACAGCAACAACATCAGGCGCCGAGGCCACCTTCTTCATCCCCTCCTTCACTGGCTCAAGCAGCACCTTCTCGTCCCGGCTTTTAGTCATCCTCAGCCTCTCCCCATACCCAGTCCGAAAACCCGAGCCCACCCTGCGCAGATGGCCTGTCGAGCTGTTTCGCCTGCTCATCAGCGGGGACGGGGCGAGGCTGCTGAGCGGGGTGTTGCGGGAGGAGTAGTAGATGTCGGCTATGGATGTGGCGGAGGAAGTGCGGGAGAGGGTGTTAGCGGAGGGGATGGTAGGGGGATAGGAGGGGTGATGGGAGTAGTAGGTGTAGATGGGGTTGTTGGAGGGCGCAAAGTCGTAGTCACTCTCGCCTCCCAGCGCTACTCTCGTCAGATTCGTTCCTAACCTATCACGCATGTACTCACCCCGCGGTAGCCTCCCCATCTCGAATTTCTTCTCCAAAGCGGCCTTGCTATCTATAAAGTCGACTCTTTCCAGGGCAGACTTTGGAAGCAGGTGTTTAACGACACTCCACATGCTCTGGTGTGTCCAACGAGCATTGACAATGTATACAGCCTCGAGTAGGCCGGGAAAGTTGTTGTGTCCAATAGAGAGAAGCGTCGGGAGAAGGTCCACTTCCTAGAGACGGACATCAGCATGAGGATAAGAATGTTGTGCGACACTCGCGAGATTACGATACCCAGCCCCGGCAGCATCGACCACCAACACCAACCCCTCTCCTCCTTGTCCCATCGCCTTTTTCTTTGAAGCGCGGTTTGTACTCCCATCCCACATACTTCCCCCCCACCAATCTCTCGTGGTTCTCCGACACATCTCCAGCGCCCACCACATCCACTCTTTGACATCGTCCAAGCGGCCTTCGTCATCGCGCCTTATCTCGCGCACGGTGAGGACTGCCACGGGGCGACCTTGTCTATCGGTGTGTAGTGGAAGGGGCAGGATATGGAAGAGGGGCGTGTCGGTGTATGGTAATATGGCTGGGAGGGGACTATGGAGGGCCATGTCGAGCCGTGTGGCAAGGGTTGATAAGAGCAGTGCGTGCGTCTTGTCGGTGTCATATCGATTCCTCTGCTCCCCATGAGCTCTATCCACTGATCTGTGTCTGTACGCACCCTCAAGCATCTCCATACCGACGCTGTATCGCCCACCCACTCGTGCACCCCGCGCCGGGTGTCGTCGTCCCACCCCTCCTGCGCGCTGAGAGCGTCTACGTCAGCGGCGAGCCCCGCCTGGACCCCCCTCGTAGTCTCCAGGTGTTCTGTGTACTCTGTGTTCCCCTCGAGCATCCTCATTATTTGTTGTATCGCTCAGTTGTATCATTAGGGCGGCAAACAATACCCGGCCCGGCCATCCAGCGGACATCCCCGCCTCCACGCGTCACCCGCGTTGCTGCTGTCAATAAATCTCAAAATTACTCCTCAACATCCCAGCCACCCTCAACATGCTCCCAGGGCCCCTCCTCTGTATAATATCCCTCGTCCTGCTTAGCGGGTGCATGGCCGCAGAGTCGTTGTACAGCGTGCTTGGAGGTGAGTGGGACAGGGGCTGCCACGTCGACATCGACTGACGAAGAGTCTAGTCAAGAAGGGTGCTTCGGATGGTGATCTCAAGAAGGCATACCGGGTAAGAAGCTCTCATATCGCTAGGGAGAAGGAGTCTTACAGGGAGGGCAGAAATTGAGCAAGAAACTGCACCCTGATATCAATCCTGATGAAGCCGCCCACGAACGCTTCATAGAGGTAGCCAAGGGTCCGTCTCTTACCTAATCTCTTCAGCAAGTATGCTAATCGTATAATAGCTTATGAGGTACTCTCCGATTCTGAAAAGAGGTCTATATACGACAAACATGGAGAAGAAGGGTTGAAGCAGCACGAAGCGCAGAAAGCCGGGGGTGCGCAAGATCCGTTTGCGAGGTTCTTTGGTGGAGGTTAGTTCTTCTATCTCTGGTGGTGGGAGGTGAATGTGATGGTGAGAGTGTAAGAGAGTGTAAGGCTGACTATTATCCAGGCGGCGTGCAAGAACAACGAGGACCGGGAATGATCACCAACCTCGAAGTATCTCTCAACGACATGTACACTGGTAGAACAGTAGAGGTCAGCCCCCTCCTTCCCTCTCCCATATGCCAGGCTAACACATTGTGCAGTTCCAAATACCCCGCCGCGTCATCTGCCCGCACTGCCATGGTTCCGGCGCCGAAACAGAACACGACATCCACCAATGTAACCACTGCAACGGTCAAGGTGTCACCGTCCAACGGCACCAAGTCTTCCCCGGCATGTTTACCAACGTCCAAATGGCATGTCCTCACTGCGCCGGCAAAGGTAAACGCATAACCAAACAATGCCACGTCTGCTCTTCCGCCAAAACGATCCAAACGCAACATACCATGGCCATCAATATCCCCGCCGGCGCGCCTGAGGGCTTTGAAGAAGTCTTCCATGGCGAGGCGGATGAGCAGATTGGGATGGATGCTGGGGATGTTGTTGTCCGTGTGCGGAGTCGGATGGGTGAGGGGGAAGGGTTCTGGAGGAGGAAGGAGAATGGGATTCTGGGGAGGGTCACGCTGAGTGCTGCTGAAGTGAGTCAACTGGACCGAAGAAGGGAGGCGAGCTGATAAGAAAAAGGCGTTGCTGGGTTTCAGAAGAGAGCTGAAACACCTGGATGGACGCAAGATTATCGTCTCGCGCACCGGTACCACCCAACCAGCAGAGGTCGAAGTTATCGAAGGCGAAGGCGTAAGTACCCCCCCCCCGGCCGGATACTCCCAAGCTAATGGAGCCCCGTGTAGATGCCTGGATACATGGACATTCCCCAAGGAGACATGTTTATCGAGTACTCGGTCGTGTTCCCCACTGAAGTCTCGAAAGAGACTAGGCAGAGTAAGTTTGGTTCTATTGCGGACGCTAGAGGCTGCGTGGCATGATTGGCAGAAGCGTGGCGCTGACTCGGTCGTCCACAGAACTGCAAGAGGTGCTCAAGTATACCCCTCCCGTGGAACACGATGAGCTGTGAGCAAGATAGACGCAATATAGACACTCCTGCATAGATGCATTCTTTGGGATTCCCGAGTGCCACTTCTGCTGCCACTTGCCGAGAGATGCCGCGGGAATACCCCGTGGGGAAGGGGGTTCCGAAGATCACCTGCGATTGCGACTCTGGCCGAGTGGAGGTCGACCGCGTCTTGTGACTGGGCTCTGCGACAGTGACGACGGCCTATCAGGGTACAGCTCGCTATATATATCGCGCAAGACCCCCCCCTTGCTCTTCCCTTGCTCTTCCGTATTTCCATCTTCTACCGCACACACCGAAGCATCCATCATGACCAGAACCGAAGTGAGTATCGCTGCCATGCCATCTGCGTCTACACCACCCAGGTGCTCACACCTGTTCTCCCCTCTATCTCCACCATCGTCACGTATGGCATCGTCACTCCTCCCTGTCCATCTTCCCATCTCCCCATCTGCCTTGTTCACTGCGCCCGCGTACCTACGCGCCACGGCCACCATGGCTATTGCCCCACTCTCCCTTTGGAACACCCTCTGGACGACCCTTTATTCCCCGCTCCACAATTACCTTTGGACCGCCTTGTCTCCTGGACAACCCCTTCCACCCGTCATGTGACCGTACCCCACCCCACTTTACCCACCCCCGCACTCCCGCACCCCCCACCACAGCGCGACACCTACCCCGCCGCTGTCCAGAAGGACAAGCACTCCCGCTCCGGCCTCACCAAGACCGAACTCGCCCACAAGTCTGGCGCCGGCAGACACAACTGGGGTTCCCTCCGCACCAAGGGCGACGACGAGTCCTTTGGCCGCCAGGACGGCGACCTCGAAGTCCTCGACGAGCCCATCCCCGACGAGGCCACCGACATCTTTGACTTCGAGTCGGAGGGCGATGACTTCCCAGTCGGCCGAAATCTGACCAGCGATGCTGGGAACGACTTTAAGGGGTTGAACATTCAGCAGAGGGACGCAAAGTTTGAGTCTCAAGGCGTCGCGACGTCGCCTACCGAGAGCACTGGTAGCTTCGACTCTGTTGACAGGCCCGACCTCGGTAGGAGGGGCAGCTCTGTCACTGACCAAGAGCGTGAGAGGGCCCGCCACTTTAGGGAAGGCGTGCTTCACAAGAAGGCTGGTGAGTATATCATGCCCTACGACTGGCAATGCTGACTTACCCCAGGTCGAGGAATCGACCTCGCCGATATTGCCAAGACGTCTTACGGTATCGCCCAGTCGGCCCCTACCAACAGCTACATCGGCACCAGCCCCTCCAGTGGATTCCATCTCGTACGTACCCCTTCCCATTTACGCGAATGCAAAGCTTACCCCACCCACAGTCCAAATAACCCATCATTGTATACCCCGTCGAACGCCATCGACCATTCATCGGCATTGTGCATTGAAGCTCGTACTGTTGTGTTTCTCTTGTGTTGAAGTCTTCAAAAGAAAAGGAAAAGAGTTGTAGGATAGGAGAAAGTCAACAAGAAGCTGTAAACTAGAAAACCCATATCATGCAACTGGTCCAGGAGTTTTATTTCTACAGCACAGCAAGACAACAGCAACGTCATCATATCAAGCACCCTGCCCTGTCGGATCATGCACAAACAGCCGACTCAACCTCGTCCGCTCTTCGCCCCCACCCTTCTTTCCACTATCCCTCCGCTTCTCGCCCGTCCTCCTCGCAAGCGTCCCCCCAATCGTGCCCCGGTTCACTGTCCTCCTCCCCATCACGCCCATGGTCCCACCTCCCGACATCTCCTGCCTCTCCCTCCTCCCAACACCACCCCGAATCGTCTTGATTGTCTCATCAAGCTCGCCCCGAGATAGCGTATTGCGAGCAGAGAGCTTGCGCGCTGACGACTGGTCTGCCCGATTGGGCTGCAGGAAGGGATTGGTAAAGCTCGACGGCGCTGGCTCGTTCGACCGCTGTCTAGGCGCAGGTGCAGGGCTCGATACGGCCTTTGACGTCGAAGCGGTGGTAGACCCCGTCATATTCGCCTTGATCATATGCGCGCTCATTTCCGCCCCAGCCTTCTCCAACGCCCTCCCGAAACTCGAAATCATCCCAAAGAACTCTTCAGCCCCTTGACCTTCATCTTTCTCCCCTCCCTTGTCTGCGTCCACAGCTTGGGGGAAGGGGTTAGCAGAGGATGACTTGTAGCCAAAGTATCGGAGGAGATGGTGGAGTTCTGACAGAACTTGGTGGTGGGTCTTCTGCAAGTTGGCGGATTGCGGTACAGCTTTGCCGAGGAATTCGGTCAAGAGAGTGTGAAGAGGTTCTGACGAATCGAGTAGAGTCAGGGTGGTGGTGGCTTGGCGGACCGAGGACATCAAGGAAACAATATTGGCCGCAAGGTCGGTCAAGTCAACTTTGTCCATGTGAGCAGGCGCCATCTTGCAATGTGAAGGGAACTCACGACGTGCGGCTGGCTCTACAGCTGGAGTCTCTTCGGCAAACAGGATCAATTTGGCATTAGTGTTGAGCAGCACCTTGGCGAGGTAATGAAGCATTGTAGGGCAATCCGGACCTTTCGACGTTCTCGTGTCCTTCATCTTCAACTTTATTAGCGACATCACAAAACGACATGTGCTGTGGCGCTCACCTTCAGGAGATCTTCAATTCTAAAACCCGCCGCATTGCCTCTGAAGGTACCCCTATTCAACCTGTTCCCCAGAGCCAAAACGATCCGCAACACTTCTCTGAACCGTTGACTCTCGTTCAACTGATTGGCAGCTTGGCGCAGAATCATCAAGTCCGGCAGTATTTCGGCTATGCTGTGTTCGAAACGGCGGATAAAGACGAGTGATTCAAGCCGAAGTTGCAGATGGGGAATTTTGCTCAGCTAGCCTAATTGTTAGCTGATGGCAGCATAGAAGGAGCAAGGGCTCACTTCAATAAAGTATTGATCCGCTTTAGACAGCTTCGAGACACTGCCGTTGAACTTTTGCAGCCTTTCGGTCTTGATGAGAGTCAGTCATGGTCACCAACCGTGAGAATCGATTCGCACCTCTTCTTTTGTAGGCAACATCCTGCTGACCAGAGCCAAGTCATCGGCATCCAAAACTTCGTCATCCACTTCCAGTATGGCTTGCCGTATCTGCGTAGGAGACAGCCTCAGCCTCTTCAGCATGATGCCAATGTTATTCGAGCGTGCTAGATATGGGTCAGTTCATCAAACCTTGGAGCAATGGCTGACCTACTGATATCCAGTATCGAAACGACCGCCGGCTTCTTCTTCTCCACCTTCTCTTTCGCCGGCTGTACCGCAAACACCTCCAACATCTCATCCACATCCACATCAAAGTCATAGTTTGGAGAGATATGTGTCCAAATCGTATCCTTCACCGCTGGTCCGTTCATCTTGGACCAGAAGAACGGCTTGAGTTTCTGATGCTGCGGTGGCTGAGGCTGAGGAGCGTGTTGAGCGGGTCTGCCTGGGAATGAAGGGGCCGGAGGCGGTGGGGGAGGCATACTTGAAGGACCAGCTCGGGGAAGTCCTGGTGGAGGAGGAGGCGGGGGCGGTGGAGGAGGCATGCCGGAGTGTCTAGGATTAGAGGGGCCAAGTGGGGGCGGTGGAGGGGGAGGCGGGGGAGGAGCAACGCCAGGAAAGGGCGCCTTGGGAAGAGGTGGGGGCGGAGGCGGTGGCGGAGGAGCAGGAGAAACGATCACGGGCGGGACAACCATCGACTTGCCCAATGACTCACTTGCTCCTATCGCGCCTTCCGTTTGCGAGGGAAGCCGAGGCGACAGAAGACCATCATTCTGCACGGACGTAGGCAGCTTGACCTTGAGCGCCGACCGGGCTTTTGTCCGCCCAGGCTTCAAAGCAGCCACTTCGAAAGATCTTCCCTCAGAACCTTGTTTGTCTTCTGACGTCTTGGCCTCCAGCTGCTTCTGGGCTTCTGCTATTTGTTCCTGAGCTTCTGTGAGCTGTCGGCCAAGTTCTATCAGGAGGCTTTGATCATCTGACATGGAGCTCTTCAACTGAAGGACATGGTCGATAAGACTTTGTTGTATGTCCCGTGGCGTAGCCTCTTCGGATATTGGCGGAGATGTCTCGATATGAGAAGACAATTCAAGCAGGAAGCGTACATGCTGATCCTGGGTGTCCGCGCTTTGAGCTGACTGTCCTTCGAGATCCTCAATCTGAAAGAGGTCAGTAAGGATACTTCTGAGTCACATTGCACGCACCCTTCCTCGCAGCATTTGATTCTCAGCCTCAAGCAGACTCCTGCCTTCCCTCTCTCTTCGACGCTCAGACGAGTCTTTTTCAATCTGCAGCGCACTTTCGGGACTTCCATCAGAATCATCACTACAAAGAAGCAGTCAGCATCGAAGGGCAAGGCCAAGCGATCGACTCACACAGGGAGATCTAGAAGCTTCTTGCACTGGTCCGCGATACGTCTTACAGCTTCATTCTGCTCCCCACTAAGAACATCATGAGCTCGTGCCCTCTCTGCATTAACTTTGAGCCACTCACTCATCATACCTCTCCACGACCCGCCCCAGAAGCTCGACAACCTCTACCACAGCATCTTCATCCCTCTCATCCGCACCGCACTCTTCCAGCGCCACAAGCAAAGCTTCCACTGCCCCAGACGCCCTAGTGCCTCTGATACGACCAAGGTAGAGTAGCCGCAGATCTTCCTCGTCGTTCTCTCGATCGATATGGTATGCGTCGAGCTGTAGTAGGAATGCTTCCGGCGGTTCTAGGTCTTCCAACGCCTGCCTCCGTGTGAGCTACCCACGATGTTACCTTCCATAAATGGACACGCACCTCTAGTACACCGGACAAGCCACACCGGATCAACTCTCCTTCCAAAGCACACCTTTCCTCCAATCCCTCATTCGCCTGGATCAACGCGCAGATGAACCCCACCGCCGCCATCCTCCACTCCCAGACTCCGAAATCTGTCTCATCACCACGTGACAAGCTTTCGACTATCCACGCAAATCTAGAAAGCTTTCCCGTCGATCGAGCAAGAGCCGATAGGCCATCGAGGATGACTGGGTAGGCTTCTCCTGGGGATAATATGGTAAGGCCAGATAGGAGGTCGGCGATGGAAGCTCGAAGTTTTGGGGACGGGCTGAGGAGGTTGAGAGTCAGGGAGGTTATGACAGATGGATGGTCGAGTACAGCGCCGAATCCAGCCTAGAACGCATCAGTCCGACTCTTGGCAGAGTGTTTGTCACTTACATCAATGTTCATCAGAATCCTCAAACTCTTGACGACCTCCCATACGATCTGCTCCTCCACATCGCCTTTCTCGAGATGCTTCTTGGCAGCCCTCTCCAACAATGCACCTAGATGGACAATACCTTTGAGATGTAGGAATTCGTGTATCCACGAGAGCTTTGCGGTGGAAAGCGTTACACGCAATGAAAGAAGATGTTTTACTTGAACACTTGAAGGCCTCCTTCTGCGTTCTGATCAGCATATCACAAGGGACGATATGACCACGTACTGTTCGAGCCCTTCGATGAAAGCAGCAGGACTACCATCCTCCGGCTTGGACGCCCCTGTCCACCAAGCCCACAATCCGCCAGTGCCCTGTTTCTCCATAGGCTTGGCAGATATATGTGGCTCCTTAGCGGCCTCGGGTGCTGGCTCCGGTGTGGACTCGTGAGCTTCTGCCACAGCTGCCGGCGATGCCGAAGGTGCTGTCCAATCCTTGAAGCTCGTCAAAGAAAACCTCTTCGCCCATCCTTCTTCTCCACTCGCGCCCCCTTCTTCCTTGTGCCCCTGCTCATAGCTCGCAAAGGACGGCCCCGTATACTGCGGTAACAACCTTGTGAGACCTATATTCGTGCCAGCTGAAAGAGAAAAGAATGTCGCCGGATTCGATGGGCAAGTGGGACTGGTGTTCGAGGATACGGATGAGCGTCGGTTTTGGGAGAGGATGAGGGCTTTGCGGGAGGGTGTGATGGCGTTCATGGCATCTCGCTTCGCCCCATGAAGGTTCAAGTCGTCCTGAAGAGGTCAGCGATTGACGGAGCGTAATGTGATACTCACAAGTAGCCTCTCCCACTCATCTTCATCATAAGCGGCCTTTCCTGCTGGTCCCAAGGTCTCTCCCATCGCCTCCGCCAGCCCGTTCGTTACACCATCCGTATGTCCATCTTGGGTCGCACCAGCGCCTTGCAGCGTCGGGACAGCCAGAGGAGCCATCGGCGCAGCTTGCGAAACCAAGGGCTGGAACAACCCGGCTAGCCGACGTTTCGAGCTTGGCGATTCTGCGACATGCGCTGCTGCAGTCGCCTTGATCGTGCCTCCTTCCTCTTCTGCCCCTTCTTCGCCGCCACCTTTGGTTGATGATCCGTTAAGAAGCCAGTCTTCGTCAAGATACAATTGTATTGTTGGGTTCTGTGAATGCTTGAGGGAGTCAAATACGTTGGCTTCGAGGGCCAGCCGCGTGTAAGAGCCCGTGTGTTCCATGGACACTTGCCACTGAAGTACATCATTGGAAGACCCCGCAGTACCTTGTCCAGCATAAGACCCAGTACGCGATTTGCTGACTCCTCCAGGAGCACTGGGAGATAGTAGGTCCGCCGTCGAGCGCGGGAGGCCGAGAGTGTTTTCGAGCTCTGAGAGGATTTGAGAGAAGGTCGAAGATGTGGATATGGGGACTCTGGTCTTGAGAGGATCGAGCGAGCTGCTAGTCGGGATGGTGATCAGAATTTCGATGATGGGTGTCTGAGGTTGTATCAGAGTAAAGCCGGTATCGAGAGGTAGTTTCTGTGTCGGCTTAAGGAGACCTGATATGCTTCGTCAGACGTATGATCAGGTTTACGGCTTCGACTTGCCATCTGTATAGCTGCTGATGTCCGCCTCAGACCACCACTTGACACCCCGGCCAGCAGCGCTTATCTCCAGCAAAGTCCAGTCCTCCCCCGTAACAGCTCCCTTCCACTCATACGCCCCCTCCTCCCTATCAAGCGCAACCTTGAGAGATTCTTCTCCATACCGCTCCTCAGCTTCGATCAGAGCGAGGTCGACGACGTCTTGTACGACCAGTTCCTGCGATGTTTCGACCTGTACGTTGCCGAGGCGGGGGATATGGATCGTCACGATAGTGTTATTGTGGGCGTCCATGGCGAAGAGAGAGCTGTAAGGGGAGGCCAATGGTGGGCCTCATGAGCATACCTGGCGTCTCGGAGATGAAGGGGATGCTGGAGATGGCTGACGAGAAGAAAGAGGAAGATGGATGCAAATGAGAAACCGCGTCTGCTAGGCCACCCGCCCCTGTCACCCGGTGGTCCGTGCGCACAAGAACGAAGAGGTCTGTGCGCAATTCACAACAAAGAGGAGACAGCACACATTACGTAATCGGCGCGTCGCGTCAGTCTATGATGACATCTGAGCAGGATCTGACCGCATAACGAGAGCAAAAGATGCAGTGACAGCCTGACAGCACCATGCATTGCAATATTACACCCCCATCTAATCGATGTCCCTAATCGATATCCGTCCACTCCCCCTCGCTCCCCTCCTTGGCTCCGCTCGTCGCTCTCGGAGGGCCAGGCAGCAGACCCCGCCCACAAGCCTCACATGGCGGTGCATCCGTCCCCAGCTTCAACCGCAGTTTTGGCAGATACATATGCCCCGCCACATCACCCATGATCTCCAAGAGCTCCTCTTGGAATTTGCGGAGATACTTGCGGCGCAGGTTGGACTCGGAGACTGAGGCGCCGAAGGGGTTTCTCAATTCTTTGGGGTTGAGCCCGTTACCCTCCTTGCGGTCGAGTTCCTCGCGTATAGCGCTATACTCGTCGATCCCGTCGCTCCCGTCGCTTTCGTCGCTATAATCCTCATCGCTATCGCTCTCATCCTCGTCTTCTTCCCAATCGACGATATTCTCCAGGCCATACACCTCAATCACCGTATTCTCCACCACCCCCTCCCAATGCTCTGTTATGGTGCTGCCAAAAGCAGGACTCGAATCTTCAAGCATCTCCATGAAAAAGTCGATCACAGCATCTCGCGGCAAGAGCGCACCGCCCTCAGGGGGCAAAAAGTCAAACGTCTCGGGGTTTTCGTGTTCAGAATAGTCCACATAGATCCGGGTGGTCACGCCAAACATGATATCGAATGCCTCTTTCAATTCCGTATGGATCGTTACCACCCGCGGTAAAGTGCCCTTCTCCCGGTCGACCCAGTCCAGTGCACGGAGCACGGGCACGGACGGGTGGTCGGTACAGCAGACGGCTTTGGGCAGAGGGCCGGAGAGGAGCAGGGATTTGTGGAGGGTGGTGAAGTCGTCTGAGAACTCGGTACGGATGATCTCGGTCTGCTTGCCCAACGAGCCGCCCCGGAACGACGGATCGATGGCGATCTGGCTCAAGTGAGGGAAGAATGGAGAGTTTTCCACCGGTGGGCGAGGCTGATGACGGATAATCGGTTGGAGAATCGTATTCGCAAGCTCGATAGACCGTGTTTGGTCGGCGATGATTTCAGCGGTATCCCGCATGTCAATCTCCCAAGCGAGAGGGGTGATGCGGCGGACATGGCGCAGGAGGGGCAGCTTGGTGTTGCCGTGTTTCAAGTACATCATGTCTTTGTCCACGCCCGGCGTCTGAGAGGCGAGAGCGGCAGGGACGGGATTGTCGGCGCCGAGCAAAAAGTTGCCGATATCATAGAAACCAGGGCTTCGATAGAGGATGGGGGCAGCAGCGATGTAGAATGTCTGCAGCACGTCAGCTTGTTCCACATTACCCCTTAAGACTTACAGTGTTGACACGGAGACATGTGGCGAGGGTGCTCTGGGACTGGTAGTCGTCATACTGGAAAGAAGGGGGCTCGAGGCAGAAAGAGAGGACATGGGCCCAGAGCTCGGGAGAAAGCTGGGGCAGCTTTGTGGGGTCTTTTGCGTAGAGGGAGGCGGGGTACTCGATGTCGACCTCGTTGGGGTCGCCGAGGATGAAGGAGAAGAGTTTGTTCGACATTTTATTCGACATTTCGTGGGTTGTACAGCCAACTAAACAAAGTCGGTGCGATGAGATTCGATTTCAATAATCGTCGTCAAGCATCAATACGTGATTACGTAAAAAGGGCGGCCGCCGATGTGTGCCTCGATGGGTGATGTCCAGAAATATCCCAATGACGTTGTCGAGCTGCATTGCATCTCGCTGTTGCGTATATAACAGCGCATTGTCCACTGCATCTCGCTCTCGTCATCCTCTCTCTCGTCATCCAACATGGCTCTCTCCAGGCATGTCGACGCCGACAAACTCATCGAAGAGTCCCGCGACCACCCCATCAGGAAACACTTTCACGACAGGTCGTGCGCCTCCGACTCTCCCCTTGCATTTTCGCTGACCCTTTTCCAGGGCGACAGTCTACGACAACCCCTATACATCTCGCTATGATGTAGACGTCGAGGTGCCCAGGTTCACCATGCCCTCTGCGGGCGTCAGCTCCAAGACTGCCTACCAGCTCTTGCACGACGAGCTCATGCTCGGTGCGTTGTTGTCGACTGCGAACGTGGATATGCTGACACGTGGTAGATGGCAACCCCAATATGAACCTCGCCTCGTAGGCCCCCCTTTATGAGATCTCGCTGGAGCTGACACTTGGTAGCTTTGTCCACACATGGGTCCCCGACGAAGCCGAGACGCTCATCAAGGAAAACATCTACAAGAACCTCGTCGACCAGGACGAGTACCCCGCTTCCCAAGCTATCCATGAACGCTGCATCTCCATGCTGTCAAATCTCTGGCACGCCCCCAAAGGCGCCACCGCTATGGGCACCGCAACCACCGGTTCGTCCGAGGCCATCATGCTCGGAGGCTTGGCTCTGAAGCGCCGATGGCAGGACAAGATGAAGGCGCAGGGCAAGGATATCCACAATCCTGGGCCCAATATCATCATGGGTGCCGAGGCGCAGGTGGCGCTGGAAAAGTTTGCAAGGTACTTTGAGGTTGAGGCGAGGCTTGTGCCGATCAAGAAGGAGGTCAGTATTTTCTTTTCAAAGGTTGGGTGCGTGCTGATGGGCGAGTAGGGAAGCTATGTGATGGATCCCAAGGATGCTATCAAGTACGCCGACGAGAACACCATCGGTGTCTTTGTGTACGCCCCTCTCTGCTGTATATTGGTCTATCGCGAAACGCTGACCCAAAACAGCATCCTCGGATCCACCTACACCGGAGCCTTCGAGTCTGTCCAAGGCATGGCCAAGGAGCTCGACGCTTTCCAGGAAAAGACCGGCATCGATATTCCCATCCACGTCGACGGTGCTTCCGGCGGTTTCGTCGCGTGAGTTTCTCCTGTCCCACTTCTTACAGATGTTGACTCGGCCACAGACCATTCGCATACCCCAACTATGTCTGGGATTTCAAAGTCCCCCGAGTGCTCAGTATCAACGCCTCTGGTCACAAGTACGGCATGTCCACCGTCGGTGTCGGATGGATCATCTGGCGTTCCGCCGAATACCTCCCCAAAGACTTGATCTTTGAACTCCACTACCTCGGTGCTGTACGCTTGTTGCTATCCGTCAATACATCCAGAGCTGACAAGAGGGTATAGACCGACTACTCATTCAACCTCAACTTCTCACGCCCCGCCCACCCCATCCTCGCCCAAATGTTTACATTCCTCAACCTCGGTTTCGGAGGGTACAAACGTATCATGGACAACAACCTCGCCAAAGCACGTCTCATCTCCCGCGCGCTTGAGCATTCTGGGTACTTCACTTGTCTCTCGCAGATTCACCGCCCGAAGGGCATTGTCGATGACGGGGCAAAGCCGGGGATTAGTGAGACTGTGAGCCAAATCGCTAGCGAGGCGGTACACGGCAAAGCACCTGGCCTCGACGATGCAGAGTACTATATCGAGGGTCTTCCTGTCGTCTCTTTCCGCTTCTCGGACGATTTCAAGGCCAAGTATCCGGCTGTGAAGCAGGAGTGGATTCAGATGCAGCTCCGAGCTATTGGGTGGATCGTGCCCAAGTGAGTTGTACCCGTTTGTGTTGAGGCCAAGGATGCTGACGGAATGATAGCTATCCTCTTGCGCCGGATTGTGAGGATACCGAAATCCTGCGTGCAGTCGTGCGAGAATCACTCTCAGGCGACCTCGCCCGCAAACTCGTCGAAGACATCATCCAAGTGTAAGTCCTTCACCCTCACATCTCTGTTGCGCACAACTAACTTTGCGCAGTGTGGAAGACCTCATCAACGACGCCGGACCTTCCTACTCCATGTCTACCGCCGTGCGCCACCAAAAGCGCAATTCTCACCACGGCAATCTCGCCGAACACATGGACAAGCTGCATATCAAGAAGAATACTTCTACTTATGCCAAGCCTTGTTAAGTGCGGGTGGGCTCTGCTGCTGCTGCTGCAGGAGGAAGGAGGCGAATGTAGATAGGGAAGATTGTAGATTGAAAAAGAACAAGTGAAAGGAAGGAAAATATGCACATATCACCAGGTCATGATGACCATGCTTTCCTATGACTTTGACATCTCAACGTATCCTTCTGCCTATCTACACAAAGGTCTTCCAGTCATATGCCGTCTCCCAGGCATACGCAACACGATAAATCGTCGCCTCGTCATACATCTTGCCCACCAACTGCATCCCTACAGGAAGCTTCGCTCCATCGCCTTCCTGCGTCGGTAAGATCCCCACCGGGAGATTCAGAGCAGGCAGACCCGTCTTCAAGCTCTGGTCAGCACCGGGCTCATCCACCATAAGCTAAAGGGAGATTGAAAAGGGACATACGAGGTTGAAAGCACAAGTGTTCCCAGTAAGTCCAGCGGCATTCTGCATCAACTCTTTCACGCCTGCATCCTTCGCTGGCAGTTTGCGCGGGAGCATGGGCAGTGTAGGCGTGATGAGGACATCGTACTTGGTTAAAGCGGCTAGGTAGTCGTCTTTGAGCTTGCGGATAAGGTTTGTCGCTTTACCGACAATCTGGCAATGAGTCAGCGTTCATACATCGCGGGCGAGGAGGCAGGGGAAGAAATAGCTTACTGCTGGTGATTTGTTTTCCCATCCCCAAAGACCGTTCATGATGTTGTTGTATCCACCGCAGTGAAGACTGTCCACTTTCTCTTGGGTGAGAGGGAGTAGCTTTTCAGTGTATTCGTTCAGTGCGAGACCGCGGCGACCGGTAGCTTGGCCTAGCATCGCCCTCGAGCCACTGAATCGACCTATGACCTGCAATCATATCAGTGATCTGTGAAGCCCTTTGAAACGGAGGGACTTACCGCCCAGAGCTTTGGAGCTTCAATATGGAAAGGGACATTCACTTTTTCCACCGTTGCACCCTGCGCCCGAAGAGCTTCAGCAGCTTTGACAACTAGCTCACTGACCCGCTCGTCATGCAACGGCATATCCAGACTCTCCTCGATGATCCCTACACGCAGTCCCGAAACACTTTGCTTGAGTAGTTCTGGATAAGCCGGGACTTGGGAAGGGAATGGGCAGCCAGCAGTGGAGCGATCGTCGATCCCATCTGCACCGGCGATAGCCTGGAGAAGCGTAGCATTGTCCAAGACATTCTGGCGAGCGTCAGCCTTCTTCTACCTTTGAGGGAGACATTGCTCACTCGCGTCATGGGGCCGACGTGGTCCAGGGTAGCTTCGATACTGACGACTCCAGTATAGGGCACCAAACCGTGCGTAGGCTTCAGGCCCACGATACCTGCGGCCGAGGCAGGCATCCTGACAGACCCACCTTGGCATCCTCCTAAGCCAAAGTCGACTGCAGATGTGGCGACTAGGAAGGCACTACCCGAGGACGAGCCGGCGACTGAATACTCAGCAGCATGAGGGTTTGAGACCGGCCCTGCGTTGTCGTTAGTGATATCCCCAGAAGAAAGGCGATGATATGTACCGGTCGCTGCAGAACACGATGCACCCCATAAACTCAGGTTCTCGCATACTGCCTTGCCTTTGATTATACCTCCAGCTTCAAGAACACGTGTAGCTACAGTTGCATCTGTACTGGGAATCCAGTCTTGAATGACAGATGTGCCGACAAGACATGGTACGCCCTTGAGGGTCATGTTATCCTAGAGCACGCAATGAGCTGACGTCTCCGCTTCGTCTCCACTTAGCCTGCCTACTCACCTTTAAGCATACCGTCTTTCCCTCCAAAAGGCCAGCAGATGCTTTCTGAATCTTATCTCTGACATCGCACTGCCACGCCCAAGCGCCGGATTCATTCCCACTCTCTCCCCTCTCTACCCACCGCACATCCTTGCGCGGGAACCTCTCTTCGTCCACATTCGGCACATAGTCATCCATATATTCCACATCTTTCCAGATTTCCCACATCCCTTGCAAGAGTGAAGTGTAGTCTTCAAAGTCTTTCCCTTGAGGCGGGGACAAGGGCAAAGGAGCGATGGCAGGGGGCAGCCTGGCGTAAAGTTCGGCGATGGTTTGGTCTGTGATGGGATTGTCGGGGGACAATACCTCCGGGGCGAGTGTGGAGGACATGCTGGCTTGGATATTGTGATAGTGAAAATGAGAATGAAGAGATCCATGTTATCTGTGGACGCAAGATGTGATGATAAATCGGACAAGGCCGACCAAGCGACATACCGCGCCAGAGATAAATCAGAGCCAGGCACTATCTACATCGAGGCGAGATGTGCGAAATGTAGATGAGATTCGGGTCCAAGAGGCGTATTCCTCGTTGGGTATGTTCCAAGGGCATATATCGAGCGTACACAAGGCAGAAGCAAGCGCAGGTGGAAGTGTAGAAGATGAGAACAAGTAGTTAGGGCTCACTCATTAGCGGCCTCCCGACTTTCCCTGAGCGGGCCTGAGCCGGCCGCCCCTGGCCCGCTACACTGGCTACATCACAAACTTTTGTCCACTTCTCCTCTTCATCATCGTTCTATAATCTACACTGTGTATAATCCCCCACATGACTATCACCGTCACACCGGTCAAGGCTCTCAACCCACCGAATTCCAACTCTGCCGACAATGTTCCAAGACCCCTGACGAAAGAAGAGCTCTGGTCGGCATGGGAACTCTGCCCTCTCCCACCATATCTTCAAGTGGCCGAGGACGAGTAAGTCTTCAGCCCATGACTATGTGATCAAAGTCTTACTGGGATGGTAGCTTTGATATCCCGACTAGATACCCATCCCTCCGACTCACGTATGAACTCGTGCCCCCCGCCATCGCTGCTGAGAACCATGCCATCCGCCTGTTCCAGGTCCACATCCGCGATCAAATCCTACGCTTCTGCGCTCCCAATGCTGATCTTGGAGAGTGGTTAAGGTCCTTCCTGTCTTGGAGAAACGGAAGAAAAGGGAGAAGAAGACCACGGGAGGATTCGTTAGGGCTGTCGATGGCTGAGGATCATTGGGTGCAAGGGGCAGATTCGTAAGTATCACTTCTTTTGGCTTGCTGTCTGCTGAGGAAGGATTCATGGGCTGAATTTTGTCTTTATAGAGCGTTTCGTTCGGGTGACCACAAAACAGCCTTATGGAAATACGCTACCAAATGGTCTTACATCCTTCCATTCCATACCGACGCTTTCCCCTCGGGTCATCCCCTGCGACAGAAGATCGGCGAATTGTAGGTCTCCTGACCCACATATCGTCTCTCTAAACTGATCTCATACTCCACCTGTCCCAGTGAATCGTCTTTGTTCAACCACCTAAGCGCATGTTTCTACCAACTATCGCAAGACGGGGATGAAGGCGAAGAAGATGAGATCCTCCGCTATTTTGTCGACATGTCTGTTAAATGCGCGTGGGTGACCATTCATCATCGTCAGTTCGCAACCGTGCGTTCAGTGTATGAAGCTAGTGAGTCATCCTAGCGACTACCATGTTCCTAACGAAACCTCGCTTCAGCTCGGAGGATAGCCGATCTCTTCAACCAACATTTCCACGACTCAGATTTCTCGTCCTCGTCCTCTTCTTCCTCAATTGGCGACAATGACTCGTCAATAGACAACGACTTTAACGTCCAAGCTCTTGCCCTGGAAGACATCGACAAAGATCTCATATTCGGCAACCTGGGAGATGAGAAGAAGACCGTGCTCGGGAGTCTGGGTCCGGTGCACTGGGAGAGTTCTCGTGGGGAGGCTGCGGATTTTCTCGGTACGTATCATGTCTCCGCCTTCTTAGAATTTCAACTGACTTGTGGTAGAAATGTTTCCGCTCTGGGATCGGAACCAGAGTGGAAAAGAGGACGCAAGGGTGATACCCGAGAGCCTTTCGCACGATGGCCTTTGGTCAGCTTGGGCTCTTACCACAAGCCTTGCGGACAATGACAAGTCAATCTCTCACCATCCTGGGTTTTTGGGCTCTTGGCTAATGCTGGGAACAGTGCCGCGATTATCTGTACTGCACAACTTCACCTAATGGAAGTCCTCTACATCGCATCTCATACGTCTCACCACAGCCCAGATTTTCAAACATGGCTTGAAAAGCTCAAAGTCGTCGATACAGCAAGTGTCTCATTAGCGGAGCGTGTCGACCGAGCAGATCGGAGAAGGGTTGCTGCCATGAAGCAAGTCTCCTCTGCCTCTCTCCCTCATACCACCGACGCTTATAATCGGAACCACAGCTGTATAAACACAAGCGATCACCAAACAGCACTGGCAGAGTATGTAGAAGGCCTAGGGGAATTGCTACCGTTTCATTTGAACGTCCTCACGCCAGAGCAAGTGGATGGAACGTACTTTGGCTGGATGTACGTCTCCTTCTCGTTCCCAATATACTACTGGCTTTTCACACGATGGCTCATACGATATACAGACAAGCAACATTGTGGAACGGTATATCCACCATCTGCCTTGCTCTGTCCGAATCCCCGAGCAGAGTGGCAAAAGAAAAGCTCTGGAAAAGGCTGGCATTCATGAGTGGATCATTTGCTTGGGGGTGCAAAGAATATACCACAATACCTGTAATCATGTCCATCTGTGCGTCCCTTCTCTTCTCACTTCTTCAAGTAATTTCGGGGCTGATAATACTTCGCACAGGCAAGAACTTGCTTTCAACCCTTCCTAGACGGACCGACGTTCCATCCTCTCTGGAACCTCCTCTCCTTCATCTCAGATCCACTTTTGAAAGGCAGGTGGAACAGTGTGAGATGGTGAAAAAAGGGGAGAAACGGCAGCCCGAGCAGTGCAAGACTACTAGCACGGATAGACAGGTTTTGGCCGATTATGGTGCGCTGGGACCGGGATCTTGGATAGATGAGTTGAGGGGTATGAAAGGGAAAGTGTTCCTACAGTAATACATGCTAGAATAGGACGGCTTGATACTAGACCTGTCACGTATAGTTGTACGTTACATAGATTATAATTTCCATAGATATATGCCTAGGTTATGCTACTTGCTACACATATTGTTATACAAATCCACACTCCTGGTCGAACCCGTCCTGAACACTTCTGGCGATTAACCAACCAATCATGAACACCAGCCCAATCTATGCGGGGAGAAAAGCTCATTTGAAGCGACTAAGCTCCTGCATGAGCCTCCCCTCTTCCGCGCTCGCTTCCCGCCCCCGCCTCGTCGGCCTATACTCTTGGTCCCCGAAAAGCTCGCCGAAACGTCTCCGCCAAGCAGAGTACTCGGCGTCGTATACATCGAGTGTCAAGGCGACTTCAAGGATAAGGATTATCAAGAGCTGAGAGATCGTCAGCGATCAAGACTTGGGATGAGAAATGGAGGGAGCGGGAAGAAGAGGAAAGGATCGGAGACGGGACATACGAATCCAGTGATAAACCAGCCCAAAGCAACCGTCGCAGTCGCATATTGACACCAGCTGCCTCCATCTCTATACGGTTGACAAAACTGAGTCTGGGAAAAGCGAGCAAAGAGACTGGCGTCTAGGGATAGAGCTGCCGAGGAGACTATCGAGCAGGTCAGATCTGTGCCCAGGTGTAGTAGAAAAAAGGAACGTACCGAGAAAAAAGACGAAGAGTGCTGTGATGGAAGCCACATCGGCTATGACGGACACATATAGACTATCCGGGAATTTCACCACGAACAGACCACTTTGACAGCATCAGCTTGGTTACTTGGCGACATTGAGGATAACGTACTAGGACAGAAAGTAGACGGATGCTAATATACTGCCTGTCATGATTGCTTGAGCTGCAGGGTATTCTGCGGGATAAGACGTCCCTTTGACTATACAACACCCATGAGCGACAGTACTCAAGTGAGGAGGGACGTACAAGCGTGGACGACCCTGGAAGTGAAAGCGCCAGCTATGGCGGGAGTAACGATAGCGACGGCGGCAGTGAGCCACTTGAGAAAGGTGACTGTTGTCGATATAGGCGACATTGTAGATGTTTGTGTTCAAGATGCAGACGCCGAAAGAAGAGATCTCTTGGGGCGATGTCAGGGCGATGCTAGTGTGTGTAGGTCGATATTTGGTGCGCTGCGGTACGTCTTGGCAGCACACAGAGGAGAGTCGAGTACTGAAGAGAGAAGAAGACAAGAGAGCAACAGAAGAGAGAGAGATAGAAGCTTAATTACGTATGTATAGTCTTAGTGGTTGCCGTCTTGGCAGAGGACCCCGCATGCCCCAGCATCTCACACGACCGTAACCGCGCAGCGCAGAAAAAAACATTCGTCGGGTTTCGGCGACTTTATTCCAGATAACGATGGGCCGGCGCGTTCCTAGCTGCGTCATCGCTTCCGCCCATCTCCTCTTTCATTTGCTTCGTTTATTGTAATACATCGATCGTATACATGGGTATCAGTTTATGAGGATAGAGAACTTATGAGCTTGTGGCAAACAGCTACCGTCGAATGTCATCTCACTGACACAAACCAGCTTGACTGGCGACGTCCGACGTCACATAGACGAAAGGCTGGCCAGCCGTCCAGGTGATGGTGATATCGCCCGAGTCCGAGGTAGTCGACCAATCACATGAAAGAAGACTACAATCATGTCAGCAGGGTCCAACAAAGAGAGGGAAGGAAACATACTCGACAATGGAAGCAGAATTGCCAAAGTCGGCGCCGCTGACGGTCCAAGTGCCAGTCCCCGATCCACCTCGCTACAGCCAGAAATCAGCACCAGTCAGCACAGAAGATGAAGAGACAAACCTTGGTCAATACAGCCAGGGCATTGCCCCGCTTGATAGCGATATCACTATCCTGCTGTGACAACACCCACCCAACACTCTCGTAGAAGCTACTATCCGCCCCTCCCAACCCAGACCTGATCTTGTTCAGGTTCTGGATCCTCCCAAACGTCTCTCCGGAGGTCGAATAGTCGTTGTAGTTCCACAACGCTTCGCGGTTCTGTGGGTCCCCAGACCCATCGGCAATATCTTGCTCTGTGCCCTGATACACAATGGGGATCCCGCCATACAAGAACTGCCCCACCAACGCATTCCAGACCAGCGTCTTGTCATCGGTCAAAGAGTTGACTCGGGCTAGATCGTGGTTGTCCAAGAAGATGCCAATGACTGACGGGTCGGCGTAGTACTGAGCAGCGTCGGAGATGTAGCCTGCCAAGGTGGAGGTGGTATCGGAGCCGGTGAATGTGTCGACGAGACCTGCTTTCAAGGGGTAGCCGAGGGTGGCGTCGAGAGCGTTGTCGCCTTGGAACCCTGCCACATAACTGCTTTAATCAGCTCTTACCCTTCGAAAGCGGGGAGGGTGCGCACCTGGTGGTATAGTCAAAGATCTCGCCGATACAGAAGATACCAGCCGCCGCACACAGGTCATGCTGGAAATCCGTACCCATATGCCTACTAGCATCCACCCTCAGCCCATCGATATCATAATTCTCCGCATACTCCTTTATCCAATCTTTCAGCACCCCAGCAACGGTGTCATCCTCCGTCTTGAGATCCATCATAGCTACAGCCCCATTATCATCCCCTGTAGCCAACCAACATTGCCTAATCGAGTTTTCATCACTGTAATCGATATCGCATCGATCATGATAGTTGGCAGGGTCCTTGAAGAGGAGTGTACCGTCGTTCGCGGCAGACAGGGAGTCGGTTGAAAGGGTGTATGAGGCGGAGGAGAGGGCATTGATGGCGATGTCGGCCATGAGATACATGCCCCTGCTGTGGAGGGCCGAGGAAAGCGCTTTAAGGTCGGTTTCGTTGCCGAAATGGGAGTTGAGCTGCGTCGGGTCGGACGTCCAATAACCCTGTCAAAAGCATCAGCGTTCCATCCCTCCTCCCACGGACAAGATACTCACATGGTAAGCCTCGCCATACTCTGTGCTCCCCTCAACGTTCAGAGCGGTCGGACTGATCCACACCGCATCAAAGCCCAAGCTCTGGACGTAGTCGAGTTTGGATATGATGCCTTGCCAGGTACCGCCGCAGTAGGTGGTCGAGCCCAGGGGGCAAGAGGCGGAATCGGAGGGGGAAGCGAAACGGTCGGTCACGATCCTGTCGAGCTTGTGAGCTTGGGATATACAGAGGGGAAGGAGGACATACTGATAGATAGACCTCGACCTCCACTCCTCACTGGTAGCAGCTTGAGAGAGTGCAAGGAAGGGCAGAAGCGCGAGCAACTTGGAACGAGCGGCCATGTTTAAAAGAGTGTGGTTGTTGTTGTTGTCGGTAATATTATAGAGAGAGGGGAGACGGGAAGAGTCGAGAGGAAGAGGGAGAAGGAGGAAGGAGGCGTGCGAAAGAAGTTATTCAAGGGGGTGAAGAAAAGTGATACAAAGGAAAACACAATGCTCAAAGGGAGTGACCGAATGAGTCTTTACGCCAACATCCAGGCCTAAGATTGACCACGTCACTGCACAGCTATCCGCTACATACTAAACAATCAACACAACAAAAGAACAGTCTAGTGTATAATTCTAGTATCATACCGAAATGTTATTTGGATGTTTACTCCCTCAGCATAAACGCGTTCGATCGGGTCTTATCTCGGATGGTTCCTGAACTACGGAATCTCTTTTCCGTGCTTGTTTGTTTGCGCACTTTGCGTGTGGGCTGGATGCCCGATGCAGACTCTTGCAGAGCATGTATGGAATCTGGATATGGTGACTGACATTCGGAGTGCCGAGATGGCCAAAGTTCATCTCGCTTGTCAGAGAGAGCCGGTGAATTCGCGGTGGAACGAACAAGAAGGAGATCCCCGTTTCGTAATATGACCAACGCCGTGTGTAAGATGACCGCCGACGGTAACAGATTTCATTAGCGTCTATGTAGGTTACTGACAGGCAGCAGCCTTCAATCTATTGATTCACTGGCAAAGTCCAGCTTGACTAGCAACGTCCGAAGTCACAAAGACGAAAGGCTGGCCAGCCGTCCAAGTGACGGCGATGTCGCCCGAAGACGAGGTAGTGGAGGTGTCACACGAGATAAGGCTATCAACAAATTCAGCAGCGTCTGAGGGAGAAAGAGAAGAGAACACACTCAATGATGGAAGCAGACTTGCCAAAATTGGCCCCGCTGACAGTCCATGTACCAGTGCCCGATCCACCTCGCTACAATCAGACATCAGCACCAGCCAGCTCACAGCATGAAGATACTAACTTTGGTGAGCACAGCCAGCGCATTACCCCGCTTGATAGCAATATCACTATCCTGCTGGGCCAAGACCTCCCCAACAGTCTCGTAAAAGCTACTATCAGCCCCTCCCAGCCCAGACCTGATCTTGTTCAGATTCTTAATCCTCCCAAACGTCTCGCCAGAAGTGGAATAGTCGTTATAATTATTCCAGATAACGATGGGCCGGCGCGTTCCTAGCTGCGTCATCGCTTCCGCCCATCTCCTCTTTCATTTGCTTCGTTTATTGTAATACATCGATCGTATACATGGGTATCAGTTTATGAGGATAGAGAACTTATGAGCTTGTGGCAAACAGCTACCGTCGAATGTCATCTCACTGACACAAACCAGCTTGACTGGCGACGTCCGACGTCACATAGACGAAAGGCTGGCCAGCCGTCCAGGTGATGGTGATATCGCCCGAGTCCGAGGTAGTCGACCAATCACATGAAAGAAGACTACAATCATGTCAGCAGGGTCCAACAAAGAGAGGGAAGGAAACATACTCGACAATGGAAGCAGAATTGCCAAAGTCGGCGCCGCTGACGGTCCAAGTGCCAGTCCCCGATCCACCTCGCTACAGCCAGAAATCAGCACCAGTCAGCACAGAAGATGAAGAGACAAACCTTGGTCAATACAGCCAGGGCATTGCCCCGCTTGATAGCGATATCACTATCCTGCTGTGACAACACCCACCCAACACTCTCGTAGAAGCTACTATCCGCCCCTCCCAACCCAGACCTGATCTTGTTCAGGTTCTGGATCCTCCCAAACGTCTCTCCGGAGGTGGAATAGTCGTTATAATTCCACAACGCTTCGCGGTTCTGTGGGTCCCCAGACCCATCGGCAATATCTTGCTCTGTGCCCTGATACACAATGGGGATCCCGCCATACAAGAACTGCCCCACCAACGCATTCCAGACCAGCGTCTTGTCATCGGTCAAAGAGTTGACTCGGGCTAGATCGTGGTTGTCCAAGAAGATGCCAATGACTGACGGGTCGGCGTAGTACTGAGCAGCGTCGGAGATGTAGCCTGCCAAGGTGGAGGTGGTATCGGAGCCGGTGAATGTGTCGACGAGACCTGCTTTCAAGGGGTAGCCGAGGGTGGCGTCGAGAGCGTTGTCGCCTTGGAACCCTGCCACATAACTGCTTTAATCAGCTCTTACCCTTCGAAAGCGGGGAGGGTGCGCACCTGGTGGTATAGTCAAAGATCTCGCCGATACAGAACGTACCGGCCGCCTCACACAGATCATGCTGGAAATTCCTCCCCATATGTCTACTAGCATCCACCCTGAAGCCATCAATATCATAGTTGTCCACATAGTCTTTTGCCCAATCCTTCAACACCCCAGCAACGGTGTCATCCTCCGTCTTGAGATCCAACATAGCAACAGCCCCATTATCATCCCCTGCAGCCAACCAACAATGCCTGATCGATACCTCATCGCTGTAATCGATCTCACACCGCTCATGATAGTTGGCAGGGTCTTTGAAAAGCAGGGTACCATCGTTGGCGGCGGAGAGCGAGTCGGAGGTGAGCGTGTAAGAGGTGGAAGAGAGGGCGTTAATCGCGATGTCGGTCATGAGGTACATACCCCTCTCATGCAAGGCCGAAGAGAGCGCTTTGAGGTCGGTCTCGTTCCCAAAATGGGGGTTCAGCTTGGTCGGGTCGGACGTCCAGTAACCCTGGCCCAAAGTATCAGCTAATCCATCCTATTGCCAACAAGAAGAAAAGACCAACATGGTACCCCTCTCCATACTCTGTACTGCCCTCAACACCCAATGCCGTCGGACTGATCCATATCGCATCAAATCCCAAGCTCTGGACATATTCGAGCTTGTCGATGATGGTTTGCCAAGTACCGCCGCAGTAGGAGGTAGAGCCGAGGCTGCAGGAGGTGGATGAGGACGAGGGGGCGAAGCGGTCGGTTATGATTCTTCAAGTCTATCAGCTCGGAATTGAGAAGGTGAAGAGGAACGTACTGATAGATAGACCTCGACCTCCACTCTGCACTGGTAGCCGCCTGGGAGAGGGCAAGGAAGGGAAGGAGGGCGAGCAGCTTTGAGACAGCGGCCATGATTCAAACGAGTGCGTCGTTCTAGATTTCTAAATATATATTATAGAGCGTGGGGAGATGATGGAGGAGCAGAGAGGAGGAAGGGTCACTTTATGAGTGCATGAAGGCTGGATTATCCGTCGAGTCAAGGTGAAACAAAGAAACCATACAGCGCTCAGCGGGGTGAACCTTGACGTCAAGCATCAGGCCGAAGATCGACCATTCCACTGCCCTGCTGCATTCCAAACAGCAGGCTAGCACTGTTCTGAAATGTTGTGTGCGACTTTACACTCCCGAAAACGCGTGCCGTTCATTTCCAGTTGTGTCAGTCCGGCCTCACCTCAAGATGTTCCTGGACTAGACGCAGAACGCCGATGGCTGGCGGAATCTCCGTTCTGTTCGTTTTGCGGTGGTTCCGGATGGACGACGAAGTGGCTTGACGGAGAGTGAGACTGTGTTGGGGATTTGGAAAGCGTTGTTGGAATGGGGACAAGAAAGCGAAGTGCACCGGAAGACGATTCACGTCACGGAGGCGACGCAAACGGAGCCTGCGCAGAGCACAACGCAAGAAACCGGTTCAAATATCCCGTCTTGCCTTGCGTTGCCTTATGTCTACTTGGAAAATGCTGTCAAAACTATGAAACCCATTCCACCCATCCTCGCTGGCATGTATATGGCCCACCATAAAGCACAACACTTCTGTTGTGTCCGGTGCGTCCTTGATGGTCCTTGAAAATCCGACGGAACGTATAAGTCTCACGCCTGGTCGTACTCATAACCGCAGCAGGTCTCCAAGGTGAACAGCCTCTAGTTGATGGAACAATGTAGATAAGGGAAGTCGGCAAAATAGATCCGTAACTTCGGGATAAGGATTGGCTCTAAGGGTTGGGTGCGTCGGGCCGCAGAAAACGCTTTTACGTGTCCTCCATCATCCATCATCACCATCTCCGCCTAGCACGAAGAAGCAAATACCGGTGAGTCATTCAAGCTTGCCAGACTTCCCATTATTGGGAAGTTTTACAAGGCCGAGCGAAAAAAAACGCTAATCGAGAGCTTTGGTGGCTTGAGAAGGAGTATGGGCTGGAATAGGTTGGTGATGTACAGCCGCGTCCATGCACAAGTACTGTCGAAGATCGAACGGCGCACAAAGAAGGCTGGGCCGTGGTGCAATCTACGTTATTTGACCGATGCTTCCGGCATGTCATATCTTCTTATTACTCTCATGCAGTAGCGTCGTGCATATACAACGAGCTACATGCCATGTAGAAAGCGCGCAAGGCTGACGAGATGCGCGCTGGGTTGATGGATCAACACGCGGCCAGCCAGTGAAAGGACCCCAGCGGTGTGGAAACGGCGATCTGTCTATTCCAGGCCATATCAACACTCGCTATTACCCCAATCACTATCTCCTTTTCCTTCCTCCTCTCCATCTTCTCCCTCCTCACACCCCCTCCACCTCCCTCCCCCAGCCCAAAATGCCGCTCCAGAACTCCCCAATTCCCCTCCGACCCAACCAACGCATCCACACCACCGCTCCTACTCTCCGCAAAGGCAAGAGCCTCAGCGACAGGCTCATCGAAGCCCGGGATGACCACACACTCGCACACGAACGCGAAGTGCGCAAGAAAGAGTCTTGCGGGCGCGAAGTGGGCATCGGCATCGCTTTCTTTCATGTACGTTCGTCTCACCCCTCCTCTTGCCTCCTGTACCCTTCCTCTCTAATGGGGTGCCGAGTGCTGATGGGTCAATAGGAAGACACGGTGGAGAGCATTGAGAGGTTCACCACCCCGTTCAAGCCCAAGTATGATGACGAGGATGACATCGCCGATGCCGCTACCAACGAGAAGAACGCCGACAACGGAGCCAACACCAAAATCACACCTCCTGCCCCCGAGCCTACTGTCACCAACGACGTTCCAGCCCCAGCCGCCTCGGACCATCATGCCGCTACCACCATTCCCACGATCCCCAGCCTCATTTCCCCCGTCAAACCCTCCCGAACTCTTCCTGCAGGTGAGGAACGAGCAAAAATCGGGCTCCGTAAGAAGCTTAGTCGGGAGATTGAAGAAGCGCGTGAGGAAGATCGGGTAAGGGAGGAAGAGCTGTTCAAAGAGAAAATGGAAGCGTTGACCACTGTTGATCACGACGTACGTCTCAACCTTGTCTGTTGGTGAGGCAGTGCTGACAAGACTAATAGTCTGTCAAATCTTCTGATGAAGTTAACGATCCATTCTCTACGACTGCCTCTCGCGGCTCGGTAACCCCTTCTTCCGCCTTTTTTGAAGTTGCTACGATCCACATCGACAATGAGAACAGTGAAAGCGTGTACACACCGCCCGAATCGGCGTTCACGGACCGAGATGAGACCATGGCGCAGATGGCGAAAGAGATGGCAGCGATCCGAGAGGCAAAGAAGTTGAAGCTTCAGGGCTTCCCTTTGGATGAGGACATCTCGTTCACTCCGAAACAGGTACGTGACTTTACTGTTGAATTGGCTGTCAACGTGCTTAAAGGGATGATAGACTGTCGAGGCCAGGATCATGCACGAAACCAACCATGCGCCCGGCCGCAACATCTTTGACCCCACCAACCCCATCCCACCCAAGCCGCTCCCGATCGATACCCCCATCGAAGCCAACGGTCCAGCTTTCACCGGCCAGTCGACGGACAAGTGGTCTTATCTCCCCGACACGGCAAAGGTTCTTGCTTCAAAGATTCTGAGAGTCTCGGAGATGGGCTCTTTCTGGGGGGACGAGAAGGATGAGACAAAGGACAATGGGAAGGTGGAGGATGGAAGGGCTATCGTCGTTGATGAGAGGGATGGAAAGCCGCCCGCCGACAAGACCAAAAAGACGTAGGCGTTTGTCAACGGTAGGGATGGAGTGAAGAAGGTGATTGAATTGGGCTGGGTCTTGAAAGGTGAGGTAGATGAAAGAGACGACAGCGAGGGAGGAGTGATTGTTTCTGATTGTTACGCACGCAAGAGATCCGAATAGTGTCAGAGTGTCACCTGTAACCCACAATAGTATTGTTAGCACTATATGTATCTGCCCAGATGGCAGTGTTGCATGACATTGGTACCTTTTTCTGAGCTGTACGAAATACAAATATGGCCATAACGAGATGCCAAATGAAATACGCACGATCTGCAGTCACCTTGGAAACCGGACATCGGAGGAGGGAAGTATCGCCCATCGATTCGGGCTTGTTGGTTGTTTGTCGCCGAAGAGGTACATCACTGATCATCACTCCTTCTCTGCTGCCCATGGCTGTTTTATCTCGCAGCAGGATAGCGTATATTGCATACCTTTCCGCTTTCCGTGACCATGTTGCTACATCAACGAGGGCATGAAGCTGTCACGTTGAGTGATGGCCGTCAGGGGTATCTCCTAGCCGGTTGTTCGTTTGTCAATCAGACATACCTCACCCAAGGTCGTCTCCATGACAGTCAAGGTAGCACTTGTATATAGCAAACAGTGTGATCTCTGTACGACGCGAACATGCAGAACCCTCTCGTCAGCACGTCTCTTCTGCGACCCAAACGCGGAAATTTTGCATCATGCACCCATCCCTCTCCGTTTGCGCCTTGGCCATCTGCCATCAGCTTCCCCATGTGCTCCACATCCCTCATGCCCATTTTCATTTGTACCTCATCATACACAGGTAATGAAAGCACAAATGAACGGGAAAGGAGGTGCCCATCACGTCAAAAGGAGATGCGCCCATCAACGGGCATGCCTCCACCCCGGCCATTTCCTCATCTCCAGGAAAGGTATATATACCCCCCGGCTTCCTCTTCTTTTTCTCTCCCACCCACCCTCATTAATCCACTCTCACTCTTTCTCTACTACGATACAATAAACACAAGGATGTCTGGCTACTTGTACGTCCCCTCTCGTCATACAACCCTCCATCGCTCACACCATCCAAAGCCGCTCTCGTCTCGCCCCCTCTCTTCTCCACGACTCCTACCGCCCCTTCGCCCGAGGCCACTCTATCGCTACTGGCTACGGTACTCGTCTCGGCGGCTACGCCCCCACCTACCTCAACTCTGGCTCTTACCTCGGCCGGGGCGCTGCTGTCATCGACGGTGCTTACTCTAGATACGGTACCGGCTATGGCTCCTACGGTGTCTATGGTTGCGGAGGCCTTGATGGTTTCGCCGGTCGTGAGCTGATCGCTGGAAGTGGGGCCCTTGGCAAAGAAAGAAAATAACTGACGTTATACACAGCCTACCGAGGTCATCAACACCACCGTCCGCGCCATTGCTGCTCCCACCATCGTCGAGCGCACTCGCGAGATTCCCGTCCCGGTCGTCGAGCGCCACATCGAGAATGTGCACCACCACCACCACCACGACCGTGTCGTCGAGCGTATCGTCCGCGAGCCCGTGCACGTGCCCATCACCGAGCGCGTCTCCGAGTCTCACTCTCACGTCAACCACCACCACGGCTCCACCTATCCCGGTGTCCACACTTTTCCCGGCCACAGCCACGTCTACGGGCACGCCCATGGCTTTCAGGGCGGGCTCAACGCCACTTCCTGGGCGGGGTGGTCTGACCGATTTCGTTCCCTCGGCTCCGACTTTGCCCTCCCCCACCTGGACCGCTTTCCCGAGCTCTTCCACACCTCGCATTTTCGCGACACCCTCCTCGAATACAACAACCGCTACAACCTTCTCCCTCCCGCCTCCATCGACCGTGTCCTCTCTCTCTCTCCCGCTAGCCTCGGCGAGTACATCGTCTCCCACGGGCACGAGTTTGGTTCGTTCACCGACGGTGGAGAGCTCATCTTGCGAGGACACCCCGAGAGACCCGAGTATACGCTCGCCCTTTTGGCCTATTATGGTGCATCGAGGAGGCTGGGTCAGTTATCCTTCCCGGTTAGGTTCGCTTACGGGGACTCTCACGTGGTTTGTAAGTCCTCCTTATTCTTTCGTGGGGATGACATGAGGCTGATGAGAGGTGATAGTGGAGTAAGCTCCCAACCAAGTTCCAATCCTGGGTTCCCACACAATTTCGACCCTATCCTCAACCGCAATATGCCTACCCTGTCCATGATAACCATCGATAAGACCTCTCCATTGAATCCTGATAGTATAAGCAGAAGAGAGATTTGCCGCGTATCGAAAAAAGACGTAGAACGTCGTCCACATTCGTTTTTCTGGTAAACTGCTAGTAGTCTCTAGTCTATGCAGTGTGATATATATAAAGCAACGGCATTCCAAAGCGAAAGATCAGACATCATTTGCATTTGCCATTACTCTCTACTCTCTCCACTACCTAAAGCATCAACTTGTACATCTCAACAATGGACGACATCCGACAAACGATTAACGACACACGGTACTACTCTTGTCGCCCCTTCCCCTTGATACTCATCCCCTTACTACCCCTCCTCTCTGGCGTCCTCGACCTGCTCCTGCTCCTAGTCCTACTTCGAGAAAGACTCCTATCCCTAGGCCTCCTGGGACTGGGAGAACGTCTCCTCGGTCGAGGGGAAGGCGATCGACTGGGCGTAGGGGTGTAGTCCCTCCTCCTCTTGGGAGGCGGGCTGCGCGACCTCGTCCTAGACCTTGACCTGGATCGGGACACAGAAGGGGAATGTCTCTTGGAAGGCGGGGCGCGTCTTCGAGGAGGGGAGCGAGAACGGGAGGGCGAGGGAGTGTACGAAGGTCGTCTTCGCCTGGGAGGGGATCGAGAGCGAGAAAGGGAGCGGGAACGAGAAGCTGATGGGGAGCGTCTCCTCCTGGGAGGTGGGCTGGGGGAACGGCCCTTGCTCAGCGGGGTAATCGACCTCGACCTTCCTCTCTCCGCACCACCCCGAAGGGGCGGGGTAGCGCTGTCCCTCCCTCTTCTGGGAGGGGAAGGCCTCGAAGGAGGTGTCGGTCGTCGACGGCGGTGAGGCGAAGGGGATCGGCGATGAGGAGGTGGGCGGCGGTCAAAGTCGCGAGGAGGGGGTCTGTCGTAGCCTGTGTTGCGAGCAGGAGAGCGAGATCTGTCCCGGGGACCTGGACCTGGGCCACCTCTGTTGCCGTAGCCATTATCGCGAGGTCGGTTTTCGAATTCTCTTCCGCCACCTCCCCGTCGGCCGTAGCCATCGTCTCTGCCGCCTCTACCACCGTACCCTCCCCTCCCACCACCTCCGCCTCGTCCACTGCCCCAACCTCCATCTCCTCGGTCCCCTCGGTATCCATCCCTCCCGCCATCACGAGGGTACTCGTCCCTATACCTCGGCGGAGGCACATCCCGTCTATCCGGATGCCTCCTATCCCCACCACCACCAGAAGCAGGAGGTCCGTCGAAATAGTCGGCAGCTTGGGGTCGGGCAGGTGGGCCGCGGGAAGATTCTTCTTGTTGGCGTTTTTGGAGCTCGGCCTTTTTGGCTTCGATGAACTGTTCATTTGTTAGTATACAACATTTAAGAGCAGTGAAGGGGGCGCACCTCAGCGGGAACACCGCCGACAGTCTTCTGGGCAGACAACAAGAGCTTCCAGAGCTGGTCCATAAACGCGGCAGCACCGAACTTGTCCATAAATCCGATTAACGACACTTGCATCTTCTTGGGGTCTGGTGTCTGTTGCCTGTCAGCTCGATGGCACGCGGGTAGAGGCGAGAGAGACGTACAGGGTTCTCCCTGTCCTCGAGCATGCCGAAAGCATATTCAACGACGATATCGTCTTCAATCTTGATCAATTCGGTGACTTTTTCCGCTATCCATGGACGCAGGACAGCGATGTTGACTTTCCGAAGGTCCACCTGGATGCAATGTCAGCTAAACCTCTTGATAATACAGAAAAGACAGCGCACCTTTTCACTGAAGTGTTTGGGGAATTTTGTAGACTTGATACTGGCCGCTTCTTTGTCTTTGAAGCGCTGTGAAACGGTTAGCACGCGTCTCGAGCCATGAGAGGGCGACCTGCAGTATCCTGGATTCCTCTCCCTACAATGGTGTTAGCACTGTCATATTCCCGTATGCCATACTCACCATCTGCCATTTTGAGCGTGTTACTGTGGATGCATGCGATGGATACTCATTCAAAACAAGACAACGAGGAAAGTAAGAGAGCGGAGATGGCCGCCGACGGAATCAATTCTTGATGCGCTATTCAACTCTTGCATTTCCCACTTTCCATAACATCTGTACTGTATCCATCTAGGGGCACAATGTCCTTCTTAGACGACGGCCTCGACCCACTTCCCACAGAATTCGATCCCGACCGCGTACCGGCCCCGCCCGCTTCGCCTCCGCGTCCACCAGCACCTCAGCCACAGGAGGATGCGCCGGTGATTCCTAGTGATGAAGAGAGCAAAGTGCCCGAGGAAGAGGAGGAGGGGGGATATGCTGCCGAGGAGGACGAGGGAGAGGGAGGAATGGAGTTGATGGGGTATCTGCAGGATTTGATTGATGATGGTGAAGAAGAGCAGCCGGAACAAGCGGGGCCCCCTGCAGAGCGTGAGGGTGAGTATTGGACGCCATCTTGACAACGCGTCGCCTGTGTCGATGGTATTCTAGTCGTGACTATCGAAGCTGACAGATGTGCAGCGGCCCCCTCTTCACCCCTCTCCGACTTGCCAGATCTCCCAGATGAAATCGACTTTCCTTTCATTCGCCGGTCCCCTACTCCTCCAGCGTCGGTCTCCTCTGCAGCCCCCAGCGAGGCCATTCCTCATGCAGAGTCATCTGCTAGTGCCGCCCAACGCGCTGCTACCCTTTCCCAGTCCGAAACTGCGCCTGCCGCCTCAATGTCAAATGACGCGACCCAGAGTGTCAACCCGAGTGCTGGCATCAAACGGGCAAGAGCGCAGCTTGATATCATAGCCACCTCTGAGAGCGTGCGTGGTATCAACAGACCAAAGTCGAATGGCTCGCAAAGCGCGACCGACACCGGAGACGAGGACCGTCAGAGCAAAAAGGCGAAATCCGACAAGAAACCTCGGCACACCAAGAAAGCCTTGGACCCTACTGGTACCGGCCTCAAAGTCAAGGGTCCAGAAAAGGTGCCCACCAGAGCGAAGGTCATCACCGAAGCGCAGAGGAAGAAGATCCTCAAGGGACAGACAATAGAGGTGCAAATGTCGCCCTGTCAGAGACCGATATATGCGGCTTGGGGCAAGTGTACGCAGTGTATCTCGAAAGTGAGTGGGGATATGTGTCGATTCAGGGATTTCCGTGTCTTTCCGTAAGTCATGACCCTCATAGACTCTGGTTGACAATGTCAGTATCGATCCAGTGACCACCGCTATCACGGGCCCAGGCTACTTTACCGACAACCCATGGCCTCAACCCTTGACCCCTCTCCCAACCAAATTTTCCTCTGAATTCTCCCCAGCCATTATCAGCGCTACGGAACACACCGTCGCACCCATTCTCCTCCCCCTCATCACTTCCGAGTCGCGGCACATCCACACCCACCCAGGCACTCTATACCGCGGTATTGACACGGCCAAACACCGATCAGTCTGCGACTTTTGCTCGTCTACCATCTTTGGTGGCTGGTGGTTCTGCAAGAGCTGTGGAAGGGATTACTGTCTGGAGTGCGAGAGATATTTCCCGGATAGTGTGGAGGGGATGAAGGAGAGCCCTTGGCCGCTTGCGGATGCCGCGAGGCCGAGATTGTTGAAGTGCATCGCTCAGCCTTCAAGAGCTACGCAAAATGGGAAGGATGCCGGGAAGGACGGAGGAAAGCCAGAAAAGAAGGGCAAGGAATTGGCGTGGCATGTGCGAGGTGATCTGCAGGCGGTATCGAGGTTTGAAAAAGATGAGATCAAAGAGCATTGGTTGAGTCTGAGTGAATATGTGCTCGCTGGCAAAGATTCCGACAAACTGGACTTGGCGGGAAAGCTAAGGGTGATGGGGCTGAGAGGGGATGGAGAGGCAACGGGGCTTGTCAAAGAGTGGATAGAGAAGGCGGAAAAGGCCCCAGAACCTGAAAAGGAAAAGGGGCCTGAAGAAGATGAAGAGGTCAGGGATCTCGATGATATCTTCAAAGAGATGAACGATGATCCTCCTCGCCAACCGACACCCCCTCTAATATCACCTTCTGCTGCCAAACCTCCGAAATATGTCTACACCGAGACATGCCACCCCGCTTCCCACGTCCTCGACCCCCTCACATCCTCCGACCCCACCCCCGTCGCCCATCCAGACCCCCCAGACCCCGCAGGCATACCGAATCTTCCCTACATGTACCTCCCCGCCCCTAACCTTACCGACTCGCTATTTGATGAGCTCTGGGCAAAGGGCGAGCCGATCATCGTCGACGGCATCGGCAGCCGGATGGGCGATTGGGGTCCCGACCGATTTCGGGAAATGTTTGGTTCGGAAAAGTGTTCAGTCGTCGACTGTCAATCAGATGAACCGCAAGATTCCACTATCGACGGGTTCTTTGCCAAATTCGGGGAGGAAGGCGAGAAGAGGGGAAAGAAGATCCTAAAGTTGAAAGACTGGCCCCCCGGAGATGAGTTTGCGAATACGCATCCGACGCTCTATCACGATTTTTCACGGGCTTTGCCAGCGCCGGATTGGACAAGGCGGGATGGCGTTTCCAATCTTTACTCTCATGTACGTGTCTCTCTACCTTCTGTTGCATCCGAGCTCATCTTTCTGCAGTTCCCACCTGGACCGACTCGGCCTGATATAGGGCCCAAGATGTATGCTGCGTTTGCGGCGGACGAAGGGCCCGGCGGGTTTGGATCGACGAGGTTGCATATGGACGTGGCAGATGCCATCAACGTCATGCTGTATGCGGCACCTTTTGTTGAAGAGGGGGTCCCTGAGGGTGAATCTCCTACAGAAGGGGCAGAGAAGGATCCACCTGGTCTTCCCGAGAAGGAAAAGGAGGAAAAGATGAAGGGGTCAAAGAAGGAGACCAAGCCAGGCTGTGCCGTTTGGGACCTCTACCCCGCCTCAGCAGCCGACAAGATCCGCGATTTCCTCAAGTCCAAGTTTGACAAGACACATAGCTTCATCGATCCCATACATTCGCAAAGGTTCTATCTGGATTCAGATTTGAGGAAAGAGCTGTATGAAAAGAAGGGAGTTTCAGGATGGAGAGTATGGCAGTATCCTGTGAGTATCTCACGGGAAAGTGGGAGCGATTGCTCATTAGGCGGCAGGGTCAAGCGGTGTTCATACCAGCTGGATGTGCGCACCAAGTCTGTAACCTCTCTGATTCCATCAAGATAGCTATCGATTTTGTCTCTCCTCGTACGTCTCCTATGTCTACTAACGGCGTAGCTGACAATGTGGCAGACAACGTCCCTCGCTGCCAACGACTCACCCGTGACTTCCGCCGAGAGAATTACATGAAAGCTTGGAAAGAGGACGTCCTCCAGCTATACAACGTTCTCTGGTTCGCCTGGATGTCTTGTCGTGAAGCCCGTGTCCGTCGAGTCCAGGAAGAGAAGGATCGCGAGGTGCGAGAAAAGGAGAGGGAGGAACGTTCACGGGGCTTGCGAGATGGACTTTCTTCACAGAACCCTCGATCCAGAGAGAGACCTGCGCCCTTCTCCGCATGTCCCAGCTCCGGTCCTCTCAGTCCTGGCTTCGCAATGGGTGGTATGGGCATGGGTATAGGCTTGCGCGGATGGGGTGAAGATACCACCACCGCCTTCCGCCCCAACTTTAGCTCAGTACGCGACGAGCCTGTGCGGAGCGTAAACATCAGCTCTGTGAGGGACGAACCGATTTGGAACGGTAACACGAGCTCGGCGAGGGATGAGCCTGTGAGAGGTGCGCTAGGGTTGGGTTTTGCAGGAGAGTCGAGTTTGAGGGGTGCTGCGCCGGTGATCACGAGCGAGGTCAATGGAAAGGAAGTGGAAGCTACTGCCACCCTCGCTTCTGCCCTGGGAGACAGAGTCGATCCTCCAGCCTCTGCTACAGCGCCCAACACTTCAGAGAAAGCCACCCACGGGGATGTCGTCTCGCAAGACGCCCCAGGGAAAGCAGCAAAACGCCAACTTGCCGAAAGTCTGTTCAACCTGACTCTCAAACACCATGACCCGAACCCTGCCGAAGTCTTCCTTGCCTCGTCAGCATACATCAAGTCGCGAAAGGCTTTCGGGCTGGACCAGATAGGCCAAGCCAATGCTGGTCTCGGGAAGAATGCTCCTGTGGGTGGTCCGGCGGCGACAAGAGCTACAAGGTCGCAGCCGGATCAGCCACTCACTGCCCCTCTCAACGACTTGACTAGGAAATCCTCCATTCCATCATCCTCCACCCGTCCCCCCTCCCGGCCCAAGAGCAAGACGCCCAAAGCCATACGTTCGGCTTATGACGATTTCCTCGCGCAGTCCAAGAATGAAGGTCTTGGAGCAGACGAGGCGAATCTGGCAGAGCTCGCAGGCCTTGGTGTATGGGACAGGCTGAGAGACACTGGGGACAGGGGCAGCACGCCAATCCTTACTGTTAACGGGAACAGCGAGTCAACCCCTCAAACGATCCCTCTCGATGCCCTCCTTCAGAATCAAGTTCCCTCTGGCACTGCCGAGACGGCAATGTCTGGCGAGGCGGCGGAGACGGAGACGGAATTAGGGCTGGTCGCCGAGCATGACGGATATGGAGATGCGCCGGATCTGGATCTAGGGGAGCAAGAGAGGATTGATCTGATGGCGCAGATTCAGAGTCTCAATGAGAATGGCGATGACGATGACGATATTGAGATGGATGGGGAAGGGCCGTACTGAGCAGGCTCATGGGTCAGTAGTTACTGTTCACATTCGAGCGTGAGTTTATCTTGCATAGTTACCCTGTCGCAATGCAATGTCCCCCGATGCAGAGCACGATACCAATCGAGCCGAGCAACATTCGACTACACTACGACGCTATGATGTCTCTGGATTGGGCAAAAGGCGGGCTGACCGTCCCTACACTGGCTCGACACGACCTACAATTGTTTGTCTACCGGTGTTCGAGATCCTCGCTGGCACAAGAATCGTACAGTTGTCACGTGGCTGTCGCCACTCGACCCAGAAATATCTCGAAGCATCTAGAATCATCTTTGCCACTCTGTTGGCCACTGTAGAAAACACTGGAAGGTCATGGAAAAGGGATACGTAGGCTTGAGGCTGGATATAAATACCACACTCTTTCATAGCTTTTAGATACTCTGTCGATCAAATATTGTTGTCTCTCTTCAACACAAGCGTCCATGTCCTCCGGCATTGGCTTGGCTACCTCTCATGGTCCTCAAGCCATCTCGACTCACCTCGACTACTACAAGGGCATCGCTAGAGGTCATGGACCCGTGTGACAACAGTCAACCGAACACTGGTGTCTTCACGTGCCTGACTCGTCAGTGGCTAAGGCGAAGTTTGGTCACATTTCTTCGGGACCGGTCGCCGTCATATTGAGCTTGCAAGGCCATTGCGACTTCCTTCCCAGCTCTTCGCGTTGTGCGGTAGCTTACTCCTCCAACAACACCGGCCAGAATACCTTGATCAATCTGTCTGTGTCATCATCGTCATCAGCAGGCTATATTGCGGTGGTGTTTGCATGGTGCATACAATAAAACCATCTCGAATGTACCGTCAGGCTATCTACATGCGTTGATCTATCACATACTCTGCTGGCGGCTTCGCCGTGATGTGCCACCAGACTAAACTGTGATGCCACTCCACAACATCGACGCCTCGGTGAAGGACGGTTGTCACACGTAGTAATTCCCTGCGTCCCAGCTAGGCCGTGACAACGGTCCAGTCCTTCCCGCAACATCCGCCTCCTCTGGGGTGTAGTCCGATAATCTCGCAGGTACAAGGAATCGTACATCCGAACAAACATTCGTATCGTCGCGGCGGATGGTCACATGACTGTAGTTGTCAGTGGCTGCAGGCCTAGTCACATTCTTCTGGGATGAAATATATAAAGCTTGGAGAGTCTGCGAAACGTCATCCCCAGTTCTCGTCGTTCGCGTCAACGAGATGTTCCGGAGCAATTGTGGCCAAGGGCCAACTGCGACATTGTTGTCATAAACAGAAGCGTGGCCTTCCAACTTTTCATGATCAATCTGGTCTAGCCTGGTCTTGTCTGCGATAAGCTTGGATCCGATAGTCATATTCTCTTTTGAGACATAGAAGTCACCCGCGTGGTAAAGCAGACCGGTCTTTGAATCAAGTCCAGGTTGTGTGAGGCCCTCGACGGGATGGAAGCATGTGACTTCGGTCTCCAAAAAGTCAATGCGCTCTCCCATATCTCTGACTCGTACATTGACTGAATCATTGTCCGGGTCCCTATCCGCTTCGAATTGTACCTGTGGGTGGTCAGGCGGTATCACAAATTCAACCATCGTGATAGGAAGTCGCTCAAATACATTCGTATCCTCACCGACACCCCACTCGGATCGAGAGCAGATAGAATCCGGTAACACCAATTGCATTTTGCGGGGATGGTAATGAAGCCGGGTTTCACAGAAAGCATTCATTAGAGACTGTGCCTCAGAGGAAAGACTGTCATTCGAGGGGCGAGGGTGGAAGCTCCAGCCTTGATTCTCTGCTGTGATGTCGGTCATACTGATGCCCCCGAGGACCGGGGCGGTCATCATATTATGAAAGAGGCCGGGTAAGCTTTCCGGTGATACTCTTTCCTCCAGGCGGTTTACTTCTTCCATTGCGCTACCGAATTCAGGGTTTCCTTCTGCCATGTCGCGGAGTTTGACTTTGGTATGAAGGATTTGGAGCGAAGTATAGTGTCTTGAGAGCTGTATGTGATGGCTGGTAGTGAAGGTTGGGCTACCTGATGCTTTGAAGTCGTGATTGAGAAGCCTTAACATAATAGAGTGCTAAAGCCAGCTGTGGTTGCAGAAGCAAAAACTGGTGCTGATGCCTCCTTTGCGGTATCCTCCTTTGCGATATCCTTACTCACCCGCCGACGCTGTGTGACCAAATCTCATTTCTTCCTTGGAAAACCAAGTTCACATTCTCAGAAAGGGGCAGATGATGTGAATTCAAAGCGCATGTCTTCTAGGCAGAAACGATCAACATAACGGGGTGAATGTCTGCGCGTTAGGAAAACGAGGTCTCCTCACTCAACATACAGTCTTGATCCAAAGCCTTTGTCTTGGCTGATTCCAGTGAGTAATTACTTCATGTTCCCCTCGGTGATCATACACTTCAAATGCTGGTACGAAAATTCCTCAAATTCGCCCTCGACCAGAGCAAATTCCCAAAACCAAGATCATTGTCATCAACTTACGCAATCTTCTCACTTTACATATCCTATGACTACTTCCAGTGCAAAAATGTATCACGGGGGAAGAGGAAGCGCAGCCTCGATGCTATCTAACATGCAAGTCAGGTAAATCACATATGCATGTGGTACCTGATGGACCCTTCTCTGCATCAGGTTCATGATTGGCAGAACTCTCTTAAAGATATTCTTCCACACTAAGCCGTGATACTGCTCCACAGTGACGCCTCGGTAAAAGAGTGGCCTGTCATCCCCAGAATCTCCTCTTCCTGCTCTGGTGTATAGCTCGGCATCCTCGCTGGTACAAGGAATCGCACGTCCGAGCAAACAGTATCACTGTCCCGGCGGACTGTTACATGGCTGTAACTGTCGGTGGCCTCAGGCCTGGTCACGTTCTTCTGCGAGGGGTTATATAAAGCTGTGAGGTCCAGCGAAACGTCATCCCCGGCTCTCGTCGTTCGTGTCAACGAGATGTTTTTAAGGAACCTGGGCCAAGGTCCAACGGCGACACCGTTGTCATGAACAGAAGCGTGGCCCTTCATTTTTTCATGATCAATTCGATCCAGTCTGGTCTTGTCTGCGAGGAGCTTGGAGTTGATAGTCATGTTTTCCTTCGATAGATAGAAGTCCCCCTCGTGATACAGTAGGCCGGTCTCTGAATTGAGTTCAGGTTGTGTGAAGCCCTCGATGGGATGGAAGCATGTGACTTCGGTCCTCAGAGAGTCAACACGCTCTCCCATATCTGTGACTCGTACATTGACTGAATCATTATCCTGGTCCCTGTCCACTTCGAATTGTACCTCTGGGTGGTCAGGCGGTATCACAAATCCAATCATCTTGATAGGAAGTCGCTCAAATACATTCGTATCCTCACCGACACCCCACTTGGATCGAGAGCAGATAGAATCCGGTAACACCAATTGCATTTTGCGGGGATGGTAATGAAGCCGGGTTTCGCAGAAAGCATCCATTAGAGTCTGTGCCTCAGGGGAAAGACTGTCGTTCGAGGACTGTGGCTGGAAACTCCAGCCTTCCTGTTCGGCAGTAATGTCGGTCATACTTAGTCCTCCGAGAGCCTCGGTCGTCATCATATTGTGGAAAAGACCGGGTAAGGTTCCGGGCGATACTCGTTCTTCCAAACGAGTAATGTCATCTAGAGCAACATTATTTGCTTCGGACATGTTTAAATTCACTTTACCTTGTGTTTGACCCTATCTGGTTGTTTGGAAGGATTTGAGGCGGATTGTCTGGAGCTTTAGTCTTATATCGGGTGCTTGCATCTATATGTGTAACTGCTGCTTAGACAGCTCGATATCCTCCTTTCTGACGGTGGTTCATGATGAAAGAAAGGTGGTAAGACCGGGTAGTCATCATGATAGCGCCTTCCTAGTTATTTTCGGTATACTTCTGTTTTCTTGGAACTGCCAACATGGTTTATATATAAACCCCCCGCCGACGCAGCAGCTGCTACAGCAGACGGCAACTCACGTCGTCCAGCGCGGCGGTGGCGGGGTGTTCAGCACCCCCGTTACACTGTGGACTGCTATGCTCCAGCCTATGTTCCAGCTGCACAGGCGAACAAGGTATATGTTATGATGCTTGAGTCAGCTTCTGATTTCACATAGCCCAATGCAAGGGTATCGCTGAACGCCTGAAAAAAGTCTTCCCTTCGCGACCAAGAATCAACACTCCTTTTTCCTTGCGAAGAATCTTCAATGCAACTATCTCCGTTTTGTTTCCGAATAGAAGGCCGTCCTCTTCTGCACGTCACTGTCTTATTGTAGGCTCCCAAAAAATTACCCTGCAACCTTCCCGCTGGCAATCGTGACAGCAGGCGGTTGGGGATTACCTTCTCGCTTGATCACTGCTGCTGTCATGCGCTGCACCGACGACGCGATGACATCGGTTATTGGCTCATGTCACTATCAAGCCTTTCCTCCATCTGGGCGATGAGCATGGAGGCTGTGATCATCTCTACATTGCTCTCAGTTCAATACCTGGGCGAAAACTTTTGATTTACTAATAAGACGAGAGACACATGAACCGTCCTGCCTCCTCATTCACCGCTATACAAAGGGTGATCTATCACTCAAACATGTGGAGCTGACATTGTTGCTGGGGATGCTTCATCAACACGACACTGTGAATGTCAGCTTACAATCATACACGACGTCTCCCACGGTAACTGCTATGCATCACTCGGCTATCTCTCACAGTCACCCTACCCTATCAGATTAGTTCACACCTCATCTGTCTAGTTGTTTGACCGAATTACTGCCTCAAGTGGCTCTAGAGAGGATTCCGGAGGCCTGTTTAGAGCTATGCGGCCCCATCCCACATAGCAGCGTCGGTATACCCTGGGCCTGTCGTCCCTGTAAGTTCGGTCGCCGGTTCGCCTGAGTAATCCACATTTCTCGCAGGTACCAGGAATCGCACGTCCGAACAGATGTTTTCGTCATTCCGGCGGATTGTCACAAAACTGTAATCGTCCGTGGCTGCTGGGCGAGTCACACTTTTCTGATAGGGTTTATATATGGCCTCCATATCCAACGAGACCCTATCCCCGCCTCTTGTTGATCTGGTCAACATGATGTCTCCGGAAAAGTTGGGCCAATGTCCAATTGGAACACCATCATCGCACACAGTATTGTGGCTCATTTTCTCATGATCGATGAGATCCATTCTGCTTTTGCCTGCAACGATCTTGGAGGTGATGGTCATGCGCTCTCGTGAGAGATAATAATCGCCCTCGCGGTGCAGAAGACCGGTCTCTGAGCCGATCTCGGGCGCAGGAAGGCCAAGAACAGGATGAAAACATGTGACTTCAGTTTCTAGAACGTCTTCGTCGTCCTCGCCAACGTCTGTTACGCGCACGTCAACTGAGTCGTCAACAAGGTTTCTTTGAACATCGAATTCGACTTTTGGGTAGTCGGCCGGTATCTCGAATTGTATCTTCGTGATAGGAAGCTTTTCAAACGCGTTCGTGTCTTCGCCAGTGCCCCAATCCGATCTTGAACAGAACAGATGGATTCCGGCAAATCGAGCTCCATCCTGCGAGAGTTGTAGTGGACTCGGCTCTCACAGAAAGCGTAAAGCAGCGCATCTGCTTCAGGTGTAGCAAGACTGTCGCTCGAAGCTTGTGGCTGGAAACTCCAGTCTTCACCATCCGGGGCGAGATCGATCATATTGATCCTCCCCAGCTCTGAGGCGGTCCTCATACTGTGGAAAAGACCCGGTTTGGTCCCGGGCACAACTCTCTCGCCCAAGTTGGTGTCTGTCTCTGATGCCATGACAATAGGTTTTGGTTTTTAGATGCTGGCTGTATCTGCAGGAGTAATACACTGGGGAGTGGTTGCTTGTATATAGAGGAAGAAACTGTCTTTTATACGGATGGACAGCCGCAAGATCATAGTATGGTAAGTCATGAATAGCATCGACAACTAACAGCTGTAATGATTCCTTTGCCTACTGCATACACTTACGATGTCCGATGTGGACAAAATTAGAACATCGAGCCAGTAAAAGAACCTTCCGCCGTTGTCCCCGACAATTTGTGAGAGCCTGCCAGATCTGGATCGAACAACGCGGCACAAAGGTATTGAAGCTCGATAATAATAGAAAGCATTTCGCGCCAGAAAAGTAGGTATCATTAGAAGCGTCCGTGAAAGCTTCTGCGTCATGAACTCCCTTTACCTCGCTGTGTGATTGTAGCAACGCTACCTCCGTTGTGCACCTCCAGATTCCTCCCAACACAAAGGTGATCACAAAAACAAGAATAAATATCCATAAAAGGGATTGCTGTCAAACATCTATAAACAGGGTTCCCGTCTAGAGGGGTCTATGGGCATGATAATCATTACACACGAATACAAACGCAGTCCCGAAGACTACCGTCGTCGCCCATTACTTCTTGATACCTGCGCCTCGCCTCGCCTCACTCCGCCTAGTAGCACCGGAAAAGTTTCATGTCGAGCTTAGAGAAGACCGATGGTAACATCACCCTTGACTCGCGCCGTCAAATGCCTGGCACACCCCATCAGCTCGTGCTCCCCTCATGCCCTCAACATAGATCGAACACTCACACTTCAACAAGCAAGTCCAAAGCGATGTTGATACTAAGCGTGTTGTCGCCCTTCTCATGCTTGCCTCCAGGCTGCTCCTCGGGTGTCAACTCGGCGAGCTCATTAGGCAGGGGCACACGGTGGGACCGGAGGGGGCCAAGAGCAACGTCGCGGCGTTGTTCGTTGACGGATTCTTGGCGGGCCTGCATAGCCTGTCTATTGTGGATGTCAGCGCGGGTTCTAACAAGGTAGTGACAGACGTACTCTTGGGTGGGCTGGAGCTGCTCAGACATGGTGTGCTACTTTGTGTTTGTGGCAGGAAGAAGAGAAGAGTGGCAAAGCAGCAGAAAGGCAGACAGCGCGGAGGAAAGTGGGTTGGAAAGCGAAGATGGGATGGATGCATCTTTTGTACTTGTTGCGGTATATGATGTCTGGACTGCTGTTCGTCATCACTGGGGCTCCTTTGGCTGCGTTGTGCGTGGAGTGAGTGCAAAATTGTGTGTTGCGGTGAATGTGATGTCATACCCTGTCCCCGATTAGGGACGATTAGATAGGGAGCCTCAGGACTGCTGCGTGTAGCTCAGGAACACTCGCGCTTGATTTCATGCCGTCATAATATGGGACAGGGGATCGATTTCTGATGCATACATCCGTCTTTCTTGAAGTCCAGCCATACATAGTACCACCTCTCTGCTTGTGAAAGGAAGGAAAACAGGAGCAACAACGATATCCAAACAGCCGTCCATCAAAGCACCAGCCACTACACCCCAGCCTCATACACCCCCACCCGCCCCTCTAACGCCGCCCCTTCCCAATCAACCTCCTTCCCCTCCTCCACCACCCCATAATCCAAATCCATCCCCTCAATATCCCCCTGCCCAAACCGCATCTCCACCTCATCAAACACCTTCACATACTTGACCACGCCAAAGCCAAGTTTTTTGAATAACCGGATGGATGGAATATTTTGGGAACCTATACGGGAGAGGAGCTGGGGGGCGGGGAGGTGGAGGTAGGATGTGGCGTATTTGAGGCTAGGTGGTACTCAGTCTGTGGTCTTATGGGGAAAGGGGGAAGGGACGTACAAGAGGGACAGCGCTTCGACTGCATAGCCTTTCCGTCTGTCCTCTTTCGCTATGCTTTCATCAGCCTTTCATTTCCCTCCCTGCCTCCTTAACCTTGGACTTGCGCTGGTACTTGAACTTAGAAAGACGTACAAGCAATCATAATCTCACACTCCCCTTCACCTTCCCTCCCATCAGGGAGAAAAAGGTTGACGTCTCCTACCATACGGCATTTTTGGATCTCTTCCGGCTGGAGAATGTATCTTGATGAATCGGTTGATGAGTCGGAGGGGGGAGAAGGACGGGCGAGGAGGATGAATGTCAGTTCTATACCCCTCTATCAGTCTTCTCATCCCAACGTCTATGCAAGACCAGAAGTCCAGAGAGTAAGAACCAACTATCTTCGTCCAACAACCATTTCCCTAGACCGCCAACTGTCAGCCTATACAGAGCGCAGTATTGGGGCGCTCACGTTGCATCTTATACTCTTCCCCCAGCGATAACGGTTCCGAAGCGGTCAACTCGAGCAGTTCGAGCGATTTCATCCATTCGTGGTATTCCTTTGCGTTCCCAGCATCAGCCTCTATCCTTCCTCTGATATTGTCTCCTCGTGAACCAGCACCGGCTGGACAAGGGGAAAGGTATGCTAGCTCACAGGCACATGTTCTGCTCTGCAACATCCAGCAAGTAATCAGCTTCCAGTCAATGAGCGAGAAGGGAGCGATGTACCGATAGGGAACGAGGATGACCTTGTCCCCAAAAATGACCGAATTTTCGTTCAGCTTCATGTTTGCTTTGCCCCTGTGCTTGCTGGACAATTAGCCTGCGGAGTACTTAATGTATGGCAAGACGAATGGATGATTTGGTCCGGCCGACGGCATGGATAGGAAGCCCCCCGCGACCCAGTCCTCCTGATCTGCTCCCGTTCGGCGACCCCCGCCTGTCTATGCGTCTTCGCTGGCGCGTCTCTTCGATGACCTCTAACTCCATAACCCCTACTATTCCCCACCCCAACGATCCAAACGATTTACCTACAAGATGACCTCAATAGGCACTGGCTACGACCTCTCCGTCTCCACCTACTCTCCCGACGGACGTCTCTTCCAGGTCGAGTACGCAGGTAAAGCCGTCGAAGCTGCTGGGTGAGTACCCCCCTCCCCTCCCTTTTTCCAGAAGTAAAGCTGACACAGAGCAGCGTAGCAGTCGGTCTCCGATGCAAAGACGGCATCCTCCTCGCCACCGAACGCATCCTCCACTCCAAGCTCCTCGTCAAAGGTGCCAACCGCCGTATCGCCTCGGTGGACGAACACATCGGTATGGCCGGTGCCGGTCTGTTGGCGGATGGAAAGTACTTGGCGAGTAGGGCGAGGGATGAGAGTGGGAATTTTAGGGAGACGTATGGGAGGGGGATCAGTGTGAAGGTGGGTTTGTTGTTTCCTTGGGTCTAAGGCTAGAGTATTGGTGGTGGGCATGGAGGGTGTGGGAGATGGGTGTGAAGAATGCTGGAGAGAATCCAGCTCGCGCTATGCTGGGGATTGACCACATTACACTCTCATACTAATATACCACCCAGATCCTCGCCGACCGTCTCTCCGCCTTCCTCCAAGCCTACACCTCCTACGGCTCCGTCCGCCCCTTCGGCCTCTCCGCCCTCATCGCCGGCGTCGACTCCGCCTCCAAAACCCCGCTCCCCCAACTGTACTGTGTGGAACCCTCAGGCGTGTACTATGGCTACAAGGCGACAGCCGTGGGTAAGGGTAAAGCGCTGGCAAAGACAGAGTTGGAGAAGATTGTGAAGCGGGAAGAGGAGGGAGAGGCGATTGGTGTCAAGGAGGGGATTGATGAGTTGGCGAGAATGTGCGTTTCTCTTTATCTCTTTTCCTCTTGATGTGGACAAGGCTGATGAGAAATAGTGTCTACCTCGTACACGACGAAAACAAGGACAAGGACTTTGAACTCGAGATGACGTGGGTTTGCGCAGAGTCCGGATGGAAGCACGCGCTCGTGCCGGAAGACTTGCTGAAGACTGCCGAGGAGAAGGCCAAGGCCGCGCTGGAAGAGGGTATGGAGGAGGATTAGACGGATGTGTCTTGTGAAGGATTGGAAGAAGAGCACATTCATGAGATTTTCATGTATACAAATGGGATATACCGAGTGTCTTTGGAATGAGCTCGAGCAAAGCTTGTTCGTTGCACACCCGGCATATGAAGCCTCACAGGATCATTGTAATGCTGACGAGTCTGGGACATCTTTTCGCCCCCTGTCCTTGGTCGTCCTATGCCTTGCTATGATCTGCCTCCGCCCCGGATCAGTTCCTCCGTCGTTCAAGTTTCAACTGATGACATTCTGCTCTATCCCGCCGCGCGGTTGTCTAGTGGACAAGATGGCGCAGACTTGGAATAGGGAGGGAACAGCTTGGCAGCCGTTCGTGATAATGGTCGTAGCGGAGGTGTATCCGAAGCAGCTCATGCAGGAAACAGTTCCCGACCAATATGGGAAGGACCGATCGAGTAAGCGACTGTGTTCGGTGGTCGTCAACAAGTAGATGCCGCATGCCTCATCCCAACATCCGTCATAGTCGAAATCCGAATCCAATACATGCTCCCAACCATCACCCAAGCCTACTTTCCCTCCTCCCCTTCCACCAGCCCCAAAGACACTACCACACCCGTAGCAGCCTTCTCGGCGGCTTTACGCGCATCGGAGCCAGAGTGGAGTTCTTTTTGAATAAAGTGGGCCTTGACTTCCTTGGCTCGGGCGATCTGATGGTTTGATGAAGGGGGTGTTGATGTGAGAGGAGAATGATGCAAAGTTTGAGGGGAAAGAGGGAGAGGGGAAGAGATTATAGTCAGCTTTATGTTCTTCGTTTGTGTCACGCCGTTGGTCTCGACCACCCCTCTGAGACGGCTCGACTCTCCCATCACCATTCTCATTGATCTATCAAGACTCCGCACAAGGAGCACGGGTCCCGTTCCAGCGCGACGACCCATCCTGATCCACAACGCTCCAAATCATAGACCCCTTTCTCCTCTCCGTCCCTTCCCCATGATCTTCCACCTCCCTCCTACCCCTAAAACCACCAAATCACGCAAATAGAAACTGAACCCACCTCCTTGGTATTGTGAAGACACTCCAGGTAATCGTCCTTGGGAGCGATACAGTCGGTGGGCTTGTCGGCGTTGGCGTAGCACTGTTTGTGCGGGCGCGCGCGCGATTTGATTTCGATGGGTTGTATCGAGTTGATTAGAAAGTGAACGAGACACGGCGATGATTTTGAATGAAGATGCGGTTTGAATGAAAATTATAGTGGAGTTGGACAGCATGGAGAATATGACAGAATGTGGGGGTCACGGTAAGCTCTGAGCAACGTTTGCAGAGGTGATAGACGGACCTTAGAGAATTCTTGCCAGAAAGGGAAACATCTTGTTCGACCTGTTCCCTCATCAGCTTCTCATCCCCGTCCTCCCCATTCAGCATATCCTAGCTCATTCTCCTCGATTGCAATAAAGCATCGTTTTCGGACATTTGCCGATCCTTCTACATGAGACCAACCGACGCACCACCAGTATACCCGAAACCAGACTAGACCAGAATCAGCTTCTGCCCTTCTACCCCATCCCGGCGAGGTACTCACAGCCATGTTGGATGATGCGTTAGGTGAGAGCTGGAGAGCACTGTCTGTCGAATGCGCGGGCTTTGGTTCGCTGAGTGAGGACTTGGGGACAAAGGGGAGGGGCGGATAATTTCGGGAATTCGTGGAGGCGGCCATGGCCGTTTGGGCATGGGTCTCTTTCAACGTAGAGTCGGAAGTGTCTTATGCTCGCACTGTCTCCCATATGGAAACGTTGATATGTTGGCATGAGTACAACGTCGTTGAATATGCATGATGCGTAAGATGTGGTAGGTATAAGACAAGATAATCACACAGATGCTGGTGGTTGAAGATACACGTCTCCTCCGTACAACCCTCTCCTTTCCACCCCCTTCCATATCCTCTCTTGTATGATGCGTCTAGAGATCCATTAAGCGTTTCATTGCTTGCCAAGTGGCGAACGATATGCTGCGAGGATGTCAGCGGGCCGCAAACACGAAAGGATAGGAATTGAACGCACCTAGACATCGGTATGACCTTGACATACCCAATACTCAACCCCACATAGAACCCTCTCCACCCCCTCGCACTGTATACCTTGCTCACAGCTTCCCTCCAGCTGATCCCTCCATTCCCCAACGTACCGCCAACCTGCATCCTACGTCGGATGACTTCAAAGGGGTACGATGCAGTCTGGGAGACGGCACCTGCTACAGCACCACAAGCCAGATCGCGCGCTGTGGGGTGCTGGTGAAAGTAGGGAACGTATTCGGCAGCGTGCCTCTTCAGTGTGCCGTACGTGAGGAAACCGACACCGGCATACGGCACCATGCCGAGGATTGTCATCGAGAAACCTCGATAGAAGGGGTATAATGGCAGATTCCGTATGAAGGGAGAGATGGAGTTTGATTTTTTGGCCGAGGGGGGAATGTCGGCTTCGTGGTAGATGGCCTTGACGACTTGGGTGAGGGAAGTGCGGCCGCTGGATTTTGTTTGGTATGCTAGGCGGACGCGGATGAGTTCGAGGGGGTATGTGCAGAGGACAGATGCGACGCCTATACCCTTGAATCAGCTCCGCAACGAAAGGGAAGGAATGTAGGTTTACCAGATAGGGAACCAGCAAGGAAGAATCTCGCAGGCGTTCTTTGATCTGGCGTCTTGATCAATTTCTAACCATAAGTCAGTCACACCAAGCCTCACGAACTCAAGCTATGTTACGCACCCGTTCTAACCAGTCATAAAGCATGTATTTGATGCCAGCATAAGGGAATATTCGTAGTAATGTCGCAGAATGTCCTTGAAAAAGTCCTCTAATGCCAGATTCTTGATAGATCACTTTGGTCGCGTGCAACATGCCGAGCGGTGTGCCTATAGCAAAAGTCAGATCGGGTATAAGGGCATGAGAGTCAGATGGATAGTAGACGGGCTTTGTGATCCCAATGCTTCGACCGCCTGATGTCATCGCTGCTCTGAGACGAATCGAGGGTCGGTCATACACATCGAGATCCATTCACCGAGGCCTCCGGCGAGACGGCGTAATGAAACAAGACTCACCAGCATACTGACGAAACTCCGCATTGGACGTCTGAAACAATATCTTGACTCGATCCAACGGTGCTATTGACGTTTTCGCCTTCCGAGGCTGTTAGCAGAACGCCACCAGGAGACCAAAGTGACTGACAACACAACCAGCGATACCTCCAGCAACTCCGCTACTCAAAACTGCTCGGAGTCAGCGCTATACATTTTGATATGTACATACTCACCATAGTCCCAACTCGTTCTATCTGACTTTGCCCTCTCCCTACTCTTCTTCCACATTTCCGACGCCGTCCACCGGTCGGTCTCCCTAGTTGGTGGCCAAACCGACTCTTCCAAAGGCGTGTTGATCGTCATCCCCGTCGCTCTCTCCTTTCCCTTCGAGGTCGAGCTGGGCCCGGGATCTTGATGGAGCATGTAGGCGGTGTAATGGATCTGTTGTTATTTGCGCAGAAGGAAAGCAGAGGTGAATGGAAATTGGTCGGATAAGCGGAGAAATTGCCGGCGGCGGTCCTCATTACATAACCAGGTCGGATCCTATATCCGAGTTGCTGTTGGTCGATAGTCTTTGCTGTATGCATTCCATGCAAGACGGATAAGAGAGAATGAGTGCTCATCCCCTGATGTCTGGCACAATTATCGTTCCGTGACCTGGACTCAAATTCGTAGTATTGGGTCACCGCTTATGATGCTCGTCCAAACCAGCATATCGCATATCTCCTCTAGATATCGCTTTTATTCCCTTGTAGCCGGTGCATGGTATGTGGAGGCTGTTGTACTTATCTTTCTGTAGATCGCTGGTCGATTGTCAGCTTCAAACGACTGGGCAGGTTTTGATGTCAAGTCATTCGTTCTTTCCACCTCTAATACAACGCGACGCGTGGCGGAGACCTCCACTTTGTGCTCGTCAACAGATCCCACATTCCTGACTTCCTCATTCTCCTCGTCCGGCAGCTCTAGGATGCCCTGATGGCCGACTACATCCCCCTCGGCGCAAACGGAGTACCCCTCAGAACCCTGTCCCAGCGCGCCACCCCTTCCTCGGCCATGCCCCGCCTCCCAGTAGATCCCCCGGAGACGCCGACGCCATCCTCCAAGATGTCACGAAATAACAAGAAGAAGAAGAGGGTCAGTGATCTACAGGGAGGGGCGGAGGAAGAGGAGGCGCTCTTAGGGGGGTCAGTGCTGGGTGGAGAGGCGGCCGAGGAAGATCATTCGAAGCCACGCATCAGTCCAAAGTCAAAGGGACGGATAGTGCCACTACAACCGACTTGTAAGTGTCTTTTCACAATGGGCAAAGTGTACAGGGCTTATATCGCGTAGCATCAAAATCATCATACCCAGCAAATGTGGTCAGAAATCAAAAATACTCCATCATCACCTTCCTCCCACTCGTCTTTTACGAGCAGTTCAAGTTCTTCTTCAACTTCTACTTTCTTGTCGTCGCCCTCTCCCAATTTATCCCTGCCCTCAAGATCGGTTACATCGTGACCTATGTTGCACCTCTAGCATTTGTGCTGGCAGTGACGATGGGAAAGGAGGCATACGACGACTATCTGCGGTTCAAGAGAGATCAAGAGGCAAACTCAACCCGATATCTCGTCCTCCTCCCCCAGCCGCCCACTCCTGAACCCAATCAATTCACTCTCGACGACGAAACTCCCAGCCATCATCACCTCCCTCGTCCCCAAACACGATCTACTCCAGCTTCGAGTATCAAAGTCGGCGACATGGTGCTCCTCGAGAAGAACCAGCGTGTACCTGCCGATATGGTCCTCCTCACAACGAGCGAGGAAGAAGGCACCTGCTTCATCCGAACCGACCAGCTGGACGGAGAGACGGATTGGAAGCTCAAAGTCGCTGTGGGCGAGACACAAAAGACGGGCGAGGCGTTTGTGGGCAGCGCCGAGGGATTCCTCTATGCCGATCCGCCTATCAAGGACATTCACACTTTCTATGGTATCCTGACGCTGAGGTCGATGGGGCCAGGAGAGGTGGATGAGGCAGAAATCCCACTCTCTGTGGAAAATGTGCTTTGGGCGAATACGGTGTTGGCGGCGGGGTCTGCCGTCGGAGTTGTCACGTATACGGGGAAAGAGACGAGGGCCGTCATGAATACGAGCGAAGCTGGGACAAAGATGGGGACGTTGGAGAAGGAAGTAAACAGGATGGCAAAGGTAAGCTGCCAGTCAACCACACGAGTTTACGCTGATCCCGGGCAGATTCTCTGTACGGTCACATTCGCCCTTTCTCTCTTCCTGGTCGCCTTGAACGGCTTTCGCGGACAGTGGTACATCTACGTCTTTCGCTTCCTCATCCTCTTCTCATCCATCATCCCCATCTCCCTACGTGTCAATCTCGACATGGGCAAGACGGTGTATGCGCACCAAATACATACCGATAAAGAGATTGAGGGTACAGTGGTGAGGACTGGAACATTGCCGGAAGAGCTGGGGAGAGTGGAGTATCTGTTGAGCGACAAGACGGGGACTTTAACGAGAAATGGTAAGCTCTCTTCTAGGGCACCCAATGATGTACGATACTGACTATGACATCAGAGATGGAGCTGAAGAAGCTGCACATGGGCACGCTGGTCTTCGGATTCGATTCCATGGATGAAGTAGCGCATCTTTTAACTGCTGGTTTGGATGAAGCAAGCGGAAGCCGTAAGACACCCACACGCGAGTCTGACATACACTGACCCGGTTACAGATGGTAGGCAAGGCTCATTGCCCAGTGCGGGGATAAGAGGTAGAAGGGATATGACAGGCCGAGTTCGCGACGCCGTCATGGCTCTCGCCACATGCCATAACGTACGTCTCCATCTGCTCTTTGTTCTTCCCGCTCACAGTCTTTAGGTCACACCCGTGTTGAACGACGACGGCACGACGACCTACCAAGCCTCTTCCCCCGACGAAGTCGCCATCGTCGAATGGACCCAGTCCGTCGGCCTCACCCTCACCCACCGCGACCGCACTTCCATGACCCTCTCCACCCCCTCCGGCCAGACATTCAAATTCTCCATCCTCGCCATCTTCCCCTTCACCTCCGAATCGAAACGCATGGGCATTATCGTCCGAGACGAGCAGACGCAAGGGTATCTCTTTGTGCAAAAGGGAGCAGATGTTGTCATGCGGGATATTGTGCAGAAGAATGATTGGTTAGATGAGGAATGTGGGAATATGGCAAGAGAGGGTCTGAGGACGCTTGTACTGGGCAGGAAGAAGTTGAGTGGGGAGGGATATGCGGCGTTTGACAAGGCGTACAAGGCGGCGCTGTTAGTGCCGGGAGAAGGAAGGGCGGTGCAGATGGCCAAGGTGATCTCGACGCATTTGGAGTCGGACGTTGAGTTGCTGGCTCTGACAGGAGTTGAAGATAAACTCCAGGAGGATGTCAAGCCTACGCTGGAGCTGCTGAGGAATGCCGGGTTGAAGATCTGGATGTTGACGGGGGACAAGATTGAGACGGCTACGAATATTGCTGTCAGCAGTAAGCTTGTAGCAAGGGGACAGTATATTCATCAGGTTGCCAAACGTGAGTCCCGTACAATGAAGTCTTAGGACGACTGCTGACAATAGTGAAGTGAGGACGGCAGATGAGGTTCGAGACATGCTCGATTTCTTGCAAACGAAACTGGATTGCTGTCTTGTTATTGATGGTGAATCACTCCAGGTGCGCCACCTCTGCCGACGATTTCTTCCTTGACTGACCAACTATGCCCCAGCTTTGTCTCGACCGCTTCCGCACAGAATTCATCGTTCTCGCCACAAGGCTCCCAATTGTTGTCGCCTGTCGATGTTCACCGACGCAAAAGGCCGATGTTGCTTTCTTGATTCGAGAGTATACAAAAAAGACGGTGTGCTGCATCGGTGATGGCGGTAACGATGTCAGCATGATTCAGGCTGCTGATGTTGGTACGTCCCTTCTTCATAATTTGACTCAGTAAGAGAAGTTGACCGACTGGCTCAGGTGTGGGCATTGTCGGCAAAGAAGGCAAACAGGCATCCTTGGCTGCGGACTTTAGTATCAATCAGTTCTCACATCTCACCAAGCTTTTGCTTTGGCACGGACGAAACTCGTACAAACGGTCTGCCAAGCTTTCGCAGTTTGTGATTCATCGAGGATTGATCATTGCCGTCATCCAAGCTGTCTTTAGCTCTATCTTCTTCTTTGCCCGTAAGTATCTTCTTCCCCAAAGTGTACCCGTGCTAATCAGCAATCACAGCCATCGCCCTCTACCAAGGATGGCTGCAAGTTGGATACGCCACGCTATACACGATGGCGCCCGTCTTCTCTTTGGTTCTCGATAGGGATGTCAATGAAGACTTGGCGCTGCTCTACCCTGAGCTTTACAAGGAGCTCACGAAGGGACGCTCCTTGAGTTACAAGACCTTCTTCACGTGGCTTACCATTAGTGTCTATCAAGGTTCGTATTGCCGGGTTGTTTGACTGAGGGCAATGCTCATCTGAACAAACAGGTGGAATCATCATGCTCCTCTCCCTTCTCCTCTTCGAATCCGAGTTCCTGCACATCGTCGCCATTTCATTCACAGCTTTGGTCATCAATGAGCTCATCATGGTCGCACTGGAAGTGACCACATGGCATAGCTACATGGTATTGAGTGAAGTGGGAACGGGAGTGGTGTACTTCGGAAGCATGGCCTTCTTGCCAGAGTACTTTGGTCAGTCCTCTCGAATTTAACATGTCTTACGGGGCTAATGGGATGACAGACATCGGCTTTGTACTCTCAAAGACATTTGCGGTCAAGGTAGCCATCATCGTGGCGGTCTCGTCTTTCCCGCTGTATGTCATCAAGGCGGCTCATCAGCGCTTGAATCCAGCAGCATACAAGAAGGTTGCGGGATTATGATAAGGCTTCTGGTGTGTGTATAGTAACGACCTTTGACGCTTTTTGGCTTTTTTTTTCTCGCATGCATGCTGATCCATGAAGTGGACCTACTCGTACTCAAGAAGGCCTTTCTTTGCCAGTTACTTGCCGCGCGTGGTACCTAAGGTGCCGTTCCTGCGCATTTTGTGCGTGCTCGTCTTCAGAACAAAGACAATGTCGAGAGCAATTTCACCAGCAGCGTCTCCTGTTCAATTGGTTCTGCCACACACATCAGAGATCTCTCCTTCCTCCACTACTATGCCGACACCGTGAGGTCTGATAGCAGGTGATGACTCACTGGTCGCACCCAAGCATAAGAACACCTGTAATCCAAAATGCTCGACAAAAGGATCTTCTAGCTCAGAGTGAGCAAAGGAAGCATCTGATCTTTGTTCAAAATAGGAAAAGACGTACCCCACATCTCCTGCACTCTTCTCCTTCAAAAGGGTGGCTCGGGCTGCCAGTGTATAAGCGTCTACATCTCCCGCAAAAGTACTGCCGGACCCATTCCCCTCCAACAGGTGGACGGCGCGACATGTAAGAGAGCGACTCGGCACTGACAGGCTTGCCATAGTTGGCCAGGTCGCGAGCCACAATCTCCTCGTTGTTGGAGCTACTAGACTCGCTGTAGCTATGCCGTGCGATACTAGTAGTGGATGAAGAGTGTCGAAGCAGCAACGTAGGACGTGGTGAGATGGGCGGTGGGGGTGGTGATGACGCAGGCGTTGGCATCCTGAGTGTTACTGGGGACTGAAGTGCTAGTTTCTTTTGTGCAAGATCGGCGAGACGACCGAATATACAGCGCTGGAAGACTGCGAATAGCCAACGGATGGCTTCCATCGTCGTTTGGACATACACTTGTTGTGTTGGTATTGTTCGCATATATGTTGTTTCAAGATCTCTTCGGGACATATCTTGGACGCCACTCTACTTGCTGAGCCCACGCTGATCCAAATGCCCTTCCAGCACCTCGACAGCGGTAGAACAACACGTGGATCAACCTTCTTGACAGGCCTCGCGCTAGTCGTCCATATGACAGCAGTGTCGCCCGATCAAGCCGCATGAAATGTGGTAACTGTCGTATGATTCAAAATGATACAAGTACTATGCATAATCGTTATACTACAAACCTTCGTCGATGCCAAAACCCAAATCACCCCTCATCATCACTATAACACTCTCATTGCCTCGAAGCGCCCATCCAATCCTGCCCCCTCAACAACTCTTCAAACCCCTTCTCCCCTCTCGCAAACCTCCCCACCTCCGGCTTATACCGATACAAATGCGCCCCACAATCATCTCCCGAAACCGCCAAAACATCCTTCCCCCAATCCATCGCCCCAACCTCCCTCCCTTTCCACCCATACGTCTCCGCCGCCACGTTGGGCGACTGGGTATCCCATGCTAGTTGTCCGCTCCGGGGCGAACTTGTAGCGAGGTATCGCCCGTCAGGAGAGATGGAGAGACGGATGTAGAACGAGTTAATAAGCAGGTCGGGGTGGGTGAATTTTTGGGGTTGGATGGTTTCTGCCACTTGGTCCAGGGTCGCTTCTGCCATTTCTTCAGGAGAGAAGGCAGCGGAAGGACGGATGACGTGAATTTTGGAATCCCCGCATAGGGCGTAAATGTCCCCCGTGGAAGGGCTTTCGACCATGGCGTTGATGCTCCTTGGGCGTTTGCTTGGGGAACCGCCGCTGAGGGTGCAGTCTGGCAGGACGCCTGAGGAAGTGCAAGATGAACGCGGGGTGGGGGAACGGGGTGTTGGGGCGGGGAAACGGAGGTCCCAGAGTTTGACGATACCGTCGAATGACCCGCCTGACGCAAGCGTGCCAGGCATGGAATTCAGAGCGAGGAGGGAGGTGACGGAACGCGTCGCAGAGCGCTGTCCGGTGTCAGTAAAACTCTTTTCGTGTCATTCTGTACTCACGCTTGAGGTCCGACGGTCCCCATGAGCCGACTTGATGGTCATCACAGGATCCAAAACATCTCCACCAGTTTGCGCCGCCCACCCCGGTACACCATTCATATACCTGTCCCTCGACCCTTCCCTCGACCCCCGTCCATCGTCGGATCCTTTCACCATCCGTCCCTTGGTTCTCACATCAAATATCAAGATGTTGCCATCTCGCCCACTCGACGCAACGATGGAGGAAGACATGGACGGTTCCGCAGAACGCGTCGGGTCGAAGAATGTGACCGTCTTTACAGAGGCCGTGTGGCCGCGGAGAGTTGCGAGGAGGGTGGGTGTAGGGGTCGTAAGTGCATGAATCCGTGATGTTCCATCGCCAGACCCGGTAAGCTGTTGTAGAATCAGTATGGACGCGTCTTGGTGTCGAAACACGTACGATGCGAGTATCATCTGCCGACCACTTCAGATCAAACACCGTATTGGAATGAGCTCTCCACCACCACCCCTTCTCCTCCCTATGCATCCCAAGGCCTTCATCAAAATCCACAATCCTCAACCCTCCTTCTTCATTGCCGACTGCTATCAGTCTGCGCAGGCCTTGGCCGCGAGCCTCGTGGGACGTGTACCGTTTGGCGGTATGGCTGAAAGTGATAGTCAAGGGAGGTGAATAGTCGCGAGCGATGCCGTTCGGGGGGTGGATAGATGGTAAGAAGAGCGAAGATGGTGGTTCTTCGGGGTGGTATGGCGCCAGAGAGTGCCAGAGTTCGCGCAGATATGGAGGCTGTGGAGGTATGACTGCGACCCAGTCAGCATCGATCGCACAGCCAAAAGCCGACATACAGTTGGTGGCATCTAGCCCTGTCCCTCGTGAATTGACACCTAGGCGTCTTCTACGCCGCTTCCACGCGCTGGACTCCACTGCTGGCTCCACAACAGCCAATGGTTCAACGCGTCTCTCCTTTTCTTGCGGGCGCGAACTCGAAGAGGTACTGGGGGTAAAGTAGTGTTGGATCTTGCGTTTGTGGCCTCCTACTACTGGACTCGGTAGATCTTCCTCGTCAGAAAAGTCTTCGGTGGTCGAAGCAGAGTGAAGGGATGAGGGCGCGTCGTTCCGGATGTGAGACCGCGTTGGCGACAGAGGGCTCGACCTGTCTACCACGCGTCTCTGGCCCTGGCTGCTCGATGGCGTCGCATTCTCTTGACCAGAAAGAGGGCTGGAGCTGGGCTGAGCTCTCTTGTTGCGTGCGAAAATAGGAGCGAGCTTGGTGCGTTTGCGAGACGCGTTGTCAGAGGTGAACGCGTGGGGAGAGGGGGCGTGGTTGCCGTGGAGGGCGGCGAGGGGGTGTCGGTCCATGGTGGGAAGCAGCAAGAAGGGGCGGGAGAAAGAAAGGCAAGACAAGATATAGATGCAAAAGAGATGGAAAGTGGAAACGAGGTTGACCGTAACCCCGCACGGACTGCCTCCACCGAACGCGAAACGCGTAGTGCAGAGTCATCTCGGTGCCTCACGCGACGCGTGGGCTCATTCAATCACATTCCAGTTCAATTCTTGCGAATCTCCCTCCATCTACACCACTCCCCACCCCCCCCAGGCATGGCATTCAACTACTTCTCACTCCCCCGTTTTTGACTGCCCGGACAGGCTATGCGGATAATTGTAAAAAATGACCGTTAATCGTCCAAAATCACTGATAGACGCCAAAAATATCGACAATCGTCAAATATCGATGCTCATCGATGATCATTGGCTTATATTGCTGATCAGCGCTTGAAGTGAAAGACTCTGCATATGATGCTCCTGCATGTACGTATAATCATCTTCGTATCCAGGTTTTTCAACGCGTATCAAGAGCAAGAGGAAGACATACGAGACAAGAGATATACACCATGGCAGGTATATGTAACGCTGTCCCAAGCCGCGTGGGGCTGTGCCCTTTGCACCCGAGCTTCACCTCTTCTCAATTAGCAATCCAGCCCAATCCTACAGTCAATGCTTCGGTCTGTTAGTTACTGACTGAACGTTTTCGCCACGAGAACTTGACGGATCTAACCGTCCCCGACGTTGTCAGGAGAGGCCGTTTCGTGTATTCATCCGTCTCAAATGCTTCACGCTTGTCCCATAAAGCCGGACGAGGTTGGAGGGAAGAAGAGAGATGGGAAGGAAGACCAATGGTGCAGGTGATGGGTTCGATGAATGCAAGTCTTGTCTATGTCATCATCAGGCATGCTGTGATCCGATGACTGACCAGGGCTGAAGTTCGGAAGGGCAGCTGACATAATCGATGGTGCAAAGCGCTATTCATTGGCATCGTACATCATCGAATATGTATAATAACGCGCGGACAGGTAGAGCGGGAATGCATGGGCACGAATACAACAATTCAAACAAGCAATCCCGGATCTCATAAACGAGTCGAAGCCCAAACCAACTGCAAAAAGGTCTCGCCTGCCCGTCCCCCTAAACGAGATCCACGCTTATGATAAGAGGTGATAGCAAATCAACACCCACCGCTCAATAGCACCGCCAACTTTAAACGACACTCGAGAGCACCACAATATCTCAAACTCGGATCCAATCACCCAAAATACTGTACAACGCAAGCCGCAAGGGACCCGGGGACTCGGACGAGATGGCCGCTATCCTCGTCGGCATTGGCGAAAACAAAGATAAGAACTAGGATAAGGAGCATGCGCCAGCATGGTACCTTCTTCGCCTTATCACGCCGGGCTTGCACATGGCATGTGGCGGTGCGATACATAAAGGGAGTGATAATGAGAAAGCATCGGACAAGGCCGAGGAAGCAGAAGCGATGAGTAGTTGAGTGAGAATTGACAGAGTCGTCAGCAATTCGTTGATGTTGCGGTTTCCGAGCGCTCGGAATCATATCATGGAACCATCCGTCTGTCTCGGGCTAGATCATGCGAAGCAGATAGACGCACGTTCGCACCCTCTGTCTCATCCTCTTGGAGTCCAGACCAAGTACACCACAGCGCTCAACCCGTGACAACTGCAACGGACAGCTGACATATGAGAGCCGCCCCAAGCGCCTTCAAGAGCGCCAGACCCGAAAAGATACAACCCGGGAACGCGACTTTGATTTGCGCATGTGATGACGGCAAGATAACGCCTCATGACGAGAACGCCTGCTCATCATACCTATCAAGGCCGACGGCCGACGGTAACCCTTGACGGGGTCGGTTGCGCTTCCAATATCGCTTTGTGACTTGCGCAACCCAAATACGACACGCACGTCGAGGCGAGGCGACGGGGACACCGTTCATGAACGTCTTTTGCCGAGACATCGAGATTCATGCATATGAGTGGGACCCCAAGGCCCAAGGCCCGAGAATTTTGAAGCCAGACGGCTATCGTCGGGTCTTCAGCCACACCAACGGCCAACCAAGTCCAACTGTGCAACTCTTTTCGGTCCACTTCGTTTTGCGTTCGGATAAGACGGGTCTAGACCGATCAGATCAGCGGCCATGACCGCGCCGGACACGCCAACACGGACATGCGCATGATGGGAAAGCATGGGTCGTTTTTAAGTTATCTTTCGGCCTTCGGTGGGCTTGTTTGTGGAGTCCAAACCCAACTGCATGGAATCATGATGGCAGATGGACTACAAATCGTACGGGGATCACGGGGATTGGACAGGACACCAAACAACACAAGCGCTCGCTTCTTTGCTTCGCGTGCTCCGCACGGATCGCATGGAGGATGAGCGAATATGAGAAGGGAGAGCTTGCGTACTACGGCATCGGTTATCTTTGGCAGCAAAAACCATGAATAACTCTCTCGGAGTCGTTCTCGCTACCAACACCGGAACGTCCGTCAGCGCCAACTATGCCCCAATTACCCACCGCTCTGGACCATGCATCGGCCTAAGCAAGCGTAATACAAATGGCTACATCGGCCACGTCGGTTGGCTCAACTGCTAATGGAAGAAACGACCTGTTTTTGGCAAATGTTGGTAAACAACTTTGGGCGAATCAACAAGCAAAGAGATCATCTTTTTTAGACGAGGTGTGCTCGTCTGCATTCGGCACGACGGCAAGAGACCACGGCGGCCACGGCAGACCCAAGAGAGTGCACGACGCAGATCGGGCTTTACGCGAAGGGTACCGAAATGTAAGACACGAGCGGGGCTCAAAAATAGAGGTGGTAAGGGCGGTGGGGCCATCTTTGGTCAATGTTCTTCAGCTATCATCCAATAACAAACGTTTCAATTGCTTTTTTGAATTTCCTGAGCCTGCATTGTCGCAGATGCTGGTGAACTCTGGTGCCACTAGGGCACTGACTGGGCCGCTTGTACGTTCTTTACACAGCCCAAAGATCCCAGAGGCGAGAGCCAACCCGGCGCAGGTGGTCAACAAGCGAGAAGCGAAGCGCGTCAGACGTTGGGTCAGTCGTTTGGATGCCGTCACCCAGCTCAGTTATGTCTCTCTGCATGTACAGCATTGTAGTCTGCTCTGCCTTACTGACCCTCTCGAGGTGCCATATCCTCTGCTCAGTACCACTCCAGTTTCCATCCAGTAAAAAAGGCCGGGTCAAAGAGACGACAAATCAAGACGCCGCCGAGACGCCATTGAGAGTAATGTTCTCGGAAGTATAATTGCGAGATCAATCGGGATGTCACCTGGGGTTAACGACAGGTTAACGAGGGGCCAGACGGGCGGAGATAGGCGATAGTTGGACAAGGGTGGCTTGTGTGCGCTCGCTTGTGCATGACAGATAGGACGGGAGAGCACGCTGGACGAGAAATGGACCGAAGATAGGCCGCCATGGCCGTCACTGAGGCGAGCATCGGCGGACAGGGATAAGCGCCTGATAAGAAGCGAGCATGTCCGGACACGATTCTATCAATTGTTCGGCAAGCCAAGTGCCCCCCGAGGAGGTAAACGAGGCTCCCAATTGCACCCATCCCATTTCGAATCCCCCTCTCATCTCCCACCGCCATGTCCTCCCTCGCCCTCCCTGCCATGCACCACTCCGCCCACACCCCCTCCCCCCACCCCCCACCCCCCCACCCCTCCCCACCGCCTTCCCAAATTCATCCCGCGTCCGCAAGAGGAGCACACCCCCGCTCGAGGAAGACTCGGATGACGAGGATGAGGATGATAAACGTCGTGGACCGGGGCCGAGCAAGAAGAAGGCGAGTGGCGCTGGGGCGTGGGGGTGGGATGATATGGGCGACTATAAATACATGGTCGAGATAAGGCAAATGGTATGTCATTTTCTGTCTGTGGATGATTGTTGGGAGGTGTGTCGACGTGTTTGGCATGGGTGGAGTCGGGCAAACATATTGCCCTACTTCCCCACAACCCCTATCCCATTGTTCTCAGTCCAAAGGCATCAGAAATCTGCCTCTCGCGCAAAATCTTCTGCTGGGTAGTCAACTCTGACAACCGCTACCGAAACCGGCATACGTCTACCCAAAATAGCATGCTAACTCCCCTCCCAGATGTTTGTCTTTGGCGAAGTCCAAACCCCCCTATCCGAAACAGTCAAACTCGTCGAAGATATCGTCCGCTCCCAAATAATCGAAATCGTCACCCGCGCCCGTCTCCTTACCCACCTCCGCTCATCCCGCTTTCTCTCTCCTGAAGACCTCATCTTCTTAATCCGAGACGACCGCGCGAAAGTGAACCGCCTGCGCACGTATCTGTCTTGGAAAGATGTACGTAAAAGAGCAAAGGAGGAAGCGGAGAGAGCAGGGCAAGGGGAGGATGTTGATCTGGAGGAAGGAGGAGGGGAGGATGAGAAGGGTCTGAAAGGGAGGAAACAGATGGTCAAGCTGCCTTGGGAGCTGTTGACGCCGTTCACTGCCTTCTTGAGGAGTATACCGGGCAAGGAAGAGGATGAAGAGGAAGACGACGACGAGCTGCAGGCATACGAGGATTCCATGCAGCGTCTAAAAGTAAGCCCTCGTCCCTCACCATCTTGTCGTATAATGCTGACATGACTCATAGGAAGCCGACGAAATCACAAAGAAGATGACAAAAGGCGAATACGCCCAATACGCTGAATGCCGCCAGGCCTCCTTCACATACCGCCGTGCCCGCCGTTTCCGCGAATTCATAAACTTTGGCGCCTACCTCGACGTCCGTCCAAACGACGATATCGTCGACATCCTCGGTTTCCTCGCTTTCGAGATGGTCAGAAGTCTGTGTGTGACGGCGTTGGACTTGAGGGAGAGGCTGGAAAAGACCAAAGTGACTGGTGCCGCCGGCGCGGGAGGGGTAGCGATGGAGAAGAAGACTTCTTCCAATGGCGGTGACCCCCAATCATCACCCACCAAACCCCCCGCGCCCCTCTCATCTCCGATCAAAGAATCCTCCGACCTCCCTGCATCTGCATCTGACGAGCCGCCCAAACCCACACACCCGCCCAACCCGCCATCCCTCTTTGCTCCTCCGCCTTCTGCGCGCCAGCCGTTGCAGCCGTGCCATATCCTTGAGGCGTTTGGGCAGATACAGAGGGCGCAGGCTGTGAAGCGTGTTGGGGGGATGGGGAACTTTAGGGGTGGGGTGGTAGGGAGGAGGAGGATGGCTTTGGTGTAGGCCTCGAAGGTCTTTGAAGCTCTGGTCCAGATAGTGACGAAAAGAAGGACTGAGCGTCTCAATAACAGTTAGTCGATGGTTCTTTGGGTTTTTTGTGACAAGCATCTCTTCAGTTGTAATCTGTTCTTCAATATGTTTACTATCAGGTATATAAACTACTTTATTTCCCCCTTGTGTCCTTATACATACGTTGTGTTTCTCTTTGTAAAGCAATTGGTAGCCTTGTCATACTCAACACATGTACTGGGCCAAGAAATGCAGCATCCCAAATCATATCAGGCTCTTAAACACACATCAAATTTGGACTGGGTAATCGGCCCAAGCTGAGACCGTCGGCAACTTTTGCGCGCATCTCCTCTTTCATTCCTCCCTTCATCACAATCCACCGGCATATGGCTTTCCCCCCCTCGGTGCACCACCTGCACCTCCCCCGCACTAAGCGCCACCACCGCGCATTCCAAGACGCATCTCAAGAAGACGAGCTCGACCCGACCCAACCTTCTCAATCTCAGCTTCGCAAAGGCAAGGGCAAGAATTCAGTTTACGGAGATGGTCAAAGAATAGGGATTACGGATGATGTTGGTGTTGGGGGTGTAGTGGGAGGGTTTGGGAAACAGGCGGGGGTCAGGCTGGATAGGGATAAGAGAGGAGGGTGGGGTTGGAATTGGAGTTTGGAAGATCCGAAGGGAGGGACGAAAGAGGGGAGGTGGTCTACTGGGAAGGCAGCCACATACTTTCCCGGGACGATCTCGACTGAGACAGAGGGGATGGGTATGCCTTTCGAGGATGTTCTTCAGAGCTCTGTGAGTACGCGTCTCAGAAGGTTTAAAAAGTCAGAGCTGATAGGAACAGGTGCAATACGCTGAATCGCTCTGTCTCCCTTACGAACGCGATGGCCTCCGAGACGTCATCACAGAAATTCTCACTGAAGACCTTCCTTCCGCCGGTCCATCGGGCACGTCCAAACAACCTGGCTGGCCGCATCTGGACCTCGACCTCAACCCAGAGATGAACAGGAAGAGGGATGTGTACAGAGGTGCCAGGGTGGCGGTTGTACAGAATCCAAAGGGAAGGCCAGCGAGAAGCTTTGTGGCGTTTCCGACCGGGAAAGTGGGGCATCAGCTTAGTGAGTCCAAGTCTGTCTAGTGGCGGACAGTTTGCTTATACATATCAGACATCTCGCCGTTCATGCCCGCAACCATGGCCAAAGTAGAACGGCGGACTCGTTTCCGCTTTGCCCCTACTACCACTCCAGCAGACGAATTCCCGACGCCTATACTGCAAATATGCTCTTCCGATGTGGTCTCAACATCTCGTATAGACCGTGAGTATCAACACCGGTGCGAGGGTTTGGTTGACAAAGAGTAGGAGACGCTACAGCCCTCATCGTCCGTCTTCAAACCACCACCCACCTCCTCAACATTCACCCCCTCTCATCTATTACCTCGCCCTTCTCCTCAACACGCATAGCCCAACTATCCTACGTCGATACTGAATCCCGCAAACACGTCGACATCGCCCTAGACGCCGAGATATGGTCACGAGCGCTGATGGTCGATGAAGGCGGTGGTGTCTGGTTGTGGTGGGAGGAAAAGGAAACTAAAGGCGGGAGGTTGGAAAAGGTTATGAAGCTGAGAAAGGTACGAGAGGCTGTCGAGGAAGAAGAGGAGGAAGGAGAAAGGTTTTGGACGGTGGCTTTTGGGACGAGGCCGGGTACTGCGATAGTCGTTTCTGCAAGAGAAGCGACGATCATCGATATCGACGATCCCGACCACCCCACTACGAGTCTTATGACGCTAAATGGTCCCACACGTCGCTTTCTCGGTATTGAGAGGACTGCAGCTGCGAGGGGCACCAAGTGGACGGTGATGTGCACTACCCACGAGGTGTTTTGGATCGACGAGATGGGCAAGGGAGTCCCGAGTTTGGGGTGGAAACATGGGTATGAGGGTGCGGACGACATGGAGATCATTGTCCTGCCCGGGGTGAACAAGGGTATGCCAACTTTATCGTGCCAGCTGATCAAGCTGACCCATCACACAGGCGAGTGTACGACCCTCCTATACTCAGCCTCCAACCCGTTCATAACCGTCTTTACAACCCCCAAATCCGGGCCTCTACGTTTCATCGGTCGACCCTACGCGCTATCTCTCAATCTTCCCCCAGAGAGCATCCCTACGACGCTGACGAGCCTGTCAATATCACCCAACCGCCATCTTTCGTCTCTGCTCGGTCTGTCGGACGATGGCACCTTGAGCTATATCCCTTTGAGCGCTACAACCCCTCTCACTCCTTCGGCAGAGAATCAAAAGCCGCTCGAACCAATTCCAGCCTCCTGGGACGATGCCGTCTCTGAGCTGGCGAAGAAGGACGACAGGAACGAATTTGGCGCCGGCGATGGATGGGAAGAGAAAGCAAAAGTCGGTTTTCGAGAGTTGAACCTCAGGTGGGCCTGGCTTGCTATCGGCAAAGACGACGATGGGTCCGATTATGGAGAGGATTATGAAGCCGAGGGACTTGATATCGCGCAGGCGGACATCGAGGAAGAAGATGAGGATGCGGATGTACAGATGGTGTCCGATGGTGAAGAGGGGCAATGGGACGATGATGAGAGCGAGGTGGGCGAGGAACGATGGTTTGTGCCCGAGCTGTTTGAGAGGTACTTGAGAGAGACGGAAGCACCTGTGGAGAGCGTGATGACTGCGTAGGTCTTGCATTAATTGGTACAAGACTGCGCTAAAGTTCGCATAGAGCTGAATTAGCAAGAGACTCGCTGCTACCTTCTTCAGAACCCGAGCGTGCCGAGAATGGCCAAGAGAAGGAGAAGGAAGGCAAAGTCAGCAAGATACTCCCTATACCTCTGCACCCTTCTTCCATTCGCCCGACTCTTGAAGCCCTTGGCAAGATCGATTTCAACAAGCACCTCACCCCTTTACTCAACCTTCAATCCTTTTTGCCTGCTTTAACAAACACTCAGCCTCCCCTGTCAAAAGACAACATCCAACCCGTAAAGCTATATGACCTTCTCTGCGAGGCCTTCCCACCCGAAAGCGCTAGGGTCAGACTCGCCACGGCCCAGCTCGTCGTCTCCCTCTTCCTCTCGAGTAAAGTTGTCTCTCCTGAAGACTTTCTTCCAATTCCCAAATCGGCGCACGACCAGGCTTTGGAAGACGAGCAAGCAGAGGCTCAGAGAAGGGACGAGGTGGAGCAGTTTGTGCAAGCTGCGAGTCGCTTGACATTAGACGAATCAGGGCCGGGGAGAATACAGTTCAACGTACTCCAACCTCGTCTTCCGCATGCTCTTCGAGGTGAAGATGAAGGGGATGGTGAAGAAGAATGGGCGGACGAGGAAGGTGAAGAGGCTGAAAGGGCGGCGGTGGAAGCAGACTTGCAAAGTCGCAGTGCGAAAGCGTTGATGGAGAGCTGGAAAGTGGGAGAAGACCCTGCTGCATGGGTGTGGGAAGACTGGAACCTCGACCAAAGCCATAATACCCCACTTCCTCGGGCGACTCAACCTTCTACCAGCCAACGTGCCCCTGCCCTGCCCACAATCCAGACAGTTCGACCTATACGTCCTCTCCCATCCTCAAGGACGCTATCCAATCTCGCACTACCCTCGCCCAACACACCCGAGCCTCATCAATTCTCCCACCTCGTACCCCCTACCCTCTCAACGTCCTATTCACTTCCTTCGCTGAGTCGAATGCCGGCACAAGCGAGATCTTCACCGCCGCCGGGTTGGGACGGCGGCGGCAGCCAGGAGCTCAGTGGTGCGGGGCAAAGTCAGAGCCAAAGTCAAAGTCAAGGGGTGGAGTGGGCGAGTACGCAGGTGGAGAGAGGAAAGTTTGGGGGCAAGCTGGAGAAGAAGAAAAAAAGCAAGAAACGATTGGGCGGCTTTTAGGCGACATGTATGGGTTTCATGGGTGCTTCATGTGACATTTTGCCCGGATGGTCTGCGGGGACTGTCTTAAGTTTACACACAGGAATGATTGATGACGGCAGCAGTATGATCTAACGAAAGACAGGTCGCGCGGAGCAAGAGACCAGCAAGAAGCATGAAGTTGTGTGCAAGACATTCCAATTACTCTTCAGTCACAAACGGATTCATTCCAGAGGCCTCTCTCAGTACTCTTACATCTCTTACTTGTCTATTTTTGCGAATTTCGGATTATCTGGCTACCAACTATCAAGGAGATAATCATACTCGGGCCCTCTCATATCTCGAACGAGAGCCATGAAGTAGAGTAGATATGTAGATTTGCAAATGTCGCAGCATATCAGTCATCCTTATACATGAAACCCCATTCGTGAATATCAGGACTCAATACAGTAGATTAGAGGTATCCCAGAACAATGCTACATTCCGTCACATACACATCCATCCCCACTCTCGTCATGGCCTCTTCATTGCAAGCCTTCGCTCAACGATTACTTCCAAGCCTCGAAAACCACCGCGGCCTCCTCCCTGCTCCTTCTTGTCCTCCCTGACTCTGCCCTTGCCCCTGTCCCTGTCCTTGGGCCTGCCCGTGACCTCTCCATCCTGCCTCCAAACCCGTCGAACCCTGTCCCCTATCCACAGATTGTGTACGATTCCCAAGCGTAGACACCGCAGACTGGAAAGCATTCAACGAAGGGGGTCTTGCACTGCCATAAGCAGAATGTGCTTGAGCGGTAGCAAACGACGAAGGCGATGGGGGAGGAGCGTTTTGATAACGTGGATAAGGACCAGAACCTGATGGTGCTCGAGGACCCATCGGTCGGCCTCGGGTTTCGCCCCCATTGACTACAGCGCCTGGTCCATTCGAAAAGCGGCCGAGCAAAGACCGCTGGAGAGATTGCTGGCTGGAAGATTGAGAGGAATCTCGAAATTGATCGGGCTGCTGGGGAGCAACAAGATGCTGCGAAGGGGAAGGGTATTGTGGTCCGGTGTGGTACGCCGGGTAGACAGGTGGTTGGATGGTAGGATACCCAGCCGCCGCCGTCCCTGCACCGGGACCCAGAGCCGGATTACCACCTCCCAGCCCAAGGTCTCCACTCACTCCCGGCGACGACCTAAATGCTTCACTCGGTATCCCCGGTGAGATACTCCTCCAGGCATCTTGGTCCCTCAAGTGCGTGAGGCTGCGGCGGTACACCAAGCTCGGATGAAGTGGCGGCTGGGGTGCTGTTCGGTATCTCGGGCCAGCGGGCGATGGGGCGTGGGAAGCGCCGGGGACGGTGAGGGAGGAGGTACTGGAGGATGGGCCTTCAGCGCCAGAGTCTTCGGAAGTGTCATTAGCGTCCATGTTGGGGATATAGTATTCGTTCAAGTAGCTCGTTAGGTCGTTGACGCGTGAGCCCGAGAAGACGCAGAAAGCAGCTCTTTGGTGCTCGTTGAAGGACTACTCGACGTTAGCGGCGTTCTACACAACGGCGAAGGACGCACCTCTGGAGGAGGTCGGCAGAAACTTTGCAGCTCCTGCACCCTGAACGAGCTCACACCCGTCAAGCTCAGATGCTTGAGACCATTGAGCCTGTTGAGCATGAAAGCAACACCCTTGATAGTGAGCTGCTCGCAATACGACAGATGCACTCGTTCCAGGGTGGTATGCTTCTTGACAAGAGCATAGAGAGCCTCATCGGTGATATTGTTTACCTTGCACGGGTCAGCTCTATCGATCACAACGAGGAATGAGGGCGCACCTTGACAAGACCGAACCGCTTTAATTTCGGCATGCTCTCGCCAATTTCCGCAACGCAGGCATCTGTCAAGTTGGTACAACACGCCAGGTCAAGGTATCTAATCCTTGAGCATGACCGAGCGAGGTTGATCACTCCTTTATCCGTGATACTAAATCTTGATCAGACCGGCCTCTCCACGAATGGAAAAACGACTTACGTAGAGACATGGCCTAGATGCAGATTGTGCAAGTGCTTCCCCAATCTTCCAATACTATCCAAACTCTTGTCCGTCAACGACGAACACTTGTTCAACGTCAACTGTCTCAGCTTTGGAGCGTTCGTGACCAAATTATCAATCGCCTGGTCTCCCAGCGACGTGCAACCCGTCATATCCACCACCCTCAGACTATCAAACGACGTTGCACTCGGCCTCAATCCCAGTACACCATTCAGCGGATCAGGCTGCAACCCAATCCGCTCCGAGCATGCCACGATTTCGTCCTCCGACATGTCTGTCAGTTCCTCCAAGTCTGGTATACAGTTCTCTGTGAGAGCGGTGCAGCCGGAGATACGAAGTTCGCGGAGGTGCGGGGCGTGGAGGAATACACAGTGAAGGACGGCGTCGGAGAGAGTGAGGAGCTCTTGGAAATCGTATTCGAGGACGAGGGGATTGGAACGGATGAGGGGAATGAGCGATTTAGGGGAGATGCGGTGACATCTGTCGAATTTGACCTATGTCATGTCAGCAAGCGCAACATAATCAGGGGCATACTCACCCGTCGAAGCAGCTTGTTGTGCTCTACCAACGCTAGAACACCATCATCGCCAACGAGCTTGCAGTCGGACAAGTTGATCGCTTGAAGCTTTGTATTCCGCTCCCCGATCACCTTCATCACCGAGTCGTCGGTATGTATGACATTCGTCAAATCCAGCGACACCATATTCGGCATACATCCCAGCACCGTCGCAAGCCCCTTGGCGCTCAGTTTAGTCGCCCCCGTCAGGTTCATCCTCTCGACCTTGGTGCAGACACTGAGGTACTCGAACAGGCCGTCGCCCAAGTAAGGTGTAACTGCTAGAAGATGGAGCCGTTTGACAGCGTTGGCGTAGGGTAGTGAGCGATTTGGAGAGTTGAGGACGCGGGCGATGGAGCCAAGGACGGCTATGGTCGGGATGGAGGGCTTGTGCCAGAGCAGGGAGAAGGCGCAGAGACACCATGGCCGAGAGACGAGGAGGGCAGAGAGGAGGTCGTGGTTGGCAGGGAGGTATTTGAATATCTACATCTTGTCAGACTGATAAAAAACGAAGCAGCGGAATGGCTCACTTGAAGGAGTATCTCGGGAGGCAACGTCTCGGCCATACCTCTCGGCGGAGTATCATCTCTCCGCTTCCCCTTCTTCGTTTCACTCATCTCACGCTGTTCTTCTCCACGAAGCAGCCAAGTTTTGGCCTCTTCATCCACATCAATTCCCTCCTCCCCTTCTATCCCCTCGTCTTCGTCCTCGGAATCACTTGTCGCCGAGACGGTGTGGCTCGGTTTGCGCAACACCCTCATACGCTTGTGCACTGCCCGAGAAGGTGGCCTGGACTCGTCGTCTCCGCTCGGATAGTACGACGGAGTAGATGACGAAGCGTCGGGGGTGGCGACGCTCAAGCGGGAGAGGGATCCTGCGAGAGAGGTGGCAGGGGTACCGGCGGAACCAGTGTCGAAAGGCTGGGGAAGAGCTGCTTGGCGTGATTTGCTAGAGTCGCCTCGGCGGGATGGGAAGGGGATAATTGGATCAGAGTTGCGGCGCGGAAAGGAGGACATGTTGAATAATAGTGTTTCGGTGGTTGGCTATATAGCTTCGGAGGCGTGCCAACGGAAAGCGAAGGGTGGGTGGGCGACGAGGGGGTTGTTGGGGGGGCTGTGATGGCGGGTGCTTATAGTGGAAGCATGGCTGATGAGGGCTGGAGGTGATGGGGGGCGGGATGAGATGAAATGCGGAATAAAGGAAGACAACAGCTGCTTTGCAACAGATCATCGGCAACATGTACAAGGTGGACACCGCCGCTCTCGGCGGCGGCTCTCGGCGGGTGACATGCTAATACCAACATTGCAAGTCACTGAGACCATAGCCCGGGCAGGAGACACTCTGGTAGCCTATCTGAACTCTACTTATCCATCTACCCCTTTGCCAACCTACCCACCACCTCCGCATGTCTCAAGCGTCACCATGACTCCATTCGGCCTCCTGCTGCTGGGTCGTGCCTGGCGGTCATGCTTCAACTTTGTTCGGCATTGTGGCAGGTGCGCGGATGCAGCGTGGCTCTCATGCTTTTACATACAAATACAACATACATATACAACATACTACATGGATATTGTATACAGACACATCTATGTACACGTTTAAGAGTTAGTGTCGCGAGGAACAATGCTATACTTGAGGCGGAATATCCATCCACGTCCTCGCCCATGCCATCACCCTCGGGTCTACTTTCACCTACTTTCTATATTAGCCTGATTTTCCTATCATGGTCTGAAGAGACATCACCTTCTCCTTATTGAACCCTTTGACCTGTAGACGGAGGATGGAAGTTGCACGCGAGAGCGCTACATACACGTGCCCGGGGGCAAAGCAGCGCGAAACATCAACAATGACCGAGTGGAGAGTCATGCCTTGGGCTTTGTGGATGCTCATTGCCCAAGACAGCATAAGTGGTACCTACGAGCTGGTCAGTAGAATCTCACATAGAGTGAACTAAGCTTGCCTGCTTCCGGACGCCTTTGAGCCCGCCTTTGGCATCTTCCATCTCAATCCGATCCGGTTTGACGAGTACGTCCACCGTACCTTCCTTCGCCCCATACACGAACCTCACCACTGGGTACTGCTGCGCCTCTCCCTCCGCAACCAGCTTTTCCTTTTTCACCCTCCTCCCAACCATCTCCTTCTTCCTCTCCTGCTCATCCTCAATACTCTCATCCTCCTCATCCCTAACCCACTGGCCCGAGACCGCCCGGAAAGTCTGCGGATAGTCAAACCCAAGTATCCGGCCCATCGTACCGTTCACAAGGTCATCTCCTATCTTCTTCACCAGCATCACCTGCGCTTCTGCTTTGACTACCAGTCGCTTCGGCGCTAGCACCCCGCGAAAGATGGACGCATCCCAAGGCCGGTTGATCGTGTCGACCGCGTCGTATACCATCACGTTGCCAGGCAGCTTGTTGAGACGAGAAGTGTTTTCACGGTCGGCTTCTTCTCTTGTGCTGGTTAGCACTGGGGCGAGAGCGGGTTCGGTGGAGGGAGCAGAAGGGGCGGTTCTGGGCGGACGGTCGATCATGGTGAGGAGGTTGATGGTGGCTTTGCTGAGGTTGGCATAACGGACATCGTCCAGGATCTTTTTCAGTCCTGTCCATTGATCAGTACGGACCATCCAGCAGTAAAAGTACCAACCCAGGTCCCTCTGTCTGTATACCGTCTTCAGCTCAATCTGCTGATCGATCAATTTCCAAGTTTCGCTCGAAAACGCAAACGGTGGCTTATCGCTACGATCCCTCGGCACCGGCGGTAGCTGAAAAAAGTCTCCAGAAAATACCAGCTGGATACCTCCCCAGAGTACATCAGACTTTCGAAGTGCTTTTGCCATCTCTCCGAGCTTGTCCAGTAACCTCGCCTCAACCATGGAAACTGTCTCCCATCAGTACCACCTCCTGCCATATCGCGAAAGACTCACTTTCATCCAGTATCAACACTTTGCACCCTCTCCACCTCTTCCTCTGTATACCGTTCAGCCCCTTCACAAGCTCCTCCGCGGTCCCCAGCCCATACCCAATCCCACCCCACGTATGTATCGTATCCCCTCCAATATTGATAGCAGCGAGACCTGTCGGAGCGGTGATGGCGATTTCATTCTCCTTCTTGTATATAGATTTGAGAGAAGTGATTATCTGGCGGAGGGTGAGGGATTTTCCGGTTCCTGCTTTGCCGGAGAAGAAGACGTTTTGTTTGTTGTCTATGACGGCGCGGAGGACGTCGAGTTGTTCGCCTTGGAGAACAGCATGGTCGGTGGTATTTGGGCGTTTCCTGTAGAGTGTCAGCTTGAAGGACCAGTTCTGAGAGAATAACTCACTTGGCGAAGCCTTCCATAGTGGACTGCCTCGGGCGTTTTGTCCCCGTCGGCGCGCACATCGCTGCACTTTGATTTCAATTCTTCTTTCTGCTTTCAACAATCACGACACGTTCATCGCGGAGAGCGACGCGTACTCCGTCTTCTGTGGCTGAAATACCTAAATCCGGAAACTCCGGGAAAGGCCGCGGCTTATCAGATAAGTTTCAGGGCAGCCAGGGACCGTGCACAACAACGCCCCCGGCCGAAAACTGGCGAATGGGAGATGTGTGGCGCGTGGATTGGGAAGGGTGGCAATCTGATTAGACAAAGGCTGGAGTAGGGATGACATCAGGGTCCAGAAGAAACCGCATGGGCACAGCGAGCGCAGCGAGGGAAAACGTAAGGTGCGTGATAATGAGCAAGGAGGAGGCAGGAGGCAGAAGAGCGTGGATCTGGTCTGAGCGTGGAGGACTTCGCATTTGCCCGACGTTTTTTTACAGCACCGGCTCGAGTTCGGAAGGCGACGTTGGCGACTTGTTCTTTTGCTTTCTCATCGTGCAAGAAACATGCCACTTGTACGTCTGCCCCTTTATAACAGCTGATTCATCTCAGGCCGAGCGCCGCCCTCTCTCCGCCCCTGTCACTTGCCATTCAGTGCTGACTTTGCTCTGACTAGCTGTAAGACGCCAAGCTGGTAGACATCTTTGATTCCAACAACGTAGAATGATTCGCCACCCTTCAGCGATATACTCTTATTGATATTACTATCTCACAAATCTTTCCGGTATGGGTGAAGACCAGATCGTCCTCGCCCCTTCCGCCACCGGATCCATCACACTATCCTCTCTCCTACCTCAGCCCTCTCCTCACTCGCCTTCTCTCAACCACACTCTCAACCACACTCTCAACCACACTCTCAATCACACTCTCAACCACACTCTCCCATCTACCCCTTCCAACACCACCGACGGCCATGATGCCACACCCACCCCACCACCCCACGTCAGACCCCCAAAGTATCACTACTTTGCCTCCCGCTACTCTTGGATCTGGATATCCTCTACAATCCTCATCCTCATCATCCTCCACCTCATCCGTACCACACGCCACAAAAGACGTTTAAAGCAGAGTCTCGACCGGCGGCGAAGGCAATGGAAATCTGCCAGAGTGTCCGAGCGGGATTTCGCCCTGGAGGAGCTCGAGCAGAGCAAGGGCGGTTGGGTGGGAAGACGTGTAAGGGCTCTAGGGGCTGGGTGGAGGAATGTGATGTATATGCGGGGATTCCCCGTATGGCTGTATATGCCAGAGACGGTGGCCGATGCGGGCTTTACGGTGTTGTACACTGTTGTGTATCTATTCTTCTGCCTACACCGGACTACTTGTGAGTCCCTCCAGAGGTTATCGATCTTAGAACCGATAGTCTTCTAGCATGGTTCCCTGCTCGAGGGTACGTGAATGCAGCAAACCAGCTAGGCGTCATGGTGAGTTCCTTGGCACTCGATACGACTCTTGCTGACCTCTTCCAGTCCTTCTCTCAACTCCCCATCATACTCCTCCTAGTCTCCAAAAACAATCCTATAGCCTCACTCACCGGCATCACCTACCAAAAACTCAACTATCTCCATCGCGCATCTTCTCGGGTTTGTCTTCTGACCAGCTGGGGGCATGCGCTGCTTTGGACGCCGGATGTGTGGGAGATTGGAGATACTAGGCCTTATCTTCTTTGGGTGAGTCTGACTCGTATGTGGATAAGGACGGAGCTGATAGGGGATAGGGCATCGCCGCGCTGACGGGGTTCACAATGCTCTGGTTGACGAGCTTCCGTTTCATTAGACGGATGGCTTGGGAGTTTTTCATCGTCTCGCATATCCTCTTTTCCCTGTAAGCGCCTAGCACCTTACGTTTGTACATACACTGACTTGCCCAGGTTGTATCTGATAGGTGCCTACTTTCATTGGAGTCGTCTCAGCTACTGGGTCTGGCCCGCAATGCTGATCTGGGCTTTTGACCGTTGCCTACGATTCATCAAAGTCGCGTATATCAACAAGATCTCGCCATTCATCCAATCTCGCCTTGACGCAAAGAAAGGCAAGAGGTCAAACAGAGGTCCGAAGAGAGGTGTCAAAGTGGAGTTGCTGGAACATGATGTCATGCGGGTCACGATCGAGAGGGAAGGCTGGAGTTGGAAAGCTGGTCAGCACGCGTAGGTCTCCCATCTAGTTAGTCTTCGGGGTGGACGCTCATGAACGTGGCAGATTCATCAGCGCCCCGTCCCTCACCTCTTCCCCACATGAATCCCATCCCTTCTCGATCGCCAACATCCCCACTTCCACCTCCAACGCCGCCAGCTTCCTCATCCGAGTCCATTCCGGTTTCACCAAGCGTCTCCTCCAAGCTCTCCATTCCGATGTCGAAGAAGGGCTGCCGCTGCTCATCGAAGGACCGTATGGCTATCCGCACAGTCTGGACTCATACTCGACTGTCGTCTTGTTGGCAGGAGGTACGGGTGTGACATTCACATCCTCCCACTTTCTACAAATTCTCCAAAACGCAGCTTCCGGCCGGTCAGCTATCAAACATCTCCACCTCGTATGGCACATCCGCCACGTATCCCACATCCAATGGATCGCCCCCTTGCTCAACCTGGCTGCCGAATATGCTACGAAAGCAGAACAAACTGGCGCAGGGGTTGATTGGTTGGTGGATATTTACGTGACGAAGAGTCCTTCAGCGAATGAGCCTTGGCCGCCAAATGCTATTTCAGAACCTGAGCGAGGCGGTGGAGGTCTGGAGTCGGGCCTAGGGTTGGCCGATACGTTGTTGGAGAGGATCGTTCCCGACCCGGCTTCTCGTTCTTCGACTCCGCTCTCCTTCATCTCCCATTCCAGATCACACTCTATCTCCCATTCCCGTTCTCAGTCGCGCTCCCATTCTCGCTCCCACTCCCCCGCACCCTCATATCGCCCCGACGAGCTGCTCACACCCAAAGCTCAACAAGTGCGAATCCCGCTTTTGGGCGATGAGCAAGACGGGTACGAAGGAGCACAAAATGGGGAAGAAGAGGAAGATGCAGGCTGGGGATTGACGATGAAAGCCTGGAGCTATGTACGGTGGAATAAGGGAAGAGCAGATCTAAGAGAGATTGTAGAGGAAGATGCTAGAGAGGCAGAAGGTGCCATGAACGTGTCTGGTGAGTCTTGCCTTCTCTTTTGAGAGCATCAACAGGCTGACGTGCGACAGTTTGCGGCCCCGTACAGCTGCTCCAAGCATCGAAGAAGGCCGTCAGGGAGGTATCGACAATGCAGAGTACAAGAGAAGGTCTTATGACTATAGATTTCTTTGAAGAGACGTTAGGAGCATAAAGGAGTGAAACCCTGTGTTCTTGTTTGTAATGGGGTATGTTTAGACTTTTGCAAACCATACTATGCCTTCTTCGCTTCTTCGTGTCTATTCTGATCGTCCCGTCTTCGTTGTATTTTCAAGTATAGGTTTCTCGTGTTCGAATCGGAATGATATGTATGGATTATTGGTAGAGCTTGAACGATGCGGACATGCATCCCAGAGCCAGTACTTCGAACGTCACCCTCGTAGCTCCCGTTAACAGTTGTGCGCGGCTCGGCTAGGGGAACATGCGAAGCATTTTTTGATTTCCCGAGCGATTGCAAATTCACAATTAGAATGGCCGTTCTGATGTATTATGAATCTCTGTTGTGACAGGAGACCGCCGTGTTATCAAAAGCTGACGAAAAGTGACGAAGGACCACCCCGACCATCAACAAACAAAAAAGGACTACGATATTACGCCCTCCCGGAGCACCCTTTGTCGATGTGATCGGTAGAAATGTGAATCCCATACCCTTATAAAGAAGTACAAGTACGGTCATACATGCACTTATCCATATCAGTTCAAACCAGAGGTACAATTCCCACCAACGGCCGATAACATGTCAGGACAAAACATTCCAGAAGATGACTCGGATCCTCAAATAGTCATCTTCGAAACCGTGACCCCCTTGTTGTCACGAGACGAGGCATTGCAAATCATCGAAGATGCTTTCAGAGAATTTGACACGACTACCGGCAATCGAGAAGAATATGCTGGTCCAGAGAATACAGAAAGCCCGTTGTCGCTCAACGAGGAATCGTTTCCCATGCCTTCCTTGAATCCGGATGATCCCACTCCTCTGGCTGAGCAGCTGAGCAGACTTACAGCTGAGACAAACGACACTCTGAGGAACCGTGATCCTGAGATGACACTTGAACAGAGATCACGGTGTGTCCTGAGTGCTGTACGATCAGAGCTGGAACAAAGGACAGGCCACAGTGATTTTATCCTCGATTTGAAGATTGACGACCACCGCGATCCGGATTGGGTTCAAGGAGATTCAAGCTTTGAAGGGGAGGCAATTACAGAGGGGACGGTCAGTGTGGCTAGACTGGTACCAGTCGAGGAAGGCGACACCGCGAACCCCGCTTCAGAAGATGATGATACTGCTGGTAACGGGCAGTGACAAAGTCTTCAGAGATCGGATACATACGTATGCTAGCTTTTTTGACCCTTGACAAGAATGAAAAGATGCAGATTTGTTTAGGTGTGCCAGGCCGACAACAACAATATGGCAGCAACAACAAGCAGCATATGCTACGGGCCGACAACAACAGAGGTATTGGTGTTCTGTCCAGTCTCGTTGCGCTTGCCTCCCGTTGATAGATCGGGGAGCAAAAAGTCTAGTGAATCAACATGGTGTGAGAATTGAAGTGCAAACAGCCCTCTGGTTGACATTAGCTGCAACAGGAATGGCGACATAGCCAGCTGATGACGTTGTCCCTATCTGCTGCGCTACTCGCATACTCGTGAGCTGTGATTACAGGAAGGCGAAATCTTATCTAAACCATTTAGTAGTGTCCTGCAATCAAGCTTCAACGGAGTTGAGATAGATACAGCAGTCTCCTATCTGAAGACACATTAGATGGCCAGAGGCCAGTGAGAAAGAAGCGGAGTTGTTATCATTCCGACCAGTTGTGCTTGCGAGGAGGATCAAAGGGTCAGTACTACTCAACGTAGTCCATTCCCTAGAGCAGTGAGTTGTTCTCAAAGGAGAAGACCATTCAGTATCATGATACCTTTGTAGAAGAATGGTAAAAACAACGCATTGTATCGGAGTCCCTTTCGCATTCGAAGTCACTGTTGAATTTGGTCTTCTAGTTCCCAAAGACTGTCCTTTCAACATTTGAGGGCTGGGAACGACGCGGTTTGTTTCTACTTTGAGAAGACGTGAACACATATATATATATATATGTATATTATCAGACTAATAGGCATATCATCTTACACACACGGTACTCAAGACAAGCGCACCAACACATTACATACTCGAAGATGCCTGAAGACAACCAAGCTGGTAGCAATCCTCCTCCTTCCGATGCCGGAGAGGCCTCTGATAGTTACAGTACCATCGTAGTCAGTTTGACCGGAGGTTCTAGTCAGCGTCGCCGAAGGGGAGATAGGAGGGCCTCCGATTCTGATTCCGAGTACCGGAACCCCAACGTTGATGCTGGTCTCAACAATACAGCAGCCGGATATGACCTTGACCTCAAGGGTGGGGTACCCCTGGATCAGCAGCTCAGCGTCATGACCGCTCATATCAATGACATTTTAAGGCAGAATCATGAAGAGATGACACAAGAGGAAAGGAGGCAGTTTGTCAAGAGCACAGTGGAGCTCTCCTTGCAAAGCGCTGGCCTCGAGGGATGCGAGGTTGATTTCAACTTCGGCCCACCTGGTCAAGAAGGAGCCGATGGAGGGGAATGGACAGCACGAGCCAGTAATCAGACGACGACAAGTTATTCATCGATTGTCATTAGTCCGACTGGAGCGAAATCAAGCCCTCCCAGCAAACAAGACGACAGTGACACTCCGGAAGAGCAGCCCCAGTAAAGCGCGACGCAGCATGCATAATGCTACAAGTGTATGTGCGTTGTTTTCAATATGACTTGATGAGTAGCTCGATGCTTGTAGAAATGCGCGGGAGTATACTTGAGGTCGAGTAGTACTTGGGTCACGCACTGGGATTTCGTTGAAAATGCAGCAGAGTTGTTAGGGCGACCAGAGGAAAACTAACTGCTCAAATGGAAGTCTGCCGTACAATGCTTATCCATGAATAGCGGACGGTCATTGTCCACCGTTGGTGGCGCCTGGATTGGCTGAGCTCACTTGAACTCGTAGAATGTAGTCAGTGTAGTAGTCAATGCGTAGTAGTGGTGGTAGTGTGTAAGGAACGTTATCAGACAAGAAGAGCAGACACCTAATGACCGTGGCGTGCGACGTGGCTCCGACGTCCTAGCTAGCGACCCCAACAAGAGGTGTAGAGATACACAGAAGACGAGAAGAGGCTGGTCACTGAATGAAAACAGCAGAGGGCTCATATCACAAGCTCGTGGTTCATGTTTGGGCCAAGGGCCAATCACTTGCCACTCCTCATGCATTCGAACGAGGTTGTGGTCTGTGTTGCAATGATGGCTGAAATGATCGTTCGGAAGCCACCAATCTCACCCACAACCTGAGTGAAGAGGCTATGTACATCGTGGCTAGCTCATGTTGCGCCGCCGATACACATCCGAATTTGACCGCCAAGTGAGTATAAGTACGCACCCAGATGCATCACTGCTGAGTCATCACCATCGTTGCTACTACACATCAGCACCGTAGTCGCCACCCTAGTTGTCGTCTCCATCTCGGAGGAGACTATATCAATCAGAACGACCAAGCAACACGACAGATGGCGATCAGCCCTATTTTGATAGGTTGGGAACAAGGCAAGGTTGCCCAGTATCGCTGCTGGAGCTGTTCGTTCCCTTATCTATACAGCCCTTGTCAGCCAGAGAGGCATGAAAGGTGCAGGAAATGTGGTGTGAGTGTCTGTACCGGATATTGAGCTGTCAATATCCTCACTTATGTTGATGTCGTAGAACACGATGTGGCGTTACCCGTTTGACCCTAATGATCACCCTGCTTTCCGGTGGGTTTGGCCGGTAAGTTATGGGCTGCTTGCAGACTGTTGCAGACCCATCGGGACTTGTCTCATCCTCTTGAAAAGTAATCAATCAGCTGACAATGACTGTTCACGATCTTTTGATGTAGCATGAACTCGCCCCTTGGCAGTGATACCGCTCTGATGGCGAAGATCACATGTTGGGTGCCTGGTAGAGAAGCGTGTGACTTTCCGTATGAATGGTTTGCAATGTGCCACAGTCTGCCAGCTCTGCCAGTCATGTTAAGTGCCATATATTTGCTGGCGGCGCTAAGAAGCCTTCGCCCGTGACGTAGAGTGACGCCGGACGGTAAGTCTGGAGATCGCGACGCAGAATCCTGAACTGTGTCAGCAAGAACGACTAATGTGTTCATTCTGGGCCTGGTGGCTCTATATAACTCGGTAGTCGGTCCCTATACTGCAACGTGGTCTTCAAACGCAGTTCAGTCGACTGTGACTTTCAACACACGGTCAATCGGCTATTGTACCCCAGCTCATCTTCATAGCTCGCGTGAGCGTTTCTACATCGGGCATTATTACATTGAAACATATCCTACACTGCACCTTTTCTTCCGCCATACCAGCCGAGATCAATACCGCCGCCCACCCTCTTCACTGCTCTTATCCGGCACCCCCTGCCCATTCGCCCCTCCTTCGGTCCCCTCCAGATAATCATCGTGTGCACTCCTGCTCGCAAAATCTCCCCCAAATCCGCCCCGGGCATGAGCTTTGGCGTCTTCTGAAAGGTGGTTGCCTCGGAAACGGCGGCGCATGTCAAGCTGTAGAGTGGAGTCAGCGGCAAAACCAGAATATGTGACAAACGCAGAAAGAAGAGAAAAAGAATGAGAGGAATTTGCCGAAGGCTGGGTACTCACAAGACCTTTCTTGCAATCAGCAAATCTTGTGATTAGATGTTGGCATTGTATCGGGAGGTCTTGAGGTTTTGAGAGGCATTCAGTCACAGTATTGCCCTTTTTCAGCACACTATTACAGTCATCAGACTCCGATCATCGAGCGCCGACGCTTGTATACAACGAAGAAGGGACATACCAATCTGTGCGTATTATACAGGACAGCAGATCTTCCTTCGCTTGCTGGCACGCTGGTCGAGACATTTGGATTTTGTTCTTGGGCTTGGTTGTCGCAGGAGTTCTGAAGGTATCGAGTATGCTGAAGTATTTGATATGGTGCGAAGGGTATTGGACAACGCTTGCCACTCGCCAGAAAACAGAAATCGGAATTTGTAGGAGAAGAATAGATCTCGTTACATCACCATATTTACCTTCGTGCCTCGGAGTGCCTCCACTTTTCTCCATCGCCTTCATCGTTCGTCATTACCCCTCTCTCCTCTTTCCCTGTCACTCTTCCAATATTTCCTCCCCAAATGCTCCACCCCCACTCCCCTTCAGAATATCCTTCAATCCTGTTGTATGTGTTGGATGAGACACATATAACGGTTACCGCCGCCACGGCGTTGACCATCTTGTTCACTCGTGATGCTCATGTCGTTTGGCTCGCGTTGGGAGCGCTTTCATCTTCTTTATCAGGTACGTTCCTCCCACCCATTCAGACCTAATACTTGCTAATATTGAAATAGCGAAGGTGCTGAAGAAGATGATTCGCCAACCCCGTCCTCCACCCCCACCATCCTCATCCAAACCCTCCAAAATCCGTCCCAAAAAGACCTACGGCTTCCCCTCAACCCACTCCTCCGCCCTATCCTTCTACTTCTTCTACCTCCTCCCGCTGTTCTCTTGCCTACCTACTTCCTCATCCATACCTCTATCTGCCGAGGTTCAGAGATGGGGCGCCGGAGCAGCTGTCACGAGTTATTGGGCAGCGGGGCTGTGGAGCAGGAAAGAGCTGGGGTACCATACTTGGGAACAGATTTTGGCTGGGGCGGCTTGGGGCGGAGTCGTAGCTTGGGCATGGGGGGTGGTGTGGGAAAAGTTTGCTTTGCAGGGACCGGTGCAGGGGTTGATAGATGGGATTTGGGGAGCGACCGTTGGACGTTTGATCTAGAATGCATAGAATTCATACAGGAAGGCATGGTGGCATGATGATGGTTGGCTACTAGTACAACTGATGATGTTGATGACGATGGAACTATAACGCTCGATATAAGTACTCTCTACTCTCCTAATTTCCCTTGTCCTTCCCCGGAATGTAGAAGGTCAACACGCCTTCGGCATCTTCTATCGGACCTAAATCGAGATGTCAGCTCAGTGATAACTATATACGAAAGACGTACCGATGTAGACATAAGTGATCACACAGTGATTTTCGCATATACCTACACACCATCAGCCATCAGCTCATCAGGATCATCATGCCGAGAAAGTGGAGGAGTCGACTGAAAGGAAAAGGGCAACTCACACATGATGGCATCCTGGCTTATACAATGGCTCGTCAGAAACTTCAACAACCCCTTCACCGTGACTGTTGTGGAGAACATCTGGCTATCTGGTGGGGCGTGCGGTGGGGTGACTTCTTCTCCTTCCGGGTCTTTGCGTCTTCGTCAGCAGATGTTGAAGGGACGCAGAATACGGAGAAGACTCACCATGGACAGATGGCAGTCTGAGTTCCTTCCAAGTGGTAGCAAGGTTGACAGCACCGCCTTTCACAGATAGCTCGAGCTTTCCTTCCTATACCTTGTCGTCAGTCATTGTTTCTTTTCTACGAGCGCCCATCTGGCGCCAAAATGAAAAGATAACGTAGGGGAACGACGGGTAAGAGGAGGGAAAGGATGAGATATACGTACGTGGTTTGCTGACACCTCCATATCATCGCCCAAATGCCCCATCCTCGCCACCACATTTCGCAGATCCAACAGGTTCGGCAAGATCACATGGATCTATACTTCTCGTCAGCGCTTTTGACTCCAATGGTAGAAGGGGGGGCAAATCCCATGGAAAGTACGCACATCAGGCTGCGGACAAAGAGGCTCTTCCAACTCCTGTTGTCGACGGGCAGAAAGGATCTTGACGTTGATCTCGTGCGTGATGCACATTTGTTTCCTGGTCGCCTGATAATACAGTCAGCAATCTGTTCTCACCACCTTTGAATTCCTGATATCGGCAGGAGAGGGAGGGAGAGAAGCGTACAGTGTATCCACGGACGCCGAAAGACCAAATCGGCTGAGAGTTGTTTTTGCCGAGTTTGAGTGTTACCTCTGCGTCGGACAGGAAGGCTTCGCTTTTGCCGTCGCCCACTTCGGTTGATCATCAGTCATCATATTTGAGAAAAAGACCTATCGGAGCTTGGCATGCTAGGGCTAACATGACGATGGTAATAAGAGGAAAGGCTCACCAGCAGTATCGGCACTCTTCAGGACCCGATGCAAGGCGTCGAGGTTGACCTCCACCCATATCTCATTGTTCATATTCGACTCGATCCTGTAGCCTTCGAACAAGGTCCCCTACAGACAAGTAAGCTCTGACTTGTACTACATTTGCAGGGTGCAAACGGACTGTTTTGACTTGCCTATGCTCGGCGTCAGCCGAAGAGGGAAGATCAGAGAAAGATAGAAGACGTACGACCATACTTGGACACCTGTAGCACTCTCATGGCCTGGTACAATGAACCTCAGCTGCTCTTGCGACAGCTGTATCACACACGTCTTTGCGAGCGCTGAGAGGGCGCGGATGATTTCTATCCCATCTCCATATCAGCTTTGACTTTGACTGTCATTCGAAAGGGGGACGTACTAGTGAGAAGGGAGACGTTCGCAATTGCCGTCCTGAACCTCATCCTCAGCAACAAGCTTTTTTGAATACCTGGCTGCTTGAGGACTGAGTGGAGAACATTGTGATCTTTACATTCCATCCTCCTCTCTCTCTCGACGCGACGCGTCTGGTGGAGGTTACGTAAGCCACCGCCTTTAAGCTCTCCCGCCGCGCAACCTGCCGCCGAGGGTTGTGATGCATCGCCCCGAACCCAGATCTCACACTTTCCTTGCCACTTTCCCCTGTCCCCTCTCACCGTCAAGCAATCCTCGACATGTGCGTCGACCTTTCCTCTCCCCTGGTCTGAGGGACGCAGAGAGTACGAGACTCATTGGAAACGGGCGCGCTGACAACCATGGTACAGGTCCTCTGAACCTTACGACCCTTATATCCCTGCTGGTTCCGGTGCCGCCGGCGGACCTTCCAACAACAACGGACAGAACAATGCCCAGAGCAAGAAGGTGAACCTCTCCCTCTATTTGAAGGAAGACTGGAGTCACGGTGGAGGTGCCGGGAACGACCGTGCCCTCAGTGTTGCTGTTTAGCTCATGAATCGGGGCAGTGGATGGAAAGCTGACGACCGCAATGTAGATTGCTGCTATCCAATCCCAGATCGACGAGACTATTGACACCATGCACGACAACATCACTAAAGTGACTGAGCGTGGAGAGAACTTGGATAACTTGCAGAACAAGACCGGTACGTCTGTCTTCCTGGCTTGTGACTTGCTCTTTGAGATCTGTATGGGATACGGGAGGTCGGGGCGTGTGCCATTAATGGAGGCTGGGCGGGTGTTGAAGAAGAGGCGGTGCTGCGAATGGCCGAAGGCGAAAGAAGACAAATGATTATCAACTTTCACGTTCTCTATTAGCTCCGCGTACTTGTGATTCTGCACTTGTGCCATGGAGGGAACATACCCAACACAAATGATTCTTCTTCTCATTCCCCTCTCTATTTCTTGCCCGTTCACCTCGAAGGACACAAGCTGACTATGATCTGGAACGTAACAGACGAACTGGCTGTCTCTGCCCGTGGCTTCAAGACTTCGGCCTCGAACGTGCGCCGTCAAATGTGGTGGAAGGACATGAAGATGAGGGTCATCATTGGTATCGGAATCTGCGTGTTGATTATCGTTATTGTGGTGCCGATTGTCAAGGCGTGAGTGGTCTCTCGTCCTTGGGTGTTGAGCGCGAGAGTGGAGTCGGGGACGGTGACTGTAGTCGGGAAGTTCGAAGCGCGGACGCCATCGGGGAGAGATATCATATACTCGCCAGTACATGAGTCAATGCTGACCCTTACAACAGCGCCCAAAACTAATATGACACTCCACTCACCCAACACGCATTATACACCCGACTGTTTCTTCACCACATCATCCCTCATGTTTACGCCTTGCTACATCTACGCTCTCGACCCTCGACGCACCTTGGCGACAGTGGCGAGACTGGAAAGCAAGGGGACGGAGTCTACTCTTTCTTGTTCTTCTCGATCTTCGGTTTTCGGTTTTTATTTGTTTCTTTTGGTTTTGGAAAACAGGATAACACTTTACGTGAAATGAATGATACTCATGACCCCACCAGCCTGTCCTATTGAGAGGTGCCTATTCAAATCGTCCTTGGCTTACGTGTTGCAAACCTTTGGGATACTTTCCTCAAGGGCAACATTCCGTCCCAAAACCACACAAGAAGTCTCAAACGGTTTGACTCTGCAGCCATGTCAATACAACGAGCTTGTGGATTACCTTAAGCTGATCAGCTTATACGGACCTACATATTGCCAGAGTATGAAAGAGACTATCGGCTTGTCTATCTATATTTCCAAAACCCAAAATGTTGGTAGGTGGTCGTTATCATTACAAACCGTTGGCGTAGCGCATCGCTGGTTGTCAGTCATGTAATCTGTGATACGCAGTCATTTGAAGCGGCTATTCAGAAGCAACTTGATCCCCCTGCCCTCCTAGATAAACCTACAAAATCCCATTTCTCAGTCGTGCACCTCATGTCAGTGGCGTTGGGGATGAGGTCAGCCAGCTCAGCAAACACGTTCTTCGTGGATAGAAGGTAGCCAGGGATGGCTTTTGTGACATCAAGCACCAGGATCAGCCTCTATCCTCCTGAATGCACTCTGGCGCCTCCATGCCTCCATGCTCTATCGCCACTCCCGCATGGCTGTTAACGCGTGTTGACATCGGAGTGCAGTGATCCGCGGCGCGTCGCGTCTCTCACACCTCCCAAAGGAGGGATGACGCGACTGCCCCATCCCCACCAAATCACCCTCAGCTGCACATATATAGCCCCCACAATTCCCATGCCCCTCTTCTTTTTCTTTTCTTCATCCCCCTCCAGTCATGCCCCACACCATGGCACCAACCGTGACGATCACCTGCCCTGCCGACCTCCAAAACCTCCTCACTGCCGGTCTACCCCTCCGCGGCCTGAAGAACATCATCATTGACGCCCAAGATGACGCTGACTCCATGCCCGCAAATCTCGCAGACCTAATCACTCTGATCACCCAAGGCCACCGAAGCCCTCCCACCGTGACATTGTGCAACGCCCCGTGGCCGTCCCCGGCCATCGCCTTCCCCGTCGCATCTTTGCTCTTGGAACTCTTGAAGGGTTCTCACGCTCGTGCCACCCATCTTCGCGTGAACCTCCCCGATCATTCGTACGACGGGCCACTTACACGAAGTATGAAGATCCGACTCATCTCCACCGACCCCCTTGTTAACCACGACGATGATATCCTCCTTGTTACCAGATGGGTGGAGTCGGCGACTCAGAGAACCTTACCGAATGACAATTGGCTGGTCAAGGCGACGGCTGGTAGCAAGGAAAGGGCGGTGTTTTGGGAAACCTGCGTGGTGAAGGAGAGGTGGGAGATCAGCTTGGGTTGGAGCGGTTAGTCTCGAGTGTGAGCAGTTTCATCATCAAGGTTGATCCTGAGACTGATACAAGCAGTGTAAATGGAGTGAGGAGCGAGGTTAACGGTGCCCTCAACAATATGAATCATCAGTTCCCTGCTTCTTTCCTGTTCCCGCGCCCTTCTGTCCACTTGAGCCTTCTCACACCCATCAAAACACCGCCTTCTCCTTGCTCCCAGCCGTCGCCTTGGCCAGCCACTCGCCATTCAGCAAGGTCCTCCGCGTCGCCGATTCCACCCGTTCGGTAACAAGGAGGATATCATCGTCTCGATTGACGGGGGGGGCGCGTGGAGATGAGTCGGATCTTCATACTTTGTGTAAATGGCCCTTCGTGCGAATAATCGGGGAGGTTTACACGAAGAAGGGTGGCACGAGCGTGAGGACCCTTCAGGAGCTCCAAGAGCAAAGGTGCGACGGAGGAGGCGATGGCCGGGGACGGCCAGGGGACGTTGCACAAAGTCACAGTGGGAGGGCTTCGGGGGCCTTGGGTAATCCGAGTGATTAGGTCTGAGAGATTTGCGGGCATGGATAAGGCGGTGTTTCTTTTTGCGTCCCTGTCCCCATCGCGTCGCCTCTCTCATACTCTATGAACCAAGTCGCTAGTAGCCCATGCGTTCTTGGCTCACGATATCACTCGGTGCTTCTGTACAATATTCATACACTACTCTACACCCAGCCTGGATGACTACAACATTATCGGACCGCCCTTGCTTTCGCTCAAGAACGTTTTTCTCCCATTAACCTCGTCCTCTTACTCGCTCTCGCCACACTCCCATCCTCGGTCTCATTTGCACCAAGCTGTGCTCTCGTCGAAACAGCCTTCCGCTTTTCTCCAACCTTCTCCCTCGTCTTCCCTCCAACAGTGCTTTCTTCTTCTCCTTCTTCGGGTCCTTCATCCTCAGCATCATCTCGCTTTGCCCGTTTCCCAGTCGCCCTCGCTCTCGCCCCCGCACCGGTAGCCTGTCTTTTCTTCTCCGCCGCTTCCGTCTTTGAGTTGACTGATGCAGAGGTCACAGCTGCTGCGCGGGACGTCGTTGTTTTTTTGGAAGACGAAGCAGGAAGAGCGTTCAAAGTCGCCGATCGCGCGATCCCTTTGCCTTTCCTTGAGCTTGCACTCCCACCACCGGCGGCACCGGCAGTATCAGCAGCCACAGCTTCTCTCCTCGCTCGACTAGCTGTAGTAAACAATGTAGCCGTCGACCTTGAAGCAGGGAGTGGTCTGCTGTTGGTAGCGACAGAGGTACTGGAGAGGTTGACAGATGTGGAGCTCCCCTTGGGGGCGGCGCTGGAGAGGGTCGATGGGGAAGGATGTGAGACAGTGAAATTCACGGCAGTGTGATCTGGTTTAGAGGTATGGAGGCGTTTGGAAGGTTTGCCTAGTCTTTCTGCTCGGGGTGCTGTAGCTGAGGCCCTGGGCCGTTCTTTCTCCTCGTTGTCTTTCAACGCCCGCTTTGTGACCCTCACAGCCTCGCTTTGCCCATCTTCTTCCAGAGGGGGCACATATTCCTCGTCATCGGTCCTCCGCTTTCCCTTGTTTCTCCGAGGCGACCGTCTAACAGGTTCGTCCACCGCGACACCCAACAGCCCTGATCCCTGAGACTTCGTTCCCGAACCAGATGCGACAGCATTGACCGCTTGCAAAGGAGGAGGAGTCGAAGGAACGACATTGATAGGATGGGTGGGAACATCAGGGAAAGACGGAAGGGCAGGAGAAGCACGTCTTGGACGACGAACTGGGGGTGCTGGAGGCGCTTGAGGGAGAGGTGGAGGAGAGAGTATGATGGGTTCGAGAGGTTGACGGACACGGGTCTTCGACTTGGAAACAGGGTTTGTGGACCGTGCTGGAGTCTTTCGGGGCAAGGCGTTTGAAGTTGAAGGAGGGATCCCGGGTGGAGGCGAGTGGGGAGGTGTGGGAGGTGCACCATCCTGAGGATGCGCGGGTTTGGGAGAAGGCTGAAGATTGTGCCATCCTATTTCCGCCCAAGAGACAGCTCGCTGAATTCCCCCGCTCCATACTCCCTGCCTGATCACTCCAAGACAAGACCAGACCTGGCCAAACGGCAGCTCGATACCAAAGTGGTATACCAACGCGAAAAGCGATTCGAGGAGATGGATTGATATGTCGATGGGGGTTTCGTATGGTCTGATGAAGGGGCTGAGGGATGATAGTATCGCTGCAGAAGACTAGACCGAGGTGAGCTCTACAGACCGATGATTGACTTTGAGAGAGGCGGCGGCGTACGGCAAGACGGGTAAACAGAAAGCATAGGCAGACGACTGCTTTGATGGGTGCGTAGAGCGGGATCCAGGCGACGAGGGTGGATATGATAGGACTGATTGATGTTCCTAGTATCTGTGTTATCGATCAGCGTCTTCTCTAGTAAATCATAGCAAAAGTCTGGAAGGAACCAAACAAGACATGAGCAAGGGCATATCGGCTTTGACTCACGTATATGATCCAGCAAGCTAGCGCCTCTCTCATGACCTTCTTCCTGGTTTGTATCCCAATTCTTCGTCCATTTGACCTGACCGTCCGCAGTGCTCGAAGCGTATCCAGCAGATTTAGTGCCAGCCTGACATGCTCATGAGCTTTGGCTTCGAGGTGAAAAGAGACACTTACCAGGCTGTCCGGAGGACTTTACCCTCCCAGACAAGAAGCCCCAGTACCCCCGCTGAGAGTACAAGCCCCCAAGTTTCGCCCATGAGTTGCTGCTGTTGCTTCAAGACGCAAATTCAGACGTCAACAAAGAAAACAAACGCGTAAATGGCTTCGCTTAGGAGGAATATAAATGCCCCGGGTTTTCTTCATTTTCTCCCGAAACGGCTCTCATCCCCAGCCATTTACCATCTCTTCTTTCTTTTGCATCTGTATCATCTACACATTTTGCCCCCCTCTCCTTTCCCTTCCCCTATCCTGCCTCTATTTATACCCAGATAGTGTCGAGCGAAGATGGCTGTGGATTATGACCAGTTCAAGGGGTGAGTCTGTCTCTTTATATCCCGCTGTTCGAGTAACTTACGGCGGGTAGAAAGCCTTTCCAGGTAATCTCCAAGCTTGGTGTACGATACACTGGTATCTTTGACCATATCAGTCAAGAGGACCAGACCATCTGTCTTGCCCAGGGTAAGCCTTCCGCGTGTCTTTGTGTCTGGACGGAGACTGACTTGAGCAGTGTACAACCATGGTACTGAGGACCGTCCCACAGCGCGACAGCTGCCAGGATCAACAAAATCATTAGGATGGGTCAGGTTTAGGTACGCCGCTTTGCTCCTTTGTTGACAGGGCGTGGCTGACTCGAGCCTCAGGACGGAATCCATCGACTCAATATCGCTGGTGGAGAACTATGTCGTCCCTGGGACCGAGCCGCAACCAGAAGAAGATCCCATTCTTGCCTCTGTCGTGAGTCTACATCCCTTTGTGCAGGTGTGGAAGGGGTGCCGATATGATGAAACATTTTTCGGATGTAAATGCCTTCGGGCGCAAGTCCGAGAGCGCAAAACCAAGTGGACACCTCCGTTGCCTTCCTTCTGATCTATCACCTCTTCCACGCCTTCTTTTGTGTGCTTCAGAAAAGTGCATGGCTGACAAGGAAATAGTCGCAAGATGCTCCATCATCTGTACAACAACCACAACACCTCACTAGCCCTGCAGAACAGCGCTACGACCTTCCCGCTAAACCCTCAACCTCTGCCATCTCTGCCGCTACCGCGCTTTCCCGCGTCGAGCGGTCCTTGTCTGAACTGTCCACCAACGACCACCCCCCTCGTCGTGGTTCCAACCAGGGCCAGCAAGGCTACGGAAACGGTTATGGCAGAGGCTATGGCAAGGAAGTGAAGCAGCCCGAAGTACCGGATGCCGAGTTTGACTTTGCCAAGGCGAACGAGCGATTTGAAAAGGAGCGGGAGGCGATCAAGTCTGCGAGCGCCCAAGGCCCCGTGGTCATTGGCGAAGTCGCTCCCAACCCTGCTCTTGCCCAAACACAATCACCACCCCCTCCCTCCCTCTCTGCCTCTCTTTCACCTCAACCGGATCAGGCTGGTCCCATCTCGCCCCCGGCGGCGGCAAAGTACCAAAAATCGTCATTCTTTGACAATATCTCGCACTCGACAGGAAAGGTCAGCCGAAACGAGGAACGTCATCGTAACCTCGACACGTTCGGCGAAGCTGGTGGGCCGCCTCCTGGTGCTTTTGCAGGCCAAGGGCGAGGAGGTTTCGGCGGACGCGGACGGGGCCGAGGTGGATATGGTGGAGAACAGCAGGGGGGTTATGGAGGGTATGGATATGGAAATAGGGGACGAGGGGGTTATAGCCGGGGTGGTGGGAGGGGCGGGTATGGTCAGCAATCTGGAGGAGATTTGTAAAAGTCGATCGAAGTGTTTTCGTCGAGGTTGTAGAGTTTTATATATATATCAATAGGGGATAAAGAAGATAGTGAGAAGCACATGTATAAAGTATTGCAATTATCAATTGTGTTGTGTCAGGATGAGTTTGAAGTGATAGATCGCCGTCAACAGAGTACATAGGCTTCATCCCAACGTGTACCACGGTATGCATACCCATGGTGCTCCAGTGCAGTTCGGGTACGTTAATACGTTCCAAAGACATTAGGGCAAGCTCAAAGCTCAACAAGAGCATGCAGATGAGGTATTGGTGTTGGGTCACGATATGCAGCCAAGGCCCGCAAAGGTGATGATGGTTGCCAAAGAGTCTGACCGAGCTTGTACAGCCAATGTACAGCAAAGAGAAAGTATTGCGTGGTTGCTTGATGGTGTATGTCGACAGATCGGTCTTTTCCCGATAGCTAGAGCTAACATAAGAGCAGCGGCATCGGGGTCATGTCATGCCATGGTCATAATGGTGTCAATGCACGTCTTTTTGAATCGGGGTATCGCGCAACGGTGGATTTGAACTCGTTGTGTGATGCCTGCTTGCTTGCCCTGTATGTACACCTACATACTAGAGTCTTCTCAAGCATAGTGTACCTTTCGTCCCGTTGCTACCAAGCCAATGACTGCCGACATCAGTTGTTCGCTTCCAGACGCGAGAGATGACATCAGCAAATGACCACACCACATCTCCATATACTTATGACCCATGCATACATATAAGTACCCTATTCTATCGATTCTTCTTTTCCAACTATAATTTGTCTAAAATCCAACAAAGATCTACTCTGTCTCTCAAACGCCCGATAACCGCCTCCCGTCCAAACTCGCCCGTCTCAAACATCCCAGCGGCTGCTTCTCCCCACTCGTCTGGCCCGTACTCGTCCCCGGCCTCGCCCCGCCCGACACCTTCCTCCCCCCAGCTCCACTCCCTCTCCCAGCCCCAGACCCAAAAGCCGACGGCGCGGTCCCCGACCCCGACCCTTTCTGCCCCCTAATAGGTTTCGCATCCAACCACATATCCATCAACGCCCGTCTCTGCCTCTCCTTCTCTTCTCGCTCCTTGATAAAGTCGGCGGAAGAGCCCGAGCCGGAGGTGGGGGTGGAGGTGGTGGAGGTGGAGATGATGGAGGGTGAACTCGCGCGGGGGGGAGTTGGGTCCGCGGGGAGAGGTTTGGTTGTTGGAGCTGGCGCTGGCGCTGGTGCTGGTGCTGGGGCCGGGGCGGCCTTGGGGATGGTGGTAGGGACAGACGGCGAGGGAGACGGGGAAATGGCGCTTCTGAAAGCAGCCAGCGGGTTCGGCGTCGTCGGCGTCGGGTAAGGCCCACTCGCACCCGCACCCGCACTCGCACTCCCCTTCCTCCTCACACTCCCCTTCCCACCTTCACCCGCCCCACCCCCCAACTCGACTTCCAACCCCACCGCACGACCAACCCCAGACGGCTTCCGTCTCAGCCGCTTCTCCTCGCCGCCTTCCTTCTTGCGCTTGTCGGGCGCAGCTGCAGCTGATAATGAGATGGTGGTTGTTGGGGTTGTAGCTGGTGTGAGCGGCAGAGCGGGGTGGGCTTGGGGGTGAGAAGATTGAGAGGGTAGAGGCGTGATGGGCGGGGAGCGTAAGAACCCTTGTGCACTACTCTGCGGCACAGACGCAGCTCCAAACGCAGGCGCCCCCTCTTCCGAGATCGACCCCTGCCCCCTCGTCCTCGGCCTCGGTGGCGGCATCAACCCCTTCCTCTCCCTCTCCCTCTCCTTCTCCTCCTGCTCCCGGGCGTCTTCTTCCCACTCCCGAGTCGTCGTCGGCCTCACCAGCCCGTTCAGCCCGTTCAGCCCCAAAGAATCTGTATGGCCGTTCGCGCTAACTGGGGAGAAGGCCGATGGTGGGTATGGCGTCGCGTTGTTGAAGGGAGAGGGAGAGTGGTTGGAGGTCGTGCTGGGGGAAGCAGCCAAACTAGCCAACATATTCCTAGCCCTCTGTTCCTGCGCCAAATGCAACGACTGATGTTTCGCCGCATTCGCCTCCTTCTCCGACCTATACTCTTCCTTCACCCCTTCCAGCTTTGCTCCTCCTTGCCCCTGGGCTTCAGAAGAAGAAGAAGACGGCTTGGGGATGAAGAAGAGGGAACATTCCGAAGTCGAGTCGGAAGCTGCTACGCTGACGCTAGCGCTCGTGCGATAATCTTCCTTTGCGCCCTTGCCCGTGCCCGAACTTGTAGCCGTACTCTCCGACCCCTTTTTCTCCCTGTCGGCCAGAGTCTGCGCAGGGGTAGAAGCAGAAGAACCCCGCCCAAACATCTTTTCCATCCTCCCCGACTTTCGCCTCCCACTCCGACTCCGCCCCTCCTCCCCAATCTTGCTCCTCTCACTCGGGGGGATGATGTACACATCTTCCTCTTGCCCCCCGCTTTGCTGTTGGTGCTCGAGTTGTTGTTTGACGGGCGAAAGCGGCGCGGGGGCGGGGGCGAGCCGGTCAGCCCAGGGGCGGGCGACACCTTCTTGGCTGTCCACTTGGATCTGGCTGTGTACCTGGGGGTAGGGCGAGGGAAGGCTCGCTTGGGAGCTTTGTTGCGAGTTGGGAGGAGAGTACAACGCCGGCGACAGCGCCCCCCCCGGAGACACACCCTTCTCCCCACCCCCGCCCTTCTTCGTCCCCAACCGTCCCCTAAGACCCTTCATAACACTCCCCAAAGCACTGAAATCCGGTAATCCCCCAACAGCATCCATCCCGCTCACCTGCCCGCCCCGACTGCCCGGCGCAGCAACAGCACCAGAGACGGCCGACGTCGATGAATTCGAACTGGACACCGAGCGGGCGGAGGAACTGGCTTTGCGCGGGATGTGCCGGGTGGTCGTGGGGGGGCCAGCAGAGGCGGAGGGGGAGAGGGAGAAGGAGGCAGAGTGGGAGGAGAAGGAGGATGAGGCGGTGTTGGCGCGGGGTTTGGTTTGGCGGGTGTGCATGGCCGACGGAGGGGGAGGGGGAGGTGAGGTGGAGGATTGGGCTTTGGCGAGGCTTTGACTGAGGTAATTCTCGTCCAGCGCTGAGAAACCCATCGCTTTTGCGTTCTATCAGCTTTTGTGTCCTCAAGGGAAAAGGGGGGGACATACAGTGTTCATCTTGGGGACCAGTCTTTATCCTCGTCGATCCTGACCATTCTGAAGGTAGACCCATGGTACCAGACTTGGGCGATATCGACGCGCTCGTCCCTCGCCCGGGCAAGGGAATGCCAGTAAGTGACCGTGGTACATTCCTATTCCATCATCAGCCTTCACCCCTTGATAGTTGGACGAAGAGGGAGACTTACTCTGCGGGTACGTTGATAACTTCCATCTTTCCTTCCCGCTCATCATCACTCTCCATCCTCCTATCCACTTTCACCCACTCTCTCACGCCTCCACCTGCACCCGCAGGAGTGGCGCTAATAGAAGTAGACGACCGCGGGCGAAACATATCTTGCAACCCTCTAGAATTCGTAGAAAGCGTATTCCGTCTCGGCGCGGTATTGAACGAAGAAGGGGGGTATTCGGGGGGAGGCTGGGTAGGGTCGAGGAGACTGATCGAACTGTTATTCGCGGGGAAAGAACCGTACGACTGATCGCCCAAGTATGCCGGGGATGCGGCTTTTGAAGATGGATAACTCGGCCGTGCGCTCGACCGTCTCGGTATCGGCGGTGCAGAAGAAGCAGCCCTATCCACTTGTCCACCTGGCGGCTGTGGGGGCAGACCTCGAGGCGCGGGGGCGGGCGGTATATACTGGCCTGCGAGGCTGTACGGTCCGTGTGCGTGTGGGCGACCCGCAATGGAGGAGGATGACGTCTGTGGCCCGATAGCTGCGCTCCTCGCTTTCGTCTCTTGCGTTTCAGCTCTGTGCCGGGAATAGATGCTTTCCCTGTCGCCGAGGCTGACGGCCAGGCCGGCTGTCGGGAGGGAGGGGGGCGGTTGTGAGGGGGCAGGGGGCGGGGGTTGTGAGGGCGCGGCGGAAGGAGGTGGAGGTGGAGGTACGGGGCGTGACTTTTTTCTCTGTTCGCGCCAGGACCTGACGGACTGTTCTCTGGGCGGGGGCAGGGGGGCTGTGTTTGGGGGCGGGGGGAGGGGGGAGATGGGTGTGCGCTGGGGGTTATAAGTATACCTCTGCGATTCCAGAACGTGTTAGTTGTTCCTCCGTGCCTCGGGAGTAGCAGGCTAACGGGACACGTACCTTCGCCGTACCTCCCGGATTTTTCGACCCGTACCCCCACCCGTCCCCTTCCACCCTCCCGCGCAATTGCTCTAGCATCGCCAGCGCATCGTCCTCGCCCTCCCATCTCTCCCGGGCGTGCGCACCCACAGCAGGTACCGGAGGGAGCGGAGGCGGGCGCGGACGCACAGGGGGCACAGGGGGCACAGGGAGCGCAGGCGGCTGGGGGGCGTTCATAGACTGTGTTCGCTGTCGGTTATCATGAAACGAAGGCACATCTGGCGTCGATGGCTGCGTACTGCTCCCTCCTCCCACCTCCACCCTTGGCCCCCTCCTCGCCCACTCATCGCCCTCCCATTCCATCTCCCAACTATCCCGCTTCCGTCCTTCTCGCTCATAGCTCGACCCGCCCGGAGGGGGCATCATCACCGGCAGCTTCATCGTCCCTCTTTTGCTCCCCCCCTCGCGCTCCTTGTATAGCTCCGCAACGGAGGGGGGAATGTCGTATGCATCCATGGCGTTCTGCGACTTGTGCCCCTTGGACCCCTTGGAGCCCTTGAAGCTGTTGGAGAAGGGGGAGAAGGAGTGCGCGGGGGAGGTCGGCGTCGGCGCGGGGGAAGGGTTGGGCGAGGGCGTAGCGGTGCGGGATGATCTGGGGCGGAGGGAGGCGAGGTCAAAGTGGAAGAAGGACGCGCCGTCCTGTGGCTGGCGTTTCTTGATCAGCGGCATCCTCCTTACAATACAAAATTGCAAGAGAACAACAATATGTACTTATCATGGCGGCTTACGCGTAGAAGGCCCGAGCGCCGAAGTTCCACAGACAATAGCATTCCAAAGTCAGGGCCCGGGCGGTGTGTGTTCGGAGCATCCTGTGCTGTGCCGCCCGTGTTGCAGGGGGCAGGTAGCGTGGTGCGCATACACAACACCACCGAGACACCCTTCACTGCATCACCACAAGCTTTGATCGGGAAGGAGGAACGCGGATCGTGCGCGCGTCGGCCGCCGGAGTGCCCATACTCGTAATGTTGCTGGCCTGTTGTTGTGAAGCACGTTCAGGTAAAGCAGATATTCAAACGGGCACATCATATATATATGCACACCCCGCTCTTACGCAACATCCCATCCATCCACATAACGCCCATCCCTAAGGCCCATTCCTAACCCCCCACCCCTCCTCCCTCACCGCCCTCAAACTCTCCCCAATCCTCTCCCCCCTTATACTCTCCTCCTTCCCCACTTCAACCCCCTCCTTAATCGCCATCAACACCCCCTTATCTTTACTCTTGATGACAGCTTCGATCAGCCGTCCAAAGTCTGGCGGGGCGGGCGCGAGAGGCGGGAAGAGCGCTACGCCGGCGGGGTAGTGCCCGGGGAGGTAGGCGAGGGTGAGGGTGGAGGGGGCGAAGAGGACTTTGGAGTACGTTTGGGAGTAGAGATTTGTCTTTTTTTCGTTGTTCCTTGTCAGCCCTGCTTCTTCTCACGGGGGCGGGGCGCGGGGGGCGGAGGGGGAGGGGACGTACGAAAGGAATCATCAACGAATTCATCGGCAAACTGCCTTCTTGATCCTCTCGCCAATCGATCTGCTGGTCTGCTACCCAATAGACCTGTTCCCCGTCAGCCAATAATCAGCATTCTTCATTCTCCCTTCCCTCTCGGCTCTCGGAATGAGCAAACAGATGGATAGACGGGGGAAAGGGGAACGTTACATTAAAATCAGTAACCCAAACTCTCCCCTTCTCCGCTTTCAACACCCTCTTCTTCCCCTTCCTCTTCCCCTTGCTGCTGCTGTTGTCGTGGCTGTGGTCTGAGGAGCCAAAGCTCGGGGGCAAGACGAGATGGATCTCCACAGCATGCGGGCCTGTTGTAAACGTCTCGCCTGTACAAGTATGATTTGGTGAGTATGTGAGTTTGTGAATTTTTGGGCTATGCTGAAGGGAAGGAGAGGAAGGGAGAAGAGGGAAGGGGGGACGCACCGGATTCAGCTATATCAGGCTGACCATCTTGTGTGAGCTTGACGTTGTTCAGCGACATGGTACCGGCTGGTGTATATGAATCTTGTGAAACTGGTTAAATGAATTGATGATTGCTCAAGTGAACAAAACTGAAAGAAGCTGAAGCTGAAAAGCTGTGCGTCGGGCGGCCCCCTCTGATGACTGATCACCCCTCAATTGCCACGTTTCTTCCAAGCCACAGATCCCACTCCCATGACTGGACTCGAGGGGGGGCTGAGGCACGATCAGCAATACAGCACTCGAGTACGAGTATGCCAAGAAGGAAGGGAAGGGTGCCTTGTCTTTCGGCTTCGGCTTCTTCGGCGCGGCGTGCGGTTTTGGGGAGACCGTTGATAACCGACTTTTACCGTAAAGATAACCCTCTTGATCCGCAGTCGAATATAGCTCAGGCCCATACCTATATGTAGTGATTCTCAAACATACATGCCCCATGAATAATATGTATCACCCCTCAAAACGTAGACGACACAAGACAAGGCCGCCTCATACACACACAGCAGGCAAAAAAGGCAAAAAGAGAAGAAGCCAAAAAGAAAGCCTCCGGCGGGGCTCGAACCCGCAACCGCACGATTAACTGATGGCCCGTAACCGGTTCAAGCAGACTCGATAAGAGTCGTGCGCGCTACCGATTGCGCCACGGGGGCTTCATATTTGAATGTTTCACTAACTCCATGGAGAACTAAGGTTTAGGGAACTGTCGTATCACTTGTACAAGAGAAGCAGGACTCATAGCACGACTTTATCTTCCGCATAGCAATAACAGCAGACTCGGACAGAGCTCACCAATCATTGATTGAAGCGTCTATGGCTGTCGAGCATTTGCGGTCTGCATGGTTTGGCGATGAAGAAGCTTGGGTTCGGGGACTCGGAGGGAGGAAGAGGCGAACGTTTCCAGAGGTTTGCCAGCAACCAGCCGGTATCGATGTGAAGCATAGGGATGTAGGGAGTATGGATATGCAGAAATGGGCATTTTATAGAGACGAAGAGAGAATACAATACCGCAGTCTATGTACACGTCGATGCCTTGCCGAACGGGATCAATTCCCTCGAGGCCTGAGGTCATTGCAAGGCTGTTGCAAGGTCATTGCTGCAAGCCTCGAGCTTGTTGTTGCTTAGGTTTTTGCTTCTACTCTTCTAATAACCGTCTCTTTCATCTCCCAGCTCGCCATCGTTTGGTCGCCCCCATGTTCCCAGTCCCCGCCCACCTTCCCCGTTCTGGAGGGGAACATATCTCCAGCCCCGCCCAAGAGGACATACCAGCCCCGACCGACTCGGCTTTGGAACAGGAAACGGCTGTCCTCACACTCCTCAAACCATTGTTAGACGCTCCTAGAGACACGTCAAAGTCTACAGCTCCAGCTGCATCTGGGGCGGAGAAGAATACGAAAGGGGCGCGATGGACTGCTAAAGAGATCCGAAAAGTTAGGGAGAGCTTGGAGAAGGCTGTGGAGGAGAACAAGGTGAGTCTTTCGCTTGTTGGGATTTCGTAGTAGCCCTTGGGCGGTAGGGTGCTGATTGGTATATCAGGCCAAAACGCATCGACTGGTGCTCGACAATCTTCCTACCATCTCGCATGACATCCAGCTTTCATTATCCTTGCGGACAGACATGAGTGATGTCAAGACGAAGCTCGAATCTCTGGAGAAGGAGATCGATATCACAGATCCTGCAGTATGTCCACCACTCATCAATGACGGGAACGCCAACTGATCTTGATTTGCAGACCTCGTTCCTCCCGCCGCTGGTAACAGTCCTCAACAACCACTTCTCCTCTCTATCCACCCTCAACACTTCCCGCGCCTATATATCTGCTCTGAAATCACTTCAGACCAAGGCGCAGAGCGTCTCAAAGCTAGAGCAAGCGATCTGGTCTGGGGAGACGGCGGAGAGCTGGGTCATAGAGGCGCTCTCTTTTGAGCAAGCTGTCGAAGAGGGGTCAGAGGCTTTGGAAATAAAGGAGACTAAAGCTGTCAAGGCTCTATATCAGAGGAAGAGGGAATTGTATGACGAGGCTGTTCAGCAGGTCCTTGGAGGCTGGGCCGAGCTGGTCACTGTCGCGAAGCGAGGTGAAGGCGTGGTTGTCACAGCTAAGAGTGAGGTGAAGCTCCCTGCTCCCAAAGGTACGCCCAGATACTTTCATTTTGAACTGGTTTGATTGTTCGATAGGTGCCCGTCCGAATAACCTGCAAATGACACCAGCACCTCACTATTCTCAGACAGCGGTTCTTCAAGCACTGAATTCCCTCGGCCTACTGTCGCAATCGCTACAAACTTTACAAACCCAACTTTTCGAGAACGTGATCATTCCGATAACGGCCTCGCGTTGCACTCTGAATGTGTCTTCCAGTGAAGGAAAGACGGTCCTGAGGGTAGAGCCGAGTGCGAGCACAGTGGGCGAGGAACAAGTCCTCGAGAGCGTTCGCTCCTTCTTGTCAAACCTCTCCCCGACTCTTATCCCGAGCTCTATCGAATCACCCGAAATCTCAGCATTCCTTCTCTCCATCCGAACCACCACCCTCCAAGCTCTCCTCGACAACTTCCTCCTCCCCCTCCTCCCTTCCTCCCCTTCCGCCCTACCCGCTTGGATAGCCCTCCTCCAAACCGCCCTCATCATCGAATCCTCCCAACCCATCTCCGACGACCAGAAACAAGGCCCCATATCCCGATTCTTCCAATCCCAAGCCGCTTTGGAGTATGCCACCAAACGGCGATACGACTCTGCTGAGCTTGTGCGTGGGTTGGTGTTGAGGGGATGGAAAGGATGGGAAGGGGTCAGGTGGGAGAGGGAGAGGGAGGTGGTGGGCGTTGTGGAGGTGGAGGTTAGTGATGATGAGGAAGTGGAGGATGCAGAGAGGACGCCGGTTGTGGAGAAGAAGGTGCCGGTGAGGGTGGAAGATGAGGGAATGGAGGAAGAAGATGGATGGGGCTTTGATGAGCCTGTGTCGGCCCCGGAGAAGAACGAGGAGATTGCAGAGGAAGCAGGAGAAGATGATGGGTGGGGATTCGACGAGCCCATTGCTCCTACAGCCCCAGTCTCCGAACCCGAACCCGAACCACCCGCTACCGAACCAACCCCAATAGAAGTTCCCAAACCTACCAAAGCTCCACGGGAAGCCAAACGTTTAGGCAAGAAGGCTGCCAAAAAGCCAAAAGAGCATGACCCTTGGGACCCGGTCCCTGACCTTGCACCCACACCTTCCGAGATTTCGGAAGCTTCTTCCTCTCAGTCCGAGACGCCTGTGTCTGCTAGTACTTCTGTTTCTGGACAAGAGACCAACGGAAATGGAGTCGTGCATGTTGAGCAAGAGCCAAAACCAAAGGCGAAAGCACCGAGGGAAGCGAAAAAGCTTGGGAAGAAGGTGGGCAAGCAGGTCAAGAAGGAGTATGATCCCTGGGATGTTGAGACGCCTATTGCCGCTGCTGTGCCTGCGCCTGCATCTGTATCCGATGCGGCGTCGTCTCCCGTTCTTACGGATGAGGTGGAGGAAGGCTGGGGATGGGAGGATGATGCGCCTGTGGTCGATCCCGTTCCAGTACCAGAGATCAGGGAAGATGTGGCTGCTTCGCCAAAGAAGAGAAAGAGAACGGCGTTGAAAGAGGAGAGAAAGGTCATCAAGGAGGTGTACCAGGTGTCGAAAGGGTGTGAAGAGCTTCTGACCATCGCTCGGAGGTTGCTCAAGGAAGTTGACGAATTGAAGTCTACAAAGTGCGTCCCTCACATCATGGTCGTACCAAGCTGACTTTCCTGGCTCCGCAGATTGGACTCGCCCTCGTTCGAGAACGCTTCTACATATACAACCATCCACCAAGCAATCGCCGAAGTGTTTACCCTCTACCGCGCCCTGCTACCCACCTACTACTCTCAACAGCTCCTTGAAGTTCCTTCTCTCGCTCTCCAAGCGTACAACGACACCAGCTTTTTATCCTTCTCTCTACCCTCCCTATCTTCTTCAGCAGATTCACCAGAGTCGTCCTGGGACTTTGAGAGAGAACAAGATGCGTTGCTCGCCCTCGGCGATCATCTACTGGAAGCGTTTATCACGAATCAACTGGGACAGATTGATACCGAGCTGGAAGGGGTGAAGAGGCTTGAGGAGACTGGGGATGATGTCGTGTTTAGAGATAGCGAAAAGTGCATCAAGGGGTTGGTGTTTGAGTTGGAAAGTTTGAGCCGGGTCATTAGGGTACGTTCGTCCCTCTTCAGATTAGGATTTGAACTGACAATTACACAGCCCGTCGTTCCGCAATCTGAGCGATATCCCCTCCTTGGCACCCTGCTCACACACTTTACCTCCCGTCTATCGTCATTCGTTCTCTCTCTATCCGACATTACCGAGATCGAGTCAAACCGACTGACAGAACTCGTGAGGCTGGTTTACCCACTAGAGAACCTGTTTGCGGGCGGAGAGGGAGTTGTAGGGCACGTCAGGGGATGGCTGAAATTCTGCTACATTGCCGAGATTCTTGTACGCCCTCCGTCCTTTACAATCTCGTTTAACACTGACCGTGGAACAGCAAGCCAACCTCGTGGATATCACCTACTTGCTTGACCAGAATGCGCTGGTGGACTTTACGCCCGACGAGCTTATTGGGCTGGTGAGGGCGCTGTTTGCGAGCAGTGAGAAGAGGGATAGGGTGATTGACAGGATCGAAGCTGAGGGGACTGGGGCTGGGGGAGAGCAGGAGCATGAAGATGGGAGGTCATGAGCTTCCCCGAGCTGTACGTATGTATGATCTGTAGGCCATGCATAATAGGCAAGATCATCTTGATACAAGTGACATTATATGATTGGTAATTGGCACGCTATAATCTATCCCACAGCTCTTCATCGTCCGCACTCAGCCCTTCCCTTCCCACATTGTTCTGCACCCCGGTCCCCACTCTCCTCTCCTCCTGTGACACTCTACCATACCCTCCTCGCCCCCCTCCACTCCCTACCAAGCTCCTCCCTCCAAGTCCGCCCTCATTAACCCGCCTCTCCGTATCCTCTTCATCCTCCCAATCAAAGTCCACCTCTCTAGCTCGGCTGAGATCGATTGCTTTGGGCGGATTCATCCACGAATGCCCCGACCGTCTGAGAATCGCGCCAAGACGGAGGAATTGGATGGCATTTCGTCCGACCAGGAGGATGGTGTCGAATATCTCTTCTGAGCGGGTGGATGAGGAGCAAGGAGAGAAGAAGACGAGGAGGAGGGTGAAGAGGCAGAATGCCAACAGGGCGAGGTCGACAATGTTGAGGAATGTTATGGGAAATTTCTGCTGTGTGTCAATAGGGAACAACACAAAAGTGAGAAGCATGTACCTTGCCGTTCGCAAACCACCTCGTTGTCACCTCGAGGACCATCAAGCCGTTGAGTATGACCTCAATAATATGCCATGCGATCGGTGGACAGTCGCCCTTGTCTGCACCATTGCCATTAGCATCGACGACTTGAGCAAAAGGGACAACGCACGCGTCGCTATAAGGCTGAGCACCAGCGTCGCCAAACTTAGCCCCATCATAGCCCCATAGAACAAAATATAATACCGACTGAACAGTATTCTGTTGGCTACACCGCGCAGTTGTTCACTCCGAGGCAAGTGGTAGGGTGAACGAGATGGGACTGCGGTGGGACCGTCGTCATTGAGATCGGGGTCGAGGTCAAAATCTCTTGGTGAGAGGTGTTGCGCTTCAGGATCTAGGGAGGGCATTCTGCTGCTCCAGTAGACAGGGTTGGGGTCGGTACGGGGTTGAAGATGTAAAAGAGGTTGAGATATCAAAGAATGCGTGTCGGTCTCTTTGTCAAAGGAAAGCCGGTGATGCGTGCGCGGAGATCGCCGCAACTCCGCTTGCCTCTGCGTCACTCAACCAGGACTAAACATGGGCTGCGACACTATGCCACGCTCTTTAATTCGAAAATACTCATCTGAGCCCTCTATCATGGAGGGGGAAAAGCTAACAGCAGCACCATATTGCATTCCCCTTCGCTATCGGGGAATATCAGGTCGACATAGAGCCCTTCAGACACTGCGTGGCACTGTTGTAGAATGATCTTTCTGCATCCACACACGGGTCATTGTCCCTCATCCTGAGGTTGTCTCCTTTTTTTTTTGAGATGAGAGAAAGGAATCAATCAGGACGATTACGGCAGAAAGAATCAAGGAGAATATCGTGCCGCGCGGATGATGAGAACATCGCATCATTGGCGGGAACGACATGATATTCTTCCTACCCACTTCTTTCTTTGCACTCCCATCCCGTTTTACTAGTCAAAGGCCTCCGAAACACACGTATCGCCATGTACATCAGCCTTGACGCTAAAACCGAACCCCATCCCGATTCAGTACCGGCAAACCCCAGGCCGCCCGCAGCTCTGCCTGCCGCCAAATCGGACGACGACAACACCAGCACTCGTCCGCCGTGGAAGTACCGTCCCGATGAAGTCAACCACATGTGGGACGTCGAAGAACTCTCTAAAGACTTGGGAGAGTTTATGCTGCTCAAATACGGGCCTGCGAAACGGGATGAGGAAGGGAATGATGTGTCGGGATGGTTTTACCCTCCTGAACATGGGTGGATCAGGTGGGTTGGGGACAAGTTGAATTCCGAGCCCATGTTGTGTGGTGGGGGTGAAAAGAAGATTCATGTGTACGGATTTCGCTTTGAGAATCGTGTTGTGAGTAGTCATCTGAAAAGACATCTCAAAGTATGATACTGCTGACTATCTGTCAGTTGAGCCGGGAAGCATTCATCAAAGCATACATGTGCTGCCTGCAGATGCAAGTATTTCTGGAAGATATCAACGATGCAGTAGAGTGTGACGACGTCGAGCTGAAAGCAGAGGAAGAGCAAGAGTTTGAACCCAGCCGAGACTTTGTCGGTGCCCACTTCCGCTTTCAAAGAGGTTTCTGACATACTATTAGCTCGCGGTCTGCAACATGTTCCACCAGTTACACTGCAGTCTGGGAGACTGGGAGGAGGCGGGCTCACTCCCCTCCCAATGGACCAAACCCGCCCCCGGTCTGCGTATCAAATATCGCCGCGATCTCGAAAAACTCGTGGACTTTGACTCGCCAAAATGGCAATCATTCTGGGACGACAACGACCCCTTTTCTTACCCCGCCCCAGAAAAGATCCGGCCGACCTTCATGTTTGCCGTAGAACAGTGTTTGGGGATGATGCAAGAGGGGTTCAGTGTGAGGCTTTGGCGTGTATGGCAGGGTGCTGGAGTGGCTAAGAGGCATGGGCGAGCTTTGAGCTTGCGATGACGTGAAGCTGGGGCTGTACTACCCTCGCAACGAGCTTCTTCTCAAAGTGGAGAAGCGATCTGGAGAGGAGCGGCTAGTACTGGACGCGAAGAAGGAGCTCAAGGTACAAAAAGCAGAAGGTGAGCGAGAGTCGGTGAGGGCTTGGCTAGCGAGCAGAGAGTATCTCTGGATCAAGGTTGAGAGATTCTTTACGGTGTATGTCGATTTTCGCTTTGATAGAAAGTTTTGACCCGAGCTGACATGGCGGTAGTATTTCATGCGCTGTCTTCTTGACTATAGTACTGTGATTTGTCTACCTCATTTTCTCGATGGCCAGGGCTTTCAGTCGCTTGTAGCACCCATAACCCCAGTCGACGCTAGGCTTCACCGTCTGCCTTACTGAACTTGCTTCTCTTGAGACTGCGTCATTTCCTACTCTGTTTGCCTTTTTGGGGATGCTATGAGCTGATAGGAGCTGCTATGAGGCTTATGTTGACAGATGGATGTGGGTGGGATGACTCTACATCATGGTAGTGCGTCTCTGCTGGGGTGCCAATCTTGGAGTTTTGAAGGGACTTGTTAATTGAGAAAGGACGCGCACAGTGTTGGCCGCCCGGCCGAAGGGGGATATCTAGGAAGAATGCATCTATGAGTAGGGTTTTGATTGGGACCGACTGGGGACTTGGGCTCTATACAAATATATATTGGGTGAGGACTGGGGTCATGACTGAAACCCTTGTCAGTTTTCAGACACGCCTAACATGAACGCCTATGTTCGCGTATTCACTGATCGCTCAAGAATTGGTCACGCCTAGATCATGGAGTGGTTGATATTGTGTATGTGAGACATCTCCTTCTGTGCTTTTGAAACACACTCGGCCAGACTGTGATGAACAAAAGAAAGAGTACCACACATCTATACGCAAAGACCTCTTGTAAGCCGCCATCTTGCAGCGAGTCTGCATACGAGGATCTTTCACTTACAAGAGCCATTTGTCAATCGACCCTTCCTCTTCCTTTTCCCCTTCCTCAATGTCAAAGAAGATGAAAGTTTCTTTCTCCGCCATGGGCGTCATGTCCACATCCTCCCAATCTTCTTTCTCTCTCTCCAACTGCTTCACCGACGGTCTGATAGTGGCGTCGCTTTCGGTCCGCCTCTTATAGGGTATGGGGTCGCAGGGTATGGATGGGATGACTACTGGATGGATGATGGGGGAAGGAATCCGGAAGATGGGGGATGGGGGATCGTCAACGGATGTGAAGGACGGGTCGTCGTTGAGGAGCGGGCTGGAGGGGAGGATGATGCTGTGACTACGCTGGCCAACCATTGTGTGTTCTCTGAAGTGTTGGACCGATGCGTTGAAGATGATATGAAGGTATGTGTGGAGTGATATTGTACATCATGAGGGGTTTGTGATTGACTTATGAGCAGGTGCGGAACCATGGGTTGAAGGCTGGCTGTTTCCGCTGCTTTGATTTCCGCCAATGGCTTCGTACTCGACCGTCAGCCTCGCAGCTCCTACCGTAGGTGTCTACGAGATCCTCGACGATAAAGCGTACACATCAAACCCGTACTGCTGCCGACTACATATGAATGCGCTGCCCCAGAACCAAACAATGGCTTTCAAGATCCAGGCACCCAGGCACCTCCTGGCTCGTAATGCATTCATTTCCCATTCGCGCTTCGTGATTTCCCATTTCGCCCCTTCTCCTCGCTGCTGCGCCAGATTCTTCCTCCCCATCTTCTCTTGTGCCCACCCGCAAGCCTATAATGACCATGAGCAACGGCATGAGACGGAGCGTGCTTGTTATCGGTACCGGTACGTCGCTTATCTCGGTCGTCTGGAGCTCCAGCTGATAACCATCTCAGGCGGCACCATCGCATCCGAGCTCACTGAAAATGGCCTTGCACCTGTAAGCTCTTCATGATCCATCTCGTCCTCAATTCCTGACGCTTTTGGCAGCTCCGACAAGACTCCTTCTTTCGCCGAATTCGCCAACACCCCTCCCTCGCATCGCCCGCCTCACCATCCCTCTCCTCGTCCTCCGTCTCAACCCCCAACGACCTTTCATTTCACTCTCCTGTTATCACCACCAAGGTTGGGAAGAATACAAAGTACCCAAAGCTGGTCACGCCAGAGATGGATGATGAGGGAAGAGAGGTAGAGTATGAGATTTTGGATCTGGACAGACACATGGATAGTAGCGAGATGACACCTGCCGGTGAGCTCTCATGTTGAATATCGTGTGGTAGGGGACGAAACTGACTTTATTAGAGTGGAATACGATCGCCGGGCTGGTGTCCGAGAATTGGAAAGGCTATGACGGCTTTGTCATCCTGTCTGGTACCGACACCCTGGTATGCATCCTTTTTCTCCGAGGAGTACGAGATTCCAATTGACTTGCTTCTAGGCATACACAGCAGCTATCCTCTCATTCCTTTTCGCCAACTCTGGAAAGCCCATCGTGATCACTGGTGCTCAGATCCCTCTCTCCCGGCCCCGGTCAGACGGCTGGACCAACATTCTCGATTCGTTGTTCGTGGCGGGCGTTCTGCCGTATGCCGGGGTAGGAATCGTGTTCAACCACCAGGTGTTTCGTGGCACTCGGTAAGCTCGGCATTCAACTTGACAAGGACATCCGCTCATGATAGGTCCAGGGCGACAAAGACAAGTCCCAACTTGTTTGCCGCATTCACTTCCCCATGCGTCCCTGCCATCATCAACCTCAACGTCAAAATCAGTACGTCACCCCATCTCCCCCATCCCCATCCTAGCTCACAACCCATTCAGCCCGCGACGCATCCCCCCTCCCACCCCGCTCCCTCACCCCTCCCGCTTCCCTCATCTCCCTCAAAACAGACCCCACCGTCCTCTCCATCCACATCTACCCCGGTCTCTCCGGCTCCCTCCTCTCCGCCCAGATCGCCGCCGTCCCCACATGCCGCGCCGTTATCCTCTCCGCCTACGGTTCTGGCAACTTGCCCCTCGACCCGAGTAATGGGGTGATTGAAGCTTTGAAGGAGATGGTGGAGAGGGAGATTATGGTGGTGGTTCTTTCGCAGTGTGCGGTGCCGAATGTTTATCCGCTTTATACGCAGGGGAGGATGTTGTTGGATCTTGGTACGTCCTCCGCGTATCTTTGACATTTTAGGCATCGCGCTGATGTGAAGCAGGCGTACTGCCGGGATACGACCTCACACACGAAGCGGCTTTCGCCAAACTTTTATGGCTCGTTTCCGATGAATCCCTTCCCTTCAAGGAGAAACAACAGCGGTTTGAAGAGGATTGTGCCGGGGAAATGTCCGTTTGAAGCTGGTAGCAGAGTCGCGAAAAGCATTATCAGGCGCTTACTTGGAAAAAGGACGAGGGCGCTTGCAACAAGAGCTGTCATGTAGATGTAATGTTACTTAAAAAATACATGCCGATATATATATGATTCAAGGGTATTCCCGCGCATGTGACTTCAATCTACACAGCATCCGAAACGAAAAGCCGATCCAGAAAACCAACACCGTTGGCCAACAGGATCGACTATCCGTTGTGGTGTCGCCTATTCTTGTGCACTTTCTCCAGCGATCCTCCTCTCGGGCAGTCGCCGCCGTACAGATCATCTTCGGCAGGTATCATAGCAGCCAGACCTGGTACCACCGGACGTTGAACTTCAGGCGCATTGCTGATCTGGGGTCGGACGCCGAGGAAAGGATGGAGAAGTGGGTGGTCAGGCTGATGCAGAACGCCCTGGATTTCCCCAGGATGTTGAGCCGAGGTTGTTGAAGGAAAGTCATGGAGGAGCTGAGCTGTCAGGATGGGGTGTCCTGGTCGAGAAGGGGGGAGATGATGTCCGTGCTGAGGAGCGATGGTGGGTTTGAAGAGGTCGAGGCCGAGACTTCTTGTAGCCAATCTGTGGGTGATGTCAGCCCTAATTAGGCCGGCGCCACTGCCAATGATAAGGACAACTCACCAAAGCTCGACAGTGACTGTACCCCAGCTAGCGACCACAGTCCAAGGGTAGTCGTCCATCTCCATTTTTTTAAAACCCCCATTTCCCCCCTCCGTGCTGTTCCTTCAAGCTATCCGCCCACTTCCCACCTGGCACGGGGGACTCAGAAGCGTTCTGAACCAGCCTGACCAGCCACTTCTCCATCCTGTCCTCGTCGTCCGATCCCGAATCACCAATGCGCATGAAGTTCAACGTCCGGTGGTACCAGGTCTGGCTGCTATGATGCCTGCCGAAGATGATCCGTACGGCGACTGACCGAGAGGAGGATCGCTGGAGAAAGTACACAAGAAACGGCGACACGACAAGGGATAGTCGATCCTGTTGGCCAATCGCGTTGGTGATGATCAGAGGTGTACTAGGCGGGGGCGTAATGAGACGCGCAACTTTGAGCACGCTGGAGGGGATGTAGGAGGTGGGAGAGGGAAAGTTGAGGATCAAACGGTCCAAATTGGTGGTGTATTCGTCCGTTGCCACGAGGGAGTCGATCTCCGTGAGACTTCTGAGCGTACGGGCGGGCATGGTAAGAGGGCGGTGTCCGAAGAAGGTGGGGGTGGTGGGGGTGGGAAGAAAGATAAATAGGGATGAGAATGCCCCCTTATATATGTACATTTGGGCGGGTATCTGTGGGGATGCCCGCCATCCGACATCAGCTGAGGATCGGCCAAACAGACACTAGCGCGATTGCACCTCCTTTCGCAAGTCAGTCAACCTCCGTCCTCCGAGCTTCGAGCTTCGAGGTCGGTTCTGGAACATGATCGGGGGTGGCGGAGTGGGGTAGTGCAGTATCATCTTTGCAAGGATGGCCAATACACCTTCAAGAGAGAGAAGTGGTTGAGCGAGGATTTCCAGAAACGGTAAGATGAAGATTGCCGACACGCAGAACCACCTCTCGCGCTGCCGTTGGGCTGTTTCGAAAAACTCGACCAAGAGTATGCATCTTGACCCCAGAATTATGCATGAACTCAACACTCGGCAACGTATACTTCTCTTCCCAGAGGCAAAAGGAAAAGCAGAAGAACGATTAGAGGGCAAAAATGCAAAAAGAAAGCCTCCGGCGGGGCTCGAACCCGCAACCGCACGATTAACTGATGGCCCGTAACCGGTTCAAGCAGACTCGATAAGAGTCGTGCGCGCTACCGATTGCGCCACGGGGGCTTCATACAAGGATGCTTATAACATGTCAAATGTGGTTTACGTCCGTCGCCTCTCGTCATGCTGCAATCAAGTGGATGACAAGAGCAAGGTTGCTGGGTATCAAATGAACGCTTGTTCTCACATGGCCGGCATCAGAGTCGTCGTTAAACCTGATCCATCTATAACAGGTCTAGTTCTACAAAACTCCAGGGGTCATCGTGTTGGGGTCGTTATAAAAAAGATGAGAAAAGATGATACTGTACTACTACTCTATACTCATTGTCCAATTTGATGTCGTATACGTATTATGGGCTTGAGCGAAAACGATCTGTTGACCTAAGGAGAGCCGGGCCACTTTAGTCGAAGACCGTCGAGCCCTGTAAAACTCGTCAGTGACGCTGAGATGTAGGGATAGTCTGAGGCGGCGTTGACTCACATCGAAGGTACAGCAGGTCCGCAATCACGCTCCTCTCCTTTACCAAATCACTCCCCTCCTTCCCATGCTTCTTTTCCTCTCCCTTCTTCTCTTCCCCCTTCCCCTGCCCATTCGCCTGCTCCTGCTCCTGCTCCACCCCCACCTTCCCACCCCCACCCACCCCCACACCCGCCTCCCTCCCAAGCGTCATCCCCCCCAAAACCCTGCCTACCCTCCCCCCCTCACCCCCCCGACGCATATTACCGAGTATATCCATGACGACGCCATACACTTCCTGCGGCGAGTTTTCGGCGAGGTCGGTAAAGCCGCGGGAGAGGAGGGAGAGGGCTTCGAGGGTTGGGGCGGGGAGGGAGGGGGATTGGGTTCGCTGAGGGGAGTTTTTTTGTGAGAGGGCGTTCGGGAAAGAGGGAGGGAGGGAGGGGGAGGGGGACTTACGTTGGCGAGGACGGGGAGGATGACGTCTTCTACTAAGGCTTCGCCAGCAAGCTCGCGAGGATCTCTAGGTTCTTTGCTATTCGCAGTCTCTTCGACTGGTTGGGGCTTTGGTTTAGTTGGGCTCTCAACAGGCTGGGTCTTTGATTTGGATGGGCTCTCGGGGATGCGCTGATGCCGGATGGAGCCAGAGCCGATGTAGGCGTTTGAAAGACGTTGGGATCCGGCGAGGTCGATCTTCTTCATCGGCCGGACCGTCGAGAACCTACCACACCATCAGATTTTATCAACACGGAAAGAGCAAGCACTAACCCATCCCCAACGTCTCCCTCTTTCACGATAGTCCCTCGCACCCCATCATTCCTCTGCTTCCACGTCGACTTATTCGACGCCTCACTCCTAGCCGGCTGCCTCTCCAACTCTGGCAAAGACAGCTCACTCGCCGACATCGTCTCCGCACTCATCAACCCCCCATGCCCCTGTCTATTCTCCTTGACAGTCCCATCCCAAGTCCTCGGATCCACCTCCACCTCCCCATCCCACATCTCCTCCTCCATCTCCTCCAAATTCAGCTCCACCGGCACACCCCGCCTCGTGCCCCTTATCGTCTCATCAAAGTTCCACCCCGCATCGCTCGACACGCTCCCCCGCCCGGAGAGAGGGTCGATGGTGAGGCCGTGCCCGGAGGCGAGGTTGTTGAGCGAGGCGGTGGGGCGGGAGGAGGGTTTGGAGGGGAGGTGGGAGACGTAGATTTGGTAGCGCTCGACGAGGGGGACGAGGGTAGATGTCTTGGCTGCCCCGCGGATGAACGGGTGTGACAAAAGCTCTTTCGCCGTAGCCCTATGTTCCGGGTCTTTCTGCAGACACCTCTCCACAAAGTCTCTCAGCCCTTCACCGGCTTCACCTTCTTCCAATCTCGGTGCGCGCGCTTTCGGGATCAAAAACAAGACTCGCATGGGATGGTACTCGCTCAGAGGCGGATCGCCCTTCAGCATCTCGATAGCCGTGATGCCGAGCGACCAGATATCCGCGCGCGCGTCGTACCCCGCCTGCCGGATGACTTCAGGTGCCATCCAGAACGGCGTGCCCACAAACGTGTGCCGCTGGGACTTATGCGACGAGAGCTGGGCGGCGACGCCAAAGTCTGCGAGCTTGACGTCGCCTGAAGCGGAGAGGAGGACGTTGGCGGCTTTGATGTCGCGGTGGATCTTGCCTTCCGTGTGGAGGTAGTCGAGGCCGAGGAGGAGTTCGCGGCAGACGACGGCGACTTGGGATTCGGTAAACACTCCAGGTTTGAGCTGTCCTCGTCAGTCCATGCCGAGCGTTATAGGAAAGACGTACCAAGTCGAGACAGCTTCCTCCAGCGAGATACTCCATCACGATCCACAGCCTCGCGCCTCTGACGAACGACCCATAATATTTCGTCACATGGTCCGACCAGCACGACGACAGGTGCGCAATCTCCGCCTGGATCTCTGATATATCATCTTCCGACGACTCGAGGTCGATCATCTTGATCGCCACGATTTGTTTCGTATCATTATGACTCCTGAGACAACGGTCAGCTCGGTCCACCAGAAGAGAATGAGGACGCACGCCTTCCAGACGGTACCGAAATTGCCAGCGCCGAGCTTTTCGAGGAGGGTGTATGCGACGGCGGGGTCGGCGAGGCGGGCTGCTTGAGCTTGGGAGTGGAGAGGTGACATGGGGAGGTGAGTTTGGAGGAGTATGGGTCTGGGAAGTGGCGACCTCGTGTTGTGGCTACAACACTCGACGGGTGAAAGAGGAAACGACTATACAAGCGTCTTGAGGACGGTAAGCGGAGATGCAGTAGTATGGGATATGGGCAACGACAACTGACGATTGCTAGGCAGATAGGGGTGGCAAGAGATGAAAAAATGACGTCGTTCCTAAGGTGTACCCCGGTGTCCCTGTTTATAGGGCAGAGCGGTCTGTGCTCAGAGTGGTCCGCAGGGTGAAACGGGCAGCCCGTAGATCGTGGAGGAGGGACGTGCTTTGATGGGAGGGCGGTAATGACTTGATGGGCCGTGGATACCTGAGAAAGATGCGAGAGAGGCCTGGCCATGGCGGTCTCGAGCAGGTCTCGAGCGTGATGGTGGTTTGTTTACATCCAGTGGGCGGCACTCCCCGCCTCCACCTCGTCCATTTACGTAACGGAAATCCGACCATTCCCGCATATGACCCCTGCAGTCAGTTTATCCACATTTCACAGAGCGACTCGATCCTGCACCTAGCTGTACGCCCCTTGGCCACCATATAGACTGCCATCGAAGCGTGAGTGCTGTCCGACAAGATCTGAGCGACACAGGCTCACTTTCCAAAGATCTTGCGTCAAATCACATTCCGGCAGACTTTCCAGTCTCACCACCATGCTCTCCACCCACCCCCCATCCGACTCTACCCCTCCCCCCTTCTCCTCCTCCTCCTCCCGCCGCGTCGCTTACTACTACGACCAAGACGTCGGCAACTACAACTACTACCTCGGCCACCCCATGAAACCCCACCGAATCCGCATGGCCCACAACCTCATCGTCAACTATGGCCTCTGCGACGAAGAAGGCGAGGAGCACGGGCCTGCTGATATATGGGGCGAGGGGCGAAGGGGTGTGAACGATGAGCTTGCGCAAGGGTGGGGCGGGGGGGAGATGGGGGCGGCGGAGGTCAAGTGGGAGAAGGCGGCGTTGAGGGGGGCGAGGTCAAAGACGATGCAGGTGTTCAAGCCGCGGAGGGCGACGAAAGAGGAGATGACGAGGTTTCATACCGACGAGTATATCGACTTGCTGGAGGCGGTGACGCCGGAGACGGCGGATGCCTTGACGGGCGGGGGTACGCGATGCCTGATAGGCGAAGATTGTCCCGCTTTTGACGGGCTGTTTGAATTCTGCACCATCTCTGCTGGAGGCTCTCTGGGAGCCGCCGAGAGATTGAATGCGGGTGCTGCGGATATAGTGATCAACTGGGCAGGTGGTCTGCATCACGCGAAAAAGACTGAAGCGAGTGGTTTCTGCTACGTCAATGACATGTATGTCTGCATCCTTTTTCGCAAACTGCTAGCTGACTCGTGACTAGCGTCCTGGGTACCCTCGAGCTCCTCCGCATACACCCCCGAGTCCTGTACATCGACGTCGACGTCCACCACGGCGACGGCGTCGAAGAAGCCTTCTATGTCACCAACCGCGTCATGACCTGCTCCTTCCACCGCTTCGGCGAGTTCTTCCCCGGCACCGGCGACGTCCGCGACGTCGGCATGAAGAAGGGCAAAGGCTACGCCGTCAACGTCCCCCTCCGCGACGGCATCACCGACACCTCCTTCCAGTCCATCTTCAAACCCGTCATCGACCGTATCATGGCCCATTTCCGCCCCTCGGCTGTGGTGCTCCAAATGGGCGCGGACAGTATCTCGGGCGACAAGCTGGGAGGGTTTAATTTGACGCTGGAAGGGCATGCGGAGTGTGCGCGGTTTGTAAAGAGTTTTGGGGTGCCGGTGATGATGGTGGGGGGTGGAGGGTATACGGTGAAGAATGTGGCGAGGGCGTGGACGAAGGAGACTGCCATCATGTGCGGTGTCGAGCTCGGCGAGGAACTGCCATACAACCAATAGTAAGTTCCCCCTTCCTCCCCCTTTTGCTAGAGTCGAAGCTGACTTGGGGCAGTTTGGAATACTATGGCCCTAGGTACAAGCTCGAAGTCGTACCCACCAACGCCCAAGACCACAACCCGCCCGAATACCTCGAACGCATCAAACAACAGGTATTCGAAAACCTGCGCGACCTGCCCTTCGCGCCCGGTGTACAGATGCGCGACGTGCCGAAAAAGTCTGTCGGGCAGGTGTTGGGGATAACGGATGGGTATGGTGGTGGGGAGGGGGATGAGCCTGAAGATGAGCTGGATCAGAGAATAAAGAGTAAGCTTTTCCCCTTTTCCCTTTTCTTTGGTTTGGTGGGGTGGGGGCAGAGCTGATGGGGTTGGGTTAGAATTGTTGAAGCGCCGAAGAGCAAACCCCCTCGACGACCCATCCACATCATCCTCCGACTCTGAACCCGACGCTTCCGCCTACGCCCGTCCCGGCCGTGCGCGCAGACAAGGTACAGGTACAGGCGGGGGCCGCGGTCGCTGGCGGTCCGCCCGCTACGCCCAAGCCCAGGCCAAAGCCAAAGAACGCGAAGCCCTCCGCCGTAAAAACAATAATAATAATAGGGACGAGGATGATGAGGATGAGGATGATCCTTGTGGGGTCAAGGCGAGGCCGAAGAGGAGTTTCTTCAAGATGGCGGCGAATGGGGTGGGGACGACGATGGATCCTGTTGGCTTTGGCCTCGGCGTAGGGGCAGGAGGGGGGGAGGGGAGTGGGAGTGGGAAGGGCAAGTCGAGTGGGTTGAGTAGTGGGCTGAGTGCGCTGGCGGGATTGGGGGTGGTGGCGGAGTGGAAGGGCGGGGTATCGAGAGCTGGTACGCCTACGAGCATGGCATGATTGGACTTTTAGTCTGTTACTCTTTTGCCGTATTTGCACTTTTCACAATTGGGCTTTTGCTTTTCTTTTCCGTGTCGTTAGCTCATTTTGGTCTTGCTTATGCTCTGCTGTATCTTCTAGATGTATGGCAATGTCCTTTGCTAACGCTCCATACCCCTCTCCGTCTCCCGTTGCCAACACTTGATCTTTATTCAAAAAGTTGTTATGGCCGGGAAAGAGCCATAGCCGTATCATGAAGCGCTGGAGATGCTGGGAATCGAACCCAGGTCGAGTCTATGCAAAAGACTCATACTACCACTGTAATACATCCCCCTGACGAGAGAGACACACAATATAAAAGGCCATGGGCGCAACTACTCTGTTGACAAACATAGTCTTTGAAAGCGCTCGCGTTGCTAACTCCGAGGTTCAGCAGGTCGTGCCTGTCGATCTTTTGTGCGCATTCCTGCATTTCAACAGCGGATCCAGCAGTCATCACTCATCAGCCATACTTGTACCTGCTGAGGCTGATCACCGACGTTGAACGATGGTCCAGGCACGTGCGTATTACATAAGCGAAGGCGCGCATGTCCGACGGGCGGATGAGGGCGGAACTGATCGGCGCGGTGGCGGAGGGGCTGCGGCTTTGGGGTTTTTGCTGGAATCCCGCTCATCCAATCGTCCATGAACGTTTACGATGCATGCTCCCAGTGAATTTGAAGGAGAAGAAGAGAGTGACGAAGGTGAAGGAGGTTTGATTTGGGGGAGACGAGATGGTTTGCTTCGCGATGCAACGGTAGCCGTGTCCCCCAGCAGCCCATTTTACTTTATTGGCTGCGGTGCGACGCATTGTCCGGCAACACGGTCCGGATAGACGGGAGTAGTTCCCATGGGCCTGCAGCTGGGGCCAGGGGGGCGGGCGGGTTCTCGTGCAGGCTCCGCCCCCGGCTTGTCGGTTCTCGCAGAATGCACAGGGGTCAGGGATGCACGTTCAGGTAGATACGAGGGCTCGAGGGAGGGGGCGGCGCTCGCCGTCTGACGTCAACGCGGTCCTTCCAGAACTCGTCGAGCTTTCCATTCACTTCTTCACCAACCGCCTCCTTTCATCCCCATCTCTTTCTGCGTTTGCTTTTAAACAAACATCTCTTGACGCCATGCCCAACTACCGAGTACCCAACTCCCCCACCTCCACCTCCTTCAGCGGCACATTCTCCCCGGCAGCGACCGCCGCCAACACCGCAGCCAACGCCAAGGACTCCTCTCCGTCCACCCCAGAGTCTCCCGTCATGGGCCAGACAGCCAACGGTAAGGAGCAGAGGCTTATCGTCGTCTCCAACCGTCTGCCTGTCACGATCAGCAAAGACGACAATGGCGAGTATCACTTCAAAGTACGTCATGATTTATTTTTTTTTCGCCGTCGCGCAGTGCTTTGGGCTAACATTCAGTACAGATGTCCTCTGGTGGTCTCGTGTCTGCCTTGAGTGGCTGCAAAAAGAGCATGAGCTTCATCTGGATCGGCTGGCCCGGAAAAGACGTGCGTACAAGCTTTCTTGGCTAGGTTTTTTTTTCTGGAATGCGCGAAACGCGGAGCACCGTTGACGACCGTGACGTAGATCCCCATGGCCGATCGTGAACATGTCAACAAGAGATTGTTGGAAGAGTACAACTGTCTAGCTGTCTATCTCTCTGACGAGCTCGCTGACCGTCATTACAATGGTACGATTCCCTTTCGTCACTATGAGCGCAGTCTGACACTTTCCCGCGTAGGCTTTTCCAACTCTATCCTCTGGCCTCTTTTCCACTACCACCCCGGAGAGATGAACTTTGACGCCGAAAACTGGCTCGCATACCGTGAAGCCAACATGCGTTTCGCCGATACCGTCTCCAGCATGGTCCAAGCCGGCGACATGGTCTGGGTCCAAGACTACCACCTCATGCTGCTCCCCATGCTTCTTCGATCGATGATCACTGGCGAGTCTGCGCAGGGCGAGATGGTCAGGCAGGAGCTGGGGAGGGTGAAGGAGGGTGTGGACGATTCGGTTGTGAAGGAGGTGTTGAAGATGGACCCGGGAGTGTCGGAGGGTGTTGCGGATGAGGGTGTGGAGTTGCTGGATGATGTAGAGGAGGAGGGCGGGGAAGCGACCCATGCGCACGGCAGACCCCATTTCTCCCGAGATATGAGTACTTTCCAGAAGCAGGAGGCTGTTGCCAAGGAGAATGGCAAGGAGGGTGTTCGAATTGGTTTCTTCTTGCACACCCCATTCCCTTCCAGCGAAATCTACCGGTGAGTCCCCTTCTCTTCCTCAATGATCACCACTGACATCTCGCAGCATTCTCCCCGTCCGACGAGAAATCCTCCTCGGTGTTCTCCAATGTGACCTCATCGGTTTCCACACCTACGACTACGCCCGCCACTTCCTCTCCTCCTGCACCCGTATCCTCGGCCTCGAAACCCAGCCCAACGGTATTGAATTCGAAGGCCGCTACTGCCAAGTCGGCACCTTCCCCATCGGTATCGACCCCCACCAATTCACCGAAGGCATCCAAAAAGAATCCATCCGCAACCGTATCAAGCAGATGGAGGCCCGCTTTGAAGGGTGCAAAGTCATCCTCGGTGTCGACCGATTGGACTACATCAAGGGTATCCCGCAGAAACTGCATGCGCTCGAAGTGTTTTTGACGCAGCATCCGGAATGGATCGGCAAGGTTGTGTTGGTGCAGCTTGCTATCCCGAGTAGGCAGGATGTGGAAGAGTACCAAAACTTGCGGGCTTGTGTGAATGAGCTCGTGGGCAGGATTAATGGCAGGTTCGGAACGGTGGAGAGTATGCCGATCCATTTCATGCACAAGAGTGTGCCGTTTGAAGAGTTGACGGCAATGTATGCTTTGTCGGATGCTTGTCTTGTCACTTCCACGCGTGACGGTATGAACTTGGTACGTCTCTTTTTCTTCTCTCTGCATCCGGATGGCTTGCTGATGGGGTTTTAGGTCGCATACGAGTACATCTCTTCTCAGGCGGAACGTAACGGATCCATGATCCTCTCCGAATTTGCCGGTGCCGCCCAGAGTCTGAACGGTTCCATCCTCATCAACCCTTGTACGTCTCCCTCCCTTTCCTTCTCTGGGGATTCGTACTGATACATGCATGGTAGGGGACGTCCAATCCACCGCCGACGCCATCCACCAATCCCTCACTATGGGTCCCGAGCAGAGGAAGAACAACTGGCAAAAGCTCTACAACTATGTTAGCAAGTATACCGCCGAAGCTTGGGGCGTCTCTTTCGTCAAAGAACGTACGTCTTCCCTTCCCTCCCCTCACATCCCTGCCTTAGTTCTATAAGAATGAAGAGCTGATAGAAGCGAACAGTCACTCGTCTTTCGGGCCAACGTCCTTCCGGCCCCGCTGTACCCGCCGGTCGCCGCAAGTCCAATGGCTCATTGAGCAGGACGAGCAGTAAAGCGTCTACCAAGAGGAGGAGCGTGGCGAGTGGTGTGCAGAGCTCTGGTTTTGTTTAGAGAAACACCATGTTTTGGAGTGAGGCTGGGAGATTGGAGATTTGTGTCATGTGGGCTTGGAGATGAGGCGAGGTGAGAGTTGAAGGAGGTCCGGGGAGAAGGGAGAGGAAGAGTCATAGAGCGAGAAGAGGGAAGTAGGGATTGATTGTTAGATACCATTTAATTCAATTTTACGCATTACGAATGAACACTGGTCGACTGTTTACACGTTGCATAGAGTAGGCTCTGGAGGAACATCCATTTGCACCGCTGTCATCATCTCTTGCCCCTCGCGACGACTCATCTTCAGAGTCACTCTCGAGCCCATCAAGATGATGCCCGCTCGAGACGCCTTCCACCGTACGCGTCGGGCGGCGGTTCTCTTCTGCCGCACTGCTCCTTGGCGCTTGATGATTGACTTCGCGAATCGGACCTCCAGCTGTCCCCTCTTGTCCCCCATCTTCCCCCACCTCTCCACTTGGCCCTGCTGCCTCTGCTGACACGTCTTTTACTCGAGTCCCCTGCCAGACCACCGAAGGCCCGTCGGTCCGAGCACACAACAAAGACTCGCTGTCGTCAAGCTGCGCACGTAGCATCGTCGTTGCCTTTGGACGCTCATCTCGTCTTACATCTGTACTCGTATCTCATGATCACCACTCAATTCCTTTCAAGCACCATAATCAGCCTCGTTGCCTCCTACACCTCCTATCCTCACACTCCCCAACGAGCTCCCCGTCGTCAAGGGCAGCTCAATGCCTATTTCCTCCACGTCGGGCGTGTGTGCAAGTTTTCCAAGCTTGGCGCAACATCCAATGGGCAAGGTATCCTCCCACCCTCGCATCCCGCCCAACATATTCAACCTGCCCAGGGACATAGCGGCGCACATCGCCAGCTTCATCTTGCCGGATCTCAAGGCTCTTCGCATCCTTATCAGCTTGAGCCCGGTCTTTTACCACGAGGTTCTTCCAAGAATCTATTCCGTCTCCCTTGTACGACTGACCCCCCTCGGCATCCGCCGCGACCTTGACGGGTTCGATACCCCTCCCAAGATGTCCCCCCAAGCCTGAGGAGCTGGCGCTTGGGCAAGGATGATGCGAGTGGGATCGATGACCAGGAGACTACCTTCTGGAATACCAAGGGAGTCTTTTTCTCCGATCCGAAAAACTGCCTTGATCTCCCAAATTCTGCAAGTCTCAAGCTGAGTCAGCAGCTATACATTGCGGTGTATAGTTCTGGAGACAGCGTCCGAGACAAAGCGGTTCTGGGGCACGCGGTCAACCATGGATATGTGCAGTCAAGCGAGGGAAAGTACCGAGCGACGGCCAAGTGGACGTTGCAATTGCGTCATCCACTTGTTGAGTGTGTCCAACAGTGCGTATACCTTTCATGATGTCAAGACTTGTAGAGGCTGACTGTTGTTGAAGATTACGCCTTGAGATGCAACGTCACATCAGCACCTTTAAAACAACCCCCAAAGCTTCGCTCGTTACTGCAGGGATTCCGTTTAGCCATCAAAAAGGTGAAGCAGTCTAGGGCTGGAGAACGGCCGTCCTAGAAGCGTCAAGTGATCATTCATGGACCAGGTCTGTATCATTTCGCTGCTCCATGTTGGAGTATTGAGGCTGATTCTTCGAGCAGACTGCGTCTAAGCAAGTCTGGATGCTCAACGATCACCTCCCGTGGATACATCAAGGAAGAACGTAAGTCCGGTTGTATCAATCCTAGTATTGTACCGCATGGCTCATCGTCTTCTTTCTTTGTTCCAGAGAAGGACAACGTTCTTCGTTTGGGTGTTGATGTATCGAGATCTCAACAAGGTATCCACGGAAAAACACCTGCCCTCTACTCCTTATTTGAAAGATCGCAAGTGAGCGGGGAAAAACCTGGGGCGCAAGAGGTGGACGTTGACTGACCTGTCATCTTAGCTCCGGGTAAACCAAGCCGTCCCCCTCGCGGCTGCCTGGCAGTGTCCACCTGTTTCCTACCCTCTCCCCCGCCTCTCGCCCCTACCACCCCCCCTCCCCGGTGGTCTTCTCCTTTACCACGCCCACAGGCGTAGGAAGAGCTTGACAGCGACTCAATATACGCCCCCAACAGCTTTTATGGCGAGATATATCTCCCTATGCCCCTGCGGGTCTGAGCATATACCTCGATCGAATCAAAGAATCAGACCCTGAAGCCATTGTGTCTCTGTAGGCGAAGACGTCCATCTTGGGTCACCTGTACCCCTCCAAAACCCCGTCTCGGTTCGAATTTCCTCCTCCCTCGTTCTCCATCGCCTTCCCCAGCATCGTTCACCTGAGATAGACATCAAAATCGAGCCGGATGAGTTGATGCCAATCAAGGATCAGGTGGACGTTAAGAAATCATACTCTTTCGTTGCCCCAGCTCCTTGCCGGAAGGCTTTCGAACACATGCCCCCTTTCTTTGCCGTCGACGGCGCTCATTCGAAAGCTGTCCACGATTACATCCTTTTCTCCTCGCATATGAACGAATTCAACAATTGTGGCCTTTTCATCTGGACTTTGAAAGACAACATTGCGGATGTCGTGTCCCAAACCAAAGCCGCATGGCTTGATGGCACTTTTAAATGGTCTACGATCGCCGAATTGTGGAACTTCGCAATTTTGGCCAAAGGTCATCAAAACCAACAAAAACCCAAATGCGGCTATGTGATCCAGTTGAAGAGCAGTCCGAGAAAAACTGCTGTACAAGTGCCGTCTGAGTGGATACTGTACTTAGTACAAATGATGCGTACTGGCTGTGTGAACCAGAAACTGCTACCAACTGGTTGTGTGAACCAGAAATGAGCTTGAAGTCGACAGATCATCAAATCTCAGCAGCGTATATTTTCGCTATGTCGCCCTCGTCATATGACGATGAACCAGAGAATATGGCAGAAATACTGCAGCGCTCCGACAAAGACAAATGGCTGGATGGCGATGGTTCATATCCCATCTAAAGGAGGCGTACCCCAGTATGGTGGATAATTCTTCACTTGTGGACATTGCTCAAAATTGTCCTCACATCTGATGGACAAGTTCTCGTGAGTCTTTCTATCTGGCGACTGTGGCTGATGAACAGGTGGCAAAGCTCTTGCCATCAATTGGACAAGGCACAACGCAATCTAGGAGCATCGCCTACTCCAGCAACAGTACGGCGTTGTTTCGGTTCGGGACACCTAGTACCCTCGCCAAATGAGTGACCGGCAGAAGGTAGGATTTCTCTATTATTCCTGTGATTGCCAGCAACTGACCCTCATACAGGGCCTCCTTCTCTTTCCATGCTGAAAGCTGGATAGTCGTCATAGTCTAGATATATGAATCGGGAATGTGCAATTTCAGCTCAAACGACGAACGGACAGTTGAACAATATGATGCAGTCTGACCCGGTACAATTTACTGACTGTCAGACAGGTGCATCGGCATGACAGGTATGCGAATGACAAACAAGAACGAGTATAATATCAACCAACAAATCTATGAAATCATGAAACACTTGTCACAAAACGCCAACAAACACAAAGTACTTCAACACAAGGAACGATCTCAAAGACCACACACGCCTACCGCCCCGCCTCTTCCTGGCCCATAGCCGCCCTCAAAAACCTCTGCAACACCTCCTGACTATCCCGTCTCCTCGCATCCACATCCGTCGACGGATCCCACACCCTCGTCGAGCCTCTTCGCCCATTCCCATTCCCATTCCCATTCCCATTCCCATTCACGTTCCCATTCCCACTTCCATTTCCATTTCCAGCCCCCGAGCCGCCGGGGAAAGACGATCCACCCAACGAGCTAGAAGCGTATGGCCCTCCAAACCCTGCCAAGCCGAGTGAAGACGATGGTGGAGAATCACGTTGGCGTTGGCGTTGGGTTTGGGCGAGGTCGTGTGCGTGATGTTGGGCGGATTTGAAATCGAAATTGTACGCTGGCAGGGGTGTTGCCTTGTGCCCCTGCGCCGTACCACCCGACGTCGGGGAAACATCGCCTTGTCGCGGGAACGCTACCGCCCTCCGCCCTCCCCCTCCTCCTCCCCCTCCTCCTCCCCCTCCTCCTCCTCGTGAAGGAAGAGGCAAAGTCCTAACAACAGGCGACGTCCCCGTCCCAGCTCCCTCCCCTACCCCAATCTTCTCATCCACCAGCCTCACCCGATCCGTCTGCGCATATCGGTCCCGATATCGCGCGTTGTTGGCGTACTGCCCCAGAGGTGGGGGGGTGGCATCTTCCCCGTCCGACGTCGATACTTCATCATCCCCGTCTGCCGAATCTTCCAGCCCCTCCTGCGATCCTTTCCTATCCTCCTTCTTCTTCCCCTTCCTTCCCGACCCTCCGACCCCAGCCCCAGCCACAGGCGAGAGGTTAAACCCCCCCAACGCCCCCCTCGGCGTACCCGGCACACTCCCCAGCGACCTAACCCTCTCATGCCCCCCTCGCACCTCCTTCCCCCCGCCCACACGCTGCAGATACCGCCCAATCTCGGGCAGCTCGTCCCATGCATTCTTGTAAGATGCCATGGACTCTTGCATCGACTTTATCCTTGTAGGTGGGCTTGGGTTGCGTTGTTCCGTAGGCCAGGAGGAAGAAGAGGAGGTGGGGTAAGCGGCGGGCGGGGAGGGGTTTTGGATGGATATGCTCGGTGCGCGAAGACCTTGTACCAGACGAGGTAATGGTTCTTCCCCTTTCGGAAACACCCTCTGCGGCCGCGGATGACCCCTCTCTTCCCAAGGGAAAACCGGCGCCAACTGTTTCCTATCGGGAACACTCGAATTGAACCGGGCGTACCAGCTATCATTCACCACACTCGCCGGCAGGGTGGGATACTCTGGCTCGGTGGGCTTTTCACCAGCACCAGAGTGAGCGTAGTAGCTCGATTGTTGAGCGGGGGACGATTCCCAGGCGTTGGGGTAGTATGAATGCGATACGGCCATTTCGGGTCTGGCTTCTTTCGGAGGGGAGGAGCGCTGGGCGTCCCATACAGCTGGCTGGGTGGTTTGGACGGTGATGCTAGCTGGTGGAGGCGCAGCTTCGATCGGCGGGGAACTGAGCGCAGAAGGTTCTTCTGCCGGACGAGCGACGGAAGCAGGCGTGGGCTTGAGCTTGGGCTCGAGGTGCGGTTTCGGCATGATGAGATCCACCCGCCCCTCGAGCGGTAAACTCGTATACTGCCCCGGCTTCAGCGCCAGCACACCTTGCGTCGACGCAGCTTTCAGCTCAGACAAGTCGAGCCTGTCCGGGGCGTCGGCGGGAAAGCTGGGAGAAGAGGGGGGTTGGTTCCAGATGGCGATATGTTCGGGGACGGCGAAGCGTTGACGGATGTCGGGGTGTTGGGCGGAGGAGGGACGGATGTGGGCGTCGTAGACGGCGAACCAGCGGTCGATTAGTGAAGCGTCTTTTGCCGCGTCAGCATAGCATATAGACATGTGTGTAGTGCTCACAGTCAAAAGACTTTTCTTTGCCTTGCACGTTGGACACTCCGGCAGGGCGGTGGCCCACACTCGCCCAAGGCTTGTTGGGCCCGATAAAGTGGACGTTACTGATCTTGTGTCCATACCGCTTATATGCCGGGGCATACGTATAAGCAGCCGAAGGAGTCACATTATACCTATTAAACGTCAGCTACACCCACATAGGAGAAAGAAGACTCACGTGAATGGCAGCCGATGCCAATCACCCCCACCCCCTTCCTCTGAAAACCACTCATTCAAAAGCCCCTGATCCGCCCCATCAAAACTGCCATTCCCCTCCCTATATATCCCATCTTCCGCCTCCCCATCCTTCAACAGCCCGCGCAGTCCTTCCCAGTCCGTTTCGCGGGGTCGCACGACCATGACGCCCGAGTTGAAGCAGTCTGGCCAGCCGGTATCGGGGCACGCCGAGAGGACGTGGGGGTGGGTGGATTCGAAGAGGTGGTCCAGGGGACGGATGGGGAGGACGTCGGCGTCGAGGTAGATGAGGGTGGAGAAGAAGGGGTAGAGGCGGAAGAGATGGATCTTTGTGAGGGCAAAGTTCAGATCCGGACGGCCTGCTTGTTGTCAGCGCAGATTCTTCAACGGTGTGTATAGACGTACCCATCAGATTCAGAGCACTGCTTCCGGCTCTTCCACTACCGATAGGCTCGACACCAATGACAAGATCATATCCCGCCGTCCGAAGCTCTCCGATGGTTTTGGCGTCGACCGTTTCGGGTGTCACGAGAGCGACGATTTTAAAGTCTCGAGGTCCGGGGTGGAGGTCTCGGAGGGCATGGAGGAGGACGAGGGCGCCGGGGAGGTAGGCCGAGGTGGTGAGGAGGGTGACGAAAGCGTTGGGGAGGGACATGGCTGAGTATTGTTAGTATGCGATATACTACAAACAGTGACAGGATCTGGAGACTGGCAGGTGAAGGCAGTGGCCTAGTTATCACAGGTCACAGCTGCAGGACAAAGCCAAGATGCTGAGTTTGAGAGCTGCTGTCCTAGCACAGGGAAGATGTTGAGTGATAATTGATGGGGACCGACATACCTGCTGTTGTGTCTGTCTGCGCTAAAGACACTAGAGGGTATCTTGACAAGACAATGACGTTGCCGGGGGCGGTTCAAGACGTCTGACTGTCTTGTTTATGGTATCCCTTGCTCTGCCTTGAGGGTGTCTTGCTACTTGAAGTGATATATGTAGAAACAAAAGAAAGGAAAGAAGAAAATATCAACAAGAGGGTACATGTGGGGCGGGGAGCCCAAGAGACATCCAAACGTGCCTGGCCCCGGGGCCCTGACTGCCACGCATGCCCACCCACCGAGCCATCATCTCTATGCATGCATCCCTCTTCGCCCTATCTACCCCCACCCCCCATGTCCACTCTGCATGCGCCATGGGCCATCCTCTGTTGCATGAAGAGACACGCGCACGTCTCCCACAGCCCATGAGCCGGAGTCTCCATGGGGCCGAGTTGTTTATCCCCACGAGTCTTACGTCAGCGGCGGACCTTGGCCATGGGGACAACCGAGTTCACGTCCAGAGATGTCCTCCGGTCCACGACTCTTCTTCTCTCAACATCCAAATAGCCTCACCCTCCTCGTCTATGCTCCCTTTTTCAGTTCTTGCCCTAATGCCCCACTTTTCTCGGTAGATTCCAAACTTTATTTTCATCTACTAGATCATGGGCCATTTGGTGCGTATCTTTTGGATCTCTGTTTGATGTTTATACCCCCGGATGAAGATCAACTGTTTACAGTTTACATAGTTACTTCAGTGGACTGATTTGGTGTGCTGATTCGATTACATGATGTGTTCGTAGCAAGTCCTGTACACGTCCTGGACACTCATACCACGTGTACGCTTTTCATCGTTCTATCTAGACAGGCGCATCCTCAAACACTCCGAGCTTCTTTGCAATAGTTTCAAACATGTCCTTGGTAGACTGTTCCAGGCTCGTATACTCTAGCCCCAGCGCTTCTTGAGCCGTCACCTGGTCATGCGTATTGAGAACCTTGATCGCCTCATCGCCACTACCCTTCACGCCCACCGGGGTATTCTTCTTGATGAGCGGGTGGCCAGGGTAGTGGGCGTGGAGCACGTCAACCCAGTGTTGGCCAGCAAGCCTCCCACCGCAGACAATGTATCGTTGAGATGCGGCTTGAGGTCTTTCAAGGGCCCTGACATGGGCAATCGCGACTGGGATATCTTAGTTTTGTCTCATATGACAGAAAGAGAGAAGAGCGCACCATCTCTCACGTCGACCCAACCCCCAACGATAGGCCCCGGCAAATCCTTCTCTCCCTTCTCTCCGGACACCCAATCCCAGAAAAGCTTACATGACAAGTTGAGGGAAGCGACGTCTTTGAAATCATGCAATACGGGACCAAAGATCCATGGAGGGTTAATGACGGTGCCCTGCCAGGTCGGTTTATGGACTTTCATAAACTCTTGAAAGGCGTCAGTCGTGGCATGTGGCTCAATTTGATAAAGCCTACCCCAAAATGCTTGCTCAGCTTTGATTTTACTGGCCATGTAAGCATGAGTACCCCACATGGGGTCGGAGGGAGGGTTGTTTTCGATGTACGGCTCTGATAGCACATTCCAGTCGGCGCTTGTCTCGCTGCAAACAGGTGTCAACACAGTGCTTGTGGCCATCATGGGAGACATACTGCCAAGGCACAGGGTTTTCGGGCCCTCGAAAATTCTGAATGGCAGCGGTGGAAGAGGTGAGCACTACTGCTTTGGCTCCAGGACTGCAAAACCATCAATAATAGCATGGCGTTGATCGCGTCTCGTCACTCACGCATACTTCTGCAAGGCGTACAGCAGCTCGGTGGTACCCTTCACGGCTGGCCCAATAAGCTCCTCAGCAACAGTACCTGTCGTGGTACACGGTGAGGCAGAGTGGATCGCCGCATCGATTCCCTTGACTGCTTCATCCAAAGCTCCATCCTACTCAAGTCAGCCTATCAGTATCATCGTGATGCCAATCGCTCACCTGTTCGACGTCTTTGATAATCACATACTCGAAAGGCTGGCCAGGGTAGAGTTTCTTCAGGTATTCACCTTTGGCCGCTGACCTCACCGTACCTCGGACTCTGTAGCCACTGCGAAGCAACTCTTCAGTGATGTGAGCGGCTACAAAGCCAGAGGCGCCGGTGATCAGCACGAGGTCTCCTTTGGCGATCGGGGTCATGTTAAAATGGTAGAGTGGATCCGGATCTATCAGTGTAAGGTCGGGTAAGAACCTTGAGGCTTGAAGGGGCGAGTTTCCAAAGAAGATGGGAGCATGGCGATAACCATGACAAGCATAAAGCGTCTTATATCTCGGTCTTGAGCAATAAGAGACCCATGCGGCTGCATCACACACATATGGCGCGTCTGTCAGCCGCGAGTGGGGTGATTGATTGGGTTCGAGGGCGGAGGGTCTTAGCGTGGCCCCGCATGGGTGATGGCTCGTTGTTGCTGTCTCAGACGGGAAGTCGATCAGGAAGATAGTTTAGGCTCCGGAAGGACGACGCTGTGTATACCCCCTGCCTTGTACCCTCTGCATTGTACCTCCTGCCTTGTACCCCCTGTCACCGGATCGCATCGTGATGCTGACGCGACAGCGATAAGGTCGAGAAGGCAGAAGTGTCAAGCCAGGTATCCATACAGGCCAGGACCTCTGTCCGTCTCTTCTTGGCTCTTTCGGATGATGCACCAACATATTATGACCAAACTTTGATAAGCCGAGGCGCGATGATTTGCAAGGTGAGTTCATTATGAAGAAATGATATCTGCGCATACGTTATATGATGACATACGGTAAGTGAACTGATGAGATGTAAAATGCACTCCCTTCTCTACTATATATCTACGCCTAATGCCTTTCTTTTATACACTTATTGAATGCTCCACTCCTTCCTCTCTTTCCCCATCTCCCTTCTCCATTCTCTCATGATTGAGTTCGAATCTACTCATCCCCCCCAAGTACCCGCCCAACCCCCTCATAACAGGCAATCATCAACCCACACGCCGGCGCCACCTTCCCGCACCTCGCGCTCGTCCCTCTAAAGACAGCTTGCCACCCTTCTTCTTTGATGACGTGCCGGCAGAGGGCGAGGGTGGATGGTCGGACTCGTTTTTGGGAGGGACCGCCTTTGTTAGTGGAAGAAGAAGAAGAGGATGAGGAGGAAGAAGAGGAAGAGGATGAGGAGGAAGAAGAGGAAGAGGATGAGTGGTGGAGGATGGAAGGAAGAGAGGGGAGAGGAGAAGAGAACGAAGGCGGACAAGAAGGCAGAGGGTTGAAGACCTGCCTCCTCGTCTTGAGCACATCAAACGGCTGCGTCAAAAGCGCCGCCAGCGTCCCACTCAAAAACCCCGCCGTAAAGCTCACCCCCGTCGGCCCCATCCCAGCCCTATCCGCCCAGCTCCTCCCGCCCCCTCTTCCTTCAAGGGGCGACCGCGTGAGGAACGTTTTGAGTCCTTCGAATCCGGCCCAGTATAGCCCGGAGAAGGGAACGTCCCGCCAGAGTGTTGGGCCGAGGCCGCGGTAGAGGACGGAGAGGCCTTTGGAGCGGGTGAGGGAGAGGAGGTCGGAAGAGACGGAGGCGTAGGTTGGTGGGGGTTTGTTTGCTTTACTTTCTATCAGTTACGTCCACTTTGAAATAAGAAGAGGATAAGAAAAGGGCGTACGTGTAGGAAGAGCTTGGAGCCTCGTCCGGAACATTTCTATGGGCGAGATGACGGTCGCACTCAACGTCCTCGCAAGACTCCCTGCTATCAGCGGTACAGGCGTCAGACTTGCAGACAATGTCGTTATACCCGACGAAGAAGGGCGCGGGGGAGTGAGGATCTGCAGCTGGTCGTCTTCGTAGATGAATCCTTCTTCTTCTGTGGTTGAAGAGGAGGAGGTGGAAGCGTAGAGGGGTGTTTCGGCGGGGAGAAAGTAGGGGGAGATGATAGTGGAGAGGTGTTCGTAGCCGAGCATATAGATAGCAGACGAGGGGATACCCATCATCCTGCTTCATCGTCAGCTCAATTCACAAGTAAAGAATATACGCACATGGCAGTCCCAACACCCTTCCATAATCCCTTCACCCCCGCCTCAGCCCTAACCGCCCTCACTTCCCTCCAAAACGTCCCCCCCAACATCTTCCTCGACTGTTCCCCAAAAGCAGCCCCAGCCCCCCGCAGGTGCTGAGCATCAAGCTGCCTCGGTAGCACCAGCACCCCGCTCCCCCCGCCCCCGGCCCTCGCGACGTTCTCGATGACCAGCGTCTCGCCCCATATGCCCGCCCACTTTGAGGGGTTCAAACACCCGCTCGGGGGGGCTACAGGCGCAGAGGAAGGACGGAGGGAAGCGCTAAATGACAGCTGGCCTTGGGGTTTTGTACCAGCGGTAGAAGATGGAGGGGAGGGGGAGGGGGAGGTGGCGCATGTGGATGCGGGGTTGGGGAGGGTGGTTTGGCAGCATTCGGGGGATATGGGTGGGGGTGGTGGGTGGGAGGGGTGAGGGGGCACGGTTTGGAGTCGGGTTTTGAGGACGTCGAAGGGGGTCACTGAGGGAAAAGTCAGTATAAAGGATTTTCGGGCCTTCCATGATGATCTTTTCGCATGCCATTTGTCAACTTCTGGGGCATGCCAGAGTACTCTCTCGCCATCATCCTTCAAGACGAAAACGCCACTCCTCCACCGATGTTGAGATCGAAACACTCACTCAGCAAACTCGTAGCCATCGCGCCCGTCATCGCCGCCACTGCTTTCGCCCCAAACAGCCTCGATTTACTCTTCCCACCTGCCTTCCTCCCCTCTCCCCCCTCCCCCTCCATCCGCACATCCCCACTACCATCCACACCTTGGTCGATTCGGCCCATCGTCCGAAAATCGCCACGCGCTGGTAACCGACTGGGCCCAGCCTCCGGGTTTTCTCGCAGACTGGTGCCGCCCTGTGTCCACGGAGCGGTCTCTTGTCTCGTCATGCTCTGCCTCTGCGTCGTCGTGCTTGAGGTGGTTCGAGAAATCAATCTGATAAGATCACTGCAACTGATCAGAAGAAACCCGAAAGCCATCGGCGGACCTCGCCGCCCTTCCGAATGGCACCTGACGTAATATGAGACGGGGCCAAATTTGATCCCTCTTCCTTCGATTCCTTGCTTTCCCACTGTTCTCATTCATCCATCCACGCAAACACCAACACACCATGCCCTACTCCCTCCGCACACGCACACGCCAGCCCCTCGCGCCCCTCGACCTCCCAGAAGACCGCCCCACCCTCAAACGATCCCCCTCCAGCACCAGCCTGAGGTCCCCGCAGAAACACTCCAAACTCGATCCCCCGCCCTCCCCAGGTCCCTCCTCCATGAGATCACAATCCGTACGTCGCTCAGGCGGGATGGAAGGGAGGAGGGGAAGCGTGACGCCGAGGATGAGCTTGTCAAAGATGATGGGGATGGGGGAGAAGGGGATGGATGGGGCGAGGTCCCCTGCGAGGAGGTTGTTTGGTCCGGAGACTCCAACGAGGTGCGTCCCTTTCTTCCTTTGTGCAAAGGTACCTTTTTTGCTGACGGGATGCCGTAGCGGGATATCGGGGGCTATCATAACGCCACCAAGGCTCGCACCGTCGCCTCCCATGGACGAGACGACTTCATCACCCTTCGTCGTCCTCCCCACCTCTTCATCGAACGCGCAAAATCTGCCGAATACTGGTGCTGAGAATGGACAAGATGGGCAGCATGATCCGGGGTTCGTGATCTTGCCTGATCCCAAGGGAAATGGGAAGGGGAAGGGAAAGGCGAAGGCGGGACGTACGGCTACCACCCCCACGCGTCTACGCCGGGGCCGCTCACGATCCCGATCCGTCGCCGCCGAAGACGCCACAGACCTCCCACCACTGGCCTCAGAAAACCAAGAAAACATCCCCCCTCCACCCCCTGTCCCTTCCCTCCCTCCACATCTCCCCGAATACAAATCAAAGCTCCCTCCATCACCAATCTCTCACCCATCATTATCCCGCTCCACCACCACCACCACCACATCGCCTTCCTCTTCCCCTTCTTCATCCCTCCTTCCGCCTCCGATGGCGCATTCGGCGTCGTGGTCCGGTACGCCAGGAAGGAGGAGAGAGAGGTCAAAGTTGGTGAATGAGCTGTTGATGGTACGCGGAGAGACGGAGATGCCGTCGTTTTTGGAAGAACAAGCAGGGCTTGAGGAAGGGGACGAGTTGACACCGGGTAAACGGGTCCTGCGCTCAACGAGAGGCAAGCAAAAACTGGCCGAGGAGGTGGATCAGCTATAGACTTCTTCTTGCTGGGTTTGGTGGAGCGGTCGGAGGGGTTTCTTGATCATAGATCTTGGTTTCTTGGTGTGGTATACTTTCCATAATGGCTTCTCCATAAATCAATTGTATTAAAAGCGCGGACATTTCTCGACTATCTTTCCTTGGCTCTTGGACAGGTTTCTTGAAGGGCAGGCTAGTGGAATCAAGAGTCGGCGGGGTTGTAGGCATTCTAATGTAACCTTATCATCGTTTTTTGATTGACGCGAGGTCGATTTTTCCTGCATCCACCAAATTCTTCTTCAACATCTCCTCCACCAGGCTTATGCTTGTTACTCATACATCAAGAGATACATATCTATGCGGTATACGGACCACATGCCCAGGCAAATGCTCGTACGAGGACAAGTGGTGGCGACACAAACGAGTACACGAGGCGCATGAAAAAAAGCGTGCCGCGTCCTCTCCCCACTTTTGATGGGAGATAAATGACTCAACCCGTGTAGACGCGTTTTTCAGCCGCATCATCCTCTTTACAGCGCATCTGAAGGGTATGTAGGGTTGATGTTGGGCTTGGGATGGGAGGGGGGGTGAGGGGGTGTGATGGTTGGTATGCACTGTAGCGAAGACTGGGATGATGGTTGGAGGGAGATGGGGCGGGGAATTGCCCGATATGGTAATTTCGCGGAGCTTCGGAGGTCGTGGCGGAGTCACGCAGGGCTCGGTCGGCTTGTTGGCAGTTGGCATCGTTCAGTCTACAGTCATACTTGGATCAGCTGATATGTCACTAGGTATACAGACTCTCCTGCTGCGTATTGCAAACAAACAAATAGCATTGAACAAACATGTGTATGAAAGATATTACAAAGATGACAACCACTCAATTCGAGTCAACACCCAAAGACAAGACCTAGATTAAAGGCAATGATAACTTGCGCATCCTCTCCACTCCGCCCCTGCGCGAACCCGACCCCTCCGGTCTACTCTTCTTTTTCGCCTTCTCCCCCTCCCCAACCCTAAAACTGACAACCTCCAAACTCGTCTTCCCATCCCTCTGACAAAGCACCACCACCCTATCCCCCCTGAACCCAACGCGCCAAACCGCATCACACGGTTTCGTCAGCTCCCTCACGAACCTCCCCGAATGCAGATCCCACAGCTTTACTCTTCCATCGTTCCCGCCGGAGAGGATGAACTGATGGTTGAACTGAAGGGTCGTGACGGAATTGTCGTGCGCGCAAAGACGGTGGATGCAGGTGTATGAGGTGAGGTCGAATATGATGACGCGGCCGTCGGAGCCGCCGGTGATGAGACGGTTGCCTTCGAGTTGGAGCTGGCCCACGAGGGCGGTGTGGCCTTGGAGGAGGGCGAGGCACTCGCCGGTGGAGGCTTTCCAGACGCGCACGGTGCAGTCGAGGGAACCGGTGATGATGGTATCTGTGAAGCCGTTGTAGGCGATAGAGTAGATTTCGGCGTAGTGGCCGGAGAAGACTTGGAGACATTCGCCGGTTTCGAGGTTCCATAGCTGGGTGATATCAGCTTGTGGGCAGATGGGCAGAGCACGACTCACTCTCGCAGTATGATCATAGCTTCCACTAACAGCCCTACCGCCCCCGCCTTCCTCTCCCAGATCCCAGACCTCCACACACCGCACACTCCCCGCATGTCCCCTCAAAGTATGCAATTCTTCTCCAGTCTCCAGGTTCCATACACGGATGGTATTGTCGCGGGATCCAGAGACGATGATGGGTCGACTGGGAAGGACTTTGAGACATCGGATGGTAGAAGTGTGGCCGGTCATGGTATGGATACATTCCCTGATCTTTGTCAGCTCCAGCCAAAGATCAGTAAGGCAGACGTACCCGGTATCCACATTCCACACCTTGATATCCCTATCACACCCCCCACTGACCGCCATATTATAATCAAGCCCGGGCCAGCCCTTTATACTCCCAGTCACATCGCTCCCTCCTCCTCCTTCCCGTCTCTTCTTCCTTGTCGATCCCGGGGAAGGCGGAGGTGGAGGGGACGCCCGGCGATGCGAGCTGCTGCCCGCCTGGGGGTCGGAGGGGTAATCGAATTGCCCGAGGGAAGAATAGCCCATGACGCTGCTGGGTCTTGAGCCGCCCATGGGGTTGCCCAATGGCGGTATTCTCTCCGCCGCTGCAACACCCGTGAATGACGATCTCCGCGACTGCCCATTGTCCCTGTACGCTCCAGATGCCGGTTGAGGCTGGTACCAACTCGGCGGCGTCTCTGTCCCGACACGTTCGTCTGGCTCCTCTTCATTGTCTGCGACGTTTGCAGAAACGAGCACCATGGCCCAAACGCCTGCAGCATGCCCTTCAAGCGCTCGCATCCACGCTCCAGACTCGGCGTTGAACACGTGTATGGCATGGTTGGCCATACCAACGACGATAAAACTATCGTCCATGCAGAGGCTGGTGACAACGCTATCGTCGATAGAGACGTGTTTGGCGAGCAAGAGACCACCAGTGGTCCAGTTGGTCTTTGAAAGATACGAAAGCGCCACGATGGATTGATAGGTGTTGCCCGGTATAGGCAGCGGCTTGGCAACAGGAAGGTTGGCAATTCGCTTTTCGATACCAAAAGGCGTGAGCCTCTTGGGCGTGCTGGACGAACGGCTCTTTTCCTTTTCGGCGGTGCGGCGCTTCATGAAGGGACTGTAGCTCGCGAGGGCTGCTAGAGATGCGGGGCCGTCGGGGAGGTGGTGCAGGGAAAAGTGGTAGCGCCAGGTGGCGTCGTCTTGCAGCAAGGCATTCCAGTAGTGAGAGACTTGAGCGCACCGGGCCAGTGTTTTGGGATCGTCGACCTGGGAGCATGTCAGCTTGGGCGTATTGGAGACTGAAATGAACTTGCAAAGCTCAGAATATGCAGTGACAGTTCGATAGGCAGTTCTTTGAGAAAGTCTCTTCGAAGCAGGGGGGCGATCTTGCGGCTGACCAGCAGCGCTTCGTCTAATCGGAGCTCGGGGACGAGCGAGTTTAGGAAATTGAATCGCGCTGAAGGAGGGAGGCGAGTGAATTGATACAAGAGGAGGTCGGTATCTGGATAGACCATCAGCGATATCACTATGATGATTGCAAGTACCCACCATAGGACGGTCGGACCGGCGCCTTGCCCTTGCCCTTTGCGGTGCTGTCGGCGCTCCTCTCATGCCCCGCACCACAACCGGTAGTAAACCACCCGCCAACATTCCCCCTCGGCGGCAAAGCCCCCTGCTGGTCGACCCAGTTCTTGAGAAAGTCATTTTCGAGCCCGAGGGATTCCAAGTCCATCCTCCCATCCTCCCTGCCCCGCGGGCCTGGACTGGGGGCGGGCGTCAGGGGGCCATGGTCCGCGAGGGGGTTTGCGTTGATCGGTATAGGTTGAGGCTGGGCGAGTGATGGCGAGACTGGGGATGGTGTGGGGAGAGAGGGAGGGACGGGGCCGTAATGGAGGGAGGGGTCGAGGGTGAGGGCGGCGAAGGAGGGGAGGATGGGCTTTGGCTGTGCGTGGGCGGGGGAGGGAGAGGGGGGCTCTGCCCACGCTGATGATCCGGAGGACATGGCGGGGAGTGGGGGATGGGATGGGATACGGGAGAATGGGACGAATGAAAGAGACAATGCAAAGACAATGGCGCAGGAGAATCACGAGTTCACCGCGCGGGCCCGGCCACCGGCGCTTGCAAAGTCGTTGTCTTAATTATTGTCTAATCATTGTCTTTCAAAACCTCATTTCCGGAATTGTCATGCATAATTTGTGGTCAGAATGGTACGAGGGACGAAGATTCACCATAGGGGTCGGTATCTCCTGCGAGTCGAGGTTGATGCACTTTGAGCCAAGCCCTAAAGCCGCCGCATTTTGTCACTTTCCTCCAACCTTCTTTGAGAGTTTGACGGGCACTCAGGTAGAGCCTTTCGGAGTGTAGCGCATAGAGACCCTCAAAGGAAGTAGCTGTATATGTCACTTTGGCTGCGGCCGTTACATACTCCTCAAGTCTGGACGGCGCTTTTGAAACACGACGCAGGTGTGTCTTAGCTCAGCTCAAGAAGGCCGTCACCTCCCAATGACAGGTTAGTGAGACTCTATACTTCATGCAAGCTTCGATTGTGATGTGACTTTGCCTAATCCACATTCTTGCATATACACAGTTTTTACAACAATCGGCTCTGTTCCACTGCTGCTTTCATTGTCAATCGCCTCGATTTCGTTACTATCGCCACATCACCATGTCTTTCCATGATTCTTCTAGTAACTGATATCAGAGAGTCATCTTCAATGGGACAAGATAAGGGAACTCACCGGTGCGTAAAATGTGAAGACGGCCTTGTTCCAGAGACTCAAGGAGCTCCGCCCTGTCCTCAGCAATATGCTCTTCTGCGACCTGCTTGATCCTCTCCCTATCTTTCGGATCGTCATAACCTTCTAGCAGCTCCAGGGTTTCCTCGAGATCTAGACGTTTCTCTTCGTCAAACTCCTCTAATGCCTTCTTGCATGCTTCGTTGTAGGCTTGCATGAAAGGACCTTCTCGTGGCTCGGAGTGCAGGAAGCGGGTGAGGGTCCCTTAACATCGAAGAGGGTTGTGTGGGCGAGTGAGTGAGATAAGGTGTCGACAGACATGATGGTGAGTGTGCGGATGAAGAGGAGTGTGTGGTGCGAATAGATAGTCGCCACCCACGGCCCTAACTCCTTTTTCGGTCCCCTCCGCCGCCGCATGTCCAGTTCACTTCCCGGACATTATGTAATCAACCTAAACACGCTCCAGAGGATGATGATCGTCGGAATCTTGTGCATTACAGACGACGACATCCCCACCGTTCTTCGCTACAAGCCCTATCACCGACACAAGCCCCCTTTTCCTTCCACAGTCTTTACAAGAGTTTATCCCCCACCCTCATTTTCAACGACTGCCTACGAAAGTGAAGATAAGGAAGAGTTGCTGGAGCGATCAGAGGATGGATGGATGTTTGGTGCATCTGTGAGTGACACTGATACCCGACGAGCTGGAGCCCAAGCAACTCAGGGAGCAGCGGGAGCATTAGGCGGTGCGGAAGCCGGGACATGTGTCCTCGACAGCATCGCCAAGGCTGAGAGGAAGAGACGCGAGGCTGGTGAAGTGGGCGAGTAATCGGTGAGAGAGGTTGAAACGTTGTTCAAACGAGTGCGGATCCAGGTTGCTCAGAAGGATCACCGGCATGTCAAGGAGCTGTTGGAGTTCGTAGGCGCCAAGGCCAAAAAGAAAAAAGGAAACGGATATGGCAAAGCAGGAGCGGGCGGTAACGTCTAACACGAGAGATACCAATACTTAGCGCGAGAAGAGGTATCTCAAGATTTACGACGCCATGAAAGCTGTAGCAAGTATGAAGAACGGTGAGCCAGGTAGCTCTGCAGAAGTGAAGTAGTTGCCAGAATGCGAGTAGGGCATACATAAAGTACTTGTATCTATTCCTTCCATTGGCGAACGCGATTGGGCAAACTGTTCAGCATTGCATGGTCATGAAACATAAGATAGCAAGAAGTCACCCGGGGGGGCATGAAGGGCTTGTGTCGAGCCACCGTCAAGTCCGGGCTGACAAAGCTGAACTTTCAAGCAAAATAGAAAAGGTGCGCCAATTAAGCTTGACCGAATGAAGGGGATGAGGATCACGTGCCTAGCGGAGACAGCCGCCGAAGACGCACGCGACTGGCTTCAACCCGTCCTCAGACGCCCGTGGTGCAGTTTCATATCTCACAGCAACTGTTGACGATTATCCACGTCTTATCCCTCCCCAAACACGTTCCCAGTACCACCCATCTCCTGCCCTCCATGCCTTCTACCGACCTCGTCCAGCCCTCCACAGCTCCGGCGGCGCCACGCCCCACTTCAACCAAAGACAGATTAATCCACAGTTTTATCATGAGCCATCTCCAATACCTATGCCGCCAGGGTCTTTTGCCCCAGGACACGCTGAAGATGCTATCTGCCTATCCTTTGGAATTTGTCCCCATAGTTCGGCAACGCCTTTACTCGTCCCTCACCGTCTCTGGCAATCCCACCCTGGACGTAGTCCTCCCCTCTCGGCGCAACACACACATGTTCAGTGTCCAGCCACCGCTCTCTCCTGATTACCCCGATTTTCTCCCGGCGTGAATTGTTCACCAGTGGCTGTGGGAGACGAAGACTGTCACCATCACGTCGGTGGCAGGCGCTCGGCGACTAGCGAGAGCATCAGACGCTGTGCATGGCGCATACTCGACGAGTAATGCGGTCAGGCGTACGCGTCGTCTGGACTTGATTCGCGTCCTACCCCTATGACCCATACTGGATGCCGTAATCCCCTCTCAGAGCTGGCTGGGCGATCCCACTTGGGGCTCTGTGAACTTCCCGGCCGGCCTCAAACATCCGTCGCATATATGTGTATCACTATCCTCAGCCAATCCCTCTTCCACCCCCTCCCAGATGCCTCGCGCCCGAGAAATCCTCCAACAGTCTCAAACAAGGCTCACTGCCACTCTCCATGCAGATCTTGTGACCTTTCAGCGTGATGTATTTCTCCCCTACAGAAACCCACCAAATTCGGTCATTGTCAAATTGGAGGAGACTGCGGGAGGGGATAAATACGGCTTCCTGAGGGTTCTGTTGGTACTGTGGCTTCGCCGAGAGTTGTCAGAGTTGCCAGGGGGGTAGGCAACGTCATCCCATGCTCCAAGTTCCAAACTGACGAAACCCGCGCAGTCTCTTCATAGACCGATTTCCCCGGCGGCTGATCATTCAACACCCACTGTTTACCGCTTCGGCTGAAACAACCAAATTCCAAAATATGCTCCAAAGTTGCATCGATGGCCGCGTCCCAACCCCGAACATCACGGTCGGCGTGGAGGTACCATCTCCGTGTGCTGCGTGCGGGGAACGTGAAGGAGATCTAGAAGAGAGATGGAGAAGGAGGAGAAGGGCAGAGAGGGCAGAGAGGGCAGAGAGGGCAGAGAGGGTAGATAGGGCAGAGAGGGGACAGAGGGGACAGAGGGGACAGAGGGGACAGAGGGGACAGAGGGGACAGAGGGGACAGAGGGGACAGAGGGGGCAAAGGGGAGAGATTGAAGCATCGAGATTGATTACAAGCACATGCGGTAGATGAGTTGGTAGCGGGAAAGAAGAAGCGATTGTTGTATCCATTGTTGTAGTATCACCGAACATGTATCGGTAATGAGATTGAGATGAGTGGCCCATGGGAGCTCGTGGTGCTGCAGAGTGTATCACATGTACAACCTTCGAGACCGACATCTACTGTTAGAATGGTGACGCCAGGACAATGTCGGCGAGATGCGAAGAAACGGAGGACGGGATCGGATTGTGTAGCCGTCGTAGATAGCGCCTGGTAACTGGGGTTCTCCTCTCATCTGACCATAGTTGGAGTGAGACTGAGACCAGTATCAGCCACAATTTAACATCTACTTTACCCAATATCCTGCCATATGGTGGAGATGATGCGGTCCTCGGAACGAGACCGATCCTTCCACAGACCGACGTACTGACTCGTTGCCAAGATATATATACACAAAATACATGTACCAGCAAAGTCGTTTCTATGTTCCTAACAAGAAGAAAGCGTCTCCCTCCTCATCTTCTCCCAAGCCTCATACCTCCCATCCTTCTGCGCACATCGCATCTCCACCGCCTGGCTCCAATCCCCCACAATCGGTATATTCTCCAAGTACTCGCTCCAACCGTGATCCACCTCAAGGTCCTCTTCTTCTGTCTTCTCACCATCCCTCGGAAAGTAAGCCTTGCGATAACCGAACGTGAAGCTGACATCAAATGCCCTATCGAGAAGAAGAGTTTTGCGCTTGACCAATACTTTGAGTACACTCGTACGATGGCGCAAGGCGAGTGCCGCGAGGTGCGAGTCGATCCTGTACAGGGTAGCGATCAGGCGGCGGTATTCCGACGACCCGGGCTCGAGGTGAGAGAGAGAAGCAGGGATCGGTACGCGGATATTGGTCTGCATTTTCATCAGACACCACCGATGTCATAGGGCAAAGCACTTGCCTTGATCATACGCTCACAAGGCCCATCCTCCCCAGGCCTCAAAAGAACATCCCTATCCAATTTCCCACCCATGCTCCACCTCGCCCGGTCTTCCCCGCTGACCACCCGTTTCTTCTGCAGACTTCGAACCTTCTTGCGGCCAAGGGCGCCGCGGCCGGAGATGGGAGCGAATGCTTCATCTTTCTCCTCGAATTTGGGGCGGACGGCTTCGGCGATGGAGTGGAGGTTGCGTCGGAGCAGCGCAGCCCAAGGAGGGAAGTTGGTGGGGATGGAGATGTCGGAAACTTTGGCATAGGCTGCGAAAATGCTATGTCTATTGTCAGCCTTGCTCTTCCGGAAGGACACAAAGAGGCTTACCCTTCCCCTCGGCGCTGAGCATTGGCGAGCGTTTCCCGCCCGACCTGGACCAGATCGTCTCCAGTAAGGGCCGAGATGTCGAAACGCTTCTCAGGGTCGATTGTAGCGATGTTGGTGAAAGTGGCTTGCATGATTGTGAAGCCGACCAGGCGAAGGTACTCCTTCACATCGGGTACGCTTGAAAATGTTTCAGCCCAATAAGCAATATGATGTAAGGGATGAGACTTACTGGTCGTAGGAAGCATCGTCGGAAAGGTTGATGAGCACCGAATCGGCAGGCCACTTGACAGAAGGACTGACCTCCTTCTCGGCTGGTATCTCGACAGGAGTGAAATCAAACTCCTTCCTCTCAGCCTTCGGAGTCGCCGCCGTCTCCGTCTCCTTCCGCTTCAACATCATCATCTCCCACGCCTTTCTCTGCTTCGGGGTCCGCTTGATGGTAGCCTGGCTACCAGTACTGTCGCTCCGGCGGAGACTCTTCATGGAACGCTCAACAGACGGGAAGGTGAGGTCGGCGATGGTGAGTGGGATAGAATCGATAGCGAGGGGAGCATCGGGGGCGTCGAGCATAGGGTGGACGTTGAGGCAGATGCAGTGACTACGCTTGCGGACCATAGTGTGTGTTTGGGTGACAGGTGTGTTCGGGCTGTTTACGCGTCGAGCGGTGGCGATGAGGATGAGATGAGATGGAGAAGGGCATTGTGCTGAGTGGCGGGGTTTATATGCCTGAGGCTCAGCGGATGTAGTCGTCGGATGCAGGTGCAGCGGGAAGAAGGATGAAGACAAAATAGAACAGCGGAAACTGGGCGGAAATGCATGTGGGCCTGCTTAGACGGTGGCGAATTCTGATCCCATTCGCGTTGCTTTGCAAGTCAACTACAATGCTATCGACGATATCTCCCACTCTGTCGTACAGGCGGACTGGGACTGGAAACATGGCGGGGGAATGTTGGGGGAATGCTTGATAGGCTTGCTCGGCCTTCCGCGCCGCCAAACTCCGAGCTCGTAAAATTTTCTGGCCCAAGGGCCAACTTTTCAACGACTTTCATACAATCTTTCGCACCTCATGCATCCCAAATACATAGCATCTCATAAGAAGCGTCCAAGAGGTCAAAAAAACAGTAGCAAAAAGAGAAGCCTCCGGCGGGGCTCGAACCCGCAACCGCACGATTAACTGATGGCCCGTAACCGGTTCAAGCAGACTCGATAAGAGTCGTGCGCGCTACCGATTGCGCCACGGGGGCTTTCATGTTTTGGTTGCTTCTGGCGTCAATGGGAGCTATGTAGGTTTGTACATGACGCTGATGAATGAGTCATGGATCAACGTTGCCTTGCCGTGCGGTCCAGAAAGAGTACTATATCAATTGAAATGTATAGGTTCCAAGGAAGTTTCACTCGCAAAAGTTAGGCCTCCTCATCCGGTCGAAAGCATACCCTTGTGGCCCAGCTATTCATAATTGGAATCACATATCGGTCAGACTTTGGGCCGAGCCAGCACCTACCCGAGCCCAACCCTCGTGTGTACCTTCGCCGCTTTCGCTCTTGTGATACTCCGTCGACCTCTAAAAATACTACTCTTTTGAATTGTCAACCCCGCCCGAACGTGGTATGCCCAGCTCACGAACGATCAAGCGTTCGAACCCGCAGCTCAGCGTACCGTCAAGTTATCCGCCAATCAGCCTGGCATACCAGCCTCTCACAGGCGACGCAAGGTAAAGCACCCATTGCATACTGATACAAGCTCCCGTCCCACCCCCACCCTTCGTCTCTCTCCCCACCAACTGCCATCTCCCCATTCAACCCTCAACCCTCAGCCCTCAACCCTCATGCCGCCACCCCACTCCCCTTCGTAACGCTCTCAAGGTACAACGACCTGCTCCCCAGATTATCGGTACCGTCCTGTTGACGAGAGTATGGTGTCCATTTGGGTTCGTCTTGAAAGAGACGCATGGCGGTGATGGTGTCGTTGGAGTCGACGGTGAAGCGGTGGTAGATACTGGTCATAGTGTGTCAGCACAAGGGTCATTTCAAGAAGAGGAGAGAGGTAGATAAAGATGAAGGTGATTGTGAGGGAAAGAGGAAAGAGGTGCGAGGGAAAGAGGGAAAGAGGGAAGGCGGGAAGGCGGGAAGGCGGGAAAGGGAGAGGGAGGGAAGGAGGGACGTACCCAGGAGGGAGAACGATCAAGTCCCCAGCTTCTAGGCCGATCCTGATCCACTGCTCATCGTGGAATTCACCAGCGCCTCGGATATCAAAGTAGCCCGACCCAGCAAGGATGTACCGGATCTCTTCATCTTCGTGGAGGTGCCTACAGACAAGTGTCAGTATGTGGTATTTGGCTAATGGGTGGGGAGGGGAAGGAAGGGCTTACTCGTCGAAGAATGATTTGATCTTGGTTTCGTATGACTCGCCGAGGCCTGCTGGTGTGACGGTGATTTGGTCCCTCTACATACAACTGTCCGTCAGTATCAGGCCTCCTTCTCGGATACGGCATCATGCAATACAACGAGAATAGGATGGGACTCACGTTCTTATACCCCCTTTCATTTGCAAAGACATCGATACTATTCTTCCACTGCTCTTGCTCGTCGATGGGGATGAATTTGTAGGTCACTCCCAGCTTGGCGAGAATCTCTTCTGAAAGGTATTTGCCGGTATCATGGGGAAGACGTTGGTCGCCTCTGTATCAGACGGGAAGAGGTAAGACACGAGTTTGCGGTTTTTGGACATGAAAAATCGGGGGACCGAGAGACTCACGGGATGTCGTCGTAGATGTAAGCCTTCATTGTTGTGCTGCTGCTTTTTGTTGTATGTAGTTAAAGGTGGAGGAGTAGGGAATGAATGAGGTAGATGGGATGAGAATGAGTCAGCGAACGAGATGGCTTCCATTGCAGCAGCTCGGAATGACGTGCTTGTCGGACATGGCAAAAACAAACGTTTTTTCCTCCCTTCTATGGTGGCCGATTGTTGAATTAGCTGCAATGTCCAAAAGCATGAAGCCCCCGTGGCGCAATCGGTAGCGCGCACGACTCTTATCGAGTCTGCTTGAACCGGTTACGGGCCATCAGTTAATCGTGCGGTTGCGGGTTCGAGCCCCGCCGGAGGCTTTCTTTTTGCATTTTTGCCCTCCCATTGTTCTTTTGCCTTTACTTTTGCCTCTGGGCCGAGAGGTATACGTTGCCGGGTGCTAAGTTCACGCATAGTTCTGGGGTCTAGTTGCATACTGTTGGTCGAGTTTTTCGACACATCTCAACGGCAGCGCGAGGCGCCGGAGGTGGTTCTGCGTGTCGGCAATCTTCATCTCTCCAATTATTGGAATCCTCGCTCAACTGCTTCTCTCTCTTGAAGGTGTATTGGTCATCCTTTCAGAAAGAATACTGCGCTACCCCACTGCCTCACCCTCCATGGTCCATCTCGATCCAGAACCGACCTCGAAGCTCGAAGCTCGGAGGACGAAGGTTGGCTGACGAGCGAAAGGAGGTGCAGTCGCGCTAGTGTTTGTTTGGCCGATCTTCAGCTGACGTCGGATGGCGGGCATCCCCACAGATCCCCGCTCAGATGTACATATATAAGGGGGCATTCTCGTCCCCTCCCCACTTCTCCCAGCTTTGCCCTCGCCATCCACCAACTCGCATGTCGTCGGGCTCCTCTCTCCACCGCCGCCGGCCCGGCGTGCCTCACCGGTGCTCCTCCTCATCTCGACGCCACACCCCGCCACATCACCATATCCGAAGAACCGGAAGCTGCGGAATACAGCAAGGTGAGCACAATGATGTTCATCAGCCGATCGTGCCCAAGAATCTCACGCTCAACAGCCTCTCCTCAGTCGCCTCGGGGTAAACCTCAGCAGACTTGCATCCCACCTGAAGCCCTCTCCTGTCGTACCACCGTTCCCGATTATCCCTCCTCTGCGGCGCCCCCCAAATGAGGGAGGAGGTGTTTTCGCCGTCCGCTTGTCCGACATGCTGCACACTCGTACTGTACGTCTTCCTCTTCGCATCATCACATCATCATACCGGAATACTGACGGGTTCTCTAGCATGCTCATACTAATGTATGGCTCGACAATATGATGGCAAGCTTTGGCAACATGTCGGTCACGTTGAGCAAGAAGAAGGTGGTCACTTGAGGTGGTTCCATCCACCCTCATCCACTATCCAGCGCCCCCTCCCAATATCTCGCGCAACATTCAGCATCACTCACCCCGCGCTCCCATGTCGTCCACCCTCACAATCGACAGTTTGGCCCAGCTGGACATGGTCCTAGCCAACAACGCTCCTCTGCCTGGCCTGGAATTCGTCGCGATCAACACCCCCTCCTACCACGACTCAGTTCCGGGCAACATCAACCGGCTATCAAAGCTCGTTGAGCAGAAAACCATACGCCCGGTTACGGTCACGATCATTGCAGAGTCCCCTAGACAGTATCAGCCGTCCAGGTTATCCGCCTTCCCTTTGTCTCTCCTCCATGCAGCTCCCAGTAGGGCCATCATCATCAGGGTCGCTCTCAAACAGACCGAAGCCGAAAACTCCTGGCAACACTTGGCCAGCGCGGCGTTTCGCGAGTGCAAGCTATTGCTACTCATCGACAGCAGCTCGCCAGTGCCGCCGTTGTGAAGGGCGAAGGTCTGCTTGTGCTCTTCGTGATCAACACCCTTTCCTACTACGCCTCAGTTCCGGCCGAAACCAATGTTGGCTAGGACGAGGTCCAACTGGGCCGAACTGTCGATGGTGAGAGTGGACGACATGAGAGCGCGGGGTGAGTGATGTCAGATGTTGCGAGGGACATCGGGAGGGGGCGCTTGATAGTAGATGAGAGTGGATGGCGAGAGAGGTGAGTATGAGGGAAGTGGATAGGAAAGTGGATGAGGGAAAGAAGGGGGGATGGAGGATTAGAATGCCCTTCATATACCCCTGTAGGATTCTGACTTGCATAATACCTCTCGTGACTGGCACTCCTTTCGCACCACGTCAAGCAACCTTCGTCTTCTACTCAGCCCACCATTCTAAGACGTGGTCTGCTCGGCGGACGACGTAGTGCTTCTCTACATAGAGATTCCAGTCTGCATGCATATCAATCACGAGACACCAGTATCATCAGCGCGTCTTTATTAACATGATACGCTTGTAATGATGCACTGCTGACGCGTCAGCTCTCCTGCGGGGACTAGCGGCGAGGGCGCCGAGGTCAAGCCGAGGTGAGAAATGAAGTGCCAAGCGCTCTATTCTCGTCCGCCACATTCAGCATTTCTCTCTTGACGCTCTATGCATGCCTCCCTCATGTGTCCGACAAGCACGCATACATCCTATGCCATCCACTGAGCACCCCTCCCCGTGCTCTCCTCGCATACAAACAAACAAAACCCCCGTGTGTGGCTGACGACACACCTGGTGGGCGAGGATGACAATCAGGTCCGGGGCGGTGCACGAGCCATCATTCCCATCAAAAGTCCAGTCAACCGACATCTGATCCCGTCCCGCTATACTATATATACCCCGACAATTCCCATCCCCTCTCTCTTTTTCTTTCATTCCACATTCCCCTTCCCATACCACAAAGCACGCTTGTTCCACACAACACAATGCTCTTCGGTACCATCGACACCCACGCCGGCCTCGCTGCCCCCGACCATTCTCTTTCCCCTGCTACCCTTGGCCAAGGTAAAGACACTGATGGTACCGACGATGCTGCCTCACACCTTGCAGGTAGTATCAGCTCTGCCATCTCTGTTGTCGACTCCGACAGCCTTGGGCAGACCCGCTCATCCTCCTTTGGCCCCGTGCCGCGTGCGCGATACGATGCCCTCGTCAACGCCCTCCACGCGCCTTACCCGCGCGGCGATTCACGAGTGCAAGGTATTGCTGTTGATCGACAGCAGCTCTCCAGTGCCGCCGTCGTAAAGGGTCAAGGTCTGTCTGTGGCTGCTTTGTGCGCTGTTCTTGCTGGATCTTCTCCTTCCAGTCTTGGCGCCACCCGTTTAAGCGCTCTCCACAGGCACGTCTTCTGCATCCTTCGTCCGTACGAGCCCTGACTGACTCCACTCTAGGCATTCGAAGGCGACAATCTCGTCGACTACGACGCCGATCGGTTTCTTAAGCGATCCCGTCTCTTGTCTACTCCTATCAGTCTCGACGACAACGCGTTCTACCCTCCCGCTCTCTCTTTCTCTCGCTCTCCCTCCCCCGAGCTCGAGGAAGTTCAAACTCCGCCCATGGAGGTTATCGCCCTGCCCGACGTTCAGCCTGAGCGAGGCATCAAGCGTCGTGCTGATGACGTGAGTACCGTCTTTTCTCGCTCTCGAGTATTGCTGACAATAGCCCACAGTTTGACAATGACGTCGATATCGCTATGGAGCCCGAGACCAAGCAGAAGGTCCAGCGGGTGAAGGAGCGTACCGCCGTGCCTCCCAGCCGTGCTCTCAAGCGCGCTACGACGACTCTGTCGCTCGCTGCCCACTCTACTTCTATCGACCGACCCGCCATCGCTGCCTCGACTCGTACCCTCGCCCCAGCGCCCTTTGTGGGCTCCTCTGCTCCCAAGGCTTGTCCTACTCTCCCCGAGTCGCGCAAACTTCAGCGCACGACTACAACTCTCCGGCAAGCCGCCCTCCGCCCCCTCCCCCTCCAGACGATCGACATGAACAGGCCTCCTCAGCCTTCTCGTCGAGCTCTTCAGCGCACCACCTCTGCTTTGTCGCTCGCGACCCCCACTCCGCACCAGGCGTTTTTGGCGCCACCTCGACATGTCCCAAGGCCTCGTCAGCTTAAAAGCTGCCTCGCTCCTTCCGCCAAGCCCCACCCTGCTCTCCACTTCGGCAAGTCGGGTCAAACATGGCCTGGTTTCACATTTTTGCCCTATCCCCAGGTCTCGCCGAAAGCTCTCGGACGAGGAAAAGAAAGCTCGCCAAGCCCGTAGGGATCTCAAGGCCAGTTTGCTCTGCGAGCGGAACCCCGAGACTGGGCTCAAACAGTTTTTGCCTCGCCGAGTGCCTGGTGCCGAGCCCGAGCCTGTGCTGGAGAGCTTCAAAGACGTGGAGCCTTGGAGCGAGGGGCAGAGTGAGTTTGCGGCCCGGACGGCTGAGACTGCCGAGTTGGCGGCTATGGTGTAAGTCTTCTTGGTTTCTTCCCACTATACTAAGGGCTGACGAGGACCATAGGATGGAGACGATGTCTCTTGACGATGTCTCTTGACGATGTCTCTTGACGATGTCTCTTGACGATGTAATTGCCAACCTTGGCAAGCTGACGGTCGTCCCGAACAAGAAGAAGGTGGTCACTTGGGGTGGTTGCCAAAACCGCTTCTTTTGATCGCCTCGACTCGCTGCCAGCTAGCATGCCTGCTCAATCTTGGACCTCGTCACCGTGAGTCTTCATCGTCTTCAGCAATGTATCATCTCTGACTATCAGCCATAGGACCTCAGAAGCTCTTCATCACCATGCCTGTCGCCGACGCTGAAAATGCTATTATACCCCATCACCACCCCTCTCTTCCCGCGCAACACAAACGGCAAACATTGCGTCCTCCCTTCTCTCATATGTAGCCCAAGCTGATCACTGTTCTCGTAAGTGCCTTTCTCTTGGGGCAAGACGTAGCTGATGGAAAAGACCAGATACTAGCTCAAACTTTGCCTTTACTCAACGACGCCGACCCTCGACAAGTTTTAATTCACCCAACATCCTCATTTGTCTTCGGTCTCGGCCATCGCTGGTGCTTTCTTCTGTTGTGTATGTCTACCGTATCACTGGAGGGGCGCCGCTGACGATATCAAGCCTGTTGCCATCACTTCATTGTCTTGTAGTCCGCATCATCAACCCTCCCGCCGTTCTTGTTCCGAGGATCTGTTGTTCTTCTCTCTCTCTCTTGTCATTTGTTGTGGCTGTTCTGTGGTTCCACCCCCCATTCATCGTCCGGCAACGTGGTCGTCGTCTCTCTCGGTGTCTTGTTGTCTCTTTCTCCCGGTAGTAGCATAGGTACTTGTACCGTCGAGTAGCTCTTGTAGTACATACTTGTACCTCGGGGCAAATAGTGTAGCTAGCATAGCATAGTTGATACCTTCATAGCTCGTAGTATACATGGTTGATAGCTCTTGTAGTTTCATAGATACGTACCCATAGACCTCTGTAGATGTTTATAGCCTGATAGCATTCGAGTAGCGATATATACCCATAGAGTTGTATTGTTTATAGCAAGTAGAAGATGCAACCCTCGATAGTTCTGACTTCTCAATGTACAGTCCGAGTATGCCTCGCAACTTGAAAGGTTCAATGCTCGTCAATCTGCCCAGTGCACAGACTTGCAGACTGCAGGTGGCTGGATGCAACTTGCACCGTCAGAGACACCTGCCTACTGCGAAGCGATACCCAATCCGAAGCGTAAACAACATACATGAAGGGGTATATGGACATTTCGAGGGGTACAACCACATTAAACGGCTACAATTCTGTATCATCTCTATCTCTTTCCCATCTCTCTCCCTCTCCCAGACCATAAACAAGACCTGTCACCAACGCCGGGTTCTACGACATATGCAGCGCCAACCCTCCTTCCCTCTTCCCTCTCTCCTCCTCCTCCTCCTCCTCCATCTCCATCTCCAGCCCCCCTCCCTCACCCTCACCCTCTCCCCGACCCATCTCCCGATCCCCAACGACCCCAACAACAACACTGATATCATCCTTCTTCCCTCCCACAAAATCAATCCCCTCTTCTATAGCAGCGCACATGAACGGCGTGGTGGTTGATGTTTGTTGGGATATCTGGCGGGCGCGGGTACAGAGGGCTGAGGCTGCTGATTGGGGGTTGAAGGGCGTTGGTTGGGGTGTGGAAGGGGAAGGGGAAGGGGAAGGGGAAGGGGAAGGGGAAGGGGAGGTGGTGAATTGGGAGATGGTTTCGAGGATGTCTTCGTCAAACTACGTCCCATCCGTCAGTCCTTCAAGTCGCATGGCACAAATAGATGGGGAAAGCGACCAACCATATTGTCCATGAGCCCATCACTCCCGACGACGACGATATCGCCCTTCTTGACGGGTACGTCGAACCGCATAGCGTCCTTCATCGGTTCATCCCTACTATGCGTGCCGACCTATCTCTCTTATCAGTCTTTGTCCTTTCTGATGCCTTTTGAAAGAGAAGGGGAGGGGGAGGAAGGGAAGGGGAATGGGAATGGGAATGGGAATGGGAATGGGACTCACTTGATGCGGAAAGTTGAATGCATGCTGCATCTCTTCGGTCCGGAATACCACCTTGTCACCTCTGATCAACAGCAGGCAGCAGTCGCCGAGGTTGGCTATATGCAGGGTCGAGTTTTTGAGGAGCGCTATCAGGCATGTTGAGGACCCGTTGACACCCTACTCGACCGTCAGCTCTTGCCTTCACAAGGGAAAAGAGGGAAGAGTGGGAAGAGGGGAGGTGATGAGGGGACTTACTTCAGAGATGGCACACGATAAACACTTTTCATACCCCCTCTGCATAATCTCCACCGGGTCCAACGGCCTCCTCTCCCTCTCCCTCTCCTCCCCTACCCCCTCCTTCTCCCCGTGAGTCCCATCCTGCCCCTTCCTCTCCTTCATATACACCTCCGAACCTTCCGTCCACCCCTCCACTTCCCTCTCACAGAAATGCGTCAACAACCGACTCCACCTCCCCGCATCCGCTCCCCCCCGCCCACTCGCTGCCCAAGCACCCACACCATCGGCAATGCACATCCCGTCGACGCGCGTAAAGTAGGCGTCTTCGCCGACGGAGACGGAGGATGATTGGAGTTGCGCTGATGTCGGCGATGGCGTGGGAGGGAGGGGGAAGGAGCGTTGTCTTGGTGGGACTGGTGGGCGGGGTGGGGGAGAGGAGGAAGGTGGTTTAGGAGGGGACCGTTCTTTAGGCGACCCGGAAGCGCCCAGATGAAAAATCAACGTCGCCCCATACGCCGCTGGCGGTACATCCTCCCCCGCCATCATCGGCGGTACATCCTTCCACCCTTTCCTCGTGCCGGACGAGTAGGACGCGCTGGTGGAGGAGCTGGAAGAGTGGGAGATGGGGTTGGAAGTGCGTGGTTTGAGGGATTGGTGGGTTGTGCGGGGGGAGGGGGCGCGGGGGATCATGTTTGTGTTTGTTGGTGGTGCTGAAGACGACGACGATGATGATGATGAAGAGGAAGAAGAGGAGGAGAGTTGGAATGCTTGAAGAAGGGCTTCGAGGCTTGCTTGGGCGGTGGAAGAGGTGTACACCCCCCGGTCTGGGAAGAGATACATCCCCTGACTCTGCGCGCCGTTCGAGCCAGAACTGCTTCCCAGCGGTAAAGCTGCCGTCGAGAGATACCTCGTCCCTCTCCCCCTCCCACCGCCACTACTCGCTGAGGACGCCGGGTGCAAGACGACAGAGGAGGTGAACATGGTCGACCTTGTGCGGGGAGTTGTCGTCGTCGGCGGGGAGGGTCGGTGACGGATTGCGCGCGCCGAGTGGGAGTGGGAGTGGTGGGAAAGAACGATATCGCTTGAATCCCAGGACCAGCTGGGCCCCAGCTCACCCATGCCCATCCCGCCTCCGCCTCCTCCCCCGACCCCAGAGGCAGAAGCAGAAGTAGAAGCAGGCCGCCCCCAGCCAACATTATAAACCAAAGACGGCGTCCCAGACCCATACCCACCCCCTCCTCCTCCTCCTCCACCCCCTCCACTCCCACTCCCATTTCCACTCCCGGGGAGCCCAGGGCTCACACTGACATTCAAAGCAAGCACCCCCGAGGGGGAGAGGGAGAAGGACGGCGAGGGGGAGGAATGTTGGGCGGAAGAGAGGGTACGGACGAGACCTTTGCCGAGGCCTGGTTTGGGTTTTGACATGGCGAGTCTTGTTGTTCTTTCTTCTTGTTATCGTGTTGTCTTCTAGGGTTGTAGGGTTGTCGGAGGGAGGGGCAGAGGACACCCCTTGGTGGAAGAAGAATGGAGAAAGAGAAAGAAAGAGGAGAGTGGATTCCGACTTTGTGAGTGTTTTGGCGAATCACCGCGGGGTCGCTTTGCCACCACAATCCACAAACACCCGCGCTTCTTGCTTTCTTATGTTATATGTATCTTTCATTTGCATGGGGTTCATTGTCCGTTCGTAGTATAGTAAGAGTATCGTATGGCATAGTATGGCAGCAGCATAGTAAGGGAAAAAGGGCATGATTAGAAAGATAAAGCGGAAAGGGGAGGAGCGATCAAAGGGGAATTAGGATTGTACACTACCCTCGAAATGCTTATCTCCCCCGAGATCTCAAGGCTCGGGTGTGAGTGGGGGAAAGAGAAGGGGTGAGGGGTGGGAGATTAGAGCAAGAGACTCATCACCGCCAGCAACCCCAAACAGCCCATCATCATCGGCCCGACCACGAGTGCGCGGGGGCCCGCACCCGACGACGACGAGGAGGAGGAGGAGGAAGCGTTGGCTTTGAGGGCTGTTGGGGTAGTCGACGCAGTGGCAGTGGCAGAAGCGGTAGCAGGCGCAGTAGAGAAGACTGTCGTAGTCGTCGCTTTGCCCGTCACCGTCGACGTCACACTAACCACCTTCTCCTCCCCCTCTGAGCGCTTATTCCAAACCCCATTCCCACCCACCGACGAATAATACTGACACTCGGACGTCTCCGCCGCCGGATGCGCCGCAGGCGTCGTAGCGTCCCCTTGGTAGAAGGTCGACCCGTCGTACACGCCCGGGGCTTCGTCGGTGGGCGGGGCGAGGCAGGCGTCGAAGCCGTCGGCGGTGGAGCCGGGGATTGTAAAGTCGCAGCCGACTGGGCATGGGTGTTAGCTCGAGAGAGTGAGAGGGGGGGGGGGGGAAGAGGGGACGTACGGAGGTCGTAGATGTGTTGGCAGTATGAAGCAGCATCTATCGCTTTTCATCAGTACTCATCCAGCCTTCTTGGGCTTTTCCCTCTGAGCAGCGTTTTGACTTACTATCGCCATCCTGACAAGCTCGAATACAGAATTCATCTACCCCATCAACATCAGCACTTTTACCCTAGATCGAGAAAAAAGAAAGGGAAAGTATGAGGCCTTACCAGAAGACATGAAGCTAGTCCACTCATGCGTCTGTTCGTAAGAACCAGAGAAGGCGTTTGTAAACACGAGCCCGCCTTGGGGGTTGCCGAGGCCGGTCCAGGCTGTTGTTTTGTCAGTACAGCTGCATATAAGAGGGGTTGGGAGGTCGGTTGGCGCTTACAGTGAGGCTAACGAAAACGTCAGCACAAAAAAGAGGAGAGGGAAAGGAGAGGGGGACGTACGTCAAGTTCACCGCCCTCATCGCCGTCTGCGATCAACAGCTTCGTCAACTACCACCCCCCGCCATTAGCGTCTTGCACCCAACACATTGAGCTCGAAGGGATAGACGCACGTCGCCTTTACCGGTAACCTGGACATACGAGACTTTGTCGCTCTGCACTTTGACAAAGTGCGCCCCGGTCAGAGTTCCTTCGGGTATGAGCCTGGTACCGTAGCCTGATTTGAGGCAGTACCTACCCCCCTTCATCAGCTCCCTCCCCTCCAAGATCCAAGGAAAGGCATAAGAGAAAGAAGAAGAAGGCTTACGAGACAACGATCTCCTCCACATCCCCAATCGTACTCCCCGCCTCGGGCGGCCCCCAAAGACAGAAATCGTCCACCCCATTCACATACACATTCTGGCATTTACTGTCTTGCGCCGAGCCGTCCCCGCAGGCGTTTGTGCCGTACTGGCCTTCTTCGGAAGTATCGGGGAGGGAGCCGGGGGAGTAGGTGGCTGTGTATTGGGCGAGAGCACTGGGGAGGAGGGGCAGGAGGGGGAGGAGGGGAGCGATGGAGGCGATGGAGGTGAGCATGGCGAAATGAGTGTGGGTGGAAATGAGCGACTGGGGTGGGTATATAAGGGAGATAAACGTGGACAGAGGGAGGAAAGAACGAGGACGGCTTCGTTCTCGATCAGACGGAGCCAAATCAAGGGGACAAACAACACACAGGATGACGCTAGGAACGAGGCTAGCCAGACGCTGGTGGCAATCTTATCGCTAAGCATTCTTGGCGGCCAGTATCAGAGGGGATGCATGGGGAATTGGGGATCCCTCGGCCATGCTGCGTGCATCGGAGAGTGTGGGAGAGGGGAGACTGCCTCAGCCTTCTTCGTCACGTCGGCAGGACGGGCAGATCTCGGGGCTCGGATGCCCGCCGCGCCGAAAGCAAGCCGAAACCATCCCAAGAAGACTGCAGTCAAAGAATACATCAAGCTATCAAGCTACTTGCTATAAACAGTACAAACCTATGGCTATATATCGCTACTCGAATGCTATCAGGCTATAAACATCTACAAAGGTATATGGGTACGTATCTATGCAACTACAAGAGCTATCAACCACGTACACTACCAGCTATGAGGGTATCAACTATCTGCTTTATGCTAGCTAAGCTATTGACTATGGTCTATGTGCTATAATGGGCATATACTACAATGCCTATTCGACGATACAAGTACCTATGCTACTATCAGCAGATAGGATAGCGATGAGAGGAGGTCGGGATGAGAACAACCGAGCAATCGCGAGACGACGTTGACGAGATCAATGACCAATATCCAAGAGTGAAAAAGCAGGCGCGAGGCCGTGGACAAAAGATCAGAAAGATAGAACAACAGCATACAGCCTCTCGCCTCGTTGACAAGAAGACAAGAAAACGATAGAAGAGGGCAACCCCGAGAAAAGGGTGGAGGTAACGATACAAGACGTTGATGGCGTACACCCTTGCTGCCATGAGCCACTGCTTCTTCAAAGAGAAAGAGGTAAAAGGGGACGTACACAGGAGAACACTTGCGCGAGGAAGGCGTATCGATGCTGGAAAGTGACGTTGGACGAAAGTGAAAAGTGGTTGGGGGTGTTGAGGGAGAATGACAAGATGGTGACGACAGGACAGACAGCTGGGAAACTAGTACTTTCGTCAGCCGCTCCTCCGCACCAGGTAGAGGAACACTTACGAAAGAGACGGTCAGCTCGAGATCCATGTATCTTGAAGAGGAAGGACGTATGGTTGTCGTTGGCAGAGGAGATGCGGCGTCGTATTGTTCAGTGTCGCGTTGCTGGTGATATCTGTTGGACATGAAGGGGTATCTGGTACCATGTCAGCGATAGTACGTTACGCAAGAATGGACTCACCGAGTCAAACAAGTCGAGGCGCTTAGAAGAGCCGCGTTTCACAGCCTCCCCAAGTCACAACCTTTTTGCGGATAGGCTGGACGGACAACTTGGTCATATTCTCAGTCACGTCGTCGAGGGAAATCTCTCCCATGCTACAATACCCATCAGCATCTTGATCTGACGTTGTGAAAAGGAAGACTTGCACCAGACGAGTAACCTCATCATTCCAGGGCGTCCTCTTTTTGAAAGAACTTTTTCCCTCGCTCCAGGGCTCCATCTCCCTCCAGCTCTCCAGCACAGGCTCAGGCTCGGCACCAGGCACTCGGCGAGGCAAGAACTCTTTGAGCCCGGTCTCCGGGTTCCACCTCCGGGTCCTATTGGCCTTGAGATCCCTACGGGCTTGGCGAGCTCTCTTTTCCTCGTCCGAGAGCTTTCGGCGAGACCGGGGGATAGGGCAAAAAAACGTGAAACCAGGCCATGTTTGCCCCGACTTGCCGAAGTGGAAATCAGGGGGAGGGTTGGCGGGAGGGGCATACCGCTTGAGGCAGCTTTTGAGTGGACGAGGCCTTGAAACCTGTCGAGGTGGCGCCAAAGACGCCTGGGGAGGAGTTGGGGTCGCGAGCGACAAAGCAGAGGTGGTGCGCTGAAGAGCTCGACGAGAAGGCTGAGGAGGCCTGTTCATGTCGATTGTCTGGAGGGGGAGGGGGCGGAGGGCGGTTTGCCCGAGAGTCGTAGTCGTGCGCTGAAGCTTGCGCGACTCGGGGAGAGTAGGACAATCCTTGGGAGCAGAAAAGCCCGCAAAGGGCGCTGGGGAGAGGGTACGAGCCGAGGCAGCGATGGCGGGTCGGTCGATGGAAGTAGAGGGGGCAGCGAGCGACAGAATCGTCGTAGTGCGCTTGAGAGCGCGGCTAGGAGGCACGACGACGGTACGCTCCTTCACCCGCTGGACCTTCTGTTTGGGCTTGGGCTCGGGCTCCATAGCGATATCGACGTCATTGTCGAACTGTGGGCTATTGTCAGCAATGCTCGAGAGCGAGAAAAGATAGTACTCACGCCATCAGCACTACGCTTGATGCCTCGCTCAGGCTGAATGTCCGGAAGAGCGATAGTGTTGATGGGAGGAGTACGGATGTCCTCGAGCTCGGGGGAAGGCGAGCGAGAAGCAGAGAGGGCAGGAGGAGACGACGCGTTGTCGTCGAGATCGGGAGGAGAGAAGAGACGAGAGCGCTTCAAGAAGCGGGCAGCGTCGTAGTCGACGTGGTTGTCGTGTTCAAAAGTCTAAAGTGGAGTCAGCTAGGGCTCGTATTACGGACGAAGGATGCAGAAGACGTACCTCTCGAGAGCGCTTGAAATAGTCGCCAGTAGGCAGAACACCGTCACGGGTAGCGCCAAGAGCTGAAGAAGCAGAAGTACCAGCAAGCACGGCGCACAGAGAAGCCACAGACAGACCTTGGCCCTTCGCGACGGCGGCGCTGGGGAGCTGCTGTCGATGGGCAGCAATAGCTTGCACTCGCGAATCGCCGCGCGGGTAAGGCGCGTGGAGGGCGTTGACGAGGGCATCGTATCGCGCACGCGGCACGGGGCCAAAGGAAGAGGAGAGGCGGGTCTGCCAAAGGCTGTCGGAGTCGACGACAGAGATGGCAGAGCTGATACCACCTGCAGGGTGCGAGGCAGCATCGTCGGTACCATCAGTGTCTTCACCTTGGCCAAGAGCAGCAGGAGAGAGAGACTGATTGGGAGTAGGAGTGGCTTGGGTGGCAGCGAGGCCGGAGAGGGTGTCGATGGTTCCGAAGAGCATTGTGTTGTGTATAACGAGAGCGTGCTTTGTGGTATGGGAAGGGGAGGGTGGGATGAAAGAAAAAGAGAGAGGGGGATGGGAATTGGCGGGGTCTATATAGTATAGCGGGACGGGATCAGATGTCGGTTGACTGGACTTTTGATGGGAATGATGGCTCGTGCACCGCCCCGGACCTGATTGTCATCCCCACCGGGTGTGTCGTCAGCCACACGGGGTTTTGTTTGTTTGTAGTATGCATGGGGAGAGCACGGGGAGGGGTGCTCAGTGGATGGCATAACACATATCTATGCCTATGGGACTCATGAGGGAGGCATGCATAGGGCGTCAAGAGAGAAATGCTGAATGTGGCGGACGAGAATAGAGTGCTTCACCTCGGCGCCCTAGCTAATAGTCCCTGCAGGAGAGCTGACGCGTCAGCAGTGCATCGTTTCAGGCGTTTCATGTTTATAACGACGAGCTGTCGATACTAGTGTCTCGTGCTTGGTATGCATGCAGGCTGGAACCTCTTTGCAGCGACGCACTTCGTCTTCCGCCGAGCAGACCACGCCGTAGAATGGTGGGCTGAGTAGAAGACGATGGTTGCTTGACGTGGTGCGGAAGGAGTCCCAGTCACGGGAGGTACTATGCAAGCCAGGATCCTACAGGGGTATATGAAGGGCATTCTCATCCCCCACCCCCCCTTCTTTCCCTCATCCACTGCCCTCATCCACTGCCCTCATCCACTGCCCTCATCCACTGCCCTCATCCACTTCCCTCATCCAGCATCACTCACCCCGCGCTCCCATGTCGTCCACTCTCACCATCGACAGGTCGGCCCAGCTGGACCGCGTCCTAGCCAACAATGCTCCCTGCCCGGCCTGGCATTCATCGTGATTAACACCCCCTCCTACCACGCCTTAGTTCCGGCCAATATCGACGAGCTATCGAATCTCATTGAGCAGGAAACCACATGCCCGATTACGGTCACGATCATTGCAAAGCGCCCCTAGCCAGTATCAGCCGTCCACTTTATCCGCCTTCCTCTTGTCTCTCCTCCATGCAGCTCCCATTATGGCCATCATCATCAGGGTCGCTTTTGAACAGACCGAAGCCGAGAATTCCTGGCAGCACAGAACCCTTATCATCCACCAACTTCGAGGGCAGAGACCACGCCCAAGTGTGCCTGGTGGAAAAGTGGCTGGAGAATCTGTCGGCCCACAGCCTTACCCCTTTCATGTCAGCCCGTTGGTGGAGATGGGAGCTGAAGGAGCGGTATGGAGGGAAAGAGCAAATGTTCGACAGCAAGGTAGAATTGAAGGATCAGTAGTGGCGGGTTGAAGTGAGCTCAGGATCCATGGTATCTCGACCTTATTGGTGGGTTTCAGGACTTCATCGTGATTGATCTCGGTTCTCACTGACACCACTCAGCTGAGAGACCAGCATCAATACACCACCTACATCTTTCGCCTCTTTGATCATTGCAAACGAATATCTTTGGCGCCGCTTTCTTGGTCTCCTGTTTTGTCTGTGTCTGTAGTGACGGGAGGGGCTGAGTGGTGGTTGGTATATGAAGAGAATGGATACTTGTAGAGAATGGATACATGTAGAGAATGGATACATGTAGAGAATGGATACATTTGGACGAGTCCTGTTGGTACTATCGGGGCGGATAGGAGGATGATATCGTTGTTACCGTAGGGTCACATCGCCAAAGCCGCGACCACAGTATAGGCAATTCTTTCCGCTTCGACTTTGTTGCGGAATCAAGATTACCACCATCCCATCTATCTATTTCATCTTCCGCCTATATACTATCCGACGCGAGACTCTTCTATCAAGATGACCCACAGATTCTCGGTCGACATGCTCCCAGCTCCCCGCACCCCCCTGCCGTCTACAACTATCCCCAGCTGGTGTGCCGATCATAGCGATAGATCTGACGCCAATGCGCAAGGGTTGAGTCGGGAGATAACGACAAAGACAAGGGCCGATTTTGCGCGCATCATTGACAATAAGGAGGGAGGCGATGTTACTACCACTTTTGAGGCCCTACATGTCTCCAACCATAGCCACTACTCGCCTACTGCTGGGGATACGACAGCCTTAACGAAGAAACAAGGTGAGCCCAGAAGCAAATTTAGGTACTCGCGAAGGTGCTTACTGGCTGGCAGAGATCAAGACCGGCTCGTACAAGAGTGAGGCGGCAGTGTTCCGCCGCATATGCCATCCGTCAGCAGCGGTTGAAACTCTTGAGGCATTACACCCCGTGCACCACCGTATACTCGACGAACTATTTCGCCTCAAGCCCTCAGTTGTCGTAACGCTCAGCAAGTATTGTTACCACTTCTTCCTCCCCAGGCTTTACGAGAAAGTGTATTTGAACGCGCACATTCTCCCAGCTACTGTAGAATCCTTCCTGCACGGGCTTTCGATATCAAACGGGAGAAAGGACGAGGCCTTCAAGCACGTTCGAGAGATATGCTTCTACTTTCCCCCTTTAGTGTACGTTCCGAAGGGCAACAAGTTGCCTGACGGTACCAGGCAGATGACACCAATAGCTCGCCTCAAGGGGGTGCGTACTGGATACCGACACGCATGGATCGATAGACCACCAACATCACCCTGGGACGAGGACGTATCACCCATCATACTGCGGTTGATGAAACAGCTTCCCATATCCACCCTGCCCAGTTTCACCAAAAAGACAATGAGCGGATACATGGGAGACTACCTGTTCGAGGGTAACGAACGATTAGAAGAAGAAGGCTACGTCTCGACATATGCGCGCTCCTCCATCCCTGTTCTAAACGAGGAAGAACGCTACCCTGAGCTACCTATGTTTCATGTCTTATGCCTTTTCATAGGCCATCTGCGTCTCGCCGAGATCACCCAGCACTCTGCCATTCAGATACCAGCGCTCCCACTTGACTCTCGAGGCAAGACTCACTTTGAGTCGCTCTGCGAGGCTTTTGGTATTCCTAGTGTACCCGAAAGCCAGCAGATAGACAGTAACGCAAGCGCAATAGCGAAGACCGCGGTCGGTCCATTTGCATACCTGTCTGAATTTCTCAAAGAACAGGAAGGTTCTGTTGTGATTACTGACTATAGCAGCAGACAAATACTGTGCCGTCTTTGGAAGATGAAAGAGTCAGCTTCAGAGACTGATAATGGGTGCTGGAGCCATCGGGGGATGGCGGAATGGATAGGTTGGAGTTATTTGTAAGATCTTGATGTTGCGACTTCCTGACGCTTGTTGCTATGGTGACAATGTATATCTTCAAAAGTGACATGCTACTACATCATCTTACAGAGGCAGCCTGATGACACCAGCCAGTCCTCAGAACAGCCCTGTCCTTGACTACTCGTACCATACAAAGAACGACCCGCTCATCCACGACCGACTACGCGAGAGATAAATAATGAGACATGAAGACAGGAAGCGAAAACCGTGACGATTCCTCCCTTCGTTAGTGAACATTAAAGTCTCTCCGTGCTGTGGCGATGTCTGACCGAGGCCAACTGTCTCCTTCGCCCCAGCTTACTCTCGGCGGCTAGCTCGTTCTGATCGGTAGTGACGCTCTATTGCTGTTCGGGCACGGTGGAAGAGGGTTGATCAACTGGATGAATTGATGAGGAGTATGAAAAGAGGTATAGGTACGTATGCAAAACGATTCATAAAGGCTCTAATCACTAATCCTATTTTGTTTCCGTATGGGACATATTCTTCCTAATCATACACCGAACCACCGATCCAAGACGACTGAGCCCGAAAAAGGTAGAGAGAGACAGTAGAGCAAGCCGACTAGAGTTTATGTGAAGACTTCTTGTCATCACCACCGAACTGCGACTCTGTGACACCCTTGCCCATGGCGGCGGTAGAAGAAACACCACCAGTGACGGTCATCATCATCGCATCGGCATAGTCTGCTCCAGACCACTGTACTTCTTGTTAGCACAACTCAACAAGGATAAGAGGCAGGGGGAGCTTACCTTTTGATGAGTCAAGACGTCGCATCCAATTTCGCGTTCTCGTCCTTGGATAAGCTCGACGTAGGCCTTCATGCCTTCGGTAGCGAATGACTTGGCGAAGAGGTCGTTGATGTAGGCATTCGAGTGAAGACCCGCAAGCTAAGATAGATCAGTACTTGCAACAAAAGAAGCAGAAGAGGGGTGAGACATACAGTAATGAATTGGAAGACGAAACCAAGCTTCCCCAGCTCCCAAACGTACTCCTTCATCTCCTTCTTCCCCAGCCCCGCCTTCTCCCAGTTGAACGACGGTGACAAGTTGTAAGCCAACCACTGCCCCGGGTGGACCTTGTGCACACCATCGGCGAATTCCTTGGCCTGGCTGTAGATGGGGCTCTTGGTTTCCATCCAAAGCAAGTCGGCGTAAGGGGCGAACGCGATAGCTCGGTTGATGGCGCATTGTGTTCCGCCTTGGTATCGGTAGTAGCCTTCCCTGGAACGGGGAGTGTCCCAAGACCAGAAGGGGAGGGAGGTGAGGCCGTAGGACTTGGCAAGGGCGGTGGTGGCAGAGTGCGAAGCGTGCGCCGTTCCACTGACTTTTGAGACAAACTCGGCAATCTTGGATTTGTCGACACCCTGCTTCTCGAGCGCCTCCGCGAGGACCTCTGGGTAAAGCTTCAAACCCGCCTTGCCAACCCACTCATCCTCGATAGCCTGCAAAGTCGCACCGCTCTTGCCCTCAGCTTCGGCTTTGAGCATGAGCTCGTTGAGCTCGCCGGCGTCGGGGTTGGTGGAACCGAGGATGAAAGCGTGGTCGCGGGGGTCAATGTTGGTGGTGATGAGGGTGGCGGCTTCAGAGTCGGTTCGGCAGACGAGGAGGTTGGTGGTGCCCATAATGTCGCATTGGAGGCGCATGGCGAGGAGACGGTTGATGTGTTCGGAGATGGGGACGAGGACCTGTATAATGTGAGCTTGGGAAGGTGAGAAGAGAGGGGAGAGGGACGTACTTTACCAGCCATGTGACCACACTTTTTCGTACCCGGGGCTTGATCTTCGATGTGAATACCGGCGGCACCGCTCTCGACCATCATCTTTGTCAACTTCATCACAGCCGTCAGACCTGCGCCTCATCAGTGATCGTTTTGAATTGGAGGTAGGAGCGGACTTACCACCGTGACCGGTATCGGCATCAGCAACGATAGGGCGCAAGTAGTCGACAGGAGGCTCAAGAGACTCGCCAGCAGCGCGGGCCTGTGAGCGGTAGAAGCGCTGTTTGCGGTCGTGGAACAGTTGGGCGGTGAAGAGTTGGGCGACCTTGTTGGGGACAGTGTTGGAAGGGTAGTCTGCGAAGTGATTAGCGGGGGCTTTGAGAGGGGACAAGGAGGGCTTACCGGCAAGATCGGGTCCGGGTTCGAGGGAGGAGGAGGCTGTAGATGATGATTGCCAGCCAGAGACGTAAACGGTCTCGAGGTACTTGGCCATTTGTGTGATCTGGACTGGGTCGAGACTGTAAAAGGTCAGCTGGAGCCAAACAATCGATAGAGGACGGCTCACGCTCCATAGGTAGCAGTGCAGCCACCACCTTCTCCCCTCGCCTTACTCTCCAAGATCTTGTGCAACTTTTGCGCCTGTACGTCTGATGGGTATGAAAGTCTCAGAGTGCCCCTCTTAGAGACGACATCGGCGGCAGAGTAGGAGCGGAGCTTGTTCTTGAAGCGGGGTTGCTTTGAGATATTCAGCAGGTACTCTCAAAGAAGCGGGGAGGGATGTACCTTCTGGAATTGTTCGACTTCCTGGACTTCGGCGTCAAATACAGCTTGTTCGGATGCCATGGTTGCTGGATATGTTATCGTTGTTGTGGTAGTAATTGAAAAGATTTGTCGTGAAAAGACAAGTATGGAATTGACATCTCTCTCCAATGGGTGGTCTTATATATGACCTCTGCCGATTCAAAGAAAAGTTCGTAACAGAGTCATCGGGAGTACGTAGAGTCCAATTCGCACCGGTTATCCCTGCCGGAGCTGCAGGCGGAGGGTGCCGACGGGTTTATTCGGGTTCCCGCCTCGGGTGTTGATTGCCGGTCTATTTCACGCGTCAAACGGCCGTATATGGTGGAGAACGAGTCATGGCCTTACGGCATGGGCTGTTATCGAGTCGGGATATGGTCGGCATTGGACGGATGTGAGGGAGAGAAGGGGCTGGAAGCTCTGGAAGAGACACGGAACTTAGTGGATGTTGAGATAGAGCACGGAAAGCCGATGGCCGATCGGCTTTGAACCCTGGAGAGAATTGTTGGCGGTTCTCAAGCGGTTCTCGACGATTGTTTGCAGATGCAGCCTTCTGAGACTCTCTGATGGATGGTCAGTACAATTGTGGATAGCATGGTGTTTGCAATCATGAGTGTACAATGTGGAAGACCTTCGTACACGACTGGGGAATGAGCTCTGCCCCTTCCTCGCCCCGCGGTCAGGCCTGTTGGCGGGCCAATCTGTATGCTTTTGGCGACGAGGAATATGGTGGGAAGGTAAATTCAGGTCGCCAGGTATGAACTGTGCTTGTATGTATACTGGAATTTGACGTAATGTAGCTATGAATTGACCGACGGGGTGGATATTCTCAAACGAGACGGAATGAACTAGTAGAGCATTCGAGACTGGCCAAGGTGGAGCAGCAGACGTAGTTGTGCCAACAGACCAGGCGAGAGTTGAACGAGGAGTTGACGAGAAAAGGCGCTCCATTTTGGGAAACGAGTGTCGTCTTAATAAAACCGTTCGAGAAATCCGTGACATTTCGCGGCCAATTCGCGGCTACGTTCTGTCCTCGAAATGTCGACATTTCGTGGCCGAGTTGCCGGACACGCATTTTTGCAGTGAAATGTAGCGACGAAATGTAAATGTCGCGACGGAAGCAATTTTGTATGGGAAAACGGAGCGAAATGTATAGCTTTTTCGAGTTGCCGGACACTCACTCATCCGCAACTTGAAAACGACATTTGGTGTCCCGATCGCTGTGCGTTCTCACACCTCAGTCACGATGACCGAGGCGTTTAGTTGAGCCAACCATTGGGGCTTGGCGCATCTCCTGCAGATTGATACTGGATCTTGAGTCTGAAACCATGTGGATCTTTTTGAAAAGTAGCCTCTCTTCAGCCAGAAGTTCGGGAGGGAGGAGTAGCGGGAGAGAGGGTCGGTGGGACGTCGGTAACGGATGTCGTCTATGGAGAACTGAGCGGATATTACAGTACATGCATAGGTATATCTACTACTACATCCACCTCTCATGCTTTGGGGGCTTGTCAAAAGACCACCAAATCGGTATAAAATGATATGAGAAGAAAGAATTGCTGGATCGCAGGATACTTTCTACTTGGTAATGGTAAAATGATGATGATGTTTGTCGTAATGGTTGTAAAAAGTCCTTTCCTTCCCTTCCCCCGTCTATGCCTCCCTCATCTAATTCACCGAACTTTACACTTTCCCCTCAAGCTCGGAGCACCAAAAATGAAAATGAAAATGAAGATGAAAAGGCGAGAAAGCAGGGCGAGCTAGAGCATCTCAAACCACTCCATCTTCTTCACCTCCTTCTCTTCACTCCTCCTCTCCATCTCCTTTGGCCGCTTGTCCGCTATGATAGCTGCTTCGCCCGAAAGACGTTTGGGGTCGTTCGAGGTGTTGAGGGTGTTGGTGGAGATTGGGTGGGAGGAGCGGGAGAATGGAGAGGATGGTGAGGATGGTGAGGATGGTGAGGATGGTGAGGATGGTGAGGATGGTGAGGGTGGTGAGGGTGGTGAGGATGGGGAGGAAGGAATGAGGGAGAGTTGGGTAGCTGGAAGTGGGGTGCCTTCTTCTTCTTCTTCTTCTTCTTCTTCATCATCTTCTACGTCGACGTCTATTCCCGCTCGGCCCTCTGGTCGGGTGTCAAATTCAAGCGCGTCGTTACCATGAGCGATAGAAGAGGACGAAGAAGCGCAAGACGGCTGTTTCTCGTACCCTTCTTCGATCGGGTCACAAGCATTTGATTGAGAGTGTGTTTGGTCTTGGGAATGGGAATGAGAGCGGGAGTGGGAATTTGAGTGAGAGTTGGAGTTGGAATGTGAAGACCAAGAAGGCGCCAATAACGGATCCCCACTCCCTCCCCAAGTACTCCCACTCCCCTCCCCGGAGCCGCTCCCCTCCCCACAGCCAGAGCCTCCGAGCCCACTCCCACTCAGAGGCCGCCGAGGGCGAGGATGGGGTCCCCAGAAATCTTCTTCTTTCTCGTATACGTAGGGCATCGGCGAATTTACTATCCCTCTTCCCGCGCCCATCCCCAGCCTAGACCCAGCGCCGGGAGACGAAAGGAGAGAAGATCCCCCGCCCCAAAAAGCGGTATCCGAAAACGAGTGCGTCTTCCCCACCGTCAGACTCTTCTTCGGTACGCTCGGTAACGTGAATGCTGGGTGGTAGAGCGGATGACCTTTCGGTAACACCACCATATCCCTCTCTTTGCCCTTTTCCTTTTCCTTTTCTTTTTCTTTCTCTCTGAGGCGTTTATTATTGGAAGATTCGCTGGTGCTGGCGGAAGGAGGAATGAGGTTGAGTGGTTCATAAAGCCCAAGCGGATAGGAAAAGGTCGTAGAAGAGTTGGGGGAGGGGGAAGGGAAGGAAAAGAGGGAGGATGGGGTGGGGTAGGAGGCGGAGGCGGAGTAAGCGGGGGAGTGGAGGAGGGGGATGATACTGCGTTCACTTGGACGACGGTGGTATTCGTCTGATGCCTGGATCATGATTGTCAGCTTTATTTCAGACTCCACAAAGAAAGAAGGGGTGGGAGAGGGAGAGAAGGGGACGTACGTTGATATAGGGACCATGCCACGAACTACCCCTCCTCTCCCCGCCCCCACTCCCACTCCCAATTCCTCTTCCTCCCCCTGCTCCTGCACGCTCTTCATCATCACCTCTCCCTCTGTCGCCGTCAGAATCGGCAGATCGCCGCAGTCGGGAAGACAAATCAAACCACGACTTCGTCCTTCTCCCCCCACCTCCACCGCCACCGCCGCCTCCCATTCCTACTCCAGAGCCGGTGGTGCCGGATCTTGCGCCAGAAAGAGTTGGGGTAAGAGGCAAGCTCGAACCCGAAGCGAAGGCATAGCGCATGCTGGGGTATCTCTCTTTCTCGGCATCAGCCCTGTCCCTCTCAGCCACCCCTGCTCCGACCCCTGGGCCTGCGCGCCGTCGGGTAGCGCCTAGAGTCAAAGTCGAGCTTGACCTTCCTTTCGGCGAAACCGGGCTCCTTCCCTCCTCTCTTCCCTCTCTTCCATAAGGATAAGGATAAGGATGCCCCCCACCGCGGCTTCTTGGCGTATGCGGACTTTGCGGACTTTTAGGGCTTCGTGGGGAGCGGGAAGAAGGCGAAGGGGGAAAGTCGAGGATGGTGGGGAGGGAGAAGACGTGGTGTGGTTGGTTTGCGCGTTGGGCGGAGGAGTGGGGGAGAGCGAGGGAGAGGATTAGTGTTATGTTGTATACTTTTGGTAGCTACCCTTTATCAGCATTTTTCGTGGTATAAGCAGGAGAGAAGAGTGGAGATGGAGAGATGGAGGAAGCAGAAAGGAAGCAGGAAGGAAAGATGAAGGAGGGGCAGGGCGCTTACGATGGTGATGGGGAGGTAACAGAAAGAGTTGTGCGATGAGTAACGATAGAGGAGGAGGGATATGGCTTGGAGGGCTGTTACGGCTATACCGCCGTTACAAGTGACCAACTGCTCGCGTCAGCCTTCCACCGTTGCTACATACCTCGCGACGAGCGATGAAGACGTACAATAAGCCTGGTGACGACTTCACGCATGACCCCGCCTTCCATACCCAACTTGCTCCTCGCCCACCATAGTTCCATGCATAGCACGCCAGAGAGGCAGCCGTCTAAGCCGGTGCTTGTGCCGAGCCAGATCACCTCGACGATATGGAACAGCCGCCCGACTTTATGCTGGGGGCTCAAAAGTTTCCAGAGCATCCCCACGCGATACGTCAACACGCTCGTGATCGTCCCCGACACAAAGCTCATCCCTATCGCCGCTAGCATCAGCCCCGCAAAGAGCGTCTTGGAGACGGGATGGGCCAGGCGTGGCCAGAGGTGGGAGAGGGAGGTGAGGAAGAGGATGGAGCGGCGGAGGAGGAAGAGCTGGGTGATGGTGGTGGGCATGAGCCCGAGGAAGGGGGAGATGAAGAAGAGGGGGGTGGATGTGGTGACGGCGCCAATGTTCGTAAAGTTTTCAACAAACATCTATAACGCGTCCGGTCAGTTCTTCCTAATCTTTTGCCGGGGAGGAGACGCGTCTTACATTCCAGCCACGGGCGAGGTCGACGAGGGTCTGGGCGAGGTTGCACAAGAGACAGAAGGAGACGAGGCAGGCGGAGCATTTGAGGTCAGAGTCGGCGGGGGCTCTGGGGCGGGTACGGATGGCGATGAGGTAGTTGAGGGAGAGGACGAGGACGACGCCCATGCCGAAGGACTCGAGGCAGAAGCCGAGGAAGAAGGGGCCCACTGGGGGGTGTCAGCGGTGTCCCTCATGTGCAGGCGACGTACGGGCGAGGGCGGGGTCGAACTCGTCGCGGGGGGCTTCATGGCCCATCGTCCATGCTGAATAGAGAAAAGATGGAGACGATGAAAAAGCGACCAGCGTGGGTGCGTGTCTGTGCGCGATCAGTCCCTGAATCCACACCTCCTTTCCCCGGACCAAACATCGATCAACCCGAGGCGGACATCCCCGCTGTTGACACGCACACGAGCCGGCATACTGGTTTTAGTGATGATGCTGGCGAATGACATGTCGGTGGCTGGTATGGTGTGAGGATCTTTCAGTTGACCAATGGTCATGACCAGCACGCTATGTGCTCTGGTTTGTAAATGACAATGCCAAGCCCGGACAAAGGGAAGCATATTTATAACCGGGCTTCGGGGACGGGCGTTGGGAGAGCGTACATTTGGGAGGCGACTGCACAACGAAACATTCAAACGAAACATTCAGAAAAAAGCGGGTATGTATGTACTAGCGGTTTTCATCATGCGCATGTACCATATAGCACGCTGCTATAAGATATTTAACAGGCGATCAATGACACTAGACTCTCACTCCTTCAACTCGTTGTTCACCTTTTTGTCGAAGGTCGAGTCCTAGTCGTCCGTTCCAACTCCCCATCCGGTCCTACCAGGTAGAACTCGTTTCTGAACTGAGAAGGATGGTCCGAAGGCAGAGATTCCAAAGTAACGTGCCCAGGCCCATCGGGGTTTCGGACGTACACGGAACATACGTTGTAGCCTTCGATCTGCATCTGCGAGAAGCGAGATGCAGCAGGGGACGATTGGGCATCTTCTTGGTCCTACTGAGAGGGGGCGGTGTTGCTGGCTTTGCTTTGGTCTTCAGACATGTTTGGGATTCGAGATTAGTTGGTGTTGTAGGACGTGGGGTTATGTATTTTGGGCTAGGCAGGGTATGATGTTGTTGAAACATGCACCTCTGTGGGTACTAAGGATTTGAACCCTTTCCCTTGTATATGAGGTGCATGGACAATTTGAAGAAAGGGCTCTACGCTTTACATACTATTTCTGCATGACCACAACAAGACGATACACTCCCAGAATACTCAAACGTTTGCCAAAATAGAGATTTATATATTTCGCACTTGTCTCACGTTCCTTTCTCATTCATCAACATGTTGGCCAAGTCCATTCATGAGCCCAAATCGTCAAATGTGCCAGTCATGCTCTCCCTTCGGGGTTTTACAGCGGACTCAGTATCAGTGAAAAAGTATCCGTTCTACTCTGCTTTTTCCCAAATACAAGGTCCGGCATTATTGGTACTGGTAATGTTGCTGGCCAAGGACATGCCGGTGGTATGGTTTGAGGATAGACCAGTTTGGGAAAAGCCCGGACAAAGGGAGGCACATTGTGACCGGGCTTTGGGGATGGGCTTTGGGAGAGCATACATCTGGGAGGCGGCAGCAGAGACATCTAGAAAAACAGTGGGTACGTATGTAATAGCGTTTTTCAACATGTGCATACACTATATATCACGCTGCTATGAGATATCCGATAGGCGATCAACAGCACTAGACCCTCACTGCTCCAACTGGTCTTCACCTTCTTCTCGTCAAAGATCAACCCCTAGTCGCCCGTGATAGCTTTCCATCCGGTCCTGCCAGGTAAAACTCGTGTCCGAAACGAGAAGCATGGTCCCAAGGCAGAGATTCCAATTCAACGTGCCCAGGCCCATCGGGGTTTCCGACGTACACGGAAGATACGTTGTAGCCTGTGATTGCAGAGTAGTGAGATGCAGGAAAGGACGATTGTGCATCTGCTTGGCCCTGATGAGAGGGGGCGGTGTTGCTGGCTTTGCTTTGGTCCTCAGACATGTTTGGGATTCGAGGTTGGATGGTGTTGTAGGACGTGGGGCTGACAAAACGTGATGTATATATACCAGTATAGGCTAGGCAGGGTATGATGGTGTTGAAACATGCACATCTGTGGGTACTAAGGATTTGAACCCTTACCATTGAACATGAGGAGCATGAACAATTTCAATAAAGGGCTCTACGCTTTACATACTATCCCTATACATGACTACAACAAGACGATACACTCCCAGAATACTCAAATGTTCGCCAAAATAGAAATATTTACTTTGTTTTGTACTTGCCTTATCTTCCTTTCTCAGTCATCGTCCACCTCGGTCAGCTATGCCCCCGGCAAATTGAAATCATATGGTTCATGATGTACCGTCTGCAAGGCTAATGCTATCAGTCGTAGAAGCTGCGAGCATTGGGGGGTGAATTGATCCTAAGGTCGTCGACGACGCGGGGGCTCATTTACCGTTGAGAGTTTCCGCTTCGACATCTTTGTTTCAATTGTGATCATTGTCGTTGACAATGACAAGCACCTTACGGCTGTATCTTTGTGGCATTCGAGACGCAATTGATAGAAGAGACCACAGTCCACCGAAGATCGAAGAGGCTCGGCCTTCCGTGCTCGGGACCGGACCGGTCGGGAACTTCTTCTTCTGTGACTATCGCATGTCCGTCTTTCGCGCTTCATACGGCCCTTGACAATCGAACGATGCCCGAATGTGTTTTCGGTAGGCCACCAGACCATGTATGACAGGCTTGCTTTGCTGCAGAATGATTACCCGAAAGTACGCTAAAAACGCAAACAACATCAATGTTTTGCATGTGACGCGCAAATGGCCGGGCGATTGATACACCGGCGTTCTTTCACCATTCTTCATTCACTCCTTCATTTGAGTGTGCAATCGCGGTGTAGATGCGGCAGGTACGGACTCTACTCATAACCAGAGTGGTCTTGGGGATCATGTGCGTCATCGTCGAGGCCGGGTCCATCGAAGTGAGTATAAAGATAATACCCCAGTCGCTGGCTGTCCGTTGAGATGCTATCACCATGATCCCCATAGTTTACCTGTCAGCGATACTTCTCCATCTCTCGGCTGCATCTGCAGCTGTAGTCCCCCGACAAGATTCGGCCAAGGCGACGACGTTTGACATCACCTCGGGTGACAAGGCGAAAGTCAAGGATGCTGCTCCAGTCGCTATATCGTGAGTAACCTTCCTATTTCGCTTTCATTTGAAAGTGCGAGGCATGACTGTTGACTGTCGAGCTGACGAGTATGCAGTATTGAGTTCTTCGCATTCCCCGAATACGTACAAGTCCTCGGTAACACGGCGCAATGCTTGAAGAACCTCGGAGATGCCGCCGGTGCCGCTACGAGGATCCGCATTGGCGGTACCACCCAGTACTTTCTATGCTTTACACCGCCGCTGTCGGCTGATATATGGACACACAGAGATCGAGCTACATACGACCCCTCGTTGACCTCTGCCGTCACGTACTCTGTCGATGACCCCGCCGACGCGCCCGCGAACCTCACTTACGGGCCTGCTTTCTTCGAGCTTGCGTCGCAACTTTCCGGCCCGACGACTATCGGATTGAACAGGCGTTTGAACGATATCAACAACACCATCTCAGCAGCGCAGGAGGCAGTCGAACAAATGGAGAACCTTTTTGCTATCGAGCTGGGGAATGAGCCCGACCGTATGTTTTCTGATCTGCATGTTCTGAACGCGACGTCACTGACATTATTACTCCAGTGTACACGGATGACGACCCCATCGCAGACAACCAAACCTGGTCACCCTCCCTCGATGCCCAAATTCAAGTCAACTGGCAGAGTCAAATCTCAACAGCTCTCAACAGAACCGCCATTATCCAAGCTGGCGTCTTCCTCCAGCCTCCAGCTTTCTCCATCGCCGAGCTCGGTCCTCTCGAGCAGTCCTCTGGCTCTCTGGAATACGTGAGATCTTGGGCAGACCACGCTTATCCTCAGTCGGCTTGCGGAGACTCGACTACCGACTTGGAGAGTCTTCAGAATCACTCGAGTATTGTGGAGTTTGTCATGACGTTCCAAGGGGAGGTTGATGCGGCGGACGAGTTGGGAGAGGAGAGACCGCTAGTATTTGGGGAGACGAATTCGGCGACTTGTGGTGGGGGTGGGATATCGGCGACGTATGGCGCAGGGCTCTGGATTGTGGATTATGTTCTGCAGAGTGTCAAACTCGGGTATGAGCGCTTGTACTTTCACCATGGTATGTCTGTCTTTTTCTTCATCGCCGACAATGCTGACGAGTAATAAGGTACGATCGGCAATAGCCCATACTCGTGGTGGGGTCGCGATCAAGTCTTCTCGCCATACTATGGTGCGCCCTTTATCGTTTACGAGACCTTTCGCTGACCTTTGCGGTAGGAGCCATCTTTGCCGCTTCCGCGTTGAACGACGCAGCCTACATAACCCAGCTCGACTCGTCCACATCTCATTTCGCTATCTACACGTTTCACTCTTCCAACGATGCCCTCCTTCGCGCGGTGATACTCAACACCCAATACTACCCCAACACGACCACTTCCGCTAGGCCTTCGGAGACTGTCGTCCTCACCGGTCTGGAAGATGGAGAAAGTGGGAAGGTGAAAGGAAAGAGGCTGACAGCGCCATGGTCGACTTCGCAAGTGGAATTTGGGGAGAGTCCTACGTTCGGGGGGCAGAGTTTCAATGGGGAGAGCTGTGAGGCGGAGGGCGAGGAGGTTTGGGAAGAGATGGATGTGGCGGGCGGGGAGGTCAAAATTGAGGTGGCGGCTTCAGAAGCGGTTCTTGTATATTTCTGATCTTTGTGTTCTTCTCTGAAAATAGTTGAAGTGTAATATCGGACGTTATAAACCATGTGATGCATCTTATAGGTCAACATCTTGCGCCAGAGTTTTTTGTATCCGACGTCGGTCATCACGAGTGTGAAAAAAACGGCTGTGAGTGTCGGTCCTTCGTGAGCTACGGCCATCAGTCGGCACTGTACTCGCGTAGCGACCACAACTTCACCACATGGTACGTTATCTGGCATGGTTTGGCTACTCTGTAGAGTGCTTCCGAGTAGTCGAAATGCCCGATTTCAGGTCTCATAACCTCACTCTGTCCCCACTTTCACTCATCGCTCGAATCCACCCAATCCAGCCCCCACCTTCCCCCAAGCCCTTCGTTCCTCCTTTACAATTTCCGTCAAACTCTTTTTCACGCCCTCGTCAGCGACGTTGAAGCTCAGCTCCACTCGCTCTCCCTTTTCTTCTCCTTCTCGAGAGTTGGCCCTGAAGACGCGGAGGAAGTTTGGGAGGGAGATGAATGTGTGGAAAGCGACTTGGTGGGCGGAGAACCCAAAGGAGACTTGCCAGTCCATTATGTTCTCCATGTCCACTCTGCGCATAACTTGAGAAGAAAAGAGAGGAGAGGAGAGATGGAGAGGTGAGGGTCGATAACTTACCGCAAGTTGGAGTTAATACTGACTTCACCATCATTAGGCAAAAGATCATACCCCTTCCCTTCAATCGCTGCTTGTCTCATCTGATATGCACCCGCAGAGATCCAGCGGAGTGTTTCGTCGGGCGAAGCTCGGAGTCTGGCAAGACCTTCTCGGATAGTCTTTGCCACCTCCGCAGGGGTCGCGGGGGTGGAACAAAGGGAGGAAGAGGAGGGGATGGGGATGTGGAATGGCATGACGGCGTGCATTGCGAGAGAGGGGAGTATGGGGGGGAAGAGGGGTGGGATGGGGAGAAGTTGCGGTACTGTATCACATCAGCCACTACTCCAACAAGTAAGTGTTTGAAGGTGTGGGCTTACGTTACAAGCGTACATCACCCTATGCACATCAACGCCCACCTTCTTCAGCAAGGTAATCCACCAAGCCGACAATGCATCCTGCTCCGACAACTTGACCGCGATGTCTTGTTGGTACTTTTCTCGCAAGAAGGCGAGCTCCGATCGGTGCAGTTCTATGATGACGGGGACGGACTGGGCGGCGGCGGCGATAACGTCGCTGACGATCCCAGATAAGTCATGGCGGTGGCCCTTACGCTCAACGAGGAGGTTCCAGATAGGGTCGTAAGGGAGCAAAAGACCAACATGCGGGAAGAACGTCGGAAGCACACACCCCGCGAGCTCGTACATCTTCTCCCTCGCAGCCTCGCCGTGCGTGTAGAAAGCATCGAGAATCTTCAACAGCTGGCGTTTCACTTCTCCATCGATCAGATGACTTGCCTGTAGGCCCAAGAAAGAGTTGCCGCTGGGGAGGAGGGTTGTAAGGCGAATCGCAAAGATGTGGGCGTCGGGATGGTTGGGGAGGTGGTAGTTCTCGCCGAGAGGGGGGAGAAAAACGCCGGGGGAGGGCTGAACGACGTGGGTGGTGGGGAAGGGTTGGGCGAGCGTGAGGGTTTGGGTCTCGAATGGGATGGGGGATGCGGTGAGTTTGATATATGTTGGAATCAGCACAGACCCCTTCTGGAGAGATGGATGGTGAAACTCACGGCAAACTCGTACTCTTCTCCAACCTTGCTCATTTCATACCGCCCAGCCAAGGTGGGCCACACACCCGACAAAAGCTGTACCGCGTTCTTCAACCTTTCTTCATCTAGAGCCCCGTCAAAGCAGAGGGCAGTCTGGACGACATTCATGGGTATGAGGGAGGCATCTGCGAGGGGTACGGAATCTGTGCTGGGGGGGAGGTTGGGGGTGTTGATGGGGGAGCAGGGGATGTAGGTTGTTTTAAGATCCATGGCCGCAACGTGGGAGATGAGGGAAAGAGAGGAGTGGATGTTGAGATGCCGACCCTTATTATATATCTATCTGGAAGACGACATTATGTAATGCAGTGTGTTTACATCTGCCTCCACCACCCATCCAGCTGAGAGTGACGAGATGGCTGGCGGCCAACTGGCGGCGCTGGTGCAGGTCACTCTTGGGCTGGCGGCGCGTCCACTCGAACGACCATCTCTTGGTTTCATGCTACACTGTGAGTGGCAAAGACTGAAGAAAAGGCCATCATGCCAGAGCAGCTCGTCAGCATCAGCATCAGCGCCAGTGTCAGCAGCGTCGGCGGAGATACCCGCCACGTTGAATGATCGATGACAAGTGTGGAAGAAGTCTGCTTTTCCGAAAAGAGGTCATACATTGCCTTCTGTAGACCTATATACATTCATACCCTCTGTTCTTGTATCTATGTAACAATGTAGCCAAAATCCGTTCTCCACGGCAGGCACCCTGCACCCTGCCCACTGCTCCCAGCTCACTCCTTATTGATATCCCCCTTGATACCAGCTTCATCAATAGCCCTAACATCTTCATCCGTGAGCGTTATGTCCCCGACGGCGAGGTATGATTCTAGCCGGGTTTTCTTGGAGGACGAGGTGACGACGACAGCCCTATCTCATCATGTCAGCAGACTGAATAAGGAGACGAGGCAAAGTGCAAGGAAGAGCGCAGAGGGAGGGATGGAGGAGAAGAACATACCCCTTAACTTTCGACCATCCCAACAGAACCTGTCCCGGCGTCTTTTGAAGCCTCCCCGCAATCGCTTCCAACACCCTGTCCAAAGGCCCACCCTTCTTGCTCGTGATAGGCACCAAACTGGAATACCCCTCCGCGACTATATTCTTCTCTCCAAGGTAAGCGAGGAGAGGACCTTGCGTGGAGATGACGTAGGGGTGGAGGAGGATTTGGTTGACTGCGGGGGGATGGTGGCTGAGGCGAGGGTTTGTTCGAGCTGTTCCTTCGTGTAGCTACGCTCTTATCAGTGCCCTTACTGCAGAAAAGAGGAAGAGGAGGGGTGCAGAGACGTACTTTGAGACCCCGATAGACCTCGCCAGCCCCTCCTCTTTCAAAGCTTCAAACTCCCTCCACACCCCCTCAAAATCGCCCTTCACCAAAAACGGCTGATGCACCAAGTAGAGGTCGACATAGTCGAGCCCGAGGTTCTGGAGGGAGAGGAGGAGGGATTGACGCGGGGTGCGGTTGGAGATGTTGAACCATTTTGTTGTTATGTAGATGTCTTTGCGTTTGAGGGAGGAGGTGGGGGAGGAGAGGGTGGAGGAGAGGGTGGAGGAGAGGGTGGAGGAGAGGGTGGAGGAGAGGGCTTGGCCGACTTCGGCTTCGTTCCCATAGACTACGCACTTTGATCAGTGGATGAAGAAGGGTGGTGGAGAAAGAAGAGAGGGGAGAGGGAGGGAGCGTACTTTCAGCAGTATCAATATGCCTAAATCCCGCTTCCAGCGCTTGGGTTACCTGAGCAGCGGTCACTTCGTTGGGTACTTTCCAGGTGCCAAAGCCGATGCCGGGGATGGAATGGCCATCGTTTAGGGCGACTTGGGTGAATGGCATTATTTTTCAATTAGATGGAGGGACAAGAGGGATGAGATGGGGGACGGGGGGGATGTAGGAGAGGGATGGGAGCGAGGGATGCATAGAATCAAGAAGATATAAGAGGATATAAGGGGATGTGCAAACAGAAATAGGTTGCGATCACAGCACATCACGCACCACTCGGCCAATTGTCGGCCACTTGGCAAAAGGCACGGCTAACCGTCGGACATTGCCGAGCCCGGAAAGCCGATGGCCTGCATGGCCATGATGGTACTAGAAAGTGTGGCAGAGGCAGAGAGATGGTTGAAATGGTGTGGTATGAGGAAACCCGAATGTGATGCTAGAGCATGACCGGATACCTGAAGAAGAGTATACAGCTTGTGCAGCTGTGATCTCTCCAAAGGGGCTTGTCCCCTATCAGCCTGAAACAAACTCGTTTTACCGTGCCGAGTCGAGTCTGCTATGGGAGTCTGTTACAACGAGATACATAGCCTGTTCTGTGTTCTTATTCTATTCAAAGCTCCTCACGAGAATCGACAGAGGACACCATTTCCCACATCTTTCCATATACTTTACTTTCATTTCAAAACTATCTCCCGCGCCTCTCCCCCAGACTCAAGCACTGAAAGCCTTGAACAAGACCCAAAATCCGATATACACCGGCACAGCCCACTTGCTAGCTTTCACCAATCTCTCCTTCCTCTCATCCCAGAGCTGGCCCTTGATACCGGCCTTGTCGATGGCGTGCACGTCGTCGGGGGAGAGGGTGATGTCGCCTACGTCGAGGTATGATTCTAGCCTTTCCTTCTTTGATGAGGTTGTCACGATTACGGCACTACATATTCAGTTAGCTCAGGTATCTAACAAGAGGGGGGACGGGAAGATAAAGAGGAGGGGAAGGACGTGCCCCTTAGCTTTCGACCAAGCCAAAAGCACCTGTTCCGGCTTCTTCCCCAACCTCTCCGCAATCTCCCCCACAGGCTTGTCCACCGGCCCCCCAGGCTTGGAAGTGAGAGGGATAAGGGAAGAGTAGCCTTCGGGGATGATGTTTTGTTGGGAGAGGTAGGAGAGGAGGGGACCTTGGGTGGAGATGACGTAGGGGTGGAGGAGGATTTGGTTCACGACTGGTTTTATGGTGGCGTGGGTGAGGAGTTCCTGGAGGTCTTCTTTTGTAAAGCTGCCCCTAGTCAACCACCATGCTTTTGGAAAAGGAGGAAGGGGGGGAAGAGAGACGTACTTGGAAACCCCGATAGACTTGACAAACCCCTCCTTCTTCAGCCCCTCAAACTCCTTCCACGTTCCCCTGATATCCCCCTTCGTCAACCTCGGGTGATGGATGAGGTAAAGGTCGAGGTATTCCAGCCCGAGTTTTTCGAGGGATTCAAGGATGGATTGACGGGGAGATTTGTTGTCTACGCCAGACCATTTGGTCGTCACCCAGATATCTTTGCGGGAGAGACCGCTTTCTTTGATGGCTTGGCCGACTTCGGTCTCGTTGCCGTATACTATAGCTTCTCGTCAAAACGCTAAGAAGTAATGGAGTGATAAGAGTGAAGGGGAAGGGGAAGGGGCGTACTCTGGGCAGTATCGATATGGTCGAACCCAATATCGATAGCCTGATCCACCTCGCCCGCTGTGACGTCGTTGGGCACTTTCCAGGTGCCAAAGCCGATAGCAGGGATCTTGCGGCCGTCGTTCAGGGTGACTTCTGTGAACGGCATGGTTATACACAGTACGTTTCAGAGATGGAGGAAGAAGGGAAGGGAAATAGAGGATATAAGCCGAGCATGGGATGGGTGCGACAGATCGCGTCTTTCGCCTTCGGGTGAGAAGCAGGCACGGGTCGGTGATGGCCGAAGGGGACGGGGAAAGCCGATGCATCAGAGCTCGTCACATCTCTCCTCTCTCTTCTTCTCTGTACCAAGCAAGATGGAGTCGTTCGTGGACGTGCTCACCACAGTATTCCAGGCCGTGCTGGCTGTCAATGTCGTGTTTCTTGTGGGATATGCGTATAATGGCAGACATGTGCCGGCGCTCAGCAAGGTATGTCTCGTACCATAGTGCGAATCGTGATCTGGAGCTGACTCGAAGTAGAATCTGTCAAACATCAATAAAGACTTGCTCCTGCCCCTCTTGCTCCTCACAGGACTAGCCGCGTCTTCCACTCTGACATGGAAGACCCTCCTCCAGTGTACGTCACGCCGCCCAAACAAGCGTACAAGCTGACTGGTCTAGCAGCCTGGCCCCTGGCGATCATCGCCCTCACCACCCACATAGCCTCGTTAGCCGTCTCTATAGGTATCCACAACTACTTCAAAACGCCAGAATGGACTGTTGAGGCTTTGACATACAACAAGTACGTGCCCTTTTTCTCTCATGGCTCCTTTCATGGCGAGCTGACTTTTGGATGGTAAAGTGTATCATCGTACCCACTGCTGGTGCTTTGGGCGTTATACAAAGTTTCGCCGGAGGGGGGGTTGAGTCATCTTCATTGGAGGATTAGGGATACGAATCTGCATGTCTTGGAGCGGGCGTCTTTGTATATCTTAGTTAATATCTTGATTACGAATGTGTTCAGGCGAGTCCCATCCCTCTCACATCTTTGCTGTTGTGCCGTCGCTGATTTGGTTGGTAGGAACCTTCTGAAACCTGTCGTATCCCGCTACACCTCCCCACCTCTCATAGACGAACCAGCAGACCGTTACATACCCCTCCCGGCCGGAGAACCTACAGAGCAAGAAGAAGCCACCGAACGCACCTCTCTCCTCTCCCACCCTCCCCCCTCCCCTTCCCCCTCCACCTCGTCGGAGACAGGCCCCAAAACATCTTTGAAGCTCATCCTCCGCTCGCCAATCGTCCTCGCTGCGGTGGTGGGGTTGGTAGTGGGGCTTGTGAAGCCTTTGCAGCGTGGCATCATTGGGGTCGGCGCGGGAGGAGCTGGGGAAGGGGACGGGACGTGGTTGTGGCTCGGGATCGGCAGCGGTCTCGTCGCTTTGGGCCAGTTTTATCCCCTTTTTGATGTATTCACTTCTGGCGTGACCGTTCGAGCTGGGCATCAAGTTTCGTAAGTCACCCCCACCCCCTCACTCCCTTCGCGAAATATTTTACAAATGCTGACTTATGCTCGGGTGGACAGGTCGGAGGAAGAACCGGTCCCGCCGACGTTGGGGACGGTGCTCATACTTTCGGCTTGGAGGTATGCTGCGATACCTGCTATTACGCTGCCGATCGTGAAAGGGTTGAGGCATATTCCTTCGACGAAAGTGTTTTTGCAGGATCCCGCTTTCGTACGTCTCCCCTCTCTCTCTTTCTCCGATCCTCCTCAAGAAGATGGGTGGCTGATTGAATGCATAAAGTCATTCGTGTTAGCACTAACAGTCATCACCCCACCCCTCATCCCCTACCCCTCCCCCCTGACCCCATTCAAATCCTCCTCCCTCCTCCACACCACCCTAACATCCCTCCTCTCCTCCCTCCCCCTCACCCTCGCCCTCGCCATCCCCGCCCACGGCATCTCCTACGACCTCAACTTTGACCTCCTCTCCGCTCTCAAGTCTGCTGCGGGCGGGGGGGTGGCGGGCGCAGCGGCGATGGTGGTGCAGGTGTTGACGCTGATGCCGATGAGGACTGTTATGAATTATCAGTATAGGTTTGGCGGGGGGGTCAAGCATGCTACGAAGACGCTTTATGCAGATGGGGGGCTTAAGAGGTATTATGCGGGGCTGGCGGCTGCTTTGTGAGTACCCATTCTTCCTTTGCGCTTTGCCGCCCAGATCCAGAGGGACAGCGAGAGATGAAGAGGAAGGAAAGAAGAAAGAGAAGAAGAGAAGAAGAGAATGTTGACAGAAGTACAGATTCCAAGGCCCCCTCTCCCGCTTCGGCGATACAGCAGCCAACGCCGGCATCCTCGCCCTCCTCTCCACCCTCCCCTGGCCCATCCTCCTCAAAACCATCGCCGCCTCCCTCGCCTCCGCCTGCTTCCGTATGCTCCTAACGCCGATCGATACGATCAAGACGACACAGCAGACTCAAGGGGGGAAGGCAGGGTGGGGACTGGTCAGGGAGAGGGTAAGGGAGAGGGGGGTGGGGAGTTTGTGGTGGGGCGCTGGGGCTACGGCTGCTGCTACTTTTGTTGGGCATTGTGAGTTCATCCTTCTTCTCCTTCTTACCTTGCGCCAAGAAAATGTGAGAAGAGCTGATAAGAGTTAGATCCCTGGTTCGGCACCTACAACTACCTATCCGCCCACCTCCCCCTCCCCACCACCCTCCCCCAAAAACTGATCCGTCAAGCCTTCATAGGCTTCTCCGCCTCCGTTGTATCCGACACCTCCTCCAACTCTCTCCGCGTCCTCAAAACGTATCGCCAAACACACCCAGGGGATGTGGGGTATGTGCAAGCGGCGCGGGAGGTGGTGGCAGCTGAAGGGGTGTGGGGGTTGTTGGGGAGAGGGCTGGGGGTGAGGTTGGGGACGAATGGGTTGCAGGGGTTGTTGTTTAGTGTGCTTTGGAAGCTGTTTGCGGATATGTGCGTTTTTTTCTTTCCTTTCTTCTTTTGTTGGTCTCATGGGGAGAGGGTGCTGACGAGGGATTAGTATTGCTGGGAATGGAAAGTGAGCGTGGGGTGTTTCGTCCTCGCGCGAGGGATGGACAGAATGAAAAGGGGTCGTGGAAGGTTTGAGTTGCCGGACGCGGAGTGTTTCAAGTGTCTCACGTCTACCAACAAAAAATTGAGAGAGTATAGAATAGAATGCATGGAATAGATTGTTGGAGACGCACCCTCATTTCATTCCCTGGGGAGAGGATGGAAATACAATTCGCGCATTGGGTGGATTGCATCTGACGTATGTGAGACTGCCAAAACGAACTGAGAATTAAAGCTGACGTTTCAAACATAAGAAGGAGGGTCGACATTGCGTCTAGAACCGAGCAGAGCCACATACGCCGCCCGAGCCGCATCACCTGCATTCATCCTCTGCTGAAGTTCCTCGAGCAAATTGTCACCATTCGCCCTCCGCTGCAGCTCTTGGAGTAGTGCTAGACGTACGTCAGCCTCGTCTTTTACCGTTGAAGATGCAAGGAGCTAGCTTACCATCCATGGAGAGTGTGGAAGGATTTGCAGGCGCCGCTACTGTAACAACACGAGGGATGGTGGATCTGGGCGGGATGTTGTCTGTTAGGGGGAGGTCGGCAGTTTGTTTGAGCTCAGATATATCTTGTGGTTTCAAGATATCTTGGACGGCCTTGATGCCCCACGATTGGAAGTGTTTCTTGTGCCATGCCCATCGCCGTTTGGCACCTTGCCCATCTACTTTGCCACGCAGATGGCTGTTTGGGTCGTAGGCGGCGTAAGTCCAGAGGAGAGTCACCAGGATGAGATGCACCCCAGCAATGGCCCAGCCGAGTCCACTACTTTCAGAGAGATCGTCGAGTTTATCGAGCATACCAAGGGCGAGGCACATAAGGTACCCACAGAAGAAAAAGTACGCTGCCCAAAAATTTGCAAAATCTTTTGAATACCGATCGTGGGCAAAGATGAGAATTGACGGAGGTATCGGGGAAAACGGGGGAGGATGGATAGTATCATCTGAGATAGTGTCATTGATGTGACCTGCGTTGAGGGGCTATGGTAGACTTACCATCAAGGAAGTTGAGGATCGAGAGATCATGGTACTCGACATTACCAGCAAGGCGTAATCTCATTTGTTTCCCAACAAGCTCGACATTCTTCAATGCTGCTGCTTTTGTGACATAGTAGAGTGTCCCAGGTATGAGGGCGAAACAGGTCCACACAATGAAAATACCCCACATCCAACCATTATGGCAGGCCAACGACACGATCTCAGGAATAATGCAGTATACAGTCAGGATGGCGTGGATGACGGGATAGCGAGATCGCCAAGTGTTCGTGTATGCCGCTTGGGCATCGACCCATTGATCGATCATTTGATTGTAGGTAGTCACGGGAGAGCATGGCTGGGAGGGACTTTGACTGGTAGAGGCGGGACGAGGATTGGAAGTAAGGGGTGGGACCTGAGCAAGTGCGTGATAGTTGCCAGTATCTTGTTGGTTCTTGCTGCCCGATGACTCGAGGGTGATCGCAGCTGGTTGAACATGAGAGGCGACTCCTAAAAATGCATTATGTACTCACGTTTGGCGCCTTCTCCAAGACCATCTTCTTTCGTCTTCAAATGCGTGTCTGCCGATTCACCACTCAACAGACTCTGTTCTTCTCCTGTTTTCTGCTTTTTCGATGGGGTGCTGGACATTTCAGAAGAGAGTGATTTGATAGATGTATTGGTCGCAAGTAAAATGCGGAAGGGACTTACAATGTACGAGGATTGACTGAGTGGCTTCCCGCTCGTTCTGTCATTGTTGTGGCAGTCGCGGCAATACCCGCCATGCGCTCATGTCCTCTTGCATCTGATCTTCGGACACTTTCCAGGGGGTGGGAGCAGCTACCAGTGATGGTGATGATACCAATGAGTTCCCATATGAGTCACTAATGCGAGCTGAGATCGTATGAACAAGATGCATTTGAATACAAGGAACTACAATCGCTGTTGTCTGTCAACACAAAAAGAGAAATAGAATGGCACCATACTTTCATTCTCCTCCACACCTGTTACCCTTCATCAGTACACTGCGGGAAGGTCTCTTTCACATCTGTTATAGGAGGAAAAGATTGAACGGCCAGTAGCAGTGATGTCTGGTCAGCAGTGAGCATGAAGAAGTCACCCCGAGTGCAAGGAGGTACTTAGATGGATAGTTTTTTCTCCAAGATCAAGATCGTCAGTGTTGAGAACTAAGGTATATGACTGGACAAGGACACGGTTGACGTACCTTCCCCGAAATCTGACTGGCAAGCGGAGAGAAGAGTACACCTTCGGACCTCCCGACGACGGTAAGAGAAGAATCATCTAGTCAACTTTCTCGTTGAAACATTGCACACTGGCATTGTATATGCATACAACTTATGATAGCATTCTTTGCTCTATCCTATCTCGTCAACTCTTGTGCTGGGAATCCTTTTCCCAGTCCTGAAAACACCATTCCTCAGCTAGAGATATTTTGGACTCATCCACAGTCTGGAGTTGTGCAAACTCGGTGAATTTCCTCGACACCGTGTCTGGATCAGTCATGGTGTCTCTGTCAATCTTGAACGGGGTCGCTTCCACGCAGAAAGCAAGGAACCCCCCCTCTGGAGTCATAGCTCCTGCTTGTACAGAAACTGCTTTCTTAAAGGTGTTCTTGTAGTCTTCATAGATACCGGCGGTCTCCATGCTATTGCGCGTCAGTTTTTCTTCGACCCACTCGTACTCGTCGGGATCTCCCGTGGAACACCCAACGGCAGACACGCCGCATCCTCTGCAAAGAAAGGTAGAATTCCCGTCTTCAAACGTCACTACCTGGACAACGGTTCCAGGGGTAAGGGGTTTTCCCGACCCGACCCATTCACCCACCGAACTTTTGGGTGCCGAGAGGTCAAGATGCCCGGGACAGTAGCACATGTGACCAGTGTAGGCGTTGCTCAAGTTTCCGTAGCGGCTGTTGGGCGGGAAAGTAGACAAGTCGAGCGACATGGTTGCTTGGAGAAGAAATTAAGATGATGTTAATCTAGCTTAGCTGTTGCAGGTATGCTTGAGCGACAGACGTGAAGGACACAATGCTGCTTGTATATAGATCTGTCGGTCTTCAGAGTCGTCAATAGAAGAGCTGTTTGAGAACTTACTCTGACTGTAGCCATACAACACCTTTATTACTTCTTTCAACCCCGACGCGACGGTGAACTCCCTGTGTGACATATTGCTTTCGATACCTTGCAAGCTCGACCACAAAAGGAAGGGTTTATTGTCTCTTGGAGTTCAGAGAGAGATCGCAGCGTACCAACATCTGTCGACACGGCTGTTGGATATGATACGCTGTTTCTCCTTCTTTCGCTCGCCGTCACACTGTACGAGTACTCTGTGGAACTTTTGGGATTTCTTCGGGTCTATTCTTGATGAAAGCATACTAAAAGATGACCGTTGGCTGTGCTCAACGCTCCTGCAATCATGCTTCCATCGTCTTCAGCTTACTCTTGCTGTTCGCCGCTCTCATGCTCACTGCTGTCGTATTCGCTGCCATCATATTCGCTTTCACTTGGCTGAAGAGCCTCCCATTCTTCCTTCCACGCCGTAGCTCTGCTTTGAGCGACCGACTCGAGGGTGAGGCTCCAAATGAACTGTCGGAAGTCCGTTATCAGAGTCTCACTTGTATTGGGGTCTCTGTCAAAATGAAACTCATCGTCACCCTCGATAATCGGATAGAACTGTCCAGTCGGATTTAACGCGCCAACGCGCACAGAACCGTCTCCACGAACGTTTTCTTATATTCCTCATATATGCCCTTAGTCTCCATAGCCCCGAAAGTGATATCACCTATTACTTGTTCCCTAGCTTCGCGCTCAAATTCTTTAGGGAACGATACGTATCCATTGCATAGAATCAAAGCTGACGTTTCAAACATAAGAAGGAGGGTCGACATTGCGTCTAGGACCGAGCAGAGCCACATACGCCGCCCGAGCCGCATCACCCGCATTCATCCTCTGCTGAAGTTCCTCGAGCAAATTGTCACCATTCGCCCTCCGCTGCAGCTCTTGGAGTAGGGCTAGACGTACGTCAGCCTCCTCTTTTCCCGTTACAAATTCAAGGAGCTTACCATCCATGGAGAGTGTGGAAGCATTTGCAGGTGCCGGTACTGTAACAACACGAGGGATGGTGGATCTGGCCGGGGTGTTGTCTATTAGGGGGAGGTCGGCAGTTTTTCTGAGCTTCGAGATATCTTCTGGTTTCAAGACATCTTGGACGGCCTTGGTGCCCCACGAATAAAAGTGTTTTTTGTGCCATGCCCATCGCCGTTTGGCACCTTGCCCATCTACTTTGCCACGCAGATGGCTGTATGGGTCGTAGGCGGCGTAAGTCCAGAGGAGAGTTATCAGGATGCCATGCACCCCAAAAATGGCCCAGGGGGCTGCACCACTTTCGTCGAGATCGTCGAGTATTTCGACCGAACCAAGGATGAGGCACATAAGGTACGGACAGAAGAAGAAGTACGCTACCCAAAAAATTGCAAAATCTTTTGAATACCAATCGTGGGCAAAGATGAGAATGGACGGAGGTATCGGGGAAAACGGGGGAGGATGGATAGTATTGTCTGAGATAGTGTCATTGACGTAATCTGCGTTGAGGGGCTTTGGTAGACTTACCATCAAGGAAGTTGAGGATCGAGAGATCATGGTACTCGACATTAGCAGCAAACCGTAATCTCATTTGTTCCCCAACAAGCTCGACATTCTTCAATGCTGCTGCTTTTGTGACTCGGGTGACATAGTAGAGTGTCCCAAACATGAAGGTGAGACAGATCCACACGATGAATATACCCCACATCCAACATCCATGGTAGGCCAACGACACGATCTCAGGAATAATGCACTCTACAGTCAGGATAGCGTAGGTGACGGGATACCGAGATCGCCAAGTGTCCGTGTATGCCGCTTGGGCATCGACCCATTGATCAGTCGTTTGATTGTAGGTAGTCAAGGGAGAGCATGGCTGGGAGGGGCTTAGACTTGTAGAGGCGGGACGAGGATTGGAAGTGAGGGGTGGGACCTGAGCAAGTGCGTTATACTTGCCAGTAACTTGTTGGATCTTGCTTCCAGATGACTCGGGGATATCTTGAGCTGAATGATCGTCAGTGGCGGCTCCCACATAGGTGCAATATGTATGTAGTCACATTCCGGCCGATCATCGTCGCTCGTCTTCAATTGGGTGTCCGCTGAGTTCCTGCTCAACAGACCTTCCTCTTCTTTTTCTGTTCCCTGCTCCTTTGATTTGGTGCTGACCATTTCGGAAGGAAGGGGGTTCGGTAGTGGTATAGGATTGGTGAGATGCAGACCGCGGAAAGGAATAGAAATGTACGAGGAATAAGTGAATGGATTCCCGCTTGTTACGTCACGGTAGAAGTCGCGGCAATGCCCATGCGCATATGTCCTCTTGCATCTGATCTCCTGAAACTTTCCAGGGGGTGGGAGCAGCTACTGGTGATCGTGATGATACCAATCACTTCCCATATGAGTCATGAACGCGAGCTGAGATCGTATGAACAAGATGCATTTGATATCAAGGAAATGCAACCGCTGTTGTCTGTCAACACAAAAAGAGAAATAGAATGGCACCAAACTTTCATTCTCCCCGAACACTCTCTCCTACAAAAAACCGCCGAAGATAACCGACCTGCTCTCCCGACAAAATCTCCTCCAGAGCCTTCACCCCTCCGACCCCCATATACTCCTTGTGCCAAGCCCATCTGTACCTCGCCCTTTCAATGTCTAGCCTTGTGGATGCGGAGGCACGGTTGTAGTAGACGAGATACCAGATCAGCGGCCCTATCATCGACAAGGCGCCAAAAAGGATGCGAAGCCGAAAGGTTGAAAGGAAAGTCCCGAACCCGCCTTCGTGGAACAGAACGCCGTTGAAGCCGGAGTAGAGGGCGAAGAGGTAGACGAGGGAGAAGATGAAGAGAGACATGCAGAAGCCGGGTATGGCGCCTTTTTCGTAGGGGAAAAGGAGGATGGAAGAGGGCATTGGTTGTGATGACGGAGGGGATTTCGAGTCTGCGCGGGTTGGATCAGCTTCTGAAAGAGACGAGCTTGTGTTCGAAACTCACCGTTCAGAAAATTTAGAAGCTCGGTATCGACTGCCTCCTGTTTCTCTTGCTCGGCCCAAAACCTCATTCGTTCTTCGCAACGCCTTATCAGATCCACACATTCTTCATTTGCCTCGGCTCTTTGACCGAACCAGACAGACTACCGCAAGAGGAGCAGCCATCGACCAAAGCCAGCCTCCGCCCAAGTAGAATGAGGCAGATTGCGCAATGAGACAGTAGGAAGTGAGGATGATGGAGATGTGAGAGGGTCGGGTGAGAAGGGACTTTGCATGGGAGGTTTGGATGGAGGTCCAGTGGGTGTATTTGTCGTCTGGCTCTGATGGCCCTGCTGGCGAGGCTTTTTCAGGGGAGAGTGAAGGTGAGCCGGTGGTCTCATGGTTCTTGTGATCCGAACTGTGGCCAGGGATGTCACCATCTCCTTGGACTGCTGAATAGAAGCACAAGATGTAAGTGGCAGTACCAACCACCCTGGCCATGACTCACCGGAAGCTCCATCTGCCCTCTCCCCCGCGTCGACGACATCTTCCGTCTCCTTGTCGAGACTCCGTCCGGTCGTAAAGGTGGCGCTTGTGCCCATATCGTAGTAGGCCAAATGTATAGAGATACACGATGAAAGAGGAGAATGGCGGTGTTCTCGGCTGGTTCTCGGGCTTCCGTCGCGTCGGTGAAAGAAGGCGGCGATGGCCTTATCCCAGTCATTCGTCGTTCGTTGGTAAAGAAGGGGCGACCTTCGATCTTGTCCTCTGCCGCACTTCTTCCACAACACCACCTATATAGTTGGACATCAAAACGCTTACCATATAACCATGCTATTTACTTTCGCAGGTATATAGTATGCGGAGCTGTTCAGCTTCGATTAGATAGGAACGAAACATACGTCTTACTACGTTGCAGTTTGTCCATGCCCGCGATGACTGACTTCAGCTATTGATGGTAGAAACGGGTGAGAAGCATTGGTCAAGGCAAGCCAAAGTGATGCTCCAATGAGAGGATGTAGTCGCATATCACCCCGTCTTCACAAAGGATTCATAACATATGCGACGTGATGATATTTTTCCCCGAGCTATTAGTACCATACGATGGTCCGAGACTAGAGCATCATTCTCCCAGCATGCAATAAGAATCATCCTCTCCTCATATACATATCCAGCTAGCGGAAAGATGAGCCTGCCGATCTCTACAGAACAATGAAATGTTGGGTGCGTTGACTCTTCTTACCTCAGTACGCATATCGCCTTCCGACCACTCACTGTTGATCTTGAGTCCTGGGGCATCGTTCCAGGTACTAGCCCACTCGTTACCATCGTATGTTCCCAGCTCCAGACGATGCACACCCGTCTCAGGGTCTTCTTCTCCGCCAGCGGAGGCATTCTGGAGAAGAGAGCCCATAGCAAGGCGAGAAGGAATGATCTGATGTCCGCCCATCTTTTCAAAGGTGATCCGACTCCAGGAGTCGGGTGGGATCGTACTCAGAAACGGATCCTCAGGCTCCTCTTCTTCATGAGTCTGTGCACGCGTAGACTCGGGCTTGGTCTCCTTATCGGGATGGTTCGAGCGGTCATCCTCGACAGATGGCTCAATCGGGTTTGTGTCTTGGTCGGCCGGAGACATGGCGATGTAATGTGTAATGTGTTGACGGCTGAAAATTCGTTGGGATGGAACTCAAGGCAGGCTGTCGGTGCAGTGGCGTAATTTAAGAAGAGCGGGCATGACATCCCAAACAGCAGAATATGGATAAAGGTGCTCTGGCAAAGGAATACTCCCAGAAAGGTGCCAACATGTCATAGATACACATTCTCATAGTAGTAATACTGTTCCCATTGACACATGCCATTGTTGCGCCAGCTTCATCTGTTCCCAGAGATGACACATGCCATTGCTGCACCAGCTTCATCTAGTAAAGTAGGTTGAGTGACATATATCCTTATCGCAGCCGACACCCCTCAGAGCGAGGTCTATTCCTTTCGATTGATGTGTCACAACCTGTCCCCAACATGCTGCAGTGAAATGTGGTCATCTCAAGTGAGAGTGATGATACTCGGTCGTTTGCTCTCAAGAAGGCTAAGAATTCTCAAAAGCAACGTGGCGGAAGTTTGTTTCCTCGCTACTGTTAGTTGACTGAAGTAAGTGATGGCAAAGTCTGAAGAGTAGAACAAGCTTAGCGCTCATTTCGCACTCTGTACAACTATAGAACCCGGATACTGAGGAACATGAGCGCGTACTATCGTAGCCGCTTTGAGCATAAACTTCACAGGTATATGATATGCAGAGTTGTTCAGATTCGACTCGAACAAGCGTCTTACGTTGCCGTTTGTCCATGTCCGCGATAACTGCTGCTGTTGACGTGGAGCAAGCAAGGAAAGTGCGGCTCAGTTCTGCAGGACGCACCAGCTATTACCAGATGATAGGACACGTCGCAAAACACCCCGTCTTTTGAAATGATTCATAAGAAACGCGATGTCAACTTACTTCTTTCTACTAAGTACGATGACAAGGTCGTACGAGACTAGAGATACGATCACTATACAGAAGATACAGATACGCGTCGAGCTCTCCTCATGTACGCGTCGAGCTAAGGGTACGATCAGTCTGCCAATCTCTGGCTAATCTCTACAGAACGCGCCTGAGATATTGACTCTTACCTGGGTACACGTATCGCTTGCCGACTACTTAATGTCGATCTTGAGTCCTGGACCATCATTCCAAGTGCTGATCCACTCGTTGCTACCGTTCATTGTGCCCAGTGATAGATATTGCACACCCGTCTCAGCGTTTTCTTCTCCTCCAGCGGAGGTATTCTTGATAAGGGAACTCGTCGCATGGCGAGAAGGAAAGATGAGATACTGATCTCCGTCCAACCCTTTAAAGGTGATCCGACTACAAGATTCGGATGATATCGTGCTAAGAAACGGATCTTCAGGCTCCACTTCTCCTTGTGGAGGTGCGAGAGTAGACTCGGGCTCGGTCTCTTTGTCGTGATCGGCCTCAGCGGAACGATTGTCCGCGGGGTTTGAGGGCCGCGTTCACGGTAGCGAGCCCAGGATCAACCACGGAGATGTCAAAGTCTTCGGCTCAGGCTGGAACGTAGGGCTCGTCGTGGTCGGGGGGAGGGAGAGGTAGAGTCGGAAGCAGAATTATAATCACATGTACTTTCGCCCCCAGTCTTCCGCCACTGTTCAGTCATAGGAGGGGGGGATTTGATTACTATTGGTACCAGATAACGCCATGTAAGCCCTCCGAGCCTCATCGCCTTCTTTCATTTTTCTCTGAAGCTCGTCGACGACAATGTTCACGTCCTCCATCCTCTTTTGCAGCTCTTGCTGTAGTACTGGATAAACATCAGTCCTTTGGGCAAAGAACGACAGGGGAAGAGAAAGAGGAACTTACCGTCCATAGAAAGTGACGAAACATCGCTAGCTGGCGCGGTGGTGGTGGAAGATGAAGAGTTGGACCCGTCGTGTGGTGCGGTAGCTTTCTTGAGCGAAGAGATAGCGTCCGGCTGTAAGGCATCTTTGACTGCCTTGGTGCCCCACCATTGGAAGTGCTTCTTGTGCCACGCCCATTGCAGCTTCGCTCCGTCCTTGTCCAGCCCTCCGCACAGGTGATCATGAGGATCTTGGTTGGCGTATATGAACAAGGGAATGACGAGGATAGGTTCCAATATGAAATTGATAACAAAAGGCGCCGCGGGGTCAAAATTGACCAATATGCGGCTCATTTGGAATGTGAAGACCACGTAGAAGGGTAAGATGGAAATGCCCAGTCCGACATTTGCGTCGAATTGACATTTGTGGTTGTTGGCGAAAAGGAGTATCGATGGGGGTATCGGTGAGAAAGGTGGAGGGGAGATGTCTTTGTCTGATGAAAAGTCAGTTTTGTGCGGTGTCACCTGCAGATGGAAAGATTTACCGTCCAAGAATTCGAGAATCTCATTATCCCGACTCTCCTGAGCGGTGTACATCAGAGAACGCATCCTCTCGGCGACAAGGTTGACAGATTCCAGCGCTGCTGCTCTCCCCTTCCTGACCCCGAGGTGCCCCAAGAGGAATAACAGCGAGGTAGCAATCCACAAGAAAAACACACCCCAGCCCCACTCCCCAAGTGTGACCGCTGGAGCAATCTCCGCGATGATGCAGTACAGGGATAGGACGGCGTAGATGACGCGCTGGCGAAAAGGCCAGATCTCGGAGTAGGTGACCTGGGAATCGACCCATTGGGTGATCATCTGCTCGGTAGTAGCGGGAGGCGGGTAGGTGCTGCTAGAGGAGGCGCCGGGAGGGTCGACCTGGACGAGAGTGTATGCTTTTCTATCGTCATCTTGAGAGTCGTCGACTTGCTATTCGTCAGTATATCTTCGCATGTATAAATCATCGGGTACTCACCTTCACCCCTTTGTCTTTCGTTGCCACGCTGCCCATCTGCGATTGTTACGTTTGGGTTACGATGACCCTCGGCCCAATCACCACTCAACAAACCCTCCTCTTCCCCTGTGTTTTGCTTTGAGCTGGTGCCGACCATAAAAAGGTGAGTATTGATTCCTTGCTTGACAGTATTGATGAGATGCAAAGACAAAGAGTATCAGCGGCGACCAGACGACATTGCTAACGAGGGTCTCAGTTGAGGGCTGAGGCACAGGTGAACCCTGACTGTCGACCGTGGGAGACCCGACGCACCGACGCCATCTCCACGACCAATCACGCCCATCTCCTCTTGCATCCCTCCCCCTCTACATCCCCCATACGTCCCCGCCATGTCCCGCTTTGTCCGCCCCTCCAAGTACCGCTACGTCTGGCCAGCAAATCCAAGGTCAACTATTACGAGAATGTCCAGATCTCCGGCTCAGCCTGGGACATAGACCTCGTCATGACCGGGGGGAGGGAGAGGTAGAGTCAGAAGCAGAACTATAATCACATATACTTTCGCCTTATAATCGCATATACTTTCGCCTCCAGCCTTCTGCCACTGTTCAGACATAGGAGGGAGGAAATTGATTACTATTGGTACCAGATAACGCAATATAAGCCCTCCGAGCCACATCGCCTTCGTTCATCCTTCTCTGAAGCTCGGCTACGACATTCCCGTCTTCCATCCTCTTTTGCAGCTCTTGCAGTAGTACTAAAGTAGATAAACATCAGTCCATTGTGCAAAGAACGAAAGAGGAAGAGGAAGAAGAAGAGGGGCTTACCGTCCATAGAAAGTGACGAAACATCGCTAGCTGGCGCGGTGGTGGTGGAAGATGAAGAGTTGGACCCGTCGTGTGGTGCGGTAGCTTTCTTGAGCGAAGAGATAGCGTCCGGCTGTAAGGCATCTTTGACTGCCTTGGTGCCCCACCATTGGAAGTGCTTCTTGTGCCACGCCCATTGCAGCTTTGCCCCGTTCTTGTTCAGCCCTCCGCACAGGTGACCATGAGGATCGTGGTCGGCGTATAAGAACAACGGAATGACGAGGATGAATTCCAAAAAGGTACCGATTATACAAAAGGTGATCGGCACGCCGTCTTCTACATGAAGATTCTCCAATAAGATGCGGCTCAGTTGGAATGAGAAGACGGCGTAGAAGGGTAAGATGGAAATGCCCAATCCGGCTTTCGCGTTGGATTGACATTTGTGGTTGTTGGCGAAAAGGAATATTGACGGGGGTATCGGTGAGAAAGGTGGAGGGGAGATGTCTTTGTCTGATGAAAAGTCAGTTTTGTGCGGTGTCACCAGCAGATGGAAAGATTTACCGTCCAAGAATTCGAGAATCTCATTATCCCGACTCTCCTGAGCGGTGTACATCAGAGAACGCATCCTCTCGGCGACAAGGTTGACAGATTGGAGCGCTGCTGCTCCCCCCTTCATAGCCCCGCGGTGCCCCCAGAGGGATAACAGCGAGGTAGCAATCCACAAGATTAACACACTCCAGACCCACTCCCCAAGAATGACCGCAAAAACAATCTCCGCGATGATGCAGTACAGGGATAGGACGGCGTAGATGACGCGCTGGCGAGAAGGCCAGAGTTCGGAGTATGTGACTTGAGCATCGACCCACTGGTCGATCATCTGCTCGGTAGTAGCAGGAGGCGGGTAGGTGCTGCTAGAGGAGGCGCCGGGAGTGAGAGAGGGAGGGTCGACCTGGATGAGAGTGTATGCTTTTCTATCGTCATCTTGAGAGTCGCCGACTTGTGATCTGAGGCCGCGCACGACTAGCTATTCGTCAGTATATCTTCGCATGTACAAATCATCGGGTACTCACCCTCACCACTTTCTCTTTCGTTGCCACGCTGCCCATCTGCGATTTGTACGTTTGGGTTACGATGACCTTCGGCCCAATCACCACTCAACAAACCCTCCTCTTCCCCTGTGTTTTGCTTTGAGCTGGGGCCGACCATGAAAAGGTGAGTATTGCTTCCTTGCTGGACAGTATTGTTGAGATGCAAAAGACAAAGAGTATGAGCGGCGACCAGACGACATCGCTAACGAGGGTCTCATATGAGGGCTGAGGCACAGGTGAACCCTGACTGTCGACCGTGGGAGACCCGACGCGCCGACGCCATCTCCACGACCAATCGCGCCCATCTCCTCTTGCATCCCTCCCCCTCTACATCCCTCCTACATCCCCCATACATCGCCGCCATGTCCCGCTTCGTCCGCCCCTCCAAGTACCGCCACGTCTACGGCAGCAAATCCAAGGTCAACTACGAGAACGTCAAGATCTCCGGCTCAGCCTGGGACACAGACCTCGTCGCGGCCGGGGGCAAGTACCTCTCTGTCAACTGGCAGGCATCCGGCGGTGGAGCTTTTGTTGTGCTCCCGCTCTTCTCGCCTGTCACCCCCCCCAAGCCGGAGGGATTCCCGACCAAGCTCCCGGATATCGTCCCTCTCGCGCGGGGTCATACTGCCGCGGTGTTGGATACAGCGTGGAACCCTTTTGACGACAATGTTGTTGCGAGTGCTGGTGAAGATGGCAAGAGTGAGTTTTCTGATGCAGCGCACTAGGAGACAAGGAATGCAAGGGATCGGTCGGGGCGGGGCTGTATGGCCTAAGGGATCAGAGCTGATTATCTACAGTCTTTGTCTGGAAAGTCGAGGACTCGCTCTTTGAGGGCTGGGGAGAGGACCACTGGGAGCCCAAGGATCTCAGCCCTGCTGCAAAATTCAGCGCTGGAGGCCGGTACGTTATCCTCACCTACACGGCCTATCTGACATGCCAAATTGACGAGTCAATGCAGGAAAGTCGGCCAAGTCATCTTCCACCCCACCTCCTCCAACGTCCTCACTTCCGCCTCAGGCGACCACCTCGTCCGTCTCTGGGACATCGGATCTTCCTCTCCCAACCCCGAAATCATTCTCGAAGGCCACAAAGACGGTATCCAGTCTATCGCTTGGAACGCCATCGGCACCACTTTGGCGACTACTTGCAGGGATAAGAAGTTGAGATTGTTCGATCCCAGGGCGGGGAAGGAGGCGGTCAGGATTACGGATGGGCATGCTGGTGTGAAGGGTTCGAGGGTGGTGTGGCTGGGTGATAGGGATAGGATCGCGACCACTGGGGTGAGTTTATCTGGGATTGGTGGAGTGTTGGACTGATGGTTTGGGCAGTTTAGCAAGATGTCGGATAGGCAGCTTGGGCTTTGGGATACTTCTAGCCTTACCAACATCAGCACCGAGTCGATCGACACTAGCGCGTACGTCACTTCTGGAATGCTTGCACGCTTGGTACTGATCTTCATGCAGCGGTGTCATGATGCCCTTCTTTGCCGAGGGCAACGACGTCCTCTTCCTCGCTGGTAAAGGGTACGCGATATGATGTCCTGGTGTGCAAAGCTGACTGTATGGCAGAGACGGTAACATCCGATACTTTGAGTACGACAACGATAGTTTCCACTTCCTTTCCGAATACAAGACTACCGACCCTCGTACGTCCCCTCACCCTCTCCTCCCTCTCCTCCCTCTCCCCTCCCCCTCCCCTCTCCTTTATCTCTCCCTCTTTCGGGTTATGGTGATGATAGTGGAAGCTAACACGGAGCAGAACGCGGTATGACCCTCATCCCCCGCCGAGCGCTCGATACGAACGAGAACGAAATCGCGCGTGCCTACAAGCTTGCTGGAGGATGTGTCGAGCCACTTAGTTTTATCGTGCCAAGGAAGGCGGACAGTTTCCAGGCCGAGTACGTCCTCCCTCTCCCCTTATCCCTCTCCCTCTTCACTTAAAATTGGCACGGCAACTGACAGGATGATTATAGTATCTACCCCGAAGCAAACTCTATCGAAGCTGCTCAAAGCGCCGCCGACTTTTTCGCAGGCAAGACGAGCAGGCCAAAGGTGGTTGATCTCGAAACGGGAGGGACGACGGCGAATACTGCTCCTATCCCCACCCCTACGTCCGCTTCTACCCCCGCTCGTGCTGCGTCCCCAGTGCCGAAGAAGGAAGAGCCCAAGTCGACTCCTACCCCGCCGACCCCCGCGCCTGCCGCCACTCCTGCCCCCGCCCCGGCGCCTGTGAAAGAAGAATCAAAGCCCACGCCTGTGGAGGTGAAGAAGCAGATCGATTCTGTCCCGGAGGTCACTGCCCGCTCGCTCGATATCCCGCAAGCTGCTGAGAGTGATAGTGAAGATGAAAAGGCGGAGAAGAAGGGGAGTGTGGGGTCTGTGCAGGAAAGCTTCAAGGGGTTGAGTGTTGGTGGGAAGAAGGAGGAGAATGGTGTTACTGCTGTACGTTCTCATCTCTTATCATTCGAAGTTGCAAAGGCAGACATACTGATATGACCTGAAAGCCTACCAACACGCTTTTGATCAAGAAACTTTCGTCGGCCGCTACTACCCCTACTCGAGGCTCTCCTCTCTCTGCAGGGTACGACCTCTATGCGGCGGAGGACAAGCTCATCCCCGCGAGGGGGAAGGAGTTGGTGGACTTGCAGCTGAGCATCGCTGTGCCTGAGGGGACTTATGGAAGGATCGCGCCTAGAAGCGGTCTTGGTAAGTCATTCTTCCACTTCCTCTCCCATTCCCCTTCCCTTTCCTTTCTTCCCTTCCTTTCTGCGCAAGAGTTGATAAGATTGGGTTAAAGCTGCCAAACACCACATCGACACCGGCGCCGGCGTCATCGACGCAGACTATAGAGGCCCCGTCATGGTGCTCTTGTTCAACCTTGGAGAGAAGGACTTTGAGGTGAAGAAGGGGGATAGGGTGGCGCAGTTGATTTTGGAGAGGATTATTATGGCGGAGATGCAGGAGGTTGATGTGAGTACTCTTTCCTCTCGGCTGGGTCTTTAAAAATGGGATAGACAGGGGAGATGAAGTGAACAGGGCTGATGTTGAACAGGATCTGGATGCGACTGCCCGTGGGTCTGGTGGGTTCGGCTCGACGGGAGGGTTTGGTGCGGCTGTCAAGCAGGTTGCTGGCAACCTCATTTAATCTCGCCTTCCTTCTCCTTGTGTCGACAAAACCGAAAAGGCCGCGATCAGTAACAGAGGAAGGTCGATGCTTGATGGACGTTAGTGGTTTCTCTAGTTTGTCATATACCCCAATAGTGTCCCGACGCACACGCAAAAGAAAGATACCCGACTCGGAAGAATAAAAGGAGAGGGTGGGCGGTGAGATTGGAGGAGCTCGAGCTCGGAGGCGGGGAAAAGTCTGTTTGAAATTCATGCAACGTTCTTGTTGGGAATTACTATCAGTGCAGATAACGCCCATGCGTGGCAAGTTGGGGGCTACAGATGGTTGATCGAACATGCCCTACACTTGCGTTACCTACATACCCTTCAATATACTCGCGTCACGTCTCAACCTTTGTCATCCCCACGACCGCGCAGTTCAAAGTCCGTCCCCTGAGAGCTTTTATTGTCGCACTTACCTCGTCAGACTATACCCCCTGCTCTTGCAAGACATACGGCCCTCGACATGTCTTCAGCCAGATCCCACATCGAATCAGCCCTCTCCGAAGCTAGGGCATCAAACAACCTTGCGGCGTACGAACATCTTTCGAAAGCGCTTGATGCTCTTGACCGGTCTGCTTCGTCTTCTTCTTTTGCACCTCGTATGGAGTATGAAGAAGGATCTGCTGAACATGAATCCGATGACCGGGGGACAGATGCGCATGGGAGGAGAAGGAACCGTCGGGACATGGATCGGGATGACGATGCCAGCAGTGCAAGGGAGGATGACCATGGCCGAGATGATCGTTTTACCTATACCGATGATTACCCTTACCCTCCGCCCCGTCACCACCACCATCATCGCCATCGCCCCCGCTCCTCTTCATCCTCCTCCCGATCCTCCTTCAACAACACATTCGACCCCCTCACCGCCACCCTCGGCACAGTCCTCGGCCTTGGCCTCCTGGGATCCATCTTCTCCCCTCTCACAGCTGTATACCCCGTCGCAGCATCGAGCTACCCCCTATCCCCCGGAGAAAGCCTATACATATACTAAGAGCTACATATACAATTATGATTTCACATCTATGCCACAAAATTACTGTCAATCCGTTCCAAAAACGTCCCACTCAGAGCACGTCGGCTACGCCTACGAACGCCGCTCCAGTCTTTCCTTGGTTTTGTGCTAACATCCGTAATACCGCTTGTGTCTGGCCTATGGCAGCTTCGAGATGACTCTGCGCTTTCGCATTACTCGTCTCTGAAGAATCTCATCAGCTCTGCTTTCATTTTCAAGTCACCCGGAAAAAAAGACTCACGGCGAACCCAAGCAACATAATCATCAGCAAACTTCTCCCTCCAGCCCCTCCACCTCTCCCCCGATTTCCACCCCTCCCCACCCGGATCCGCTAGTGCCCCGAAAGCTTCTTTTACGACGGCTACGTCGGCGGGGGGGAGTTTGTGGTGGGCGATGAGGGAGGAGAGTTTGAGGCCTAGGGAGAGGGAAGCGGAGTCGGGGTCAGTGTCGGTGTTGGAAGAGTTGATGGGGTTGATATTGGGGAAGGACGAGGTACTAGGGGCGGAGTTTTCGTCCACTACCCCCCCGCCGTTTGTGGAGACAAACAAAAACTGCCAAAGCAGCCCTCTCCACTCCAAGCTATCCCTGGTATCCGACACAGGGCCCTGATCTAGGAGATCGCGCCAGAAAGTGTTGAACAGGGAATGGTCAAACGGTGTACGGATGAGTGAAGCGACAAAGTGCGCAGCTGAGAGTGTCGATGGAAAGTCCGAGAGGACGGGGGGTTTGCCATCTTGTAAAGACCCAAAGCTCGGGACTTTTGCAGACTTTTCGGTAAACCCTTCTTCTTTCGGCCGCATCCCCGGCATCACCTTCCGCCAAGCCATCCCTTGACGCAACATTGCCGCTGCTCGATCATGCCCGTGATGTAAAAGGTGGTCGAGCACGAAAGCGGCTGAAACTTTTTCGGACGGGTCGAGCGGTGTGAGAGAGGGGGCGCCGAGAGGGGAGGGGGTGGGAGTGGGCGAGGCTTTGGATTTGCCTTTGTGAGATGGGCTAGGAGGGAGGTCGATGTCCATGTTCTCTTCTTTTGCTGCTTTAGACGGTGACGCTATCGGGCGAGGCAGCTGGTCTACCACCCTTACAACGTTCGCCACCTCGGTCCCCTTGACCTCTCTGATCACTTCTTCCTTGGCATCCCGGACACGACTGTCAATGTCGTATTTGAAAGGACCAGAAAAGTTGACGGCGATGCTCTCGCCAACCGTCCGTAGGCCTACGGCGGGGTGAAGTTCAGAGGGAAGGTCGATCTGTTTTGTACCTACTGCACATCAGCTCTTGCCCCTAAAACGTGTGAGAAAGACGTACCCATCAAACGACCGTTCTTGGTGAAAAATGCAGTCTTTTTGATATAATCAACCCCACATCCCACTGTATCTCCTTCTCCCCATCCCTCACTGAACGGCTCCCCCGCGCCCTGTCCTCGGAACAACATCCCATCATCCCCATGCCACCCCCACGTCCCCGCCGTCCACCCCACCAACCGCCTCAAATTCCTTCCTTTTACCATCCACCCCACCGACATGTACCCTTCTTCCCCCTGCGACAGCACTTCAGCTTCATAGTAGTGGATCCCAGCAGCAAGAGGGATGGGCTGTTCGGTCAAGAGTGCTGTGGCGTCGGCGTCTTCGCGCGTGGGGTGGTGGCCTTTGAAGGTGATGAGTGGAGCGGGGCCGTAGGATGGGGAGATGTGGGTTGTGAGTGTCAGGTGGGAGCGGGTGAGCGGGGGGAAGAAGGAGGAGGGGAGAGGGGTGGAGGAGGGGAGGGTGGAGTGGGAGAGATAGGAGGCGCGGTGCGGTGGTGGGGAGGAGGGACGGGGGCGTTTGCGTGGGGTGGAAGAACTGGAGGAGCGTTCGCGTCGGGTTCCTGTGAGACTGACGAGGTATGGCTGGGAGACGCTGGCGAGGTCGGTGTTGGTCGGCGGCAGTCCCTCTGCGCGAGGTGGCAGTGGTGGATGAGGGAGAGAGTGCCTCAAGTCGCCGATGTGGTCCATCCATTCGAGATACTCGCGCCGTCTGTTGTTGCCTCCCCGATGCAGGTGGGCCCCTTCGTCCCCCTGCCCCTGCCTCTCGGCGTCCCTCTCCCGTCCAAGGGGGTTGGCGCGCATCTCGTCGAGGAGCCGAGACTCGTTGAAAATCGACGCATCGAGCCATTCTTCGAGATTGTCGTGGTCGCCTCCTCCGTTTCGCCCACTTGCTCCGCCTCCCATGCCTGCTGGTCTTGCAAGACGTGTACGGATGGCAGAGGCCGCGGGGGCGTCGTCCTCGCCCTCGGTCATTGATCCGTCCGAGTCGCTCAGGTTGAGGGGGATTATGGGGCGAGCGCTGTACCGCCGGGAAGGCAAGTTGTCTGAGGAGGTTGTGTTGCGTTGACGAGCATCTATTCAAGTCAGTACGCCACGATAAAATGGTAGGAGAGACGTACTGTGCAGGTCCGAGACCAGCCTCAGGAGCCCCTCGCCCGCCCTCGGCCCACTGGGGTTTACCAAAGCAGGCAAACTCGTCCTCGTCGCCCTCTGCGTCCCCACACTCCCCCCTCTCCTCCCTCCCACATGAAATACCTCAGGAGGGGCTACATTTCCCAACATGTCCTCCAAAGTGAACGAGCTCCCACTTTCCCCTCCTCCTTCTTCTTGTCCAACAGCACCCGCTTCGCCCGCCCGCCTAGCCGCGCGTGCAGCACGCGTGGGCGAAGGCGTCGGCGGGCTGAGGTTGGTGGGCGGTACAGCCCCCGACGTCGGCGTCAAGCTCTGGTGCGGTGGGTTACGCGCCCCCTGCGCCACCGACCTGCCCTGCGCGACCCCCGAGCTCGGGGTGGAGAGTATACTAGGCCCTGCGCTGGGGTCTGATCTCTGGCGAGGGGGCATGGGGGGAGGCGGGGGGCGGTGGTAGTCGTTCAGGTCGTCGAGCACGTCTTGGCGGTCGATGTCGTCTTCGCCAGCTGGGGAGGTGCCGCGGAGGATGGAAGCGTACGAGGCACGGGATGGCTGGGCGGGGGCTGAGCGGGAGAGGGGCGGGAAGGGGTCGAGGGGGGGTGGATTCGGGGGCGGCATGGGTGAAAAGTAGAGCAGAGGCAATGAAAGGGAAGATGCGCGCAGAAAGAGCACGGCGGAGGTCGCCGAGAGTGGCAGAAGGACAACAGTTCATGGATCAACACATCTGATAGACAGCATAGCACAGGTAAACAGTATAGACAACTCTAAGCACTCTTCGTCTTCACCCCAAACAACCTATGAATCACAGAAACATACATCCCCGCACTCCACCACATCCACCCCGCAAACCCTTTAAACGCCGAATCGATCCCACCGACCAGTGGTCTCAAGAGCCACTCTCCCGCTTCTCTCTTGATATCCCGGCCGTCAACCTTGACAATCTCCCAGGGCATTTCTGATTCAGGTATCCCAAACTCCGGGCGGTACGCAATCTCCATCCCAGTCCGCCACCCATCTTCATGGAACCCATACCCCGTCCAGGCGCCTGCAAAGTACAGCCCGCGAACACCTTGGATGGATGGGAGTCTCTTTTGCGCTGAGAGCAAGGAGGGGGTGAGGAGGGGGTGGTGGTATACCCATCGGGAGAGTGTTTTGGAGGGGGATGGTGGAGTGGGAGGGTTGAGGGTTACGAAGATGTGGCCGTGTTTGGCGATAGGGAGGGATTGGAGGACGTTCAGGTCGAATGTGCTGCGTTTTTTTTATCAATACTGTGGAACTAGTGGGGAAGAGATACTCACATGGAGATGGTGCTGACGTCCGAAGCGGCTGTTTTGGGTTCGTGGCCCGGCTCAACAGCGTTCGTCGTCGACGTGAGGTAATTCCACGCTATCAACCCTTCATCAGTCTCCCTCCCTTCTTCTCTTCCTTCTCTTTCCTTTGATTGAGGGAACACTTACCAGTCCAAGCGCTTTTCCTCACAGGCATCAACTCCTCACCTCGTTAGCTTCTACTCCAAAACCCAAAGCCAGAGGATGAAGAAACGTACAGCTTCATCATAATGCACAACGGCCTCATTCGGACTCCACTCACACCCACCCAAGACTTCCTGCTCTTCCGCACTTATATTCTCGCCGAGCAGCTGGACGGCCTGATCTGTGTGTGTTCTGATTACGGGAAATGAGTTGCAAGAAGAGGGGAGAGAGGGGGAAGGAAGAGGGGGACGTACGCGAGGATGACTTTATCGTAAACCACCTCCTCCCCTCCGCGTTCGACAACCCCAAACCGTCCATCCCCCCGGGGTACGACCCTCTGCACCCCTTCCCCCAAATGCAACCTCCCCTTCCCCTCCCCCTCACCCTCCCCTGAGCCCTCACGCGCCCCCCTGGCCACGAAGCTTTCAATAATCTTATCAACATACCTCCCCGACCCGCCTTTCACAGTCAACCAAGCCGGCCGGCCCCAGAGCTGCAGCATCTGGTGATTGTGGAAGAACCGGATGAGCGCGAGCGCGGAAAAGTCGAGGGCTACTTTGTCGGGGGGGATGGACCAGATACCTGCTGTTAGGGGCTTTTTTTGCATTGTCAGCTTTTGTTTTCATTCTTCCATTCTTTCTTGTGAATCTGAGGGAGATGGAGGAGGAGGGAGACGGGAGAAGGAAGAAGGAAGAAAGGGGCGGAGGGGAAGGGAGGGGACATACAAGTAGATAGTCTTCCTTGAAAGCCTGACTATACTGTTCCCTATCGAGATACTCCCCAATGCTCATCCCTTCTTCGGCAGAAGATGGGGGGGAGGAGAGGAAATCTTTTGCAAAGATGTGGAATCGGAAGATATCCCACATCATCCTGTATACGCGGGGTTTGAACCTATCCCTTGTATCAGCTTGCCCCCTGCGACTACTCCACGTCCACTCTAAAAAGGACAAGAGGCGTACAGATTAACACCCTGACAGAACAACCCCCAAAACCCGGTACTAGCCCACTCGAAGGCACCGCCATCCCGGCTGAGGGAGAATGACATGGTGGTGGTGATGAGGTCGACGGCGTGGGAGGTGGTTGTTATGAAGCGGTGGAAGTTGGGGTAGTTTTTGGCGTTTATGGCGATCTGATTTTTGTTTTGTCAGTATCAAGTCTCAGTTTTCAGAAGGGGACATGAAGGAGATGGAGATGGAGATGGATGGGAGGAGAGAGGACGTACGAAAGCGGTATCAATCTGACATGGTTCTTTACCAGGTTCTGAAGAACGTGTCAGTGATCACTCGCCTCAGCTAGAGGAGACGAGAAGGGAACGTACGTTGAAACTCGACAGTATGCGCGTGTCCGCCCCACCAGCTATCTTTCTCATAGATATGCACTTCATGTGTCGTATACTCGTTCAGAACCTGGTCAATGCATTCAGCCTGTAACTCGTAGAGAGAATGAAAGGAAGAAGACGTACCCAGAGAGCCGATAAGCCACTGACACCACCGCCGATGATGGCAATCTTCAGCTTCTTCTGCTCCTCCTCTTCCTTCTTCTCCATCTCCTGAGTCATTGTTTTCTTGTCGTATCGGAGCGTCGAGGGGTCAGGTGAGACAGACAGCAGCCAGCTGACAACAGAAGTGAGAAGAAAGATCTACGGGGGGGCTTTGAGGCTTGAGGCTTATATTCAGTCGAATGTTTATCGGTGCTCCTTTGACCCTTCCGGCAGCTTTGAAAGGGAGATTGTTACCCTGTTGCGATTGTCGTGATTGGGGATATGAAACGGGACACACTGCCCTGTATACACATACGACCCTTGAGAGCTAAGATCTCTGGTCTTCCTCTCATCTCGAGCTTGGTATAAAGAGTCGCGCAGCGAGATGATGGAGATGCCGGAAGCTTTACCATCTCCCACCTCATCTTTCCATCTCCTCCACCCCCCATCCCCACTTTACCTGAACGTGTGAGGGGAGCTGGAAGTCGTGAAAAAGATACTAAACTGAGAGAATTAGGGTAAGCTCTCCTTAGTGTTTGTGCACTGTAGCTGTAGCTGTGTGATGGCGATCGCACTGACCCGTCGGAAATACCCGGTCTCGCAGTCGGCTTGCATCCAAGCAGCGATTCTTGATAAGCTCGAGAGAACGGCGAGAACTTTGTTTTCGCTCATGCCGAAGAAGGAGTGGCCAAAGGCCGGCAAAGGAGGAAGAGCATGGGAAGGAGGGGTCGATTGGGGTGGGGTATGGCTTTTGGTTCTTCAGTGAGATGAACGGGGTGACTGCCGCAATTGTGCATGTTCTCCTTTGTCCTGGCATTCCCCTGTACCGTGATCGCTGTGAGCAGCTGTCAGTATACGTCCGGGCCCATCATTCGGACCTACTGTGGAGAGGGATGTGAAGGAGAGATTGCGCGGCCCCCGGAAGATGAAGCTGCGCCGTGTTTGGCTCCGGCGGCTTGTTCGGAGGCAGAGATGTTCAGCTCTGACGAAAAAGGGGTGGACCCAGACCAGGTATTCTCCAGGGGGGCACATACATAGTTCAGGTGCAGCATGCATGTACCCCCCTTGCCCCCACTCCCGGTATAAATCAGAAAGAACGCATAAAGCGTGGCCCCTCCTCCAAACCCAGCTCCGTCGGCATTCCGATGCCCCTTGATCGGGTCCTGATGGCTTGCGCACCTGACGATCACACGCCACGCACATGTCCTTGCCCATCCCACGCCCGGGCTGTGTGTTTGCGCAAGATCACCCGAATCGGCGGGCTCGAACAGCATACGCTTCTAGCGCAAGAACCCCCCCTGAGATGAAGGCTATGCGCAGTATTGGTTTCCCTTCAGAGAAGATGGATAAGGCGAGGCGCAATTCGGAGGCGTGCTTTGTTGTCGAGAGAGAGTTGCTTATGCTACAGGGTACATACAAGCACGTCACTTGAGAACAGACCAAATGGAGATCAATGAACCATGTGTATTTCAACTTGTCAAATATCAAACAAAAACGGTCATGGCCCATCGCAAACACCATATATCCAGCGATCTCAAACCAGCTTCTTTCCGAGGATATGCATGACTACTCCGCTGACTTTTGTTTGCTGACTTTTCTTGCTCCTTTTTCCCCCGTTCCTCTGGTGTTCCTCCAACTAAAACGATGGACGAGCTGCCGTACGTGCTGTTTCGCAGGCCGGACAGGGAGGGGTGTCCACCGTCACTGTGAATGGCGCTGGGGAAATATACTCCAGGATGGTCTGGTGGAGTTTGTCTTGCACGTATGCAGACGCGATGGCGGTGAAATTGGGGTGTCGGACTTGGAGATTTCGGGGAAATCGTGCGTGGATAGAGCTGTACCAAGAATTCAGTTTTGAAATTGACATTAGAAGACGACACTTACCCCTGTTCTAGCTCGGCTTTCATCCAGACAACTACCCCCTCAACCGCTGCCTCCAACGTTGTTTCACCTCCTTCCAGCCTCACAGCGACCACCTTTGGATGATTGTTGGATAGGAAGGTCCCTGACTGTAAGAGGGCGAGGTCGCAGTGGAGGGTGAATGTCGATGATGGCTTAGAGAATTGCATCACTCATGTGACGCGGGGGAGATGAGAGGGAGCAGTGGAGGATGGGAGGGAAGCACAAGCGTACATGGGGTTTCCGAGGGCAGGTGGATAGCGAACGGACCCAAAGCCGGGGGCCATCATCAACATCTCGGAGAAAGAGCTGTACCAAGAAGTCAGATTTGAAACTGACAGTAGGAGACGACACTTACCCCTGTTCTAGCTCGGCTCTCATCCAGACAACTACCCCCTCAACCGCTGCCTCCAACGTTTCACCTCCTTCCAGCCTCACAGCGATCACCTTTGGATGATTGTCCGATAGGACGGTCCCTGACTGTAAAGTGGCGAGGTCGCAATGGAGGGTGAACGTCGATGATGGCTTGGAGAGATTCATCACCGAGGTCGCGCGGAGGAGATGCGAGGGAAGAGTACTTCTCCAGGGAGGGGAGGTGCGCAGGCCGGCGAGCATCACCCCAAGGGGGTGCCGGGATGGCCTCGGCGCGACGACCGGGAGGCGGTGGACGCGAACCTTGGTTGGCCCAGAGGGGGAGGCCGAGGGGCTGAGCGAGGAGGGTGGGGTTGGCGGGGGCGGTGGAGACTGCTGCTGATCGAGGTATGATTGCACGAGCCACGCGCCTATCAAAGGCAAGACAATGGAAGGTCAGGATATCGTACGGTAATCTCCGAGAGTGACTGGCTTACACTCGTTGCAAATCACACCCCCGGTGCGCCCGGACCATGAGTGCGTGGCCCCGATGGCCGCCTGCAAGCTGAGACCTTGTTGCTGGCAGACGTAAATACCACACTTCCGGTTTACACAGCGATAATTGGGGGTAGGGGACTGGAGCCTGCTGTCACGGCCGAGCTGGGACGCAGCAGGGAAGTGAATGAAAAAGATGTTTTTAGAGGGAAAATGGAATCCAACGGGTAGTCGGATTCTTCCGCCGCGAGACGAAAAGCCTGGTTGTAGGCGGCGACGCTGCCCGTGTGGCGCACGGCGCGCCACTCCTGCAAGAGCTCGCGCTGGCTCTTACCCAGCCGCACGGCCATCGGAGTGGAAGAGACGGGGCAGGAAGCGTCATTCTCGGTAGGGGGGCGAAGTGGAAAGAGGAGACAGAGGGAAGAGTGGGCGGCAAAGGAAGAACTGTGGGAACAGGGTTGGAAGAGCGCGGGAGAGGTGTGGGTGTAAGAAGGTTGGAGATGTGCGGAAGGGTGAAGGGGGGGGTTCGTACCTGGAAGGGTCGAGGGGAATAGGAGGGGCGGAGGTGGAAGGGTCGAGAGTGTTCTCCGGGGTCAGGGGGAAGGAGGGCGCCGAGTAGAACAATAAGATGTGAATCGAATATGTACACCGCGAGTCCTTCAACGATCCACACAACTCGGCGCTAATGCCACCTCAGGGATTTACTAACGCACGAGCTGTGGCATTGTAACTCCGGTACGCTGAGGATACCGCATTCAAAGCTTCCAGTAGCCGGACTGCACTGTCTGGAGACGAGATGGTCAGAGGACTTACTTGCCGTATTCAAAAGTGTATTGCAGATGCTGGTCCACGAGGAGGTTTCAGATTGTCCATGGGCTGGACAATGTCTGCGTTTGCGTTTCGAGGAGGGGAAGAGCGACGTAATGGTAGGATAGCCGTTCTTCTGGAAGGACATGGTAGATTTTCTTCGAGTTTGTGTGATATCATCATTATACACCAGCATCCAGAGACGAAGGAGTTGCAAAGGAGTTGACGGCGGCGAAATCCGTCAGCCACGTACTTGAATTGCCACCACCCGCTCAGGCCGTCGTGTATCTTGATTCCTCCCGCTTCTCTTCGCTCCACACACTTACCATCATGTCTACCGTCACTGTATCCCACCGTGTCGCTTTTTCCCATCTGACCCTCCCCAACGCCGACGACCATTCTTCCGCCTACGCCCCCACACCTGCCTATGAACAGAAGATACAGGCTTACCGCCAATCTATCGACGAAGAATTGCGCGATTATGACGCGTGTAAACGTCAGGAATTTAAGAAAAGGGTGGAGATCTGGGAAAGCATCACCAGCGATCCAGAAGAGAAGGAGAAGATAAGGCGGCGCGCGGAGGCGCAGCTTGCTTCCGCAAGGGAGGAGCTCGTGAAGGGTTTGGTGAGCGACTTCCAACACTATTGTGAGTCATTTCCCTCGTTTCATGACGACAATGTCCTGATTCCAGATAAGCACAAGTGTGGTTGCTGGAAGATATGGCGTTGGCATCAGCAATGAATCAGAAGTGAATGCTGTATCAAGTGACAAGCGTAATATATGTATCTACGAACGATTATGTATTCTATCACAAATGCGAGCGAAAGTGTAAGGAGTTCATGTACATCGAAAACAACTGTTCCCTGCCCGGAATGGCGGGACTTGGTGGTAATATATAAGACCGGAAGAGAATAGGGAAGGAACGTACTCGGGGACTTCGGCCACCTTCTTTGACGAGCCGCACAGGAGCGGCGGAATGTGACCGGTTGCTTACCTTCAAGCGTCATATCATCGCAATCAGTCTGCATGATTCGCTCGAGGGAGTCTCCTCAAGTATGTTGATCAGCAACAACTAGAAAGAGATGTTTGCTGTAACGACTGCGTAAACGGAAGACCATCATGTGCGGCTATCATCTGGGCGCAACTTGTGAGGGCCCTCCCCTTTCCCACCATTTCCCACCGCCCTCCAGCTGCTTTCTACCCATTCCCTAACCATTTCAGGGAATAGGAGAAGGAAGGGAATAGGAAGGTCTACGTGAGGGGAAGAGAGGTGGAAGATGGGAGGAAGGTCCACGAAAGGGAAGGCAGAAGAGGAGAGAAAGCTTTCCGATAGGACGTACACTAGAAGGCAAGGGGCAACACCAGCAGCTAGAACAGGTATAAGAGGGAGGGCTCAAAGCTCGATATCAATCTTCTCCTCGAAGATCAATATTTCATAAGTCACACAGCGAAAGGTTCACAGAAGCAGCTCGCTACACTCGCTTGTCAAACGTACATCTATACCTCAGTCACCCTCAGTCACCTTAGCCCGCCTGATCTTCCCGAGAATCCAGATATAATACATCGTTAGCCAACAGGTGTAAGGGCTTATCTCATCCCATTGCAAGTAAGTAACCGCATGCTACATCGTCTCAAGTGTTCAATCTCGCCGGGGACAGGTCGTGACGCAACTACAACATGGGGCTGAGAAGGTGGTGGGATATATCATAATGTTGCTTGGCTGGAACCGTGAGCGATAGGTCAGACGCAGCGATCATGATGTTAGGAGAGACCGGAATCGAGATGTCGGAAACACAACTTTCTGGCTGCTGGCGGGGTCTGCTTCCCCCTTGCGCTTCCATAACTTCGAGCTGCACCAGTGTCAGGCGCTAGCATCTCAAGTACTCGTACTCTACTGTATCATATCGAATCAGTCTGTACGAGATTCTACCTCATTTTATGGGTTTCTGTTACTATATATGCTTCATAGAGTCCTGACAATGCTGATGAGAAGGACAGTGCTGACGATGGTTCGGTCCGGTCCTCCTGGTTATAAATCTTTGAGGTTGCTGCAGGTAAGTACGAGTGCTCCAAGTAGCATGGGAATATCTTGAAGACGACAGTACTCGCAAGGCAACTGAGGTTGCTCTTGTAGGCGCAAATAGTTGCATTCATTTCCAATCTCGATATTACAGACCCTCCAAGAATGCTATCAACTGCTCCAGGATCATTCTCTGCAATGCTGCTCCTCCTTCTTCGCCCTCTATCGCTTCTCCGTTTTCCTCTTCGTCGTCGTCACCGATATTGTCTTTAAGTTCTGCGAATGTCTATTAGCGACGGTCGATCAACAAGAGACTGATTGAAGACGTACCCCGTAAGACTGCAGAAACGTTTTTGAAGTTCATACCCTTTCTTGAGAGTAACAACCTTGCGTGTGTCATCGCCTACAACTCATCAGCTTCCGCCCCACGGACAGAAAGAAAGGCACTCACCCCATCATCCTCCATGACCACCCACGCCAGCACATAATCCGCATTTTGCAAACTCGCCAGCCCCGCATCCATCTTTCTCAAATACCACTCCACCTCCATCTCCTCAATCTCCTCTTCTCCCGCACCTTCCGCCTTCAAAGCCTTCTTTTCATCCTCGATATCCCGCTTGACGGGTGCGAGCCTGCTTTCGGCAGCTTCGCGCAGTTCAAGCAGCCTCTCCACCTTTGCATACCCTTCCTCGACAAATTTGGCTATCAGCCTGATCCTCTCTGGCGAATCACTCTCCAAATTCGTAAACAGACTGCCCAAGATACCCGACAAGTGCTCTTCATCCTCCACCTGGCTGGTCTGGAGGTGCCGGTTTTTGGATTTGTGTGTGGATTTGCCCATGAAGGCGGAGAAGAAGGTGGGGAGCCCGGAGGCGGTGATGAAGCGGATGCAGGAGGGGGCGCCGGGGGGTGATTGGAGGGCGTAGTCGAGGACTTTGATGGCGCGTGTCCGGGCGAGGCGTTTTTCCCTAAGACCGTGTCAGTGCAAAGGAGGGAACAGGGGAGAGGGGAGGTACTTCATCATCATGACCATCAATTCTACGCCTTCAGAGTCGTGGAATTCTTGTTTCATCTCGGGTTCTGCGAGGGAGGTGCAGAGGCAGTCAAATACGTTCTCCATGAATTCGAGCTCTTCCCCATCTCCTGGGTCCTTCTTGATGTATTGCTACGAGCCGTCAGCTTATACCCGCGTCAAAGAGAAAGAGCGACGTACGAAAAGGACCTGAAGCAGCTTATCCAGCCCATCCAATTTTGCAAACCTCAAAACCACCTCCCTCCCTTCTTGCAACAACATCGCCAATACCTCGCTCGCATACTGCTTATTACTATCGTACCCCTCCTTCTCCAGCCTGGTGACCAACCAGCCGAGGAGGCTTGTTTCGCTTGTGATGGTGGAGGCGAGAGGGGGCATGAAGGAGAGGAGGTTTTCAAATACGGCGAGGATGTGGAAGACGCCTTGGGAGTCGGACTCTTCGGATTCGTTTAGGCGGGAGAGGTTGGATACGAGGAGATCGAGGAGGGAATTGTTCAGCTGCCAAAGTATCAGTATTCGCCCCCAGCGAAAGATGGCGAACTCACAAGCTCGTCGATGAGCTGCCCAATAGCCATCCTCGTCTTACTAGCCCTCTCCTCTTCTTCCGCCCCACCCTCCGCATCTTCCTCCTCCCCGACATCTTCATCTGTCAACTCCCGAATGACTTCCACGACGTCAACAGCGATATCGGTGTTTTCGTGCGCGAGCAGCCCAGAGAGGATGGGGATGATACCGGCTCTGACGAGTTCGGGGTAGAATAAAGGTGGGTTCTGGGTGAGGGGGAGGAATGATTTGAGGGAGGTGTCAAGGTCGGCTTCGGACTCTATAAACCTGTTCCAATGTTAGACTTGTCCTTGCCTTGGGGGAAGGACGGGGAGGGGAGAGAGGACGTACTTGGAGGGGTCATCGGGGTACTTTCCGCGCTGTTCTGCATTCTTCGTGACGGTCCTCTCAAACTTGCCAAGCTGTCTTCTGAGGGCTGGCAAGTCAAGGACAGGTCCGTCTTCGCCTTCGCCGGCCGCGTCAAAGATGTTCAAGATTTGCTTTCAAACACTTGTCAGCTTGGTGCTTTCAGGTATGAGGTATGGATGGGGAAGTGGGTGGACGTACTTCTTGTTCGTTATTGAGGCCTCCCCCGAAGAAACGCCCTTCATCATCCGCATCATCATAGAAATCTTCCACCTCCCCTCCTCCTCCTCCTCCGGCATTACGTTCCTCCCTCTCTTCCATCTCTTCATCTTGCACCGTCACCTGTCTCCCCTTTCCCTTCCCCTTCCCATTACCGTTCAAGTGAGGCTCATCCACGGTTTGGGATAGGGGCGCAGCCTCATCGAATTTGAACTTTTTGAGATACTCTGGGTTCGGGTTGTCGGGCATTTTGCGTTTTTGGCCGGCTGATGCTGGGAGCTTTGGGAGCTTGAACATTTTGTCGATATCCATCTTTGCTGGAGGATCTCTTGTGTGGGGTGGTGGGGGGAGAAATGGAGGGAGGGAAGGTGGGATGGGGGACCAAATGTACGGCGAATGTAGGCAGGGCGACAATAAGACGGACGGAGAAGGGCGGAGATCGCCGCACCTCCACTTTTGACTTCTTGTGGCTGTATATCAACTTTCGTGATCAAGAAGCACAGATGTTCCAATGATACATCGTATATGAAGCCTGTGAACTAATGTTTGAAATATCGTAGTATTGTCTGGTACGTACATAGCAGTAAACGACTGTCGCCGCGACGAGGGCGATACAGCAGATGATGTTGGCCGTTTTTCCCGAGAGTGTTGAGCAGTCGGGGCTATTCCCGCTAGCAAAGGCCTTCAAGGTTGAAATACATACTAGGCAACGTCCAGCATACACTCATTTATCACCTTGTTTGAGCCCGGAACGAAAGCGAATTCCAAGACACGCGCTACGGCAGAAGACTCGTCGGCGGCTATCTCTAGGATCCTCCAGAGGAGAAAAGACGGCTGTTCACCATGTCAGCACCAGCTCGCACGTAGACCTCAGGCCGAGAACACTATGAAGACACTCCGTCGCCGAATGGTTTGCATCGACGTTGCTATGATGCAAACGAACGCGCAGCACTGTATAGGCTTTTGCTCTGCTACTATCATCACGTCCATGGACGATCTCACAATATACCTTCATCCACCGGCCTCTCTCGAGCCTGATGGCATCTCCCACACCTCTCGCACCCTTCCAAACCATTCACCCAACATATCAAGCTGCGCAAACTCACTCAAAGTACGGCATCCGCTGCTAGCTGTAATTAATCTCGAATCTATATCTGGTTACGTTAACTATGACGTAGGGCCACCCCATTCGGCGGGATCGCGACAACCGGGAGGGCTGAAAGAGGAAAACTCGTAAACACCCTTTCTTTTTTATCTTCTCTTTCTTTTGTTTTCGTTTACTTCAACATCCACCTACAAACAAGGATGTTTCTCTACAACGTACACGCCCCGCACAAGACGTTCGCTTTGACGCATAAAGGTACGCCCTCCATTTACTGACAACTGGGGATCGGACTGACGAATGGAGGGTAGCAAATGAAACTCAGCCCGAGCTTTTGAAGAGGATCTACGCCAAGTCGGGGCTGGGCGAAGGGGAGAGGAAAGGGACGGGGTTGGTTTATGAGTTTGAAGGGGGGAGGTGGAGTTTGGATGATGGTACGTCGCTCTCCGTCTCTTGTCTCTGGGCGTCGAGGAGAAGAGGAGGGATGAAAGCTGATGGACGGCGGTAGACGATGATCTCCAAATCCTTTTCTCTCGATTCCCGCCTTCCTCCACGCCTTCTGTTACGCTCCACCTCAAAACACCTACCGCTCCTGGCCAACAACACCCCCACCACGCCCAAACGGCGCTTGGCAACGGCAACGCGCCGCCGCCTGCCTACCCTACCTCGCCGTCTGTGAAGAGTAAAACGACCAAGTCGAAGAAGGCGAAGAGCCATGCTGGGAAAGAGGTGGGAGTGAGAGCAGGGGGAGGAGCAGGGGAGGAGGTGGATGCGAATGGCGCGAGGGCGGGTACGACGGACGGCAAGACCCCCGTGAAACGTACGATCAAACCCCTCAGCCCCCTCTCTGACCCGCATCACCTCGGAGCGCCTATAGCAGGCGGCAGCGGGCAAGGTCGCGTCGTCTCGTCCACCTCGCACCTCGCTCCTCCCGGTGCCCACTCCTACTCCCCCGCCCACGCCCACGGGCAAGGGAGCAAGCTCAACGGCGCGCCCTCGGTATCTGGCGTCTCGACGAAAAGCCGCGCGAAATCGGTCATGTCGACGGTTTCGAGGAAGAGCAAGTATGGGGATCCGTATAGCGAGGACTTGGGGGTGGTGAAGCGCCGGGCTTGGGAGGAGTTTCATGCGAATAATGGGGTGAGGACTGTCATGGGGAAGGTTGGGGAGATTTCTGGCGGTGAGTCTTGTTGGGATTGTATCTGGAGTTTGAGCTGACGGCGGTGTAGTGAGAATGTTATTGAAAGCGGGCTATCGACATGTTTACGTTTCAAGAGAGTTTGCTATCCGACACAAACTCGTCCCCAAAAAGGTCAGTCTTTCACCTCTCTTCCTTCATCCTCTTCTTTTACGTCAAGGATTTTGGCTGATTCCCTTGCATAGTTTGGTACCACCGGCGGCTACGCAGGTATCCGCACGATTGGCCAAATCCCTATCACTGTCGGCTCTCGGACCGCTCTGCATGCTGCGTATCTGACGGAGGAGAAGCACTTTGATGTGGTGTTGGGGAGGAGCTGGATGGAGAAGATGGGCGTGAAGTGAGTTTACTTCTTACTCTTTTTTGGTGATTGCGATGGATGGGAGGGTGTTGGAGTTTGTCGTTGTACTCTGCTTGAAGGCTTCGTGGGAGGCGGGACGGACTGGGATTTGTTTACTAGAGATTGAAAGCTGACACGGCAACAGGATCGACCCCCTCGACCAAACCATCCTCACCTACATGGACTCTGGCGAGCCTATCGAGTGCGATATCGTGGTGCTGAGAGATGAGAAGGGCGATATCGTTACTATCACATGATCTCTCTTAATGCCTTTTTGGGGATATGAACGGGCAGGGGACGGGGGGGGATGGTGAGGAAGGGGGTCTTATCGTACACGGTATGGGTTCGCAGAGGGTGAAACGGACATATACGGGTTGCTTTTGTTTTGGGAAGAAAAGTATGATTTAGTTGCTGTTGTTACACGCATGGAATAGTATATCTCACCTATGCCCCGTGTGCGATACAGGGCGAATAGAGGGAGGCAGAACCAAACAGTCGAAGAAGCGGTCAAGGCCGTCGGCCGAGCTGGGTGGCGGTTTCGCAGATGGCCGGTGGAGTGGCGTGATGTGGTACAAGATGTCGAGCTCATCTGCTTCTGCTTACTCAACGTGGGTATATAAATGCATGCATGGGTGACCCCATCGCCGCAAGAAGACACAAGCAAGATGACAGCAGTACAAGCACCCGTCTCCGCCCTTACTGACTCCTTCAAGGACCTCGGTGTTAACGCGCCACTTGTCGGCTATACTGTCACCGCCGACTCCCAGAAGAGGGTGCATCAGAAGAAGCTCCTTTCCGAGGCCGAGAAGAAGGCTCGTTCGCTCTTTCAGCAACAATGGTCAAGCTGATAGGGAACTAGGCAAAGATCTATGAGACGTCATATGAGCCTTCCCTCGACTGGTGGACCGCCGACCAGAAGGCTTACGTCAAGCCTGAGAACGACCCTCTCCCTGAAGGTTTCCCAGAGCAGGACCATGCTGCTAGTGACTGGGACGGCCGAGTGTTGATCAACCAACGTGAGCTTCACATCATACAAATGCTGTGCATGTGCTGACAGTGTGTAGCCGAAAAGTTCCTCTACAAATTCACCCCCGAGGACATCTCTCTCATCAACAAGGCCCACGACCACTTCATCTCTCTCAATCTCCACAAGGACCTCATTTCCCCCTCCACCTTCCCCATCCCGGAAGACTCCACCCTCTACAAGGCGCTTCGCCATGCCGAGCACGAGATCAACCATGGGCTTGGGTTGCGAGTGCTGAGAGGCTTGCCGGTGGATGAGTGGACAAGGGAGAAGCAGTTGGCGGTGTTTGCTGGTGTTTCGAGTTATATCTCGGAGAAGAGGATTAAGCAGGGGTTGCAAAATGTTGTCCATCTTCGGTGAGTCTTGTTTGTTCTTGTTGTCTTGTCTTGGGTGAATACTGATGTGGAGTAGTGATATTACCAATCTGGATGTCGACAAGCGTCCCGCTATCAGTACGTCCCTCTTCTTCTTTGCGCCTCAGCATCAAGAGCTAACCGTCCTCACAGCCGTCAAGGGCCAGACTTCCGGCAACCAAGTCTACCACAACGACGGTTCTGCCGGCATCATCGGCCTCATCACGCTCGGCGTTGCCGAAACCGGAGGTCTTTCCCAGCTCGCGTCGGTGGCGCATACTTATAACGAGCTGGCAAGGACGAGGAGGGATATCGTGCGCGAGCTGGCAAAGGGTGATTGGGTGAACAAGCAGTATCCTGACGGTGCGTCTCTTCCTGCCCTCTCTCCCTTCTCTCCCTTCATCAACGAGTGCTGACGTGAGTCCAGGCAAACCCCTCTTCTTCGCCCACAACAACCGCGTCATCTCATCCTACTCCCGCCGCCCCTTCTTTGGTTTCTACGAAGCCGACCCCGATGTGCCTCCTCTCCCTACGGAGAAGCATCTGGCGTTGGATGCGGTGCATTTCACGGCAGAGAAGTTTGGGTTGGACTTGAATTTGGAGAAGGGGGATTTGGAGTATTTCAACAATTTGACTGTTTTCCATGGTACGTCTTCCCCCTTCTTCTGCTTTCTTCTTTTCCTGCTTCTCCCCTGCACCCTTCTTGCTTTCGAACGCAAGTACTGACCCATACTCAGCGCGAACATCATCCTCCGACTCCCCCACCAACGCCCGCCACCTAGTGCGTATCTGGCTCCAGAACCCCTCCTTCTACGCTTCCAGCATCCCGCCCCAGCTCGCTGCTCTGTACGACAGGATCAATGAGGGGGAGGCGCATGGGTGGCCGTTGGAAGCGTGGGATAGTGTGGATCCGTATCATGAGTTCAAGGATGCGGAGCGTAAGACGCAGGAAGGGGAGGGCGAGAGGAAGGAGGGGAAGAAGGAGGGGCCGGGGGAACCTATCATTGCTGGGAATGCTGTTTATTGAGTGTTGTTTTGGAAGTCTGTAGTAAGAGGGTTGTAGGATAAAGTAAGAAAAGAAAAGGTTGTTGAAATTATGGCTCTTGATCTGCGAAGAACAATGCAAAGTATGATGATTGTTTTTGATCACGTGAGATGCCGACGAAGAGAAGAGGACTTGAAGCGAGCACGAGGCTTACATGGCCCGGTTAAGAAGCAGATACGTGTAGTATCGTGCTGTACTAGTACGCTGTTAATCACAATAAGTGGACTGAAGGAAGAGAGGGGCGATATCGGCGGGATGACCAACCACGATGAGCTACTGAGATGGTGGAGGCTGGATCGCCTCGCAGCGAGGGTTATGTGCAGTGGGGGAGTTTCTGACGATGATGTGAGTACTGACGCTTCTGTCTCCTAAACTGGGAATGTTGAATGGGGGAGAGCGGGGAGACGGGTTACTTTCGTCGTCAATTGGGTTGATGTTGTACTGTGCAGGCCGCTTGGACCGTTAGAACTGTGGCGTTCGTAAAGGATATGCGTCAGAGGAACAGCTCGAGACTTCTAAGGCCAAAGATATAGACTAGGATGTCTTTGTAGAGGAGCCTGCAGGGTAGCAGAGAATTGCTGATCGCTGTCGTTCATCGACTTGGGGCAAGTGGAGATGTAAGAACCGTCATCATCGAGGAAAGCTTCATTGTTACGAAGGTCATAAATTCATTACAGTATTCGTGCATAATACAGAAGACTTGGCGAAGGAATCATTATCCGTTCAGACGTAGAGGCATCAAGACGGACGTTTCTTGTTGAGTGGTGAACTGACGAAGAAGGTGATTGAGACGTTGTCTTTTTCTCTCGCGCTTTTGCATCGACGTATCGTACTGGCGAACAGCGTGCGAGTATGGTTCTAGCTATGAATCCAAGACCGTTAGACTCCTCTCCGCGCTGGCTATCGGAGCTGCCGCCACCTCCTATTCTTTTCCTTATCATAGACCAGCCAGATTGAGTCGTCGTATAGACAGGAAATCCTTCTCTCCTGGCTAAGGGTGGTGCGGCGGAAGGCCTGCTTTTCATGACAATATCCTGAATTGTTGCTTGTAACTCCTCACGGCTTTCACCTCTCCCACGGTCACCTTCTTGCCTACGCCCTCGTCCTCGTCCTCGTCCACGTCCACGCCCTCGTACTCGCCCTCGTCCTCTGATGGCGCCACGGCGACCTTGGCCTCCACGGACATTCCTTCCCCCCATCTCTGAAAGACCCATTTCTTTCTCCGCATCTCCATCTTCATCCTCTTCCTCTCCATCTCCCAAGGCATTAGGATCATATATCCAAAAGCCTCGAGATACTCTATGATGATTGTTGATGGTAGATTGTTTTCTTGTGTTAGTCCTACATTTCCAAAGATATTACTAATTACTCGTTCAAATCGTTCTGATTCGAAAAATGTGTATATACTCTGCATAGAATTATTGTCATATTATCTAGAGAATGATTCACCAATCTTATTTACCCAAGTAGTTGTATTACCATCAGAGTTTGATACAACCATACCAGGACACCAATTTAGATGTGAAAGAATAATTTCTTGAGTGCTTCCCCCCTAAAGACGATTAGAGTGATGATATGAGACAATCTGGTCCAGAACTCACCATGTTAAATTTCCAAGGCGCCCATTCGCTCTTTCTATTATGGCTGGCCGATGGGAGTTGCGACCGGCTGTGTTTGTTCCATCTTGCAGCTACACAAGGTCAGCTCGAGTCCCAGAAACAGGAAAAACACTCACGATGTCTGCTATCTTCCACGGGATCGAAGCCCTCCATAATCTCTGGCTCTATATCTACATCTTCACATTGTTGCCACAAGTGTGTAACATGGGCTTCATGCTCCTCGATTGTTGTTGGTAAGAGAGCCTCATCGGATACCGGTTCATAGTCCGTATATGGGGCAGGCTCCTGAGGGTTGTCACCGGCGAGAAGGGGCAGAGGGTCGCTAGTTACGGCGTTGTTAGTGCTGTAGGTGCGAGATTGGGAGTCGGTAAACCGTGTCGCCATTGAATGTCCGGGAGCATATGACACAGGGATCTCATACGCATTTGCCGTGTTCGCAGAATGAGCTTTCCATCGCGCTTGGTAGCTCAGTTCAGCATCTCTGACTGCTTTCTCCGACAATGATTTCTTATGTTTATCGGTTGTCTCATGAGAAATCATATTCCTGCGACCGATTGGATTGGGGACTGGATGGCACGCGATGCACACTACCCTGCCGTCATCTGGCGAAGGGAGGCGGCGGAAACCTGTCTTGTATATCAGCAATGCGACTAGCTTTTTGAGGTAAACATACCTCTGGCGTTGAGCTCTGCGTCTGATAAAGGGGCTCGTCCCATACTGGTGGTTTAGGTGGGAAGTGATACAAAACCAGGGCTCAGGTCTTGAGAGAACAATGGAAAACGCGTCGCGTCGCGTTGAAACACTCCCTGGCACCGCGATTGTCTTTCGGTCTTTCGGCCTTTTGTGTGTGTGCCTTCGCCTCCTCCTCATCGATCTGTTGTTGTTTTCGTTGCTGTTGTTTCTTTTGCTCCCTGTTCCATCCGCTCTTTCTCTATTGTTCCCGGCATACAACAATGCACCAGAATGAAGAAATGAAACTCGCTTTGACCCACTCGAGGTGAGAACAATATATGTAACGTGAGTGTCTCAACCCCAGTTGCCGGAGGCTGCTGCCCACATTGTTCCGAGCGCTTATTTAAGCTGTAAGACCTGTCTCTTTTCTGACAATATCCCCACCTTTGCTCACTTCAACTACCCAAGGTCGCACTCACCTTGTCCAACTTCCTCACCGCTACCGACCCCTTTGCTGCTGATTATAACTTGGATGAATTGAGCGATAATGAGCAGACGGATACCCCGGCCACTCCTCTACGACGCAGCCCCAAAGGGCATCAGAAATCATCTGATGTGTCTGTAGAACGTCTTGGAACGTCCAGCGCCCAACAAGGCGATACGTCCGATTATACCAGCGTTCTACGCACTCACAAGACCTACCGATCTCTGGGAGAAGAGAGACAGGAGCAGATGAAGATGTTCTGTCAAGTATCTATTAGTGAATTTTATATGTGGGTTGCCCTAATGTTTGCATTGGCAGTTCGATGTGAGACGCCAGCTGCTCGAGACCCATCTCAAGCAGCATGCGTCTTTCCAAAAAGATGAAGCAAATCAGCGGGCACAAGAGGCTATGGTGAGAGGTCAGTTTACTCTCATGTCTATTCGGCAATCCTCCCTTGCATCGCTCAGGGCTGGCCGGTTCCAGTTGTCCTCCCCGAGTCACAGGCTGGCCAGACCGTAGACGAAGCTGGGACAGGTGACGGGCTCTGTGAGTAGCAAGCTTTTTTTTCCAATGCTATGTTGGATTGCTTCGATACGTACTTATGCTCGATAGGTGACTCTGTTGGCCAGCTCGTCGACCCCCGTCCTTCTGGTACGCACATATGTCTCTCAAAATGATGTCTACTAACCAAAGGGTAGTGGATCCACAAGCTTTCTTGCCGGCATCCTCGCAGCCCTTTCGACCGGCGTCCTCTTCCAGACTGTCTCGACCGGCGTCCTCTTTACGACTCACCCGACCAGCATCCGGTCACTCTCTTGTGGGTGCTCCGCCTTCTGTGTCAACAGGTGCCAGGCGGAAGGCAGACGAGATGCGGGCTTCTCAAGGGCTTCTTAAATGGCCAGTAGCACAACGGACGAGGAAGAGTCAGGCTCTGAGGAGGAGGCTGCAGAGGGTCCAGCTGCCAAGAGGGATAGAAGCAGCCAAGGAGGGAGGAGCAGGCAGGCAGGCAGGGGCGGGCGGGGAGGGCGCACAGAGAGAGCAAGCAGGGAGAGTAGTGAATGGAATAAACGTTCTGTAGATGTCTGATGTAGCTTGTCTGAGTGTCATTTTGATATTTGTAACAGCTGCATACAATGTCCACCAGACATTCTAACATACCCTTGAGAATATTGATATAATGTTTTTGGTACCCAGGAAAATACCAAGGCGACGTCGGCAACAGCTGTATACAACGTCCACCAGACATTCTGAAATACCCTTGAAAATATCCATATGATGTTTTTGGAAATTGCATAAAACTATCCGCGCGACATAGAGGCAATTATCTACCTCCAGTTTGAAAGCCTGACAGACGCCGGCTTGATATAAACCTCAACAACAAAGCTGCAAAGGCTGGAAGGAGGCGAGGGGGCGGGGAGAGGAAGCGGGGTCAGAATCGTTTCGAAAGAGAGAAGGGAGGAGCGAGGACAACAGTCGGAACAAGGGCATCGAAACATACATCGCACAATATGCATGTCCGTCATCTCTTACTCGATGAAAGCCCCATGAATAGTACAACACGACCCATACTCGTAACCATCAACGGCAGATACAACAAAACAAAGACCATCGTCGGTGTACAACAATCCCCCAAACGACAAGACAAAAGTCCACCCATCCAGCATTCGTACACCACTCGTAAACTTCATCAAACCCAATTATACCCCTCCGCCAACACCCACCCCCCACCCTGCCTTTCCACAAACTCCTCCTCCTCCCCCCACTCCAACGCCCCCTCAACAACCCCGTCCGAAACCTTCTCCCACCGTCCATCTTCTTCCCACCCCTGCAACTCTCTGACCAACTGCTGTACCGTCACCCCTCCCCCTCCTCCGACTCTTGAGCCCCACACGCCCCGCCCGCTATGGTTCTCTATCAACGGCACCAATAGAGGGAAGAGTAATTGGGGAGGGAGGGAGAAGTAGCCATAAGGCGAGTCGGAGGTGGTTAGGAGGGAGGAGAGGCGGGTGGGGATGAGCTCGCCGGAGGAAGCGGCTGTGCGGAGGGTGTAGGTGAGGAGGGCAGTGGTGGCAGTTGTGATTTGGGGTTCGGATAGCCATGTTGCGTTTTGGACATTGTCCTCCTCTTCTTCCACGGGGTTTCCGGCCTTCACCCGGGCAGCAAGGGCTTTTTCGTTGGCTTTGCGCAGCTTTCGTCTCGCTTCGTATATCGCCCGATCATCCTTCTTCTCCAACCCGCTTTTGATCCTTCCCTTCCTCTCGCGCTCTGAATCGAGAGCTTCTTGGAGTATGATCCGCCGTGCTAGGGTATAGAGGATAGGGATCGACAGGATGTCGTGCTCGAACAGAGGCGTAAGAGGGCCAATAGCTTGTTTCGCCGTCAAAGGCGCTCTCCTCCCCCCTCCCCCTCCTCCTCCGCCTCCTGGTCCATCCCGTCGCTTAGCATATTTCGCATAAGCCGGAAAGTACCGCCCCAACGCGTTCCGACACCGTTCAAACCCGCCTTCACGGACGATGGTGGAGAGGGCATCTTCGATGGAGGAGGAGAGGTGGTGGATTAGGTAGCGCCGGAATGTGGGGCGGGTGAGGGCGGAGGGAGGGAGTTTGGAGGGGTGGCGGAGGCGGGGGCGGGGAGGAGTCTGATAATTCGTCAGCATGGGATGGAGAAGGAGGGGAAGCGGAGGAGGCATACGAGGTGTTGAGAGGTGGATTGGGTTGGGGAACCGGAGAGTGTGCAGATGGTTATATCGCTAGCTGGATGTTGGCCCTCTTTATCCTCCTCATTCGGCATCTTGCTGGGTAGAGAAGTCTTGGATCGAGCGATCTTGGCTCTAGCGATGGGTCTGACTGATGTAATTTGGGGGATGGCGAAGGGGCGGTTGTATAGTTCGCGGTGTAGCTGCTCGACGAGCTCGGCGTGGTGTAGTTGCTCATCGGGCGATACTACTTCTGCTTTTTCGTAAGCACAATCACTGGAAGAAGCAGAAGAAGACTTACGTATACTCCCGCCATTATCCGAAACAAGAACCTGCCTCACCGTCCCATCCTTCCACCGCATCTCCTCCAACGCCCCCACCACCCTCACAGTATCCCCCACCATCACATCCGCCCTTTTCCACTCCTTCATCCCCTTCGCGATTTTGACCCTGCGAGCGAGAATTTCGTCGACCTTGTCGCGTTGGCGGATGGAGAGATGGACGGGGGAGATGCCGAGTTCGGAAGCGATTTGGTGGAAGGTGGGGGTGGTGGCTGGGATTCGGGGGTGACGGATAAGGACGCGGAAGGTGTGTACTCCGTCTCCATCGTCGACTGTGGCGGATCAGTAGAGGAATGAAGTATGGAGGGCGACTTACGGTATACGACCATGGAATCGTCTTTGTGGTCTACGCCCGCAACCCAGGCAACAAGCTCAACGTAAGAGCAAGGGTACTGGCCAATGATATATGCGCCTGTGTTCTCCAGTCAGCGGAGTATCGACCAGTGTATAGAAACTGACTCTGTCTGTATTGTACGGCTTCAGTATCAGGCGGGACAATCGCGCGGGCATTCCAGGCATCTGCGACAAAGCATTTCGTGACTGCGGCAGGTGACCGTAGCCAGGCGAGCAGCAGCGGCAGCGGGGGCAGGGATATCTTTTGGGGGACATTGTCAGTGAGCCCTGCCATGGCGTCAGTTTGTTTTTGTTTTGACTTTTGCAAGAGATGATGGTGTTTTGCCTCCACCCGCGCGAATTGGCATCCGTGGGAAAGCTGTCGCCGGGCCACCGAGCAACCCAACTCATCTCCTCTTTCATCTTCTGCATCTCCACAATCTGCCATGCCTATTCTCACCATCAGCCCACACAAGTCACAGCCCACCCCCGAGTTCTGGTCAGCCCTCACAGCCCACAAGCTCGACCATCTCAAGCTCGACGACTCGTTCGTGCCGATTCATGGTTATCTCGAGCAGGGCAAGCGCGTGGTCATCGATAGGAATGCTTCGCAGGAGAGTGATGAGAATAGAGTGGGGATAGATGGGAGTGCCGTGCTGGGTGGAGATGCGTTTGTGGCTGGGGAGAAGTGCGTTGCAAACTCCCCCGTTAGAGTATCGCTGACTCATAACAGATCACTCCCCAACACCATGCCCATGCGAGGGACTCTGAAGCTATTCAACACCATTGAAGAATTCAGCAGTACTGACTTGAAGAAGAAGGTAATCCATGAAGTCGTACAACAAGTAAGGTATCACGTCTCCAAAGAGAACGCGCTGACAGCCCATAGATGCTGCAATCATTCGACACTGATACACCCCTCTTGAACACTTTTCTCCTCGTCACCTTTGCCGATCTGAAAAAGTACAAGTACCACTACTGGTTTGCATTCCCTGGTTTCGTCGCCAGTCCGCCGTGGAATTTGAATGGGGAGCTGAGCCCTGCAAACGCCGAGGTGGGTGCGTCTAGGTGTTTTGGAGCTGTGCTCATAAGCCGTAGGAAATTGAAGAGATACGGGCTCTGAGCTTAAAGCTTGACAATCAAGAAGCGTATCTTGTCAGGGGAACCACTGGGGAGCGTCAAGTAGCGCCATTAACGTCTTGTTCTGCATTCTATGGCCAAGGTGAACAGGTACGCTCTTTCGTCCCGAGGAAGCATCATGGATTGATCAGCATTAGGTCACCATCGCCTTCCACGACCCCTCCTCATCCCCCTCGTCCCCCGGCTGGCCTATCCGCAACTACCTCTTCTACCTCAACACCAAACACAACATACACACTGCCCGTATCATCTGCTTGCGGGAAGGCGGCTCCAGTCTTGAAGGTATCGTAAACCTTGACAAAACTCAGAATGCGGAGGAAGCAAAGGCAGTGGGGTGGGAGGTCAATAAGGCAGGGAAGTTGGGGAGTCGGGTGGCGGATTTGGGGCCGTTGTTGGATCCTGCTAGGTACGTTCTCATAATCACTTTTGTCTGTGACGAAGCTGATTTATATCAAAGGCTCGCGGCTCAAGCTGTCGATCTCAACCTCAAGCTCATCAAATGGCGTATCATGCCGTCTTTGAACCTCGACAAGATCTCGCAGACCAAGTGTCTTTTGCTAGGCGCCGGAACGCTGGGATGTTATGTTGCACGTGTTCTGATGGTACGTCCTTCCACCACCGGCCCGCCCCCGCTGATCAACAAGCACAGGGATGGGGCGTCCGCAACATAACATTCGTCGACTCCTCCACCGTCTCCTACTCCAACCCCGTCCGTCAACCCCTCTTCACCTTCACCGACTCCCTCTCCGGCGGCAAACCCAAAGCCCAATGCGCCGCCGACGCCCTCAAATCCATCTTTCCCGGTGTCAACGCCCAAGCGCACTCCTTTTCTATCCCCATGCCGGGCCACCCGCCGGCAAAGACGGTGGGGGAGGATGTGGAGCAGTTGGAGGGGCTGGTGAGGGAGAGTGATGCGGTTTTTTTGTTGATGGATTCGAGAGAGTCGAGGTGGTTGCCGACGGTGATAGGGGCGAGGGAAGGAAAAGTTGTTATTAATGCTGCGCTGGGGTTTGATGGGTATCTTGTTATGAGGCATGGTGCTGGGGTTGACGCTGCCGGAGAGGGAGCGGGAGGGAAGAGGTTGGGATGTTACTATTGTAACGACGTTGTCGCTCCTGCCGATGTGAGTCATCTCTCCTCATCATCCGTTCCTCGACATGGTGAGGTGGTGCTGATGGTACGCATAGTCATTGAAGGATAGGACGCTTGACCAGATGTGTACCGTCACTCGCCCGGGGGTGGCGCCTATAGCAGCAGCGATGGCTGTTGAGCTGCTCGTCTCGCTTTTGCAACATCCTCTAGGGTACGTTCCCTCTCTCCCGTGCCTCCCCTTCGTCACCTTCCCTCCTGTCTCCCTCTTCCCTACCCCCGCGTCCGGCAAATGTTTACTAACGCTCCCTCAGCATCAACGCCCCAGCAGACTGCTCCACATCCTCCACGATTGATACCCCCTCCCCACTCGGGCTGGTACCGCACCAGTTGAGGGGCACGTTGCATGATTGGAAGACGCATTTGGTGGAGGGTGCTGCTTATGATAGGTGTACTGGGTGTAGTAAGACTGTACGCTTC